GGGGGGGGGGGGGGGGGGGGGGGGGGGTTCCGCACAATTCCGCAAAATGCCTCTATGGATCTTGCTAGCCCCAATTCCCCCAAACTTGGTCACGAATCATCTTGGTTCTTTAAGCGAGACGATGTCGATCGTATGGTAATAGACACAGTTTAGAGTCGGGCCCACGCCTGGTCACCAACGGGTCTCGTCGTTACAACGCGTGACAGCACCCACGCACCCAATGCCTTAGCCAAGTCTAGACCTTCGACTCGGCTTCCAACGTTGCATAACAAGGGTGCCTTACAAGTGGGACCTTTGTCCGCGATTCACAATTGAGCAACGCTGAATGGCGACAGTTCGATACCAAATAAGACCAGACTGCCTGCTAAATGAACTTCTTCCTGAGTTACATGTGAAGGGGTTTGCGAGCCATGAAGAATCATTGGCCGCAGGTATCCAGTCCGCACGTCGGACCTTGCATGGTCTAGCTTTTGGCGTGGCTGGTGTCAGACTATCTTCCCATGGGTATGGCTGATTTGATGTTGCCTGCTCAGATCTTCTGGTCCCAAAGAATACGAGTTTGGCTGCCTACAATGCAAGGGAAATCGCGCAAATCGGTGATCTCTGTCTATCCTAGGCTAGAGGCCGTGGGTAAGTAAGCCGAGAGAAATCTTTTACCGTATTTTTTTCAACCCAGGTAACGATGGGATGGAAAGAGGTAGCTTAGATGAGTAATAGCACAGTCCCTATTCGTACAGACATGATATCTTACTGGGTGTGCCTTTCTAGCCTTTTCTGACAGCCCTTGTGGTATTAGCCACCCTAATTCTACTCACGGCAGGTCTCAATCTTGGGCTCTCAATCTTGATCCTTTCTCTCACGGCCGTATCGCTTGACAAGTGCGGCAAGACATGTATCTGCTAGAGTCGGCATATCTGCGGGCAGCACTAGATGGCGATTGACATGGAGATAGCTGAGTGTACTCCCAAACTTCAAAGGACAGTCAGAGCACTGGCAGGGGTCACCGAAAGAGTGAGATGTATGCTTTCTAGGGGGGGCCTACCTAAAGGGAACTACACCCGTCCCCAGCTTTTCCTCCCGTTACTGCCACCATCCTCCGACGCTGTGCTCTCCCACATAGCGCGTGACGCGCTTCGATATCCTGCCAGGTATTACTATATGGAGACAGCCAACTGTTCGCAAAAGCTGGTCCAAAGTCAAATGTATGTCAACCAAGTCTTTTGTGGTTTACTTGTTCAGCTTCTCGGATATCTCTGCTCGCTTCTAGGATGGGCCGGACCTGCAATTTAGACTGGCTTGTTTCTTCATCTTCTACATAGAATTAGGTAAAAGCGCCTGTAATCACTCCACCGACGGGCTAGCGACGTACATTCTGACAATGCAGATGGCTCAGCGTCTGCCTCGTCCGTGGAGTGAATGACAACCCCTGGCATAGCCATGGCCTAGTACTCCGCCGAGACATTCGGCAGACTTACACGGACTAAACGGTAGCTAAATGGTAACTTTATTGCTTTCCCTTCTGGCAAAATGGCATTTAGAGATAAACAATAAGATATGCTTTGAGCCGGAGCACTGTGTCTTGTACTATTACTATCCTCAGAGAGGCTAGGGGCAGCAGGGGCCAACAGTAGGTAACGGAGAGGCCTGCATGGCTCCAATATCCCCATAGCTAATCCCCTCCCAAGACTCTGTACGTGTAGTAATCAATGGCGTGGTGTCCGGGATCATGTCGGGATACTGGTATCTCGTATTTCTTTCGAGGTCATAGAGGCAGCGTTTGTCTTTCACAGCCCGAGAAAATAGTGTCATAATTAGAATCAATAGCACCCGACTTAACTTCTACGATGATTATTCTAGGTAGTGTAAATAATGTCCTCATGAAGAAGAAAGCCCTTTGCGTACGTTTTGACCTCTTCGCGATGAAGTGAGAATGAAAATGAACAGCAAGGTGGGGACTATATATTAATTCCCGCACCCAAGAGACCCTGTTTCTCCCGACAGCCTAGGCCAGAACTCCGGCCAACAAGTAGAACACAGCGATTCCTCCGAGTCCCAGCGATGAAAGCTTGGCAGCAGACGCAACAACGAAAGTGGGGGCGGGTGGAACACAGTCAACACACTCAGACTTGTTCTGACCCGGACCGGGGGTTGGGGCAGGGCCGGTCGGCACGGGGTATGTTATGATGGCGGTGATAGGCTCGGGCCCACAAACGTAGCAAGTCGAGGGCGAGGCGGTGAATCCCGGAGGGATCTCTCCGGACTTGCCATGGCAGTCGTGGGAGCCGCAAGTGATGGTGTATGTCTTGTACTCGAGGCCGGTCGGGCAGAACTGTTGAAAGGCGGTGGTGTAGACCTTGACGGCTGGAGGAGTCGGGGGTGGGGCATAGGTTGAAGTGCCAACGTCGCAGCGCGTCACGGTGATCGGATCCAGGACCAAGGTTGAGATGCACGACGTTGTCTGAGGGTCCCTTGGGCCTACGGCTGACAAGGCAACAGAAACGAGAGAAATAAGAATCGACACGGAGGCCTTCATCATGAATTTAGAGACGAAAGAACGAGTGGAAATTGAGACGAAACAATGAGTGAATGGTTGGTAGCGAAAGACTGACTGAACGACGAGGTTGTGAATGCGTTTTCTACTAAAGAGGAGACGAGGACGATCCTTAATTGATATTTATATCAGGGTTTGAAGACAGAACCCCAAGACAATCACCATAGAGCTACCTAATCATATTGACGAGCAAATCTCCTAACGACCTACAAACATCGGTCAACGACTGACGGTCTTGTCTTGGCACGGATAGAAGAGCTAGGAAATGAGAATACACTCTCAGGAATGTCCAGTAATCAACGTCCTGCCACTCTTATTGGTCCAGACCGTTTGTTCATCGAGTTGACTGAATACCAAAGTCTAGTTCAGCTCCAGTTGTAACAAGTTCTGGGGTCTCCACCAAACTCCTCAGTCTCGGATGCCGGATCAGTCTGGCTTAGCCCGGCAATAAAAGAACCGCAACTCCACCTCACCCGCAAAACCGATCAGTGGCGCGCACTTACCCACACCAAGATCCACATCCCAAGGTCCTGTCAATGGTCATACCTTCGTGGGTCCATAGATGCAGATGTCGCGTCATGGGTGAATCAACCTGTCTGGGTGAATCAACTTGTGCCTCTCATTGCTGTACGCGTAATCTCGACCTGGTGTGGCGTTTAAGAGTCGATTGTAAAGTTGGAAGTTCACAGCATTGAGAGCACTGGCTCGGTGCCGAGAATGCGGCATGTCAGGGTGAGACCGCAAGTTGACGTCTGGAGCTGAAAGTGGCTCGCCCTCATCCCTCTCTCATTTCCGTGGCGCAAACTCCACCGAGAACTCCTACGAGAGAGGAAAGTGATGTGCATTCTCCACCAACTTGCCCTATATACCCTTCTTCGCCGAATTCAAAGTCGCCGACTTCACATCGAATTCATTCCAGTGTGAATCCCTCCTGGCTGGCATACCTGCCCACAGAAAGCATGTTGAGATATTGAATTCCCCAGCGCCGAAACTTTCTCGCAAGCTGAACTGTGATAACCAAAATAGGTAAACGAGAGGTTTACCTGTCGAAGAGCATAGAAACTCGGGGTGATTATGAAAGGCTTTCGATCAACAATTTGCAGTCAAAAAGTATATATGAGGCATTGCTTGAATCTTTGATCGACACGGAAACATCAATGATCATCTTCCTTCTTCACATAGAGTCGTTCTAGATTCACACACTCGTTTCCGCCAGAAAATGCATCTCACTCGTTTATTTGCAAGTGTTTTACTGGGTCACCAGTTGGCAAGTGCTGCACTGCCGGCAAATCTTTGCCCAGATGCTGTGATCATCCAGCCAGTTGTGGTCGTTGACCAGTCCCCTGTCCTTGTCAATGGTTTCTTCCCCCATGACACCTCTTTACTTATCAACGGCATTGCTGTGCCAATAACCAATGCTCCAATTTCTCTATCAACAGTTATCACTGGATCCAGTAGCAGTGCCGCTACGCTCACAAGGTATGAGCATTGTCAGGCCCCTGGCACGAATTGCCATGTTAATACATTGATTCCAGCGGTGCGGGACTATCGGCCGCTACATACACCACCCTGACTGGGTACTTCAATGGCCCTGCTGGGTCCGAGCCGAAAACAATCACGTTCCCTCCCTCACAGCCAGGCGGTACTGGCACTGTCATCGTCGAATCTCCTGCCCCCTCTGCGTTCAACGGACCTTACACGACCGTGACAGGCGGATATGATGGAAGCGTAACACGCTCGCTTACACTACCTCCTGCCGGAACTGATACCATCGGCACCGTGATCGTTGAGACTCCTGCTGCGAGTAACCTCAACGGCCCTGCAGCCTTCACAGGTCCATACACGACCTTGACAGGCGGGTATGATGGGAGCGTGACGCAAACGTTTACACTGGACCCTGCTGGCACTGACACTGTCGGAACCATCATCATCGAGACTCCTGCTAGCGGTGTTTCGGCCATCAATGGGCCTGCGGCTTTCACAGGGCCGTACACGACGATAACAGGAGGCTACGGAGGCTCAACCACTCTCACTCTGACCCTAGCACCCACTGGCAGCGACACAGTCGGCACGGTGGTCGTGGAGACGCCTACAACTGGCAACAGCCCTTTCACCGGGCCCTACACCACGATCAGCGGAGGCTATGGTGGCACCACTACATTGACAGTGACGCTGCCGCCCTCAGGCACTGGTACTGTTGGAACTGTCATCGTCCAGACGCCCACCTCTAGCAGCGTGAACGGCGCGGCACCTACGTCTTCCGAATCTACAGGTGCCACGGGTGCCAGCAACCCATCGTCGAGCACCTCATCCCCTACGACTTCGGCAGAATCTTCACCTTCCAGCACAGCGAGCGCTTCAACTTCCCCTCCCGCAACCACTTGCTTCGCCACGGTTACCTCGACGCCTAGCTCGCAGACCTGCGCGACAGGTCTCCCTCAGGCATGCGAGAGTCTCTCCAGCTCGAGCGGCCTAGCACTGATCCCGCTCGTCCCGCTCTGCCTTGCCGCTCTTGGTCCTTTCGCCGTGGGTAATGTGGCCACCTGCTTGACCACTGATACCATCAGCGTGACCACAGCCGGCACGACTATCGTCTCCTGCCTCAACACTGCCTTGTCAGGGACCTGCATTTCGTCGCTTCCTGCAGCTTGCTCGAACCTGTCCAACGAGAATGGCCTTGCACTTGTGGCCGATGTCCCGGCTTGTGTGGTTGCCCTCGGTCCCTTTGCTGTCGGTGAAGCACTGGTCTGCCTCTCGACAAGCAGCATTGCCGAGACCACCACCGGGGCCAGCATCATCACCTGCCTCAATAATGCCCTCAAGCTCACGTCTGCCACGCCGACCACCAGCGTCGTGCCCACGGCTTGCCCTGCCGCTTCCTCCACGCCGTCGTCGGGTTGCCAGGTCTCTCTACCACCAAACTGCGCAAATCTGGCATCCGTCAGTGGCCTGGACCTCATCGTAGATGTTCCCCTGTGTCTCACAGCCCTTGGCGTGTACGGCGTCGGCAACGCAGCCGCCTGCCTTGCTACGGATGTCATTACTACCTCTACCACCGGCGGCTCCATCATCAACTGTCTCAATACAGCCCTTGAGGCGTCGTGTCCGACTTCCCTGCCGAGCGCTTGCACGAAATTGAACAGCGACAACGGGTCTGCTGCGCTCTTGGTCGACATCCCGCTCTGCGTGGTGGCTCTCGGGCCCTTCGCAGCGGGCAACGCTGCTGTCTGTTTGTCGACGACGACACTGACTGAGAGCACTACTGGATCGTCGATCGTGGAGTGCCTCGAGAAGGCGCTTGGTATCTCTCTGTAGATCACGCAGGCCTGTAAAAGATGAGCAGCTCTCTAGCTCGTGTAGCGCAGCCAAACCGTCTATATGACGGATTCTCTCCTTCCTCAGGCGCCTAGGACTCCCTGGGCATGTCAACCCAGCTTTATAATTTTAGTTTATTCCCATTCTTTAAATTTGGCAATGGTTCATAACATTGTTAAACAAGATAATTAAAAATCTCCATGTTCTGATTCAGCAACCTCGTCAAGGTCAGAGCTCATCGTGCCGGTTGCCCCTGGTTGCTGTTCCCTCATCCCTGTCTTGTTGCGGTGTAGGCTGGGCTCGCCATGGCGTGACTCTTCCCCCGATGATATCTAAGAGAAACTGTTCAACGACTGCCATTGAAATCTCGACTTTGCCTTGGTACGGAAAGACATCCCCATTGTTCGGGTTCTGTACGGACAGAGCTTTAGCTGCTCCAGCCGTCAGCCCTACTGACCGCTCCATCTCGGGGTACTCGTTCGCGTCGACGGTCGTGAATACGAGATACTCGCTATACTTTTTGGCGAGAGGACGCATCTCCTGAACGTATGAGTCTCGATCTCTATCATTCGTCACAAAGTAATGTACTAAGCTTTTACCCAGCTACACCAGTGAAGGTTAGTTTCAGAACCGGGTATGGTGACAGGCACCGTAACTTCTAGGAATAGCAAGCCACTCACGCCTAGATACTGTAATTCATTCCTCCTGCTTAGCTCAACAATGACAGGAGTCGCACAAATGCTGACAAAGTTCTCCATGGCGTGGACAGATGATGAGTCGGACATAGTGTGATTCACTCCATCGAGATTGTTGAAGCAATTGAGCAGAGACGTCGACTTGTCTGCCGAAGGTGGGGACTTGACAAAGGAGTATCTATCGCTATATCGGTCTGCCAGGTTATCAAAGCGCCTGGACACAGACTCGTCTTCATTTTGTGATAAATGTGCCACAAGGACTATGTCATCATCCTGGACAAACGAGGAAAGTGCGTCTGTTGGTATGGCTGTCGGTGCTGGTCGTTGAGACCTCCGGAAAAACGACACCATCCTAATGAAGGAAGCTCAGAATTCTCGACTTGTTGCTATTCATTATGAAACAGGCCATTCTTACCTATCTGCTCTCCTTGAGCCGCGATAGCGGATGACTTTTCCGTCCCTTTTAAGTAGGCGAATGGCAGGGTACGACGCTATATCATGCTTTGCACAGAGCTCACGTTCAGCATGACAGTCGATCATCACCGACTGGATATCTTGCACATCCTCTATTTCGATCCATTGGCTTTTGAATGTCTTGCTCCGTGCTCTGGCGACATCGTCAGCGTAGTTCCCACGGTGGCTAATAGCCTAGAACCGATTGGAGTGCTCACTCATTTGACTTAATTATTAGTTGACAATCTTTAGTTAGTCAATCTGATGTGAAGACGCACAAGTGAATACTCTTACGTGTAAGACTGCAAACATTTTCAGAACTATCAGTATTATTCCAGAAATCACGTATTGATCAAGCAACACTTACAAGCTACTAGTGTATCCTCGCCGCTTTCGAGTGCTTTTCTAGCGTCGGTCTTGCTTGCATGCGTGCCCGCCCCCAGCACAGGCAGTATCAAAAGGAGCACTGATATGATCATCTTTAGGTGTCAGCAAAAGCAACAGAGAGGAAGTGTATCAATAATCTTGGGGCTCAAGATGACGCCGGCATTCGTTAAATAAAGGCGTGCAAGAATGGTGGCGTGGGCTGTTTTACAATGCAGCCGTGGAGGTCTGATCGCCACGGGAGCCGCTGCAGGTCCCTGAAAGTCCAAAACCAAAGGTGGGACTTTGGTAGACGAGCCATCCACTTCCGGGATTTGATGACGTGTAACTGTGATTTTCCAGGGTCGAGCAACCCCAACATCTCATGTTTCATCGTAGGACAACACCTCCACTAGCCGTCTGAGCTTCGACAGACTTTCCCAGGGAAATGACAAGAAATTCAAATTCGCATGGCTCTTAGATGATTTCCTTGTAGACTTGCAAGACTCATTACTATCGACATGATGTTTTTGCGTCACCTGCTCCCATTAAGTGCTCTGGTGTTAGCAGCGGCCGACCCTAACAAGCAGATACCGCTCGGTGGGAAAGATGTGTCTCTTTGCGAGCATCCCGATTACAAAGTGCACATTGTGTCAAGATCTCCGCTCGTGATGTACATTGAGAACTTCATCACAGGAGAAGAGAGGGCACATTTACGCGAGATCACGTACGTCAAAAGGCAATGCTCAATGTGGGTTTGTGAGCTAACTGAAAGACATGGGATATAGCAAGGACACATTCGCTCATTCAGAAGTAACTTCTTCGGCAGGTGCCGGTAATGCTCTTCACCGAGTACGCACCTCTCAATCTACAAGAGTAGACTCCGGCGACCCAGTGGTGAGATGTATCGAGGACAGGGCCCTGGCCTTTCAAGGGTTCGACGTGTCGCGCGACCATCTCGAGCCACTTCAGCTCGTCAAATACGCCCCGGGAGAACACTACCATTACCACACAGACTGGTTTACCGACGTCCCTCGACATGCGAATGCCGCGCTTGGTGGGAACCGCATTTCATCGTTCTTTGCATATATCACCGCCCCAGGAAACAACACAAAGGACGAGGACCGTATCACCGGAGGCGGCACCAACTTCCCGTTACTGCGGGCCCCGCATGATCCCAGGTGGTGCCAGTGGATCGACTGCGATGAGGAGTGGGAAGAAGGGGTGTCGTTTAGACCTGTTGAAGGCAACGCCGTGTATTGGGAGAACTTGCTGGAGAACGGGATGGGCGACCAGAGGGTATTGCATGCAGGTCTCCCGGTTATCACCGGGTCAAAGATTGGGATGAACATTTGGACGAGACAAGGACCTTTGGATCAAGGTATCCGGGGTTCAGTGTGAAAACTTGAGTGTTGGACGTGGTTGTAATTCATCACTCGACGATTTACTCTTCAGCAAGCCCCTCTGACAAATTGTGTATCAGCCGAAGAATTTCCAACCGTGACAACACCATCTCCGCAGTTGTAATAGTTCGCTATCCAAACAACATCAGATTGCTGATCGAATACCACTGCCGAGCATGTTAGCTTTCATATAAAGTTCTTCCTACACACCACTGGCAATGCCACTTACAGTATGCTCCTCTGATAAAAGTATCGCCCAATACATAGTTCGTAGTACCCGCATCAGCCGGCTGGACTCCCATGAGACAGTGACCAGGGTACTGCTCCCAAATGAAGTCTTTGAAAGGCACACTGACGATCATACGCTCGTTGTTGAAACCAAAGTCGACCGTCCCGTTCTGCTTCCGCAAAGCACAGTCGACCCAGTAGTGGCCATTGGGGTCGACCCTAGCATTGAGCTGCTGGCCGATGACGGACACGATATCCTCGCGTATGTACGATAAAGTTGACCCAGAGTCGATGAGTGTGGACATAGTGAACTGTTCGTCGGTGTAAATAGACTTGGGCCTCCCGGGTTTCGTCATGCCGAAGGACGTGACGTTGACCCAGTACTGGATCCAACCAGGATCCTGCTTGTCAATTGGAGGCCAAATTGACACCGGCTCGAGACCGCCTGTGAACTTCCACCTGTTGACTCCTCCGAATATGATTTCACCTGAGATCGTTGTCAGCATTGTTCTGTGGGTATGGGGATGCACGCACTGAATCCATCTCCCTCTCCGCCAAGACCCATGCTGAAGACCGGGGCACCAATCAACCTCAATGCCCACATCATATCCAAAAGTGTCGGATACGTCGTCGTGAAGCCGTATGCATAGCCGAGTCCCAACACCCCAGAATACGTGTAGTTCGTATCATCGGCAACGGCAAACTGCACACCAGGAACCTGGAACACTTTACCACGCCCAAATCAGTATTGTGATCCCTTCTCCAGGCACCGAGTCCACTTATACGTACTCGCAATCTTCATCGTGTCAGAGTAGTACTTCCCGACCGCCGAACCGGTCCCATATTGAATCTGAAAGTGGCTTCCGAGGTAAGACGCAGAACTGGACTGCTGAGGATAGTAGAGGCCGTATTTGCGGCAAAGTGTCGGGTCCGCTGAGTTGATGCACTTCGGGGTGACCCACAGCTCGTACGATCCCGTGTCTATCGAGACCATGACCTTCTGAGGCGGCGTGCCGATGTATACTGGTTGCCATCAACGAATGTCAGCTCACATGCAAAGGGTATCGTCTCGCTATCGGGAGCGAGTGGAGACGCACTCTCGATCATATAGGTCAGGCCCTGGTAGTCATCCAGATGGCTCCATCCCCAGTCGCGCCTGGCGTTACCAGTATGTTCAGGCTTTCTCATCCTATCCGGCCGTCGCCTCGGCTTGGTGTCATTGAACCTGTGCCGATGCACGGGCATCCGCACAAAGCCATCGCCCCAAGTTTTAGAACCCTCGATACGCAATGGGCGAATGCGTGGCGTTCGTAGGTTTGGATCTTCATCGAATCTTAGGTCACTGATGGCTGTGGCCGAGCCTAGGACAGCCAAAGTCAACAATAACCCGGAAATCCAGCAGCTTCTCGTCAGCATTATTGTCGAGCCGTTCGGTATGGAGATCAGGTGGACGCGAGCAGAGGAAGAAAACAGCCAGCACGAGTAATTATGCGTTATAATCGCTGCGGCATGTTGCCAGTAGTCGTATCGGCAGTTCACCCAGCAATGTAGTCAGGAAGCTTAACGGTCCTGAAACCTTTCGTGCACTGCACCTTTGAAGACCTTTGATTCACAGCAGCCTTTGGGGCACTGATGCAGAGAAAATAAGAAGAGGACCAACATCCAACAATTTGCCGTTGCACAAAAGAACGAGCTACATTCCAAGTCTTGCCCTTTGACCATTCCCTATCGAGCACGCGGGAGGGTGTATTGCCTTGCTCTCTTGGCGCATCCACGGAAAGCGGATGGCAAACATCGTGCATAACCGCCAGCCCCAGACTGAAAGGAACCGACTCCCGCATCAGCTAAGGCCATCTGTGTTTGCGCGTCTGGAGAAAAAGAGGAGAACTTTACCCGTTCTTTGGAGACGGGGTTAATAAACTTGAGATCGTTAGTTGATAGCCCTTTGCGGCTAAATGTCGATGGACTCACGCCAGTGGTGGACTCATGTCCCTGCCGCTGATCGGCACGCTTCCAACGGCGGTACTTGTCGTGCCGTATACTAAATCGTGTTATTAATGTACCGCGTATCGGATATCACTACCACCAGTTCAGGTTGCCGTCTGATGATGCGGTATCAAGCTTGCCAACTTAACGACAGCTCCTCTGATTCATACCCACAAAGTACATGATCAGTAGTTGGAATTTGATACTCTTGCAGTAGATCTGACATTCTCCATGCTATAAATACTAATATGTTCCCATGTTTCCCATATCTCATCACAGACTACGTAGTTTCTTTGGTTGCCTCCATCAGCTACATCGCCACGTTCCATGTCATTAGTTCTGCCACAGTAGGGCTCCAGTACGTCGTTTGAAAGCGAGCGTTGTGTTCCAGGCCATGAGGGTATGGCCAGCCGAATATTAACATCGGTTCGGGCCAATGAAACACGGCACAGTCTATCATCATCTGGACACCGCTGAAGCCAGTATCGCGCCTCCACGGCACGCGAGCGGTCCCAAAGCACTGTTCCCTCCACTCCCGTCCGAGATGCACCCATGGACTGCCTGCAATATCGGTGATGGATTTGACTTCCAACCCTAGTTCGTCTGCCATTGCACTAGAGACAATGCTCGTTTTCATAAGGGGATCAACCCGAGCGGTAACATTCCTGGGAACCTGCCGCGGTAGAACAACGAAGCCTTTGACAACCTGCAAACCAGCTAGTTGATGAAGGGGAAGTGTCAACAGCGAAGCGGTGTCCGTCACTGCGACGTAGCTGACATTGCTTCGGGTCGATTCGGAAGACATGGACCGCCAAGTACGTGCAGGCGCAATTCTTCGGTGTCGCTGATCCGAGATATCCGACGGAGTGGTCAGGTGGGTTGAAGCTGTCGATGCTGTTGAACTTGCCACTGCAGCTTTCTTGAGCGGTGGGGATGGAGGTCTCTTGCCGCTCGATACCGATTCGTTGTCGGAGCTTGGAGGAGGTATCAGAGGTTGACCGCCAGGGAGTGTCTCATCTTTGACAACACTACGTGCCAGGTCCACCAGGGCAGCTTGACTGACACGAATATCTCTGGCTCCGGACTGCTGGGCGAGTGTTGATATCAGGGTATCAATATGCCTGTCTCGCGTGTCGATCTTCCGCTGTAAGTCCTCCATAGCTCTTGTCTGCATGGTGATGACTTCTTTGAGCGCCGTCCTGTTGAGCTTCAATGTTAGACCGATTCACAGGTACGCCCCAGAAGGCAACTTACAGGTCACTTTGCAGCCGCTCTCGCTCAGCTGTAGCATCTGCTGGCAGCCTAGTCAGGCTCAGAGCTGCCAGTTCGACCTGAACTGTGCTGAGAATCACCGAGATGCTACTCTTAATCTTCTCCATCTCCGGCGAGAGTTCGAGGATCGACTTCTTGTGAAACGTCCATTTGGCGACAGCTAGGATGCGCGTGTTGCTATTGATTTCTGCTACCCGCCTTCGAGCGTCCCGCACGTGTCGCTTCACGATATCGGACTCCCGCGATATGCCATCCAGAATACTATTGTCTGCAATGTATGCCAAGATCGGAGATTCGTCGTGCTCCGAGCAATGGTGGCGCAGCGACGTCTGTGCGAGGAGCACCAGGGAAGAGAACGATCTAACTTCCAGACCGAACTGTTCAATTTCTTCGAAAGTCGTTCCTATCTGGCGAGACAGACTGCTCAATACCCTGGCGAACTTGATGCCGTAGTCCGCGAGTTGGATGATGCCGGCCAGGCTGGCAGTTAGGGCGATGACCTCGGCCATCTCAAAATTGCATTCTCGTCTCCGGGACGAAGTGTGACCTGACAACCGCAAAATTGCCGGCCGTGAGGATGAGTCCAGGAGTAAAGTTTGCAAAGGGACTACGATGAGGAGACTCAGCCTTGTCCAGCAGATGAACTGATGGCGGTTCAAGCGGCCTCTGTCAGCATGCATGCAGGTGTGTGTGGCTCGAGCTGGTGAATGGTCAAATGCACCAGCAAAGCTCTGCCATGCATGCAAGAGATGCGTCAGAAAGCTCGTCTGCGATTCGAGGATGATTTGGCTGGCGGGGCGGTGCAGCTCCCTCTGAAGCTCCAAGGCGCAGCAGGCATCAGATATCCTGGCATGCCCAAGATGCCTGGCGAATGAACGTTGAGACTCAAAATCAACCATTAATGCAGCGGTCGATACCTGTAATTCTCATCTATGGTAGGCACGAAGACAGTGTGGAAGCACTTGATATTTGTTATTCGTTTCATTACAATACAAAAACATTTTTTTCGGCCGGCCGTGTCCAGACTACCACACCATGGAACCTGCTGTTTCGATGTCTGCAAACAACCAATTCATCGGGTCGCTGTTCATCTCTGGATCGATCTCCATTCCGGGCATCTACATCAGTCACGTCAGCTTTTCAAAAACTTTCAACCAGGACGGAAATGTGAGCACTCACCATAAAATCCCAGTTGTCCATCGTCCCCCCCGGCGTCTCCATAGCCAACGGATCGGCGATGCCGTCAGGCCCGAGTCCCGCGCTGCCGCCTGCCGGCCGCGCCTTGATCGCCGCGGCCCTCTCCTCCAGCAGCGGCAGGCACCGCGCGATCGACTCCTCGGCGGCGCACAGTATGCGCTGCGGCAGCTCCTCCCTCCCGCGCCCGTCGAGGTAGCACCGCACGGGCTCGGACGCGATGCACATGACCATGTACCCCTTGACGCTCGTGTCGCCGGCCTCGACGCCGCGGAAGAAGAAGTCGCGCGCGCAGGCGAGCATGTCCAGCAGGTCCGGGCGCAGCGTCACGGGGCCCAGGCTCTCGCCCTCCCGGACCTGCGCCGCGAGCTCGGCCGCCACGGCGATGGCGCACTGGTGGAAGATGGTGCGGAAGAAGCCCGAGGCGCAGACGGTCAGGCGCCTGAGGAGGTCGAAGGACCGCCCCTTGTTTGCCTCCCGGGCTGCTGCCGCCGTTTCTGGCCCGCCAAAGCTGGCTCTCGAGCTGTCGGGAAAGACGGCGCGCCACGCCTTGACCGATGCGTCGATGAGCGCCGTTCTCGTATATGCGAACGTGCTGCTCTGCAGTGCGAGGTTGTAGTAGGGAAAGTGCAGCGCCATAAGGTACCGGTTCATGAGGAGGTCCAGTACCCGGACTGTGCAGAGGCCGTTCTCCGAACTGGCCGGTGGCTGAACTGCCTTTCGAAGTGTTTTGTACGCCTCCCTCAGCTCGGCATCGAGTTTTAGAGACTCTTCGTAACTATTCTGGGACCCTGTGTTGTTCAGGTATTTGAGGATCCCGAGACGAAGAGGGAAGGACTTCCGCAGTGCGATGGCAGCAGATGTGTCTGTCAGCACATCGCTGGGTTTGGGGGTGGGGTCATCTTCAAGGAGCTGTTCGTCGTCATAATTTCCAGGAGGATCAGTATCGAAGTCCTCCACAGAGATCAAAGGAGGCCCGCCCGAGGTCATGCTGGTTCCGAGAACCAGTTCCAGTATGGTATTGAAGATCCTGCGACGCATCTCGGCGTTGAGAACGCCACGCTTCAACAGCCGCGCCGGATCTCGATGCAGACCCATGTAGAGGGCCGTCCTGAGCAAGGATCCTATACCGATCCACGTCAACGCTCCATCCACCCCAACCATCTCCTGGGCGAGTATCTGCAGAATCTCGGTCTGGAGCGTCTGTAGCTTGAGTCGATGTTTCATGTGCGGAGCAGATCGCCATGTCTGCGCCTCGTAGACCCAGCGAATAGCAGAGGTCCTCATCGAGAAGTTGTCATCATAGGTGGTGGCGCCGATAGCCAGCACGAGGTTGAGCTGCACCATGAAGTCCTTGTCGCGTTCCGCACCCGACACCCACACAGCTTCGTACATCTTCCGGAATGTGGGGATGTGGAGGATCCTGTACTGTATCTCGATGGTCCGCATGTAGTTGTCAACTAGCTCATCTGCTACCTCTTTGGGAGGTAGGTCCGTCGTCGGGATAGCCGGCCATAACGGCGTCCGGTCCTTCTTGATGATCCTTGCCAGAACTTTACACTTCTGTACCATGTCCGCTGCCTTGAGCTCTCCCGTATAGAGATGAGGCTCGAGCATCTCGATGATCTCCCGGAGCTAGTTGGAGTTGTCAGTCGATGGCGAGTAGAAAGAGCATTGGCCGATGTTACTTACCAGAATGATACTGCTCATCCAGTGCGTCTGGCCAAAGAGACGCCGCTTGTGCACTATGCCATAGGTTGTTGTCTTGACCTGGCCAAACAGCTGGCTAGCGCGCACAACTACATCTCCTGAAAGCGTGTGGAGGATACCTCCGACAGCTGAATTCAGAAGGAGTTGTGGCTCCCTGACAGGCGTCCGGGGTCCCGGTGGCTTCAATGCCGCCAGCTGCTCTTCTAGTTGCTTGATCTTGTTTTGAAGGTCCTGAGGCGAGGGATGGCCAACCAAGGTTGATGCACCCGCTGAGGACTCCCCTGCCAATGAGGCCGTGGCCTTCTTTGAGGCAGCTAATAGGTTGGCCGGGCTGGCAGTATCTTCCTGTGATGATAGCAGAAAGTGGCCACTCAATAGAGATGGGGGTTCTATCTCTCCTTCTCCTTCTTCCTCTTGTTGTTGCACGTCCTGCGCGCTGGAGGTCTCTTCAGTAGCTGGCCTGTGGTGACCCAATGGAGGGTAGCTCTCGTAGTTGCAAGTCCCGCTCTTGGACCGCATGCAGTTACTACAAGGGAATTCCCTGTTGCAGCGGATCTTCCGTTTCCTGCACAGGGTACACGAACTGCAATGTGGTTAGCAACTGCCAATTATCCCCGGCGTTGATGGCCATCAGCTTACACAGCCGGTCTTCTGCGGCGGCGGGTCTCGGGCTCGGGCATGGCGCTCCTGGTTTGTAGGATGATGTAACTGCAGGTAGTAAGTAGTCCGTAGTGATCGACTTGTATGGGCCATATTGTAAGCCAAGCATGTAGCTCCGATGGGTGTTAATTGGGACGGGCAAGGGAGATGGCCGATTTAAGAGTCGGAGATGTTGGGTCCGATTTCGTGTCAGAAGTCGGCATTTGCGTCTTTGGCCGAAAGCGCCCGCCATAAACCTAGCGCATAGGCTGGATCGAAACTCGTCCTAGCAGATACTACATCACATCCGCCCCATTAGCACAGTTTAATCGGCGGATTACCTAGTACTCTGTGCTAGGGGCTTTTCTGGGCTTTCATCACAGACTTCCGGCCGAGAACTCGGGCTTGGCCGACCCCGAGTCGGGTTCGGTCTTCCGCCGTCTTACATGAGCGTCCTACGCCGGGAATACAATTCACGGAGCGAAAACATTATGTTGCTGTTAGAGGAAATATTACATATTTAATAGAAGTAAACACTCCTTTTACCGTCGTCTTCAATGACTGTTGATCCAAGCAAGATCAAGCATTGAAAGCTGCGTACCGGCCAGGTCCAACAACAAGTACGACACCCACCCAACAACAAAACAATCAAAAATGACGGGCTCTACAAGCGGTACGGATGTGGATGAGGCTATCCGCAAAGAAGAGCATCAGGGCCAAGACCCCGAGCTCGCCAACACCGGCGAGATCAAGCGCGAACCGACACTCGAAGATGCACCCGACGGGGGCATCAAGGCGTGGTGTGTGGTGGCTGGCACCTCGTTCATCTTCTTCAGTGTCCTCGGCTTCTCCAATTCGTTTGGTGTTTTTTTGGAGTACTACCTCAAGCACCAGCTTGCCCACAAGTCGCCCGACGACATCGCCTGGATTGGCTCGCTAGGTGTCTTTCTCCAGCTGTTCCTGGGTGTCATTTCAGGACCCTTGTTTGATCGCTTTGGCTCGATTGTAAGTCGACTTGCTTTTGCACAAGCCTTGTTCAGCGCCTTACCTTGGGTTTCCTTGCAGATCATTCGCGCCGCCATTGTTCTCTATCTATTCGCCCTCATGATGATCAGTCTCTGCGAGACATACTGGCAGTTCATGCTCGCCCAGGGCGTGCTTCTCGGCATATGTCAAGGGTTCCTGACCATCCCCGGCCTCGCAGCCGCCTCGCAATACTTTGACAAGAAACGAGCAGCGGCGCTGGGCCTTGCGGTAGCTGGCTCCTCTATCGGCGGCGTAATCTTTCCACTCGCGCTGTCCCGGATGCTCAACAGCTCGTCACTGGGCTTCGGATGGTCCGTCCGTGTAGTGGGCTTCATCAACATGCCCTTGCTCCTCTTCTCCGCCCTCGCCGTCACCCCGCGGGTGCCGCCCCGCAAGTCCACCTTCTTCATACTCTCCGCGTTCAAGGATCCGACGTACGTGCTTCTTATCGCCGGTCTGTTCCTGGGCTTCTTTGGCATGTTCATGCCTCTCTTCTACATGCCCACCTACGCCGTGTCCAAAGGCATGAACCCTACGCTGGCGTCGTACCTCTTGGCTATCCTCAACGCCGCCTCGACGTTTGGGCGTGTCATCCCTGGCGTGCTGGCCGACAAGCTCGGCAAGCTAAACATGTTTGCGGCGGCGGCTACCTGTACGGGAATCATCGCCTTCTGCTTCACAAAGGTGGACACCAACGCCGGATTGATCGTCTACTCCGTCATCATCGGCTTCACGTCTGGGGGCATCGTCTCCGGGGCAGCGGCCGCGTTCACTCTGTGTCTGCAGGACCCGCGCCAGCTGGGCACGTACATGGGCATGGCGATGTCTTTAGCGTCGTTCGCTGCGTTGATCGGCGGCCCCGTCAATGGTGCTTTCCTCAAGGGTTATGGCGGCTTCTGGGAGATGTCGATTTTCACCGCCATCATGTCCATTGCGGGTGGCTTGGTTACACTCTGTGGAAAGTTCTTCAGGCCTGAGGGAATCCTGGGCAAAGTTTAAATGAATTGTGAACAATTCGAAGGGCTTACAAACTTTACTTTGTATTATCACATGTCAACGATAGACTAGAACGAGGGCAGGCCAAACCATGGGAGAACACCAAAAGGAACTGTTCATTGCATACAAAGGACATGTCACTACTTAAATCTCCTCATGATCTCATAATACACTTGAAATGTAAAAATTCTGGTCCTACATGATCTTACTGTTGCATGGCATGCAGCCCCACCGATATCGCACTGGTTGCGAAGGGCGCGAACGATCCCCTTAGCCTTCGTTAGTAGGTGACTCATGGTCAATCAACATTGGCGGACACAACAAACGCCGGTTCTCGATCTCTGAATCTCTCGGACGAGACTCGGACTTTTCAGCATAGCTTGCTACCTTTCTGTGTTTAAATCCCCCTTCTCATCATGTCCTCCCAAAACCGGCCAGTCGGCGACGAGGTCGCGACAACCCCGGCAAAGCGTCCGGCCCGAATCACCGTCTCAGGCCGCCATGTCTCCCTCACGCCCCTCTTGCCAGAGCACGCAACAGCACTGTTCGCCCATGTTGGAGGCGCTGAGAATGGATGGCTGTGGGATTACATGGGCGACGGGCCGTTCCTGGACCTAGGCACCTTCCGCGACTCCATCGCGCAAAAGGCCAGGTCGGAAGACCCCTTCTTCTTCGCCATCGTGGACAACAGCGGCACGCAGGACGTGGTCGGCTACGCGACGCTCATGCGCATCGACGCGGCGAACCGGGCCGTGGAGGTCGGCAACATCATGTTCTCGCCCCGGCTGCAGAGGACCCCCGGCGCGACCGAGGTCATGTACCTCCTCGCGCGCATGGTGTTTGAGGATCTCGGGTACCGCCGGTACGAGTGGAAGTGCAACGCGCTCAACGCGCCGTCGCGCCGCGCGGCCGAGAGGCTGGGCTTCACGTTCGAGGGCGTCTTCCGCAAGCACATGGTCGTCAAGGGCCGCAACCGGGACACGGCGTGGTTCTCCATGCTCGATGACGAGTGGCCGGCCATCAAGGCCGGCTTCGAGGCCTGGCTCGCGCCGGAGAACTTTGACAAGGACGGCAAGCAGAAGCGTGGTTTAGCAGAGATCCGGCAAAGTTGAGGTCATTCCTCGCAGCATGCTAAACTAAGAGAAGGGAGATGGGGACCTTCGTCTTTGTCTACAGCTAGAGATATAGAGCACTCATGTAATTAGACGAAGATACAGAAGAGTACGGCAACAGCGTTAACGCGAACGAGTGTGTCATAAAGAAACAGACCAAAGGCTGGCTGTGTGGCCCAGAAAGACATTGACACATAACGAATAATCAACCGATATCCAGAGAAAGCCTTCCTTCGTCCCTCTCGAGTCATCAACCCCAAGCAATTACCGGTCTCCAACGCAGTCATGCCAACTAGTCACTGTCCTCCTCATCGACCTTCTTGGCCGGCTTCGGCGCCGGAGGATACTTGGCACCCTTACCGGCCTCGGTTCCCCAGCCGCCGTAGCCGCCGGCAGCGGCCGCGCCGCCGAGGCCCGACGCCGCGCCCATGTCGATCTTGCCCGCGACCTGGTTGCCGGCGACGTTGGGGCGGTCGGCGGCCCAGGTGTTGAGCTCGTCGCGCGACTTGCCGGTGTACTTGAGGATGTCCTCGTCCGAGGGGCCCGGGCCGCGCTTCTTCTCTTGGTACTTTTGGTAGGTCGACTTCTTGCCGCCTTCTTCGGTCGAGGTGTTGGAGCCCATCGCTGCGAGGCTGTGTGTGATGTATGGTCTCTGAGATCAAGACTTTTTGATCGATCAGCTTGGATTGGTATCCCCGAGAGTCTGGGTGTGAAGGTGAAGGTGAGAGTGACTTTTAATATTCCTAGAAGCGATGAAGCAACAAAGGCTGAAAAACAAGGGCTCGAGGTTCAGCTGAACCCACCGGCGCGGGCGTCATTCCGCTATTTAAGCTTCCTCCTCTCTCGTGTCGGCCATGTTATATAATCGCCCGCAAAAAGAACGGACCTAGGATCGTCGGGGAAGGGTTCTAGAAGGGATGCCCCGAACTCCGCCTCTTTAGCACGCCTCGTGCTAACGCTCTCCCTCGTCGGGCGCTCGGGAGACGTCATTGCAAAAGGGCGTACTGAAATGACAGCTAACGAGTGTTAGGCCCCGTGGCTAAGCAAGTGTGTCCAGTCCTTGTGATCGCGAGTCGCTTGTTAGTCTGCTTGTCGAGTCGGTCGCCGCATTCAGCATAGCCACCTTTTCCAGCTTGTCTCAGTGGACAGCCGCAACACACTGCCCTGCTGGCCATGGCTGGGTGGGCGAAGCCAGCCGAACCTCGCAGGGCCGGTGTCGCAATCGACGCCGATATTCCGTCTCTGGACTTTGCTTTTTCTCGTGGATCTCTCTCTCTCTCGTTCCTGGGCTAGCTTTGCATCTTCGCTATGAAACGAAGCTTCTCCATGGGATGCCAATTAACTGGGGCAAGCTTGATCTGCATGGCAAAGCAGTGGCGGGCATCCACCCGATTGCTCTCCGATGTTCCCTCCACCAGCTCCCAAAGGGGTGGACATTGAAAGCCGCAGCCGCAAACACCACAAAGTCATAGATGCCGCCTCGCCCCGGCCTCAACGCGGCATTTATCAGTCGCTTATCGTGGGACTTTCGCACTATTGCGAATGCATGATGCAAGGCGCACGGGTGACAATATATTGGCTTTCGCCAACACCCGCCAATAGGGAACTCGGACCCGACGTTCCGTGTGCTGGCCGTGCATACAGATAGCCAACATGTCGTGAGCCCACGTGTATTGGCAAAATGCGGTTTTCTGCAAGTGCTTATCTTTTCCTCGCCGCTTGCCCTTCTTCGCTCGAGACTAGGTTTCTCATGAAGAACAAAGGCTGTTGCTACAGACCAGCCCGGTCGCCATGAGCAAACACCTCCATCCTCCCGAGCCCAGAGATGCGGCCCTCTACTACGTGTCAAAACCTGTCTTCTGGGCCATAGCACTACTTCTGTCAGTTTGGTGGGCTATTAGACCGTTGCCCTTGAAGCGGAAGCGACCTCGGTCTCTCGAAGCTCAAGACTCTATCAGTTTTGACGGCATCACATCGAATCCCACCAAGGGTCTATGTCCTCCGGGATATGTCCGAGAGCACGCCATTGCAGCTGTTCACGCGATAATACTTGCGCTGCACGCTATCGAAGCATACTGGCTCGGCACTACCCTAATCCGGTCGCTTGGTGCGATTCTTGTCTGGGGGCCATCATTGCGGCATGCCCCGACCTCACTGGTTGGGTTCTACGCTGGTCTTGTCATGTTATTCTCGATGATCAGCCTGTCCAGCTTGATCGTGGTTGTGCTCAGTTCTGTGTTTCAGACAAAATCCTTGTATGATAAGATTAGAAAACTGATTAACGCTCAACGTCTAAGAGTCTTTGACAGAAGTGGACCAAAAGCACTTGAGCCGGATGGTTGCAAATAGAGAGACTAGTACGGTCACAAGATAGTATTACATTATAGAGTTGAAGATAACACGATTCCCTCTAAACTCCGCCTGCAAAACATGGAAACACTTGAGCAGGGCAGTCCTACACTTCTCGAGTCTCCTGTGATTGAGCCATTCGTGTAAGTTCAGACACAGTCTGAACTTGTCAGACTCTGTCCGTGAGTTGAGAATTGTGAAAGGATGCTGGGAAACACCAAGCACGTACATTGAAGCGTGGTAAGTCCGAAGGTTACCAAGCCACAGAAAGCAAAACCTTGATATTGTAATTATGTGCTTGGTAGACCCAGATCGAAACCGGAACCCAAAGGCCGGATCGGATGGCGAGCCTGGTCGGTATGTGTGGGTCAGCCGCACTGGACATCCTCCGCCGACCCCGATTAGCTATCAATGGAGCTCGCGCTCCGACCCCGCGCGCCCCGTGTCGTTCCTTTTCGTGCCCTCCTTCGCCGGGGCGCTGGACCTCGGCTCCCGCACCTCCATTACCATAGACATATCCTACGGCAGCGCGTGGTACTTGCATGGTGAACATCGAGCGGATCGACCCACCAGGTGGTCTATCCAAGTCCGACTTCGCCCAGTACGACGAGATCACCAGGAGGACCCGATACGGGATGGGTTCTCTCTGAGGGAGATCGAATCGGGGAGTTGGCAGTGTGGGAACAAGAGGAGCGTGAAAGTCGGGATGCTGAGTGTGTTGCTGCACATTCGTGCTGCTCTAAGATACCCAAATTCATCATTTCGATCTACCTGCGGTACAGTGGTATCAAAAGAATCATCAAAAGCTCGCATCTAAATCACCCCGTCCCGACCGTCCCGCCCCGTGAGTGAATCAGATATCAAGGCCCCATAAACCATGACCGCCTAAAACCTCATCAATCATCCTCCCAACGGACAAGACCACAGTGGTATCATGCGTAGAAACGACAAACGATCCCCAAAAAGACAGATAAAAGAAAAGATCGCGGTGTCTACCGCCCCCTGTACTCGGGCTTCCTCGCCATGTTCACCGGCGGCGGCTCCTCCTCGTCGTCCAGCGGGTAGGGGAGCCCGCCGCCGCCACTCGGCACCGGCGGCCGGTGCTTATTCGCCAGGGGGGGGCCGGCGCCCATCTGCGTCTCCGGCAAGGGCGTCTTGGGCGGCACCGGCGGCGCTTCTATCCTGTACCCGCCCCCGGCACCGGCGTTCGGTACCGGAGGCGCCTGTTTCGACGGGGGAGGCGGGGGCGGTTGCAGCGGGTGCTCGTCCGGCCCCATGATGGCGATCTTGTCCTGGCCCGAGGCGTTGCGCCACTGCGCTGGCGTGGGCGCCGTGACGAGCAGCCTGTCCTCGTCCAGCCGCGCCGAGGGAGGGCTGCTCGGCCTCGCCGTCTGGGCCAGGCGCGTGGGCGGTGAGCCGCCGCCGCCCGCTGAGATGGGCGGGTGCGGAGGCGGGTGCGGCGGCGGCGCGGGCATCGACACGGGCCGTATCCTCTCGTTGGAGCTGCGCGGCGAGGGCGTGATGGCCGGCGCGTTGAGGTAGTCGGACCCGGAGTCGTACGACTGCCGGCTGGACGGCGTGTTGATGACGGGCAGCGCGGTGGGCATGTCGCCCGGCAGCTCGACGGCGAAGGGCATGGGGATGTCCTCGGTCATGGTCTCCTTGACTTCCGGGACGCCCGACCAGCGGTCCGACGACGACGACGCGTGGCGCACGTTGGCGCGGTGGATCTTGGCCATCTTGGCGGCGGCCGACTGCACGGCCTGGCGCTCGTGCGGGCGCGCGAGGTACTGCTTGGTGCTGGTGCTGATATCGGCGAGGCGGTTCCACTCGTTCATGCCGAACTCGCCGACGCCGACCTCGACGTTGAAGCGGTAGTAGTTCTCGACGTTGACGCCGCGCTTGAGCAGGTGCTCCTTGCGCACGAGCTCGTGCGTCTTCTCGCAGCCCTCGATCTTGGCGATGAGCCGGCGGCGCGCCTCGGCGAACTCGCCCAGGAAGCCCTCGTACCACATGGCCTGGTTCGAGTCGCTGCCCTTGGGCCGCTTGCCGGTGCCGACGCTGACGAAGACGCCGACCTCGCGGCCGGGCCACTCATTAACGACGGCCTCGTCGAGGGCCTGGATGGCCGGGTTGAAGTCGCCGCCGCCGTCGTCGTGGAAGACCGACTGCCCTATCTGGATGGGCTTGAAGGCGAGCCCGACCGCTGCCGTCGCCCTCCCTGCCTGCCAGATCTTGCAGTCGAATTCGGGCGGCGGTTCTCTCCTCGAGTCGTAAGATCTGAGGATGGCGGGTTCTCCGCCTTTTGGTGTCCCTTTGTACATGGCCGTTACGGCACTGTGTGGTAAAGTTAGCGTCCGGCTCTGAGGATTCCGAGGGAGATCCGGAAACCTACGTTTTTGTCCTGTTTTCCCTCGAATCGTACAGTCTCGCCTCCGGGTCGCCTCCACCTCTGCCGCCGTATATCGGCCGAGCAAACTGGGTAGCCGGACTCCTTGCGCTGAAGCTCGCGACGCTGGCGTTGCTGGAATGCCTCCTGGGGCTCGACCCGGCCGCGCTCGACCTCGCAGCCGCGCTGAGCGGGTTGACGGCCTGGGTGCCGTCGTTGCCCTCGTCGCCGTCGCGCGTGTGCTCCCTGACGGCCTCCTTGATCGCCTGCTCGAGCAGCGAGGCCTTGAAGAGGGTCGGGCGGGTCGGGATGCCGAGGAAGGTCTTGTCGGTCTGGAAGACCATGCGCGTCATGGTGACGTAGAGCTCCTTGCAGGTCTCGAGGTCGAGGCGCAGGCGGCCGAGCATGAGGGCGATGAGGCCGCCGGTGCCGGTGCCGAGGATGAGGTCGAAGTGGTCGGCGGGCTTGGGGATCTCGCTGCGGCGCGGGGCGCGGCCCTCGATCTCGACAAAGGTGCGGTGCATGATCTCCTGCAGGATGATGAATATGCTGTAGCCTCGGACCCCTCCGCCATCTATGCGGTGCGCGCGACAAGACGCCGGCTGTTAGCGACCGTGATCTCTCGTGACAATGTGTGTAGAGCGTCTGGGCACCGCCGTGGTACGCACGCGGGGTTGCTCGGGCTGACGGGGTGCTGACATACCTAGCGATAAAATGCGAAGGGGCGGACCTTTGGTGGTGTCCTTGCGCCTCAACCCGTTGGCGTCCATGGTGCCGTGGGTTGGGAAGCGCTCTTCTTTCGTGATGTGTTGTTGCTTGCAGAGGGAAGAGAAGAAATTCGACGCAAGTATCCGTTAATTATTGTTGAACAAGAAAAACAGAGGGGCCGTGTCGAGCAACCAGTAGCTCAGGACACGATGACTACCGGCTGTAGTAAGCCGGAAAGACGGCGGCGCAGGAATAATAGTGACGCACTGCCCGCCGCGAGTCCCAGTAACTTGTGCAAGTAGAAAGCGTGGGCCTGAGGGGGAGACGGAAGAGGGGGCAGATCGACAATAACAACAACGGACAGGCCCGCCGCCACAGGACACAAGCAGGGATCACGAGAGACGCGAGGGGTGGACTTGGCAGTTGACTGGATGACAGGAGGGCGACTAGTCCAGGGCCAAGAGGCCTCAACGGGGTTAGAGATGATCTCGATGCAGCTGAAGGACCACGTCAGGCACAGGGCCAAGCAAGAGGGCCTCCGTGGGCCTGTATTCGCCTCTCTGGACGTGGGGATGGGTGCGAATCGTTCCTTGAAATGGAGCAGTTCTTGGCTCCCTCGTGGCGATTGCACACATAAACGTAGTACTTGTAGTTAGATCTGGGGCCGGGTTTGGGTTGTTTTTAGAACAGAATAACTAGGCAGGTAAGGTAAGGCATGGAAAAAGAGAAGAATGGGATTCTGGTCCTTGGTCAGTGAGGTAAACTGTCTTGTCCTTTTGGTGCTGCCTGATTTCCAATGGCGAGCGGGCCAGGCAGGCGGGGGCGAGGAAGGAGACTGTCAATGACCTTCCAAGGTTCTCTTCCACTGGCCTGGCTTAATATCGTGTGTGGTGGCAGTGCTGCCTCTTGCTCACTCTCTTGCTGACAAGGACAATTCCTCACGCCAAGCACCGCTTTCCCGCTGTGCGTATGCTCCCTGTCTTTCTCTTTATTGATCTCGTATTATATCGAGTCTTTGATCCCTCGGGTAAAAAACCACCCCGCCGTCATTACGACATCCTCATGAGGGCATCGAATCAACACGAGCGCCAGGCGGCCCCCAGGGCAGCACCCGAGACACGAGCTAACGGGAACGAGGGTGTCGCCGTGGCTCGGGATTACACTTCCCAAGTGCCTTCTCCGGCCTTCCCGCCGCCTGCTTACACCTTTCTTGGGGAGTGCCCTAGACCCTAGATCCGCGCTCCCTCGTACATTTCACACCCTTTTGCTCGCCCGGCATATGCAACCATCGATGCCGGAACATCGAACGGGTGCTTACCATTGTCGAGTAGCCCAGTCGTTCGGTCTGCCTTATTATCAGCCTTAAGACGGCACCAATGCAGCTTGCCTGCTGCTGTACATGAGCTCTAATGTAGGTCCCTCCCTGGCACGTACGTATGCGAAACACCTCCCGCAATCCTATCCAGGCCGTCGGGTTTTATTCAAACTTGTTTTTCTCCACCACCGAACAGGTATTACGTGTTGGCCGAGAACGATTTAATGCGGATCTGGGAATTCCCCATCATCTTGGGTTCGACGTCTTGTATTTCCGGTTTCCTCCATTGCCGGACATCAGCCACACAAATGGTTGACGTTTGGCTGTGGCTCGGCACGTTTGGATCGCCCATGACGTACCACGCGTGGGCTTGGCTTGTAGAATGCTTGGCCATGCCTGAATGTTTTCTCTATTGAAGCCGGAGCTGCACTAGGTACCTTAGGAATGATCATGAGCCCTCCGCGCGGGCTTCAAAGTGAGGTTGGTGTAAAAAAAGATTGAACCTGACGACAGGGAGGGGAGGCGAATTGAACCATGGAGTCGCTGCTCGGATCCATATCACCACCTGCAGTGAGTTACAGCTCTGAGTAGAGGGCCATACAGACCTGTAGCACCTGAATGTACCACGCGGGCGCTGGACTTGGGCCCTAAAAACTCCACTAAACGCGCCTTTAGCGATACAAAACAGCCCGTCTACCCAACCTCGCCAACCAAACGACCACCTGCAAAGCGACGGATCCCCGGATCCATGTCCGTCCACCCTTCCCGACCCACACACCAAAAATCACAAACCAGCCAACACCATCAGCAGGAAGAGCAGCGGCGGCCCCCCCCAACACACCAAGACACGCCGCCCACACATCCCGGTCTAGCCTTCCAACCCCCCCAGTCAAGTTCTAGCGAATCTGAGAGGGCAGGCGGTGGAGAACGCCGTGCCGCTACGACTCGCTCGTTCACGATGGAACCCGCGACCGTTGTCTTTGACGATCAAGGCGACCTTCTCATCGTCGACGCCGATGCCGCGATACTTGCTTCCCGCCCCCGTACTAAAAAGTCCGTTCGCCGTCAGATCCTCGAGTGCAGCAGCAGGCCAAAACCCCCCAGAATTCCCGGCAACGAGGAGTGGCCACCGATACCTATCGCGCCTCGCCGGAAAAGGACCCACAAGCCGCCACAGCAGCAGCAGCAGGACCAGCAACAACAGCCCCAGCTCCAGCAACAACAGCAGCAGCAGGAGCTCGACAACGACGTCCCCCTCCCTCCAGGCCTTGTGCTGCCCATTGTCAACCCGCCTTTTATCGCTAGAGCGCTCCAGCTGCCCCGTCATCATCAACAGCGTCAGCAGCTGCAGCAGATACAGCTGCAGCAGCAAACACAGCCAATACAGATGAACGGGCTCAACGGCGGTGGCATGCCCGGCCAGCCGGGAGGCCAGATGCCCGGCGGCGGCGCCGGCCCGCTGGTCGGCCTGCCCACGCCCGCCGGCCACCAGGCCGAGCTCAACTACATCCACGCCATGGTCGAGGAGCTGAGCCGCCAGCTCGCCGAGAACAAAAAGGTGCTCGAGGACGTCGTCACGGGCGTCGGCCGCGTCCGCAACCGCGCCCGCGCCCAGGCCGCCAGCAACGAGGAGCTCATCGCCACGGGCGCCGACGAGGTGCTCAACGGTAAGTTCCTTGACCTCATTGCTGCTGTGTAGCGAAACGCGGCGAAAGGCCGGCCGGAAACTGATATGTGAGTCCCCTATGCACAGGCCCGGACAGCAACATGGACGCCATCGTCTCCCTCCTGACCGAGGCCCTCGACAAGGCCAAGTACTCGCGCGACGCCAACGCCGCCCTCCTGCAGCAGTACGCGACGGCCCTGTCGGCCATGCTGCGCCAGTTCCACGAGTACAAGCAGCGGCACGTCGCCGACGTGGCCGCCTGGCACCGCTCCTACCGCGAGCAGCTCGCCGACGCGCGCGACGAGAACTGCCGCCTGCGCAGCCAGATCTGGGAGATGCAGCGGCACGCGGGGCTCGCCAACGAGTCGCTGCGCCGGTTCCGCGGCCGGTACGACGACAGCGAGAGCCGCTGGGAGCGGCGCGTCGACGCCCGCGCCGTGCGACAGGAGCTGCGCTTCTGGAAGCGCATGGCCATGCCCGAGGTCAGCGACGACGACCCCTGCTGGAGCGACGACGACGACCTCGTCGACCCCGTCGAGAAGATGCGGCTCGGCGAGCACGAGAAGAGGATGGCGCAGGAGCAGATGGCCATGGCCGCGGCGGCTGCGGCGGCCGGCGAGAGCGGAGGTGTGTTGGGAGGTGGGGATGGCGCTGCCGGCGCCGGTGACGCTGGTGTGTATGACGAGGAGGAGCAGTCGACGGTGGGCGCGGCGGGCATGGGCGGCGTGGCGATGCAGAGGGACGACGCGGCAGCGGGCGGCATGCCGGTGCTTCCTCCGAGGCCATCGAGTGCCGCGAGTACGGGTTCTTCAGGGCAGTGAGAAAGAGAAAGGATCGGTTTGCTTTCTTGCTTACTTGTTCGACGAGCGTTGATTCAACCAACTTCCTTTTGGGCAGTTTGGCATGGCTATGGCGTAATGAAACAAGGAAAATTAGGATTATGTCTATCTGGCGATGATATATGCCAGGTGTATTACTAGCTAATAGCGACAACACTTGAGAAGAGTACCAGCCCTAGCAGTGCCTGACCAAAGCCTGAGATCCTGACAGGCATGACGACGACGTTGCATGTAGACCGCACCAGCGATGTAGGTACCACCAAGTGACCTATGGTTGGTTCAACGGATTCAAGAGGCTTCTTCTTTCGATGCTTCCGACGGAGACAATTCGTTATCCTAAGCACTGGGTTGAAATTTTCAGATTAAAATTGTCACTCCTATAATGACAGATTCTCATGAAACGCCTAGCCGTTGTCCTGATATCTCCATGTCCTAGCCATAGCAAAATAGATAATACACACTGCCTTCGAGCCAGGCAAGCCCAGACAATTTTTTGTCATTTCTTTTCGTCTGGTCGCATCACATCTCATCTCTCATCGCCACGACCACCGCCATCAACAAAACATTATCCATTCACCCTCTCACAAATTTAATACCCGCTCTGCTCCCTTCTGTTATCGTCCCCGCCCTTGGACGCCGCCTCCCCGGCCTCGCGGATGGCCTCCGAGTCGCCGCGGAGCTTGGCAAAGTACTCCTTGACGTCCTCGGCCGAGATGGCCCGCCCGCTCTCGGCGAACTGCTGGAAGAAGGGCTTGAGCTGCTCCTTGAGGTGGTTGTACGCCATGACGCCCTCGATCGCGCGCACGCGGTCCACGTTGCGCAGCGCGCTCTCGCCCCGCTCGAGCAGGGACCCGCTGCCGTGCGTCGAGGCGGCGTCGCCGTTGCCCCCTCCGTCCTCGGAGACGGGCGGCTCGTACGTCTCCTCTTCCTCCAGGAGCTGCGGGTGCGGCGCCAGGAGGGGGAAGCACGACGGGCAGCGGCAGAGGGCGTCGCGGAACGTCGGGGTCATGAAGAGGGAGACCGTGCCGATTGGGGCGGCGGGGAGGGAGTCGAGCTTACAGACGGGCTTGGTGTCGGCTGTGGACTCCGCGTCAGCATCGGTCGACGAGGCCGGAGCGTCCGCGGCTGCTGCTGCTGCTGCTGGTGCTGGTGCGCCGTCCTGACTCTCGCCCTTGACTCTCTTGGAGTCTTGGGATTCTGTGTCCTCGTCATCTACCTTGCGTTTCTTTGACAACGTTTCCTCGACGGCGGGCTGCTGCTCCTTGGTACCTCCGTCTTTGAAATAGACCGGAGGTAGAAATCCTGAGGTTCCAGCATAGCGCTTGATCCACGGGTTCGCCTCAACGCACTTATAGCATAGGAAGGCCTCGAAATCGTCCTCGCCCGGGAATCCCGGTGGCATGGGCGGGTCGTCATCCTCCTCTTCCTCCTGGGTCTTTTTGGCCTGTTCGGCTCCCTCCGTCTGTGCTGGCTTGGGCGGCTGCTCCTCTGCATCCTCTGAGATGGTAGGCAGGCTCTTGTCGCCAGCCTGGCCGTCGGCAGTAACCTTTGCAGCCTTCTCTTCCTTCTTGGGCTTCTCCATGCTCTCCCACCACTTCGGGCCCATCCCCACCACACACCCGGGATGCCACCAGTCCTCGCCACATCCTCCCGTCTCGGCAGTCCCTAGGCCCAGGCACTGAAACATCGTACCCTTCTGCTCGAAGGGGTCGTAGTCGCACTCGCACCCGCAGAAGCGGTTCCGGAAGTTCTGGTTGTACCTGTTGTTGTCGTCGCGCGGCTCCGAGTGCACGCCGCCCTTGGTGTTGGTCTCGGGGTTGATGCGCAGGCTGCAGGGGCTCGCGGCGGGGAACCGCGTGGTGCCGCAGTCGCAGGTGAAGTTCCTCTTGTTGAAGATCTCGACTAGTGTGTGCTCGCCGTGGCACTGGACGGAGCACGAGTAGCAGACGCCGGCCGCGTCGTAGGGGTCCGAGGGGCTCGCCGGCGGCGGCTTGCAGGTCAGGCAGGCGAAGACACTTTGCCGAAGGGGGCCGAGGGGCCTGGTACAGTTTTCTATGCTCTGGAGGATAGAGGTGTCAGTGGCGCGTCGGCGCGGGCGGGCGCGCAGTATGGCAGATGTGACATACGTATGGCAGAGCCTCACGGGCATCAGCTTCGAGCTGCATCTGGTCGCGGATGAAGCTGTACTCCTGTCAGCATTGAGCTGAAGCTAGAACATCAAATTTGGTCGTCGCATACTCTGCTGCAGTCTGCGAATCGTCCGAGTGCTGCGACGAGCTCCCGCGACGAGTGGTCGATGCGGCTTTCTCCTCCCCGTTCGTCGCGCCATGTTGACCTGTGGGCGAGGCCATCGTGATTGGCCGGGTAGGTTGATGTCGTAGAGCTCGTCTCCGTACTTATGATACACTCCGTCAGATGAATTGAAAGGGTACTGGTGGTCAACTGTAGATGAAGTGAGGGTGAAGGAGCTCTGATAGAATCGCGTCAACAATCGAGATCAAGCTGGAGTGCTATCCTGGATAGGCTATGATGGGTGTATTAGTGACCAAATACAGCTTGGACAGGCCTGGCACCACCCGGAGCGCCCACTAGTGGGGAAAAGCCCGGGCCACTAACGCAAGCACTTTAACGCGCTGTCCCGAGCAGGTTTAGCGCCACTTAAACCAGACGCGTCTGGACGCGAAATTTGGAAACGAGACGCGAAAGCGCCACAATTTCCCTGGATCCCTTTGATCACCCCTCGCCTCCTCTCTGTCCCATATGCCACCGCCCGAAATTCCTGTCTAAAGACATCGACAAACATCCCATTCATCGGCTGCTGTCTGTTTCTCTGCAAATTGATAGATACTGAAGCAATAGTTCCGTGGAGAGATCGCAACCATGAGGTGTGTACAATTGCTCCGTTGACAACCCATACCTTACTCCGACGACTGACTGATACCTCCAACAGTTCCCCTCTTCGTCCAAACATGGACTCGGCCAACCGCGGTGCTCCTGCGAGGGCCAGCCGCAAGCGGTCTCGCGGCGCCATCGATGATGCCACGTCCTCAGTCGGTGCCGCTTCCAGCCCGCCCGGAATTGCCTCCTCCCCGCCGGCTTTCGACATTGCCCACGGCCGGGATGACGACGATGATATTGAGGAGGACATCGAGATCCAAGACGACATTGATGAGCTTGACGAGATGGCCGAGGATGATGTTGATCTGTTCCGCGAAGGATTCGAGCGCGACTACAGGGAGAAGGACGAGAACGACGTCTACGAAGGCATCGACATCGATGACGAGGGAGATTATGACGCCATGGATGCCTCCGAGAGGCGTCGTCTCGAAGCACAGCTCAACCGCAGAGATCGCGAGGTTGCGCGCAGACAACGGATTCCCCAGGCCTTCCTCCCTGGCGAGGACGACGAGGGCGACATCGACCTGACGGCTCAGCCCCGTCGTCGCCGCCACCACTACGATGAAGACCCTGATGAAGACATGGATGCCGACATCATGGACGAGGAGCTGTCTCTGGAGGCACTGCAAGATGTCAAGGCCTCGAGCTTGACCGACTGGGTCTCTCAGCCTGCCGTCCAGCGCACCATCAAGCGCGAGTTCAAGGCCTTCCTGACCGAGTACACCGACGAGAGCGGCTCCTCAGTCTACGGGAACCGCATCCGCACGCTCGGTGAGATCAACGCAGAGTCTCTCGAGGTGTCCTACGATCATCTCTCATCTTCAAAGGCCATCCTTGCTTACTTCCTTGCCAATGCACCGTCCGAGATGCTCAAGCTTTTCGACGATGTTGCCATGGACGTCGTGCTGCTGCATTACCCCGACTACGAGAGAATTCACTCGGAGATCCACGTGCGCATCTTTGATTTGCCCGTCCATTACACCCTCCGCCAGCTCCGACAGTCCCATCTCAACTGCCTCGTCCGTGTCAGCGGTGTCGTCACTCGTCGAACCGGCGTCTTCCCCCAGCTCAAGTATGTCAAGTTTGACTGCACCAAGTGCGGTGTCACGCTCGGCCCCTTCCAGCAAGAGTCCAACGTCGAGGTCAAGATCACCTACTGCCAAAACTGCCAATCTCGCGGTCCCTTCACCCTCAACTCGGGGAAGACGGTGTACCGCAACTACCAGAAGCTCACCCTGCAAGAATCTCCCGGCACCGTCCCTGCTGGTCGTCTGCCTCGGCAGCGAGAAGTCGTTCTCCTGTGGGATCTGATCGACAGGGCCAAGCCAGGTGAGGAGATCGAAGTCACTGGCATCTACAGGAACAACTACGACGCCCAACTCAACAACCGCAACGGCTTCCCGGTCTTTGCCACCATCCTGGAGGCGAACAATGTCGTCAAGTCCCACGATCAGCTTGCTGGCTTCAGGCTGACCGAGGAGGACGAGCACGAGATCCGCAAGCTTGCCCGCGACCCGCAGATTGTCGACAAGATTGTCAACGCGATCGCGCCTAGCATCTACGGCCACACCGACGTCAAGACTGCCGTCGCCCTGTCCCTCTTTGGCGGTGTCGCCAAGACCACCAAGGGCGCGCATCACGTCCGTGGTGACATCAACGTCCTGCTCCTCGGTGACCCAGGTACCGCCAAGTCTCAGGTGCTCAAGTACGTCGAGAAGACGGCTCACCGTGCCGTCTTTGCCACCGGCCAGGGTGCCAGTGCTGTCGGTCTGACGGCTAGTGTCCGTCGTGACCCGCTCACCAGCGAGTGGACACTTGAAGGCGGTGCCCTCGTGCTCGCCGATAAAGGCACCTGCCTGATCGACGAGTTCGACAAGATGAACGACCAGGACCGAACATCTATCCACGAGGCCATGGAGCAGCAGACCATCTCCATCTCCAAAGCCGGTATCGTCACCACACTTCAGGCGCGTTGCGGTATCGTCGCCGCCGCCAACCCCATTGGAGGCCGCTACAATTCGACCATTCCCTTCTCTGCCAATGTCGAGCTGACTGAGCCTATCCTGTCTCGTTTCGATATCCTTTGCGTTGTCCGGGATACTGTCGACCCCTCCGAGGATGAACGACTAGCCCGCTTCATCGTCGGCTCTCACAGCCGCAGCCACCCTTCTTCAACCGCTACGCAAAACGCGGAGGAGTCGATGGAGGTCGAGGCCGAGTCGCAGCGCGCAGAAACTCAGGCGTCATCAACGTCGGCCAAGACCAAGGAGGGAGAGATCCCGCAAGAGCTGCTGCGCAAGTACATCCTGTACGCCCGCGAGCGCTGCACGCCCAAGCTCTACAACATGGACAAGGATAAGGTCGCGCGCCTGTTCGCCGACATGCGTCGCGAGTCCCTCGCCACTGGAGCGTATCCCATCACCGTAAGACAATCCACCATATCTCCATCTATGATTTCGAGCAGTTGTTGACACAGTCCCCCCCTCAGGTCCGTCACTTGGAAGCCATCATCCGCATCTCGGAGGCCTTCTGCAAGATGCGCCTGTCCGAGTACTGCTCCGCCCAGGACATTGACCGCGCCATCGCCGTCACCATCGACAGCTTCGTCGGCAGCCAGAAGGTCAGCTGCAAGAAGGCGCTGGCCCGCGCGTTCGCCAAGTATACGCTGGCGAGGCCCGGTCAGGGTGCCGGCCGCAAGGTTGGCGCCGCCAGGGGTGCCGCCGCTGTGGCTGCGTAGAGCACAAAGAAATTGGGTGGGCTTGTAGCTTGGGACTAGCAATGACGGGTGTTGAAGGCGTTCTTAGGTATTGGATGGGTGTCGTTTCTGATTTGTATCGGGGTATGCACAAATCTTTGAGATACTTTGGGATGGGGCATTTAATGTGTTGCTGGTATGGGTTGCAAGAGGTGAAGGAGGGCCTCCTTTTGTAGACGAGTTATTTGATGAATGATACAACCTTGAGAGCAGTATTTAACAATTGACTGTAGAGTGTGGTACTGCCGCATCTGCCCCTACTATATAATGGTAAATGTCTCTGCTGGACTCGTTCCCTTCTGCCAATCATCAACAGCCTCGCCCTTCATTAGGGAGTGGACATAACACTCGCCAACAAACCGGTAGTTTGATCCATCCGGGCGCAGTATAATAGGAGTCGCTGCTCCAAACAGTACGCACAGAACATCACCAACCTCCATGAAACATGGTCCAAGACCAATCTCCAACAAGGCTTTAGTAAAGAACACCCTCCGTCCCCCAGCAGCATCCAGATGGTGCCGAAAAAGGCTGGTCTCGTCCGCAACATCTGGACGCGGAACGGGGAGGATATTGAGATATGCCTTCTCAATATCTGCCCTTTTTTTGCGGTTCTCTTCCAGATCTGCCTGAGCCAGTGAAATGTCATAGACATTCCACAGGTATGCCCAAAAGTGGCTTAGGGGCTGGTCTGCTATCTGTACCTCGTTATCAAGGTTCCAGTTCGCAGACAGTGTTATCATCACAGTCCGAGCCAGTTCCTCGACCGAGGTACACCGAGCGCCCAGGATCTGATTTGCGATCTTCCACACCTCTAGCAGATCGGAATCGATTCCGTAGGTGTGAATGCCTGACGCTGGTCCATAGATTAAGTTTAGAGCGTCTATCCGAAGTCCCTGCAAAGTTAGGATATCACCTGATCCAAGATGATGGATGTCAAGCGGGACATCACCGGAAGCCTTGTCACTAAGCTCTGTGACGCAATTCAGGCCTTTTGAATCACTGCCCCAAGTAAAGTACGACAGCCGTTCCCAGCGCGCGCCTCCAGCAAAATCGACGACCCAAGATGGAAACTGATCCCAGTTGGGAACATACCGTATCATCGTAAGGATAGTGAGCTTCCCCGAAGATGCTATTATGTGCCGAGTCACATCACGAAAGACGTCTCGAACCGGCCTGCCGTAATCTGCTCGAAATACTGCTGGCAGTGCGTGAGACTCCTGTGCTTCGCCGGTCAAGGCAACGAGAGAGTAGATACGGTCGCGCGGGTCCGAAGCCTTGAACCGGATCGCCTTGTTGAGTAGAGTTGCCGTATCCCACGGTAATCCCACGTGGATTAGCTCGTTGAACAGTTTCAGTGACCTCAGAGTCGGTAAGATGTTTTTCTTAAAAGACAACGGGGTCAGGCCATTACACATAGTGTCAAGCTAGCTGGCCGAGTATCGAGTGGCTTCCCAGGATATCTCATGCGTTCCACAAACTACTCGAGGGCTGGTCCTAGAGAGAGCGGCCTCTTGAATAACCCAGCTTCGGACGAACCATGGACGGATGAGCACGCGTCTAAGAGCCTCCCAAGAGATATCTGCGGGGCGCGGGAGACCTATCGACCGGTACTCGTCCATTGTATACCGGCGACGCTTCCGGCCGCCGTTGGGGCTGAGATCTTGCTTGTAGAGCTGGGATAGTCTATCCATGAGCTGTGCGCCAGCTGCAAGGTTGGGAATGTCGCCCCCAAGCCAAATAATTGTCCCCGCGGATATCTTGTATATATCTCTCATCATGTCGACCTGCGTACCTCGCTCTTGGTCGTCGCTCTGGTTGATGCAGACCTGGTCGATCCACAGCCATTCCACGTCCCCGCGGTCGAGCACGGCCAGGCTCCGTAGAGCTTCTTCCAGCACGAATGTGATCACCATTTCCTTCCCATTGCATTTTATCGGCGAGTCTCTCGTCATAGTCTCCCAGCAATAGCTGAGAGCGTTGTACTCGGGCGCCTCGGAGAGCGGGAACGTCGCGAGTTCGCAATCGGGAGTCGTGCCCGGTGACTTCGACGTTAGACGAAGAAGGCGGAAGGATCCAGGCGGCAAGGGAACATAGCTGTAGGGGAGCGCCATCTTTTGACGTCAACTTTGGCTCACTGTATGAGAGGTCGTTCTGCTTATGGTGGCCTCACGCACAAACGAGTGAGGGGTTTTGCATTGGGCACCAGTGGCTTATGTTTATGTCACATATCATGTGATGTGCAGGTTTCTCATTTCTTCAGCTACAGGAGCTATCTCGATAACACTGATCGCGACGGTTGCACATTCATGAGGTCATTCGCCCGTTCACACTGTCACGGGGGAAAATCGGACTGCTGCTGCCAGGCGACGATAAATGGGAGGACACATACGATGCCAATATCTGGCTCAACTTCAAGCACAGTCTTGTGATTGGAACAAGCGCTACAAACCGCGGCGAGTTCGAGATCTTCAAAGATGCATCCAGGTCAGAGCATCTCGACGCCAACAACAACCTGACAGTACACGACGGCGAGCCAACCGACGGACCTAAAGCCAAGCCTGGACTATGGCGCAAGCACAATGTGCACAACTGGGCTTCGGTTTTCAGCGGCGCCTTCAAGGGCGAGATGAACACGTTGACCAAGATCGGCGAGGAGATGGGCAAAGACGGTGCGCGTCTATTTACCGACGCAGTAGACGAACTCCTCCAGTCCCTCGGCGGCACTGTCATTCTGCCGGTCGGAGACGTCTTCATGTTCAAGGGTCTCAATGCCGATGAAAGTCACAATGTGTTTATAACCATTACGTACGATACGCCCACGGGGGCTGATCTGAGCAAGAGGGAAAACGAGCCAATGTCAAACAGCGGGCAGGCTCTGTCGAAGCCGCAGTGGTTCTTCATGTCAATGATAATTCCATGTCCCACACAGGCTGTATAATCATGCGTCAAGTGAGCGTCAAAGAAGTACAAACCGGCGCGGGTTCAAAGCCGTGGAACTAGGTGTCGTCCACTCTGCTACCGCCTCTCCAGCCATGTAGCCAGGCACATAGCACTCGCCCACAAACTGATATCTCCCACCTCGGCAAGGCCGCAGAACGTATGGGACCGGGCCTCCTAGAATCACACAGACCACGTCACCAGATGCCAGGCATTCAGGGCCCAGGCCCATCTGACATCCCGTGGCGGCGAACAATTTCCTTCCGCGGCATACACTCTCCACAGCCTGATCGTATTGCTTTACATCTCCGGCTGCGATCTGGTTTCCTTGCGACGGAGAATACTGCTGTATCCAGCTTTCAAATGACGCCTGGTGCTTGCTTAAAGCATCCTGTTGCCTGAGGATGGCACCATACCAGTCCTGGCCAGCGGTAAGTGTGAGGCTGAGCCTTGACCGAACATATTTGTTGTCTGGAAAGTGCTGGGCTGTCCAGGTCGCTAGCGCCTGGCGATGATCGGATGTGTAGTTGGCGGGTACCCTAGCCGCTTTTGACAGTATCGGAGGGAGGACCGGCTTTGATGCTATGATTGTTCCGAGAACAAAGCCCTCCAATGTCAGGCTGCGCCCATCGAGCCTCCAAGAGACTTCCAGTAATGGCTTGCCAGACCACCCTGCGGAAGCGTCAAATTTCATACCCTTCCTGTGAGATGACCCGATACTCCGGATGGGCTCAACATGCCATTGGGGGATCCACGTCGGAAAGTTGGGAATGGACTTGTCCGTATGTCGGACAGCAGACAAGATTTCCAGAGGTATCTCATGAGTAGTCGTAACCCAGTGGAAGACGCGCGTGTATAGCCCTTCAAGTAAGAGACGGTAGTCGGGAGTGACAAACTTGCGTCCGGGGCCCGTCTGTTGGCTTGGGATGCCGAGCGTGGCATAGACGCGATCAAGGGGCATTGTGACGTCAAAGTTCCTCGTCAGACGGAGGAGGTCTAAGAACGATAAGGAGTCGGTACGGAACCCGGCAGAAGGTAGCCGGTACATGAGATACGCATTCATGAATCCAGTCTTGGCCCTCCGCGATAACATTGCCGAAGTGAACATCTTCCACAAGCTCGCGTTGTTCCTAATCAGAGTGGTGGCAAGTCCGAGTAGAGTCCAAGACAGCAGCTGGCCGTTCCACTGGACAACCGCAGTGCGAGCTGAAACCACTTCCTGGACCATCCATAGGCGGGTCCAGTAGCAATTCTTGAAAATCTCTGCTATTCTTCCCATTTTGAAGCTGCTGATGACACCATCGTAGATGCTTTCGGGGGACACATGGCCATTGTAAATGGCAACTTCACTCTTCTGAAAGGTCAACCAGGCAGATGTGAGATCCTGGACAACCGAAAAGCAGTCCTGCACATGATCATTTTCCCCTTTGAGATAGATGATCACCCTCGATGCCCGTGTGTAGATCCGCTGCATCATTGACACTTGCTGTTTGCGCTCGGAATAGTCCGCCTGGTTGATGCATAGAGCGTCTGCCCAGAGTATCCTGTCTCTGTGGCGATGTCTCAGATCAAGAAGCATGGAATGGAGACTGCGGCTGATGTAGACCATTCTACCGGACAGCAGCATTGCCTTTCGCGGTTTAGGAGGGCCCCATCGATATGATATCGCTTCGTAGTGTGATTTGGCATCGTTTAAGTTCAATGCCTCCAGGCTGCCGGAAAGAGTGCTATCTCCTCCTCCAGGATGAAGTATGAAGACCCGAATAAATGAAGGACCGGGCAAGGATGTGTATCTGGGTGATGGGGATACTCTCGCTGGGACGCAAGCGCAGCAGCATTCGAAACACCAAATCAACTCTTCTTGCGGCTCCTGGTTATTCTGACGCGTGATGGTGCCGTAGTTGAGGTTCATGTGTTGTACTTGTACGAGAGGTTGGTGGTAGAGTGACATGTCTCTTTTGACCCGTCGTTCAAGAAACTGTATTTTCTGCTCGGCAATTTCCTCTGTCGTCGATCGCAAACCCAACTTTTGTGTCGTCACTGTACCATCTTCACATGTTGCTCCGATAGCTGGCGGAGAGGTTGATAAATCGTCCTCGTGATGACTCTCGGCGGGTTCTTGAAGGGCCATGACTGGATGTGTATCTAAGCCCCAAGGCATATCAGCGTTTTCTTGTATGCGTGAACTAGGAGCGTTGCCTCTCACTGGCACCTCGAATACCTCCACCGTAGCTGTGTACGCTATCGGAGCCCAGATCAACACCGCCATAGAGCCGTCCTGGACATTATTAATGTTTGCCGGGAATTTCGAATCATCTTCAAGAGCACTTACTATCACTGCCACCGTCGGCCCCATCTTGAAAGACGCAGGTTCCAATTTCACCCATTTCGGAATCAGCGGGGACCAGTCCGTCGATGTCATTGTACTGAGATTCCTGCTCCCCAGTGATTCCGCTGGTTTCTTCATCATCGTCAGATGACGAGTCGGAATCCGAGTAGCTGAGCGAGCTATCGTCGCTGTCGCTGTCGCTATCGTCAGACGACGACATGGCGATTATTTAGCTTCGAAATTGTTCGCGACCTTATTTTCTATTCGTGAGGTCACAAAGAGACAGTCTACGCTTCACAGACCTGTTCGTGCTTTTTCAGGGGTAGGAAAAAGTTCAGTTTCGCTTGCCATGAGAGGGGAAATCAGGCATCAATTTGGTGGCGTCGGAGTGGCTTGCATGAAGCTGGCTGTTTCTGGTCTAGCGACAGACTCATGGCCCCGTGCTGGCGAGCAGCTGAGGCAATGCTTTCTCAGTCACAGAAGAATAATGCACATCAGTGGCATTGATGGCTTTTTAGCATGGCCATGTAGTGCTAGGGTATTCTTCTCCTTGCCACAGTACAACAGGTAAACTTGATATTCAGTTTTAGGCTCGGCTTGAGGTCGAATTCGATTTCCAACAGTCTTTTCATAATAAGTCCCTATGTGACGCGAAGCTCGTGGTTCTGTAAAGAACGACAATGTACACCCTACCAATATATCTGTACTTCTCTCCTCCTTCGGCTATCAGTACCATCAAGCTACACATTGCCAGAAGTGGCCCGTTCCCAAAAGGTCATTCCCAGAACGGCATTCTGCCCTTTCAGCTTTGCTCTCTAAACAACCACTTCTCGAATTGTGCTGTAGTCAGAGCCTTCGGTATATCTTCTCTCGTCGTCTTCCACTTCATAGAATACAATCCAAAGCTAAAATGGTCCGGTGGCCTTAATGCAAGGGAATGTGCACGTTGCGTCGAGGGGCTATCTTCACCCTCGCAGATGACCCTCGCTTCATACGCTCTCTCTGCAAATACACTTGCCCGAGCCTGGTCGCCGTGCGCGATACTGATTTGGAAAGCATCGTAATAAAACCTGGCAATGGACGCCCCAGCATATCCGTTGAATTCATCTTTCAAGGCTTGAAGCAACAAACGGCAGTCCTCTAGACTCTTTTCCGGGCTAGTTGCCATGCGGTCTAAGTCGCCAATACTGTTATCAAGGTCCTGGATCAATAGACGGCGGGTATCACTAGCTTGGAGCTCGGAAGGCGGAAGCGTGCATCCGCTACAGTTGCAATGGAAACCGAACGCTTTCTTTAAAAAGTCCTGCCGAACAGTAGATGGGCCACCTCGATCATACGATATGGTGACCTCTTCGCCAATTTTGATCGGTCGGATCGCGTGGGTGGTTTCGTGTTCTGCAGCTGCATTCCAGTTGTTGTGCGAATTTGGGAGGCAGCTATGATTTATGAAGCACGACATGGGGTAGACTCCGCCCACAGACGACCCAGGCCCGCACGGCAGAGCGTTTGTCTTGAAAATACCACGGAACGGATACTTTCCTGGGTGGTTGTTGTGGAGGGATAAGAACTGTCGTTGCTCCACTTTAGACAGCGCTTTGAGCTTTCCAGCGAGGACTCGGTCCAACGCATCGGGTGGCATGGGTCCAGCTGTGAGAATCGGCTTCTCACAAAGGATCCGAGTGCCTTGAGGTATGTTGGATAGGGCGATGAGGCCTTTCCCCTTGCCCGGGATGTCCTTGATTTCGAAAAGGGGTAGGCCAAGTTCTTTCCTAGGATCGGTGCTATCGTGGATCTCGGCCTCGTCTGTCTGTCGAGAGGATTTAGATATCTCTAAGAACGAAGGAAGACTATACAGTACTGTATGACAAACCTGCTCATAGGATCTGAGTGACTCGTGGACTTCGTGCCAATCATAGTGACCAGATTGGTAGGCGCTCTCATCCCAGACTCGGACGCGGGAGCCGAAATGGGCTCTTGCAATACTAGTAACACGATCGATATAGCTTCCGATATTCCAAGTAATCTTTGAGCTGAAACGGAGGAACTTGTGGCCCTCAAAAGGGAGCATGGGGTGTTCTCCCACTTTGAAAAGAAAGTAGTTCGGTTTGATCTCGACCTGGTCGTCATCTTTGTAACATTCTTTGATGAAGTTGATGAAGCGGTCCCAGTTGTGTCTATCGACGATCCCGTTGGATAGACGAGGAACCATGTCGAAGCCAACGTCGACGCCCATGGCTATATTTTGCGATTAGAACGAATACAAAATTGCGGTAGTGCGATACCTAGTGTATCGTAGAGTAGTCTCGACTGGTTGTTCCCGTCTTCGTGTAGACACAAAGTCTTGTGCCCAACGATCGTCGGTTGGGCATTGGGATTTTGGTTGTACGATGACATAATCATTCATGCCATGTACCGCCACATGATCCTACTAAAACAAGCCACAGAACCAAGTACTACCCAAAACAGTGAACCTGAGCACCGGTCCCGGGTGAGGTTTCGTACTCAAATTCATTTTGGGTGCATAGCTTCTGGTTAGTAGCAGAACAAGTGGGCATGGTTTTTTCCCGATTCAACTGACAATGGGATGCCAGTAGTTCTAGCATGGTTCTGCGGGCTGTTTCCTACAGTTGCGCTAATCTCGAACAGCCGGACGGTGATCCTGGATCTCGCTGTACTGCTACAGAGGAACCCACTGTGCAGTTATATCGACTATCTGCCACAGCCGCTTATTATTATAGTTACATAGTTTCTATGCCAAACTGCCCATGCGGTGTGATAGCTCTATAGGTCCTCAGGCGTATTCTGTACAGTGTATCAAAACACAGCCCGCAGCTTCCAGCCAACGGCGCTGGCCTTTGCGGCCAGCAGAAGTGACAGGCGTCTTGGGTGTGTCGGTCAACTGTCCGTTGTGTCAAGCAGGGACCATGCACCCCGGCCCGACCGCCTACAGGTCCGCCGTGATGCAGCTATCCACCACTGCGATTTCTATCCTCTGCCGATCGCGGCATTGCAAGCTTCGATCCCTTCCCATGCGGAGAGGCACCCTAACCTCCAATTGTCTCTTGCGCCAGACCTGGCGACGGTGACTGACATCAAGCCCCACGTTGACTATGAAACGATGGTATTTGCTAGCTGATGATGGAAGGCTCTTGTGCTACAAGGCTGAAAATCTTGAAAGGGCTATAGGGAAGTGTGTACAACATTGGTGGTGATGGAGATATCAAGGGAAAGTAGTCAATATTGCCTGAGCCTTACACTTGTTTGATCAATCTGATGCGGATAATTAATTATTGCAAACACTACCCCGACTTGTCATGTAAGATCAAACACAGTAGATAATTCGGAATACGGCCGCTCTCCCGCAGACGAGCAACTCATGACGATAGCCTAGTCTTGCCAGGCAGTTGATGACGCCAACGAGGGTGAGCGCCTGCAAGAGAGGGTTTCTTCATGTAAAGATACTGTTGATATTATCCTTTAGCATATTATCAGCTTTTCGAATTCACGGCCTTCGAAATATTTGTCCTCTTCGTCGAGCATACTGTCCAGCTGCATGCCATCCATATGCTCCACGTAACAGTCGCCGCTAATCAAGCGGAACATGTTATTAGGCGCTGGACGAAGGATGCATGCTTGAGTGCCACCTTTGATGGTGTAAACAAGGTCGGACATGACTGCTTGCTCGGGGGCAATCCCGACAAATTCGTCTCCAATCACCACTACTCTGCAATGATCCAGTGACTGGTACATCGCTGTCCAGTTTTCGTAGTCCATACATGACTCCTCTTTATCGAAGACTAACTGGAGAAGACGATTAATCTTGTGTCAACGCGCCTCCACAGAAGGAAGAGAATTTACTCACGAAGCAGCGGGTCAAGAACTTAGTCCAACGGAAAGGCGACCAATACTGAGCAACTGATCGCGCTGGGTTAACTTTTAGTCAAATTGACAAAGCGTGTTGTGCCATACCTGCTAGGAATCCAGCTGGAAATGGGAGTCGGGGCGTGCAAATAGTGCTGTCCTTGCTGTCTTGGTCATCGAGTATGGGTCCGAGATGTTCGATAATATTGTACAATCGCCGTTTCGCATCGTCGTAGTTGCCGAGTGAAACAGTATCCCCCAGTTCCGTGATCGGTCCAAGCAGTCGGCCTTGTAGCTCCAGAGTGCGGAAAACGCTCGTACTCGGTGGCAGGGTACTGTCCCTGTCGTTGGTCAGTCGTGGTGTCAGTGCAAGTGTTTGGCGTCTCTCCTCGATTATGGACTCGATTACCATTGTGGCCACCCCACGGATGAAGGACAGAGGTCAGAGCTATCGTAAAAGGGGAAAAGGCCGCGCAAGGGATAATACCGAGACCAATCAGGTGCCCAGGATGGCATAGTCCGATTGTGCGGATGCCGAATAGCAGATAAGACGCGCGATCCGAGACACTGCAGAAGTTTCTCTGCGACCTTCTGGTAAAGGTCCTCGACGGGCATTGAGTAGTCGATGAAAGGATCCAGTTGATCTCGGCCTTGGCCAAGAAAGGCTTTCAAGGCCAGCACCTTGTCTCTCGGATCAGTGGCTAAGCTCGGCTGGGTGTTGGCCAGAAGCTTGAATAGCCTGTCCCATGGACTTGTGTAAGCTGGCCCATAGACAAAAACACTGAATGGCAGTTCATCCCTTGTGATTTTAGTGCCTGTATATCCAAGAGTGAAATCCTGAAACGTGTCCCATGGCGCGGCGCGCGGTCCACACATCACCCATGGACGTTCACTTGCGTACACTTCTTGTAGTACCCAGACTCTCTGGAACCAAGGTCGCCTTAGAAGAGCTTCGAGCGCCAGCGCCAACTCTGAGTTTGGTCTCGGCCGTGCCCTGTGAACCACATGGCCTCCCGACAAGGCCTTAAAATTTCGGGGAAGCGGTGCAGCCTCGATCAGCTCGTTGAAGACGATCTCACTTTCTGTTGTTTCTTCGCCAAGATAGACCATGGTACGGGAAGCTCTGAAAAAGATGTCGAACATCATTCGGACTTGAGCTGATCGTTCAGATAGGTCGTCCTGGTTGATGCATATGGCATCAACCCACATCGTACGGGCCTTATCAGGGGTACGGAGGCTCCTCAGCGCATTAAAGCAATTCATCGTAACCATGATTGACGCACAAGAAGCCGCTGTAACAGTGATTGACACTCTATCTGCTGCATCTCCCCACGTGTAGGAGAGTGCTTCATATTCCGGCTCATCTTCGGACAGTCTTCGGAGCAATAGAGTGCATTCAATCGGTGCATCTGGGTCCGGGCTTGGAGCAATCTCAACCACGCGAATGGTATCATCACTTCCTAAGGGGAAATACTTGTACGAGCCGAGGGAGGTTGTCATTGGTTGTTAATCGCCCAGGCGACTAGTTGATGGCAGTGTGGTTGGCAAGTCCGGTGAAGAACTCAAAATGCTCGCAAGCGCCTTCGCCTTCTGCTGAGGGGTTATCAACACTGAAGGATCTGGTGCGTAGGCACATGTGCATGCTGCCTGCTGCCTAACTGCCACATCACATGATCGCAGCTTTCGACGGAGCTCGACTTTATTGGTGCATCGCATTCGGCGGGGCTGGTCTTGCAAAGCTGAAACTGGTATCCTACTTTGGCGACAATGAACTATAACTATAACCTTTTAGCTTGGAATGGGATTCCCTTCGTGTGCCGGCATGGGTAGTTGAGATATCTTTCTTCACTCTTACTTGGACCCCCGTCCTGTCTACTGTTTGGTTTCATCGCCCTGGACAGCTACAATTCGTTTAATGCGCAAGCTAGGCAGAGACAATGCATGCCATGAGGAGGCTTCCATTGGATAACCTCTTCACCATCAACCAACACGTAGGGCTCGTGATCCCACTCTTTGACACGGAGCGACTCGCAGGTCCAGATATTGTCCTGGTTCTTTTGTGCCTTTTCCCAGAGCTGCTTCATGGTATACTGGTCCTCCCATCTTGCGCCATAGAACCAGCCATAGACCGCCTTGATGCTGACCTTGACACGGCCGGCATACCCGTCCTCATCGGCTTCCGCGTCGGGGCTAGGAGGCTCCCAGTCCGGATCAACAGCCCAGACATACAGTGGTGGCAGTTCATGAGCGTTGTACAATTTGTTGCCAAGCTCTGAGGGGATGCAATCCGACGAGAACACAATAAAAGTGTTCAGCAGGATGTCAGCTACAATGCTACCTTCGCTCTCTGCTTCGCGCCACGCTTGGAAGTGCCTGTTTAGGGTGGTAAGCTTCCGATCTCGATAATTGCTACATCAAAAAGGGTCACTGGTGTACTAACCTTCTCATTGCCGCCCAGTCCGTCTCGTATGCTTCGTCAAACTTGGCCCAGTATTCGCGGACTTTCCTATTAAGCGTATGGCCTTCAAAAATTCGGCTGTTCCCACACTTATATCCTCTGACCCCCTCGCCCCGGCGATCACCTCGAAACATTTCAGTGAACAGTTTCCAGACTCTTTCCGTCGCCGGGCCGAACTTGTCCGCTATCTCCTTCGTGCGGTACAGTGCAAAGCCGTAATAGTTGCCATCTCGGATTTCGAATAGCCAATATGGCGGTAGCGGCTTCACCTGGTCCCATAAGAACTTCTCATCCATGCTGTTTGAAGGCAGCCGCCCAGCACTTTCGAGTTCGCGTTGCAGAGCGGCCAGCATGATGCGGGCGTTGCGCCGGCCCCTCTTCTGCCAGATGTAGCGGACGTTCTCGCGCGCGCGCTCCTCGACCGTCTGGTCTCCTTCGGCGCGAAGCTGTGCTTCGTACATGGAGTCCAGGTCCTCGCCGTCAAGAGGCTTCCGGCAGTCACAGATGAACAGCTTGCATGCCGGGATGGTCAGTTTCCAAGGGTCGCCACCCGCAGTAGACTCCAGCTGCAATTTCGAATTCCAGCGGCCATCAGTTACTTTGGCGATGAAATCATTCGAGTCACCACTGTATGGAAAGTCGCCTAGAACAATTCGTCTCTCGCCCACGTGGAGGGATTCTGGGTCGTTCAGAGCTCTTTCGATCAAGTTGCCACCATTGTCGATCCAATTTTGGAACTGTTCTTCTTCAAAAGCCCGGGCTGCTTGTCTGCGTTCGCTGACTGGAAGGCGATGACTCATCGTGATACGCTGGCCCGTTGTGTTGTGATTTAAGACGACGATCGTGGGCGGATGGGGAACAAAGAATCTGGATCCGAGCCGATTGAATTGGGATTTGGAGGCGGCAACAACGGCATGGGCGTGTGTGCTAAAAGAAAACCCGAACCAAGTCCTTCCAGGCTATGCCAAGCGCTGTGGGGCTTGAGATACTTAGACATGAAATGGCCAAACCGTGATGATAGCTTCCAAGTGCATCGAATGGGCTCCACGCCCGGATGTTACTTGCCAACCAGCATCCTCTTCACGCATTCGGGCAACCAGATTGCAATCTGAGCTCAAAGCGATGTGCTAACAAGACTAGGGTCTCCTTTGTCCTTGTCCAGTCCTACCTGTGATCGGAGAAGGATTGACATTGTCTGTTCTTGCATGGAACGGAGCATGGTACCCTCTTGTAGTAAGATGTGTACCGCAGCGCATGAGCATGGTCTCACGACCAAACCATAGGATTGAACTCTTCTAAAAGGCTTCCAAACAATTGGTAGCATCATCCAATTTGTTAAGGCCAAGTCATTGTCTCAAATCGATACAGTTGTCAGGCGGGCTGGACAATATAATGTATCCGGTACTCAATGGTAAGCCACAGGAAAATTCTCTTTTGGTCCAACAAAATTCGTACCTCTCTGAGTCTGCTTGCTCTTTGAGACCACAGAGTCATGGATTGGGAGCAAGCCCTCTTAGACTCGTCATGTTGAGATATGCGTCTCTTCAGGTCCTCAATATTTGACGATGGCCACGCCATCTTTGCCCATCCTCGGCCCTCTGGATCACGGCAGCATTTGATTCCACAACTTGCCTATTGTACCATAGCACTACAACATTTGGTGCTTGCCACGGCTACTTGTGGGGTCGAGACTGGGGTATCATGTAATTGGCCGAGACCAGAGCTGTTGCCGTTTTGAGTCAGCGACTCCCTGCAACCTTCCCAGGCTGAGATGGTGTCATTGTGTGGACAAAAGCTGGGGGCTGGTGATTGTAGTTTTGGGGATATTTAGAAGCGAGCATAGATCGAGATCACGATCACGATCTCGGGGAGGTTGTAGGAGCCATGTGGGACTGCCATTGACCCCCTCAACTGACTGATTGCCAAGCGAATGGGCTGCAGTCTGCAGGATCCTATCTATCCTTCTCGTGTTTTAATCTCTCACTGAGGGCAAACGCCGTCAGATCTCTATCACATAGTGTTACTGACATTTGAAGAGACGGTTCTCTCTTTTCTTCAAGAGACTCTCTTCGTCAACCAAAGAAGTCTTGGACCCCAAGAGTATTTGCTATCAAGATACCGAGTAATTTTCGAGCCCATCTTGTTTGGACGCTCTGCGACAGAGTATGAGGGAGACCTTGGGGACCATAGCCTCAGGTACATAACGGTGTCGATTCATCTGATCCTTGTATGATCCGGAGTCGCGGCCAGACGAACCTCGAACCCTGGCTAAAATCCTACACTCGAACGCCGATCGTCAATATTGGAAGATGACTATGGATGAGCCACGCTGGCGAAGGCAATCCTTCCTAATAACCTTAACCTTCCCAAGGTCACGCCTTTACGTTGCATCGTGCTTCAAAGTTACTAGCGCTAGTGACACTCCCTTGAGCCAACCGTGAAGTGATTGGAGACTGGGACGCGACCTGACTTGAACCTTGGAGTGGCGAGGCCGGGTGTTTTCAACACGAAAATCCCCCATCAAAGTCATCTGAAATCCTTTAGAGGCTAGCTCAGAGTCCAGAAGGATCAATCCATCCGGCCAGACAACAAATACTGTTGTCCGATCCTGGTATGGCAACAGTCGTACGGTGTGACGCTTGAACCGTAGGACAGGATCGTGTGCATGGCAAACATGATGTGCACACAACAAGTATATAAAGTAGCGCATCGACGCCAGTCCTCGGCTCTCCCTCCAGGTATTCATCCATCCCATCCTCATCGCCTCTTCTCTTTCTCTCGATCAACTCAAATCTCAACCATTCCAACATGAAGCTGACCACCGCTCTCGCTACCGTGGCAGCCCTCCTCCCGCTCGACGCCGTCGCCGACTTCGACCTGTACGAGTCGCACATCGGCTTCGTCGCCGGCGGCGGCAACGGCGAGGTGAACCCCTACATAGACGAGATCCTCGTCGCGCAGCCGTACATCAGCTACGACGCGGCCATCTGCAAGGCGCCCTTCTGGAGCCAGCTGCGCGCCGGCTCGCCCTACTGCGACGTCAAGATCAAGTTCAACAACGGCTGCGCCGTGCTGCGCAACTGCGGCGGCGGCGGCGAGCCGCACAAGCTCAAGACGGGCGACAAGTTTGCCGACCTCGAGGACTGCGGCGGCGGCAACCGCGGCACGTGCTACGCCTGGCACGACGTGGCCAGCACGCACACCTGCGCCTGGCAGGAGGCCGGCCGAATGTCGTACAGCCGCGTCGCCTGCAAGACGCCCAACTTTAACGGCGCCGAGGCCCTCGGGGAGTGGTAGTTTATGGGGGGAATAGATTGGGAATTCTTCAGGGATATGGCAGGATGAATGGTTATATTCTAGCACATGGTTTGAGACAGCTATTGGCCTTGTCTCGTGGATGCCTAAGGAGTTGGAATCCGTAGTTCTCTGTTGGCAGGGTTTAGTTGTTCGTAATGGTGCCAGAGGCCTGTTATTAGAACAGCCATCGCCATAGTACACAAAAGGGACGATTAAGCCACTCAATCGATCACGATACATTGTTGGTGGTGTGACGTCCAAAAGATGTTCAACTCTATGGTTGACCCACCTATTGCATAACTGATAGATGATAGATACTTAGTTCTCAAGCAAGAAAGGCAAGAGAACTTCCAGCAGCCCTTCCGGATCTTCTTCCGGGATGAAATGACCACACTCGAGGCCCACCCCGGTCACATTCTCGGCATATTTCTGCCACGTCTCAAGAGGCCCCTCGGTCTTGACAGCCGGCGCTCCTTCGACGAGGAACCCCGTCGCGCCCCAGACAGCCAACAGGGGTGTCTTGATCTTCCGCCCCGCCCGCAGCTCCTCCTCGTCGTACTTCCTGTCGAGGAAGGCCCCGGCGCGGTAGTCCTCGCACGTGCTGTGGATCCTCGCGTCGTCGCAGTACGCCTTGCGGTACGCGTCCATGGCGGCCGCGCCGAACGCGTCGAGGTTTTTGTCCTTGGTCCAGGCGGACAGCGAGTGCTCCACGAACCGCCTCCCGCCGTCCGCGCCCTTGATCATGTCCTCCGGGAACGGGGCGGGCTGCGCCAGGAAGAGCCAGTGGTAGGCTTTCAGCGCCGAGCCCGTGTTGCCGAAGCTCTCGAACATGGCCGCCGTCGGTATGATGTCGAGCACGACCGCTTTCGTGAGCACCTCGGGGTGGTCAAAGGCAAGGCGGTACGTGACCCTCGCACCGCGGTCATGGCCCATGACAGAGAACTTGCTGTATCCCAGCTTTGCCATGACGGCGATGCAGTCCTCGGCCATCAGCCGCTTGGAGTAGCCCGAGCCGTTGGTGCTTGGGACGATGCTTGATTGGCCGTAGCCGCGGAGGTCTATCAGTACAACGCTGAAATGCGGAAGTAGAGCTGGTATGATGGGGTGCCATTCGACGTGAGTCTGCGGGTAGCCGTGGATCAGGAGTAGTGGTGGCTTATCGGCGTCGGTTTTGGCCCGAACAAAGATGGAGCCGCCGGCGGGCATCTCGACATATTGGTGGGTGAAATTAGGAAACAGTTCGATCTCCATAATGGCAAAATCCTTGAAGCGATGTTTATCGTCGTCAGTCTGAATGGCAATGAGGTTAGGACTGCTTATCAAAGCGAGAGGTCTGGAAGAACCCAAGCGCAAGCCTTCGCTCTGACGTTTAATAAGCTGGATTGCATCATGCCTCTGGCGCCCTCTCCGGCCGAGGTTAGCGGAGATACGAACTAGAGTTAAGGTGTGCGGGGAAGCACCACGCCAATCCGGCACGGTCCGGTGCTGGTGGGATCAATGCCCGTGCCGGGGGACAACAGCCCGTCTTGCATGTTCAGCTTTTGTTCTCATTCAACGTGCGGTGGGACGCCAGTCGATCATAGATGAGCGGGAGTTGAACTGAAGATTATACATTAAGCATAAGACATACCAAGTCAGTACAGATGGGCTGTTTCAATTCCTATAGATGCTGCCATACTTCCTCGAGTCCCAGCCCGAGCTTGCTCAAGGACCGAATATCCAAATCAATGTAAAAGTTCACAGGACCCGACCCCATTCACTTGGCCTGTACTCCCGTTGCTTTGACCGCGAGATCAAGCTTTGCCTGTTGACGCTGCCATTCCCTCTCGGCAGCCTCTGCACGACGCCTCGCTGCCGCAAGGTCCCACCTCGTGCCCATCACCGTGTCGCAGATGCCAGGGCTGCCGAAGCCGTCCGAGAAGGAGACATGAGCCCGCACGTGGTGCTCGGTGTGCGACCGGTTATCGAGGAAGCTGCCCAAGATGCTGGCCAGCCGCGGCCATTTAGCGGCCGTCGAGCCATCACCATGGCCATGGCAGCTGTACGAGCGTAGAACGACCGAGAAGTCGTACCCAGAGTGCTCGTACAGGCCTCCGACGGCACCCAGGCCGGCGACGAGCGAGTGGAAGTAGACGTTGTCGCCGCCGCCGCCGACCAGGGCCAGCGGCACGAGGTACGGCAGGACGATCTCGAGGAAGAAGTCCGGCGCCGACATGTAGCAGGCGCTGACGGCCTTTGTGGCGCCGGTCGAGTGGTGCACCGAGTGCCGCAGCGCGCGCATGAGGGCCACGTTGGGCTGGTGGAGCAGGTACCGGTGCGCCAGGTACTGCACCACGTCGTGCCCGACGGCCATGGCCGGCGGCACCAGCGCGTAGTGCCACCACTGGAGCTGCCGCCCGACGAAGCAGAGAGCCAGCAGGGTCTCGGCGGCGACCATGGACGGCAGCAGGACGAAGAGCTGGTTGAAGAGCACGCGCGGCAGCAGGTCGGCGTAGTGCTTGCGGTCCACGTCGCGGACCTTGAACCGCTTCAGGGCGCCCTTGCGGTCGCACTCCTCGAAGAGCAGGCCGACGGCGTGGTAGACGACCTGCTGCGCGGCCCAGGCGTAGACGGAGACGGGGAGTGCCAGCGATGAGGGCGACGGCCCTGACGGCAGTGCCGGCGCTAGCCCGGCCGCGATTTGCACGCCGCCGTCGGCGGCGGTGGTGTTGGCGTGGTGGTCGGGCAGATGGAGCCCGGCAAATACTGACGTGAAGGTCATGGCGAATTATGGTTTAGTTGGTGGGCCACAGCGAGACGCGCCGCGACACCAGCTCGATTCCGGTCCGGTTGCGGTTCACCACAACAAGATATTGATGGGTTGGAAAGGAAGTCTGGAGGGCAGACCCGGGGCCGCGAGCTCGGTCGGCCGCCGGCCATCTTTAATATGATGTTATGAATCTGTGAATCTCGATCTCAAAGTGATCCGAAGCTTCCGTGCAATATTTGCTTGGCGTGGAGTCAAGTCACCGTTGGCAAGCCGTGGCAGAAGGCTCCAAGGAAAAAAGGCACATTGTGCTTGACTAATCCGCGCAAGCTAGAGACTCCACCAGGCCCAATGGGAGAACTCGAGCAGGCTCCATGATGGAGCACCAGCCTCTTGTCTTCCGATTGCCTTGCAGGGGAGCCGGCTGATCGGGAATAGCACGAGCGCATTTTTGAGCCATTTGCAGACCCCAGTCACGCCACAACATCAGGGCCCTTGTTGCTGAACTCTCAGAGCCGAGCTTCATCGGATATAATCCTACGATGAGTGCCGATCCAGATGGCACTTCTTGCGATACATGAAGCCATGACAAAGACATTCAATCATGAAGGAGGATTTCGAGGTTCTCACGGGCAGGCAGGTCATCTCACCTGGCGCCAAGTTGTCCGTGGCCGCGATCATGACTGGGTGCATGTGGTCCACATGCAAGACCCGTTTGTATAAGACGAAAAGTGTCTTATAAAGTACAACGACCCACCTCGCACTGGAGATTTCTTTTTCTGTCAGTGTGCCTCAGGTGGATATGATGCAACAGTTTGACACGATCGAATGAGGGTAAGACGACTATGGTGTTGAAGGAAGACATGTCTCCCAGCCTCGACGCAGATCACCACCCCAACATTGGTGATAGGGAGAAAATAGCCGGGAAAATATTTCCTACACGCCGCTTCAAATCCCCTTTTGGTCACGATTTTGTCTACCCTGCACGCGTCAGACTCGAAGGCTGTCACCATACAGCTCCTTCATGATGTGTTTGACCAACTTTCAGTGGCAAAAGCCATGACGTGTTTCCCAGCTCTCAATGTCTCCGCTGCCGGCCCCGATGAAGCCTTCAGCTTCGCTATCCTTGAATTGGGTGTTTTTGTTATTCTGTGGCACTCTCGTTGAGGAAGTTGACGATGGTTGACTGGGCGATCCTTATAGGAGTTTCGTAGAGGGAAAGCAGCTGCCCGCCACAGAGAAAACGCTGATAAGTATAGGGTGATTAGATGAGAGACTGTCAACAGAAACACTTGACTATCCGCCCAGTCCATCAATTTAGGTAGTGGGTTCACTCTTGTGACGTGACGTCCACAGTAAGATATACTGAAAGGTGTCTCCTGATAGACTTCTGCCAACTATATTGATCCCAGCCTGGCAGGCCAGATAAGATAGACCCAGGATCTGGAATTATTTACACACACACACACACATATATATATATGTGCAAGACGTAGTATGGAGTAATGATTTGTATTGAATGGTCTTCTTGTTCACGCTGGATGTGGATGGCGGGCATAAGTCGTTGAAATAAGCTGTGCTCAAGATCAAATCCCGATGCCGTGACGTCAGGTCCTTTAGGTTAGCCCATGGTTGATAGCGCGGAACGGGGTGTAGCATGTTCTGGGGAATCTGTCTGGCACAATATCAAGCAGTGACTGATCAGGCAGCATGGCATTGCACTCACGATATGGAATCTACACCGTTCTTCATGAGCAACCTTCAGTTCTTTTATGGTGAAGCTTTGTGATAACTAATTCGGCTTTCTAGGCATTGATCTCAACATACAGAGTCAGTCGTTGCACTTTGACACTAAGAGAGCCTCTTCTCTCTTATTGGGACAATGCTCCGGCAACCAGCTCTTTCACGAAGCCTCCTCTGCCATCACTCGAGGATCTGAACCAATCATGAATTCCTGGAAAATGCTTCGAAATCTACCTGCTGTCATTATCCCACAACCTCCCTTTAGTTACCCAAGACAAGAGTCAAGCTTATGCTCTCACGTTATTGTACAGGTAGGGACGGAACTGGCTCCGTGTTCTCCGCCCCGCTTCTTCTCCAGGCCCCAGGCCGAGACCGATCCCCACCCAGGCCATAAGCCGAGGCGGTGGTGTCAACAGCCGACAATATCTACCCCACATCCCTGCTCACGAAGCAAAGACGCTGGTAAAGACTCCTCGAGACAGACCGAATTGCCCCAATCTCGCCTTCCCCGTATGTGATTGAACAATGGCTGCTGACAGACTGAACGCGCTTGCCTCTCACCTGAGGCCATCAGCGCCAGCTGATTGCGAGTGTACGACCAAAAGACATCCCACACTCAACACCTCCCTGCAGGGAGTCACCTCTGTCCGCCAGGGAGTCCGCATAGACCAGTTCAGAGACATCAAGTACGGCGACATCCCAGCCAGGTTCCGGGAAGCAAAGCTGCACGAACACACCGCAGCCGAGGTCGACTGTACCAAGTTTGGGTAGGTGATCTCTTCCAATCGTCCCTACACCAGAGTCCAGAAGGGCCAACAGCTGACTTTGGCTGGGTTGCCCATCCCAGACCGGTGTGCCCTCAGAGCTACACGTCGGCCGCGATACTGCTCCGGATCCCAGAAGAACTGGACGATGCCCTTGAGCCGAAGGATGAGTTTGAGTGTCTCAACCTGGTGGTCACTGCGCCTGCGGGCCTCACGCAAGGGCAGCGCGTGCCCGTCTTTGTGTGGATACATGGTGAGTGGACATGCTGATAGTGGACTACGAACCCCGGGGACTCCTCGCATCCGTCGTCTTATGCTTGCTTACTCGGAGGGTAGGTGGCTCCCAGGTGATGACCTTTGGCAGCATGGCAGGCAGGGTCTGTGATCCGCACCGCATGGTGGCTGATTCCGTGAAATTGGGGAAGCCAATCATCGTTGTCGCTCTCAACTACCGGCTCAACATATTTGGGTTCGGCAACGGAGATACGACGAACTTGGCGCTCAAGGACCAGGCCCTCGCAGTGGAATGGGTTCGAAAGCATATTGCAGGCTTCGGCGGTGACCCTGTCAGTTAAAACCCCCAGTGTCTAAATTGCGGCAAGTCGACAGTCATTGACAGATTCCTAGGAAAACATCACCATGGCAGGCGAGAGTGCCGGGGCTGTCTACACTCATGCCCACGCCGTCGTGGGAACTCCCGTCAAACGGGTGATCCTCCAGTCAGGATCCCTCTTTCTCTCCCCGCCAATGTCGATGAAAGCCCGCGATGCCATGCTCAATAAGATATCCGAAAAGCTTCGGGCGGCGAAGGGCGGGCATTCGCTGCAAGACGCGCCTGCCGAGTCCCTCCTCCATCAGATGCAGGAAATGGGCATATCTTCAATGTCGCTCCAAGCCGCCGACGGACTGGACAATTGGCAAAAGAAGAGAGAAACCCCTCAAGCTCTCATGGTTGGCGACTGCGAGTTCGATGTATGTGTTGGACCCGACTCCTCCGTCCTGCGATGTCACGTCAATAATTGATCATCATTCATAGGCGGCGATTTGGCGAAACGGGATCGAGGCGACCAGCGGCACCGAGATATCAAATTGCTTCGACAGGATCACAGCACCAGCTGAGATCAAGAGCGCCTACGGCATATATCCGGCCCGACCGACATCGTGCAAGTATGGTGCTCTCGACTTCATCAACGACCGCTGCTTCGCGATGCCAGCGCAGGATATCTGGGCTCGGTGGCGAAAGGACGGGCGGGCCGCCTATCAGTACATCATCGATCAGCCGAACCCGTGGCAGCCCTCGAGCCGGTCGCACCATGCCGTAGATCTCGTCTTGTTGTTCGGAGGATACGACCTGTCTTTCGACCTGGGCTCGGAAGCAGTCGGCGCCGAGATGAGGCGCAGATGGATCTTGTTCATCAACGGAGAAGAACCATGGGCACCAGACAGGAGGATGGCGTTTGGCCCTGTTGGCCGCAGTGAAGAGATCGACGACCGGGAATATGGCATGCGAAGACGGACAAGGCATTTCGAGTTGCTGCGAAAGGCGAACCAGAAAGAAGTGGTCTCTGCCTTTGCCCGGCTGGCAATGGGTAAATTGAGCTCTGAGAATTAAGGCTGGAACCCTTGTAGAGGTGAGAGGTTGCTGCCTGGCCCTTTGAGATGACAGAGAGCCGCACAAACTTGGCTTGTATATCTGAAGCAATACTCTGCTGCGAGGGGGCGACGTCAAGGAGCTGAAGGCATAGCTAAGGCCCAAATACCAATGACTGGCACGCAAAAGCCAAGGAACAATGACAAAAGACTAACCTCTCCTTGTGGTGCTTGTCATTCTGGCCAAGACAGATCTGAACAAGCTATGAATGGAGAGTGAAAGTGCAGTGAACCAATGTGAATGAATCATGCACAGACGGCCTCCAAGATGCTTCAGCCAGAAGCCATCAGAGGGCATAGTATTGTCAACACGAGACATGTGCACAGCACACAATTCAATTTGGTCTCACCACAACAGCAAGCAATCTGGTACCTGCGGTATAGTATGGCAGTAGTAATTCGTGCACAGGAACAAGAACAATAGAGCGTGATCTAGACGTAGAACATCCAAGTCATTATACAAATCCACAGCCCCAGGGCTACATGGGAAGGCAGAAGGGACAGCACGCAAGCACAGGTTGGCGTAGACGCGTCAAACAGATGAGATCGCTGAGGCATACACACAAGGAAAACAAGCCCCCAATCTCTGCTGAGAATCCAGGAGTGGAGCGCGCTGCAAGTGAGCCCGAGATGAAGGTATCGTAAGTCTATTGTCTGGTCTGGTCCGGGCACGCTGCTACACTGTCTGGTCTTCCCACCACCGAGCCTTCCTAGTATTCCTCACTGTGGGTGACAGGGCACCTGAGTTACCAGAGCCGTCCCGAGGTCTGCGTCGGCGGAGGAATGTCGCCCCTCAGCGTGATGCTTGCCTGTCTTGACGAGGATGTTAGCACTTGATTCACCACAAGATGACGTTCAGTACAAAAAGCGTGTGCGTAAATCCTAAAATCATACATCCAATGGAAGGTATTGTAACGCTCATCGCACGTCTCAAAGGCTCGAGTGACGTCTAGCGTGGAAACTGCGAATAAGATGGGATATTGAATCATGTAGGAAGAGGGAGAGAGTGTGTGTGTGACGCGGCGCGTTGCGCGCGACAGATGAAAGACGAACAGGAATGCCAACTTACAGATTACCATGAAGCCCAGCGAGCACCCCCGTGGCGAACGAAGCCGGCTCGAGATGAGCGCGCGTCGTGAAGGGGGCGTCGCGGGCAGATTGTTGTGAGGAATCGTGAGGTTTGTTTGGGGGAGAAGCAAGAAAGAAAAGATTTCTGGTTGCCAGAGCTTAAGAAATACTTTTGAGCCACTGTGGACCCCGCGCGGCAAGGAAGAATGGAGCCTCCGGTTGGTCCAGTTTGGCTGGCCCGTGCGCTGGGAATTGGAGGCTTGTGGGGGGCACTTTCCAGCGCTGTTATCGATAAGACGGTTCGCATGAATTTGCTGCATGTGAAGCTATCACCAGCTGAATCAGAGATCAATGACATTATCTAAAAGCAGCCCTCCCGTGCTCTATCGACATCAACTACAGCCCGTGATAAACAAGCAAATGTGACCACTAAAGCCCAGTCCACCAAAACGTGCTCGCGACCGTAAACCTCCCTCTCAGCGCCTTGCCCTCCTTCACCTCGCTGCTGTCGGCGACAACGACCTCGTACTCGCCCTCCTCGACGCAGAACTTGCCCCTCTCCTCGTCCCAGTACGCGGCCGCGTACTTGGTCTCCGCCTCGACGCTGACCTTGCGCTTCTCCCCCGGCCCGAGCTCTACTTTGGCGAACCCGCGCAGCTCCTTGACCGGCCTGTTGACCTTGGCCTTCTTGGTCGGAGCGACGTAGACCTGCACCACCTCCGCACCCTTGACGCTCCCCGTGTTCTCGACCTCCACCTCGACCCTGAGCACCCCGTCCTTCTCCTCCACCCGTAGCCCCGAGAACGCAAACGTAGTGTAGCTCAGCCCGTGCCCGAACGGGAACAGCACCTCCCGCCCCGCAAACTCGTAGTACCTGTACCCGACATACACGTCCTCGCCGTACAGCGTCCGCCCGCCCTCGGCCCGGAAGTTGAGAAAGGCCGGGTTGTCGCTGAGCCTCCTCGGGAAGCTGAGCGGCAGCCTGCCCGAGGGGTTGACGTCGCCGAAGAGCACGTCGGCGATAGCGTTGCCCGTCTCGTTGCCGCCGTACCACGCCTGCACGATGCCCGCCACCTCGCCGGCCCAGGGCATGTGCACGGGCGTGCCAGACTGCACGACGACCACCGTGCCGGCGGGGTTGGCCGCGGCCACGGCGGAGATGAGCTCGTCCATGGGCACGGGGAGGTCCATGCCCTCCCGGTCCGCGCCCTCGGTCTCCCAGTCGGCGTTGAGGCCGGCGCAGACGACGACCTGGTCCGCCTCCCTCGCCAGCTGCGCCGCGCGCCGGATCTCGGCCGCCGGGTCGATGACCTTGCACCCGCCGATGCGCAGCGCGCCGCCGCCGAACAGCACCGCGTCCCCCTGGAGCTTGGACGTCGGCGCCGACCCGAACTCGCACCGGAAGGTGTACGTCTCGCCCTTGGCCACCCGCAGCCGGCCCGTCTCCTCGACCGTCGCCGACCCGAAGAAGGCGTCGCCCGCGCGCTGCTCGGTCGCGTTGTCGATGACCAGCTCGCCGTTGACGAAGAGCTTGGCCGTGCCGCACACGATGAGCCCCAGCACCCACTCGCAGTCCTCGTCCGCCACGAACGACCCTTCAAACTCGGCGTACCACGTCGCCGACTTGAGCTTGGGGTTGTAGTAGTCGACGAGCAGCAGGTCCGTCTTGTCGAGCACGAGCTCGTCGGTGCACGGCCCGCGCGCCGGGTCCCCGGGCGCCTCGTTGTAGACGCGCATGCGCATGCCCCGGCTGCCGTCGTCGGCCGTGAGGGCGTAGCCGAGCAGCGGCAGCAGCTTGTGCGAGTAGGAGCCGACGGTGTAGGCGGGCGGGGCGGGCAGCTTGGCGGCGATGCCGTCGTAGGGGGTGACGGCGTAGTAGGCGGCGAGCGAGGCGGAGCCGCCGCCGTGGTAGGTCGCGATCTTGGCGTTGGGGCCGATGACGACGGTCTGGTGGTATGTGTGGTCAGCCATCTTATACTACCGGAACAGGAGCCACGACTTCTCCCAACAACTCACCTTCTTCTCCTTCTTCAGCGGCAGCACCCCGCCCTCGTTCCTCAGCAGCACAAGCGACTCCCCGCCGACCCTCCGCAGCAGCTCCGCCGTCTCGGGCGTGTCCCCCGTCTTCTCCTCCTGGCCCTCCCTGACCCCGGACGCGGCACACCTCTTGACGAACTCGAGCATCGCCCGGGCCCTCTCGTCCAGCTCGTGCTCCCGCACCTTGTCCGTCGAGACGTTGAACTTGAGCAGCTCGCCCCGGAACCGCGTGGGGCCGGGCATCTCGAGGTCGAGCCCCGCGAGCGCCGCCTCGGTCGTGCTGTACACGCCGTACCAGTCGCTCATGACCAGGCCGTCCCACCCCCACTCCTGGCGCAGCATGCCCTCGAGCAGCTCGCGGCTCTCGCTGCAGTACGTGCCGTTGACGCCGTTGTACGCCGTCATGACGGCGCCCGGCCGGCTCCTGCGGATGGCGATCTGGAACGGCAGCGCGTAGATCTCGCGCAGCGCGCGCCGCGTCAGGATGCACTGCACGGCGTTGCGCTTGTGCTCCTGGTCGTTGCACACAAAGTGCTTGAGCGTCGCCTGCACGCCCGTGCTCTGGATGCCCTCGACCAGCGCCGCGGCGCCGAGCCCCGCCAGCACGGGGTCCTCGCTCAGCGACTCGAAGCCGCGGCCCCCGAGCGGCGAGCGCTGCATGTTGATGGTGGGGCCCAGGATGCAGTGCGCGCCCTTGAGCTTGGCCTCGTCGCCCATCTTGGCGCCGGCCTCGCGCAGCAGGTCCACGTTGAAGGTGGCGCCCAGGCCCGTGCCGCAGGGGAAGCAGGCCGCCTTGGTGCCGTTGAAGAACTTGGTGCCGCGGACGCCGTTGGGCCCGTCCGAGAGGCGGAGCGAGGGGACGCCGTGTTTGGGAAGGGGCTTGGTGTGCCAGAAGTCGATGCCTTGAGCGCGAGGATGTCAGCATCAGTCAATTGGAGGGTCGGGGTTGGGGTTGGGACCTTACCGGCTAGCAGGTCGACCTTCTCGGCGACGGTGAGCTTGCTGAGCACCTCCTCGACGTTGATGTCCGCCATTTTGAAGTGTCTGTGTGTCCACTGGCTGTTACAATATCAAACACAGAGATGGAAGAGGAGAGGCCGCTGCTAAGCTTGTAGGTGCAGGCCGAAAGTGTATGCGAGAGGAAGACGAGAAAAGGAAAGCCCCAAGGTCTCCGAGGACAGCACAGGTTCAAGTAATAGGAGAGAAGAAAATACCCCTACCTCTCCCCAACGGCATAATCCGCCTGATATATCCCGCCGAGCCAACAAACCAAGGCCATGCAGCAGGACTCGAGTGCGCTTCCCGCATGAGCCGCGTCCTAGCACACGGGATCAACTCCGGCCTTCGGCCAGCGCCATGCACGACGACGCGATTGGAGGGGCCTTGGGGGATCCAATCCCATCCATACAAACCCGCAGAGGCTTCTCTCCCTTCTGTTGTTCGAATGCCCCCGATGATTACCCGGGAATCTCTGTCTCGTCTCTCTCTCTGCTCACCGCATCGCACCGCACGGGCGGGGGACGGGGGAAGGCGGAGTTTGGTTTTGGCACACAAGTTGGCGCCAGAGCTAGCGGAATCCAAGACAAAAGCTCCAAGCTGTAGAGAGTCCTCCGAAGTTTAACCAGCTTCAGGGACCACTTGCAACTACCTATACCCAATGAATGGCCAGGTTGCGAGCCACCCCACCGGCCCTGGAAGAGCTGCCCGCGTTGCCGGCCGCCGGGGCAGGACAGCCCGCGTGGTGATCGATGCAAGGCGGGAAAGGACCCTGGGATTAGGAATGGGACGGACAATTTTCAGGTCAGGAGGTCTGGTGCAGCTTCCAAGGAAATCCACGAGCGGGGTATGCCTGCGCCGCGGGGTGCAGTCTTGCATCCGGATGACCGCTAATGGGCATCCAGACATGATCCGGTCGTCGTCTGGTGCAGAGAGATCCATCATCACTCCGAGTGCACTTGGTCATCGCGGAAACGAATCGCTGCCCTTCCGTAAACACGCCATTATCATTAGACACCAACCACCAGCCAAACAGGCCCCGGCTTGGTCGGTCATGCTTTTGCTTGATGCAATGTTTTGTACATGATGAGGCAGGTTGTAGTACCTCCAACCACACCATCGCATAGAGTACCTAATATACACAATCCTCGCTATGTCTGTCTTCTTTCCTAGGTAGAAGAATGCAAGCCATGGATGCAACACATCTCCCTACCCTCTCCAGACATCGTAGACGGCACACTCCCCTCGTACAGAACCCATGGCGGTGTTCTCACGCTTGCCGAACTCGCTCCCGGCAGCCTTCATACTACTCTCTCCCTCTCAAAGTCATCCCTTACTCCCCTCACCTCCCAAGGCCCAACGGCTCAGTGCCTCGCGCTCAGACTCGCAAACGCATCAGGGCTGTGCCGACCGTTACTCCACTCCAGCCCGCCCGCCATCACGCTGTCCCGGCTCCGGTGGCCAGAGATGGCGAAGGGGTCCGCGGTGTTGACCGCCGCCGGGCTCTGCGTCATGACGCCTCCTCCCCCTGCTGCTCCTCCTCCGCCCATGCTCAAGAACGGGTTATTATTGTTCGCCACCACCGGCGCTTGCGCCCCACCAACTCCCATTCCGGGCAGCGGGCTAGACACGCTGCGCGCCGGCTGCTGAGTGCCGAAGATCGCTGCCGCCGCGGATGAGGCATCCATCTGTTGTTGTTGTTGTGCTGGTAACGTCTGCTGCTGTATCGGTTGCTGTGGCGGGAATGTCTGCTGCTGCTGCTGCTGCTGCTGCGCCTGCATCGGCTGCTGCTGAGGGATATTGTAGAGCGCCATGATGGACGCCTTGTCCGGCCGCTGGTGCACCGGCTGCTGCGGCTGCGGAGGCGCCGTGAAGAACGGGTTCGTAGGCGAGCTAAGCGGCTGCTGCTGTCCACCGTAGCCCTGCTGGTGCTGTTGCTGCTGCTGCTGCTGCGGCGGCGCCATAAACATCTGCCCTTGCCCCCCAAACGGCTGTTGCTGCGCCGGGTTCCAACCCTGACTACTGTGGTCCCCGCCAGCGCTGAAGAAATTCTGCTGCACCTGCTCCGGGATCTGCCCCAGCGGCGACTGTATCCTCGTCCCCGCCGCCGTCGGCGACTTGGCCGCCGTCGCGAACGGGTTATTCGCCCACGCACCACTACCGCCCCCTGAACCCAGCAACGCTACTCCGGCTCCGTATCCCGCCGCCGCGGAAGTGTTGACCGACAGCTGCGGCTCCTGTTGTTGTTGTGGCTGTTGCTGCTGTTGCTGCGGCTGCTGTGTGAAAAAGGGATTATACCCCGTCTGCATCGGCACCTGCGGCTGCGCCGCGACCTGCTGGTACCCCTGCTGCTGCGGAACCTGCGGCTGCGGCTGCAGACCCCCAAACGCTCCCATCCCCGCGTACCCCTGCGGCATAGCCGGCACAGGCGGCGCCTGCTGCTGCTGCTGTAGTTGGTGGCCGTACGTCTGGCTCGTCGTCACCCCGCCCGTATGATGCGGGAACAGCGCCTGCTGCTGCTGCTGTTGGGGCTGCTGCTGCTGTTGAAGCGACATGTTGCCAAACGCGTCCGTAAACGCCGCCTCCACGGCGCTCGCGGGCGTCGACCCGCTCTGCATGCCGCCACCAAACCCACCAAACGGGTTATTCGTCGCGATGCCCATGCCCATGCCCGTGCCCATGGAGCCGTAACCACCACCGCCGCCGCCGACGCCGCCGCCGCCGTACGGGTTCCGGCTCGGCAGCGTGCCCGTCGACTGCGAGCTCTGCGGCTGCGCCGGCGGGTGCAGGTCGAGCATGTCAAAGGGGTTCGTCGACGCGGAACCCGGCGTCTCCGGCCGCGTGCTGTTGACGCCGCCATTGCCGCCGTACTGCTGCGCCGTGTTCGCCATCGTCCCCGTCGTCGTCGTCGGCACGCTGAGCGCCGAGCTCGACGCGACGCGCGAGAGCGTCCTGTGCTGCAGCCCCGCCGACGGCGGAGGCAGACTGCCCGTCGGCGAGGCCAGCGCGGAGCCGGCGCCGGGGGACCGCCCGCCGCCACCTTCGCCCAGGCGCACGAGCGCCTCGACCGTGCGCTCGAGGCTGCCGTTAAGACCCTTGAGCACGATGGCGTTGCGCTGGTCGTCCGCGAAGCCCATGTCGCGCAGGCGCGCGAGCTTGGCCTCCGTGTCGTCCTGGCTGCTGCCGCCGCCACTGTTGGGGTCGTACTGCACGCTCGCGCCGAAGACGCGCGAGGGCTTGTTGCCGCCGCCGCCGCCGCAGCCGCTGCGCGGGGACCGGGGGCTGGGCGGCAGGGAGCGCTCCTTGCGGGCCTTGGAGGAGAGGGGGAAGATGGACGAGGCGGAGCGGAGGTTGAACTTGCCCGTCTTGGGCGGCAGGGGAGGGGGCACGTCGTCCGAGTCGGAGGAGCGGCGGGGGTGGTTGTGCCGTTGTCCTCCTGCATGGCCGCTGCTGAGGCTGCCGCCGCCGGTCGCTGAGTCGAGGCCGTAGCCCGTGTTCATGTACTTCGCCCGTATGAAGCGCTCCATGGCCGAGTCGGCCTCGTCAACGTCGATGGGGACCGGGGGCCGTTTGTTCTGCGGGTTGTAGAGCTTGTTGGACTTGATGTTGCCGACCTTTTTCATGTTCTGCGAGAAAGCCATAGGTTAGCAAAGCCCTGCAGGTCGGCTCGGCGGTTCCCAATGGATAGTGTTTTCGTACCTCGACCTGCTCGTTCGACCAGCTGTCCATGCTAAGCGACTTGACCTTGGAGATGTGCGTCCCCAGCTTGCGGTGCACCGCGGCGCAGCGCATGCAGAGGAAGATGCCGAGCTATATTCGCAGATTGGCAGATCAGTAAACGTTCCATCCCTCGTGGGCCGAACCATCCTTTCCCCATCCCGGACTTGCTGTTGCATCACGGGTCGCAACCGAGTTCGGACGTGGATAGAAAAGGGGGGAAAGGGTGCAGAAGCTCACACTCCATGATGCCCAAGCTAAAACAGCCGCACACGGCGCGTCAGTAACCGATTTGTCGAGCCGCTCGAGGAGCAGAGAGAGGACTGGTGTCAACAACTTACAAGGGTTGTGCGCGCCGCAGTCTGCGCAGCTGTTGTTGCCGGGGACGCTGTGCACGAGGTCCTGTAGGACCTTTTCGTTGCGCGCCTGGCTGCGCTTGCTCAGGACGCCCGACATTGTTGCTGACGCCTTCTCCGTCCTCCCTTCGTCTTGTTGTTGTTGTTGTCGTCGTCGTCAGTCCGGGTACCAGCTCGGTGTGTCGAGCTCCTTTCCTTGCGTTCCGCGTACCCAAAAACAAGCCCAAGCAAACAGAAAAGCAAAGGAAAAAAAAGGCCGCCCCGGAGAATCGTAAGGATCGAGGAGTGATTGTGGGTTCTCGCGTCGTGTCGTTGCTCCAAGCCCGAACCGAGAGAGCGTCGGGTCTGGTATGACAACGGGACGAAGAGACAGGGAGCTGCAATGTCTGGTTCGTTACTCTCTCTCTCTTGCTCTTGTGCTCGCCTCGTGGATTGGAGGAACAGAGCGAAGCTGGCTGGCTGGGCGAGAGAGTTCCAGTTCCAGGGGGCGGGGATCACAAATGGGCTTGGATGGAGAAAAAGCGGCGCACGCACCAGCGGGTACCCAGTTGGAAAAATAATTAGTGGGTTGGGCGGAGGCTTAACAGGCCTAAAGAAGACTGGGAAGCGAGCTAAAAGGGGAGGGAACAGGGAGGGACAGGGAGGGAACAGGGGTCAGTTCACTATATATTCACCTAGAGATTTCCTAGTTTAGCCATCTGCGAATAAAGCATCAAGGGTCTATTTGAAATCACAAACCAGGTAGAAAACAAGACTGGAAATACAGGCGCAGAGGGAAGCCTACCTACCTAGGAATGGAGTAGAAAAATACAGTCGCGTCCTCCAATCCGCAGCCAGAAGAGGACGTCTGCCTAGCAGTCCGTCCTCACAACCCCCTTCACCACTCGCATCTCACAAAAAGATTCACACACCCACTCATACCTACACCTCGACTCGAGTAGCTTGCCTGCAGACGGACGAGCCGTTGACGGCGCGGTCCCCCAAAAGGCTAAAGCGGGCGGAAGACGGCTCTAGAATTGCTAGCCAACATCTAGCGAAGCGGGCTGGAATAGGGGAACGTGCCTAGCCCCCCCTCTTTCGAATGATCCTGTCGACTTTTATGCCCCATTCATCCCTGCAAGAATGGAGTAACAAGAACAGAAAAAGCAAGCGCACTTGTAGAGGAGGGGTGGGCATGGCAGAGCGAGTCAGCCAAAGGAGTACTTCGTAGGTACCAGGAAGACGGCGAAAAGAAGAAAAAAAAGTAAAGAAGAAATCAGAGAGCAGAGGGGATGGCAGGCGGGAACAGCCTAGTGCTCAAAGGGAATAAGCGGGGATGTCTCTGTAGAACACTGCATGGTTCTCGTAATTTCATGATTGTGTCTGTCGTGACATGCCCGGTCGACCTAGGTAGAGAGCTTTGTGTTGAAAATGATTTCAATTGGGTCTGTTGGCAGCAATTGGCACTGTACACCAGAGCGGCCTCGAAGCTCATTCGTCTCGTTACACGTAACATCATAAAAAGGGCGTCTGAGAGACACCGAGGATTCCTCTTGGAGAGCATGCAGGCTCTCAGCCAGCGGCGGGCGCACTGTCTCACCATAGTAGTGCCTTCACTGCTGACAACTCTCCGTCGCCGTTCATCGCTTGCTTCAACTCTCAGAAGTCTCAGCGGACTCCGGCTTCCTCCCCCACACCACGTAGAACTTTTGGTACCAGTGATGCCTCGTATCCGCCAGGCCCCTCCGGACGTTGACGAGCGATACCTGAAACAATGGAGAATGGTCAGCGAGGCCCGTGATCGATCCTCTTCATCACCGGTGTCTGTCCTCCCTTGTTGTCAGGGACGGGAGACTCACCTCAATCTCTTCCAGCGACCGGTCCTGCACCCTGTTGAACAACGCATAGCTGAACGCCCCCAGCCCGGCTTCGATGTTGGCTCTCCACAGCTCCCCGAGCCGCTTGGTCCGCTCCTCCAGGGGCCAGCCGCTCAGCGGGATCTTGTACACCCTCTCCTGCACGTCGACAAACCCGGCCTCCTCCAGCCACTCCTTGAGCTTGCACGCATCGTCAAAGGGCCGCGCCACCGCCCCGCCGAGCTGCTTCACCTCGTCCACCCACCTGACGAAGGCGTTGCTGGAGCGGGCGGCCACCTCCTCCGGGTTGTCGCTGTCCTCGTACTCGATGTTGCTAAACGTCTCCTGCGCCTCGAACCAGCCTCCGGGCCGCAGGTGCGCGTAGGCCTGCCGGATGATCTCGTCCGGCATGTCGCTCCAGCAGGCAAACGTGACGCGTGTGTGAATGTAGTCAAAGTCGGGCGTGTAGTCCCATTCCTCCGTGCTGTGATTGATCAAATTTAGAATCGGTCAGTGATCGTGTCCAGGGGCAGTGTTCGATGCCTCTGCACGATGATCCGGGCACTCACTTGTCTTCTACATAAAAGGTCACATTAGGCGGCACGCAAGTCGGCTGGATTGGCGACAGGTCAGTCCCTGTAATCTCGGCCTGCGGGAACTCGTCGCCCATTTCAATGGCCCAGCGGCCCGTCCCGGTGGCGATATCGAGAACCTTTTTGGGCGGACTCTCCTTGGAAAACGGCGCCAGGTAATTCCGGCCATCGAGCACGATCTGCAAGACCTCATACTGCAAATCTAGCCGCTCTGACTCGATGGGATCGTTTGGAAAGAGGTAGGCTGTGGATCGAAGAGAACAGAGGCCGAGCGTTAATTTAAACAACGCTCCATCAAATGAATAACAAGTCAAGGCCGGGGAATACAAGGAGGAAGAGGAAAAACACTGACATCCGGCGTGATAAGAATGGTACGTTCGGCCGTTTTCTTTGTGGAACCTGTAGATGCTTTCTGTCAAGGATTCGGTATCTCTGCGGCGTTGGGAAGAAGAATATCAGGTATGTGTAGAAAGGTATTAGATTGAAGAAATAATTGGTTGCAAACCTACAGTGCCAGGTCCGGCTGGACGGGATTGGGCTTGCGCGGGGAAGAGTCTGGTGTAAGCAGCCGTGTTTCTTTCACGGGAAGAGGGGTAAAGGCTTGGGCAAGGTCTCGCTCACATCGGCTTCGATCCGAGAGCTGTCGTTCAGATAAGACTCGAATGTAAACTCGTAGTTCTCAAAACTCGACCCAGAGTCATCGAATGAGGGAGAATTTTGACTCATGATGGCGGCGGCGGGGAGATAGTGTGCGTATGCGAAGATGCTTCTCGGTTGTGATGGAAATTAACCCCGGCAGCTGCCTCGCTTTGTTCCCTTGCTTTCCGTCTTGAATAATCTCTCCGTAGTAGCATCAGTACAACCTGGAATTTTTTGAAGGTGTAGAGGACGATGCCAAAAGGGACGAGGATCCGTTGTCAGACTGTGGAATCAGACGGGGGACGGGAGGTAATACAAGATTCTAATAACAAGAAGGGAAAGCTGGTGAGCTTGGGAATGGTGGGGGGGGGGGTGGGCAGACGGCCAGAACAAAGATACGAGTGAGGAGAAGTGGGAAGCGGACGATAGCTTCGTCTTTTATTAAGAAAGCGGCGCCCTCGAGCTCGGTCTCTTTGTTTCAATGCGGCGGAGAGGAAGTGTGGGTTGGCTTGGACTAGACCAGCGCCGGGAGAGGCGATGATGGGCCGTCCGTGGGAATTAGACTGATAGCTACTCCGTAGAGAAAGCTGTCTGGCAATGCTGCGTGAGAGCGGCTTGTACGCTAACCATGCACGTCCCAGCACTCTGGATCGACCCGTGCGGGCAAAATAAAATCAAAAAGTCAAAAATCACAAAGAAAAGGCTTGGTGAACAGGGTCCGAGATGGGAAAACGGGGAATGGAATGGCCCTGGAGAGTTGAGATGCGTGGGTGGGCATGCAAGGTGTGGGAAGGGGGGGGTGTCAAGACCCAGCAGGCCGGGCGAGAAACCCGACAATCTGGGTGTGTGCTCGTGCAGGAGGGGGTGTTGGTTTTTGGCGGTTTCGCCCAGCTGGAAACCAATCGAGTGACGAGATTCCACGGCGACTGGACCGAGGGGGGGGGATCGTCGTGGCCAGGTACCACTTCGGGCGCTGGCTTTGATGCAAATTCTATGCGCAGTGCTCAATTTGTCATCTCATCAACAATATCATCTCCCTCCTGCCATGCATGCCACCCCTTCATGCCCTGTCCTTTTCTGCTGTGTGTGCTGCTGTGCGTCCGGACTGGAGGGTGTGTGTATGGTAATATGACCGCTCAGATTCAACACCCTTGCCGGCCAGCTGCCTGTGAGACTTTGGACTGAAGACGCAGCAATAAGGAGCCGGGAATGTGACAGGATGGATGACAGAGCTAGAGGAGGGGAAACTGTGAGAAGGAGGGCAGCCAAGCAGCAAAAGCAATGCCAGTGCAGGCGGCGGCGTTGTCGAGGCGTCTGGCGGGCGGGCGATGTGGAGGTTCGGGTGCAGTAGTGGCCCTTTTGGCCAACGGGCAGAGCCCAGTGTCAGTCAGAGTCAGGAGAAAAGACGCCGGCCTGGTCAATCAATGCCTGCGGGCTTCAAGGGTGGTGGTCGTAGTGAAAAAGCAAGGGTGGTTTCTGGTCTGCCGAACGTGCTGCTGTTGTGAGTTGTGACGGCACATGCATGGATGCACGTTGATATCATAATCGTAAGGACGGCTGCGGCTGCGGAAGGATAAAAAAGAAGAAGACACCGACACATCAGTACTCCGTGCATTGAGCTGAATGCTGCCTTCCAAAAGCAGCTGCCAGGAGAAAGAGCTCCTAGTGCATGCTCTTTCTTACTTTGGACAGGCAGCCCCTCAGTCCCCCCTCAGTCATCTACAAAATTGGAAGTAGCCCAGGGCTGGAGGTTAGAAAGGAAGGAGCTGCACCACTTGGTATTTCAAGCAATCAGCGTCGTAGGGATTTCTTCTTCCTCACTTCTCGCCAGTGTACGGACCCTTTCTCAGGATGGATAATAAACCAAAGCCACAGCTACAGCTAGTCGGCCCGGATCGAATCGTCCTCCATCATGATCTCACATGCCCGGTTTCATAATCCTTTGCGCAGCACACAAAACGCTCCGTCGCGATCCGTTGGCCGACTTAGGTGGAGGAGGAGCAGTGTGCACGGTACTGTACAGTATGTGCATGTGCATACAGCCAGCCAGCCAGCCATCTATTCCGCGCTTCCAGACATTCCCAAAACCAGGAAACGAACGGGCACGGGAGCAGCAGACGCACTCCCTCTCCCTGCATGCTACGCTACACTTTGCTGCGTACTTGTATGCATCGGCCAGCCCGTACCCCCCCAGAAAGGTACCTGCCGACACCCTGACAGATCCCCTGGCGGGAGTAACGTTGGCAAGCACTCGGGAGATTAACGATTGGGACTGGCCCCAGTCTATCCTACCCACCCATGAAGACGTGCCAGGGCCGGCTGCTTGTTTCCGGCTAGGGCTAGAGCCTCCGGGAGATCATCGGCCAACAGAACACCAGCACAGCAATCCCAACTCGCTGGCTCGGCTCATGCCTGACTGCGGCAGAACACAACGCATGTACACGATCTCCACCCACTGAGCATCATTTGGGCACCGAGCGAGTGTATTGCACTTGTAGGTGCCAACGAGGGTGGAGGAACGGGAAGGTCCCAGACATGCAACGGTCACCCTGCAGCAACTATGGTTCCTCGGATTGTCAATCCCTCAAACGCGGAACCAATATCACGCCGACTTGCTGTCGGTTGCAGCTGTGGTGCATTGGCGCGTCCGAGGTTTAGTTGTTCCGTGCAGCAAAGCCCAACGCCTTGCCTTTTTCGGTGCGCCCGTCTCCTGCGACTACAAGTACAGTGCTCAAGTACAGTGCTGCCGATAGGTTTCCTCGCTTGGAGACCATTGAGCATTGGCATCCTGCCATGTCATCGTCTGGGACTGTGATTAAGTAGCCCTGGTTCTTTCATCAGCCAGCCGTTGTCTCCGGCCCAGGGAACCGGACTCGGACTTGTCCCCGTTGCATGAAACCCCCAGGTGATTGCCCTGCAGCATCTCGAAACAAATTCACATGCAAGTCTGGTGCGAGATGACTTGGGTTCTGAGGCTTTCCAGCCCTCAATCTCCTCGGGGTAGTCAAAGTTGCCGAGTTTCGTTCCCGATACGGACCCAGTGTTCATCAGGAACTTCTCCACGGCACAAACTAGCGCCGATCAAAAGGGGCTCGTGCTTAGGTACTCTAAATCTCTTGACGCGAGGGCAGAGAGAAGTTTGCGGCACTGAATTCTGAGCAAGACACAATGAGTCTGTGATAGGTCACCCAAACTCAGCCGACGAATCTCAATCACTGACACATTGTCAGAGCGGGCAACCTCATCTTCATTACTCTCTGCCCTTTGCCGGGCAAGCCACACGGGCCAAAGCTTGTTCTTCAAGATCCACAGGTCCCAGTCCTTTAGCGGCGGGTTTTAGTGGTCTGTTGGCGCGCCACGGCCGCAAACCGCAGTTGTCAAATCGGCGCTATCGCGATCCAAACTGAGTCACCGCCATGTCCGACCATACAGGAGAACCTGTTTGTCCAGCGACAGCTTGCTGTGAAACAATTCGTCTCCTGTGTTCAACACCTTCCTGGGGCGTTATACAGCAAGCGGGTCCCTCGCAGCATCCAAGCGTCACCCCCGTCGGTATTTAACTCACAATGACCGACGCGGACCTTCTCGCCTCGTCATACGCCCGCCTCAGGGCATCTCTCTCCTCCCGGAGGGATGACACTCTGCCCTCGGCCGCCCTCCTCTCCGCAGCGGAATCATCCCTTCCCCGCCCCGACCACCTAGGCTACCTTTTGCCCCGCGGGGCCGAGAAAACCCTGGACCATCTCCATGAGGCCATCGTCCCAGCCCTCAACGGCCAGAACCTTTCCGGGCGGTACCTCGGCTTCGTCACGGGCTCTACCCTGCCCGTCGCCGAGGCCGCCGACAACATCGTCTCGGCTCTCGACCAGAACGTCCAGGTTCACCTGCCCGACCAGACTGTCTGCACGGCTGTCGAGGATGCTGCCACCGGCATGCTGGCCAGCCTCGTCGGACTTGACCCAGCCGTCTGGAACGGCCGGACCTTCACGACGGGCGCGACGGCGAGCAACGTACTGGGCCTTGCGTGCGGGCGTGAATTCGTCATCGCTGCCAAGAAGGCCGGTGCGTCGGTCGCAGAGCTAGGACTGCTAGGCGCGTGCGGGCTAGCGGGGGTGCGCGAGGTGCGCGTCTTGACGAGCATGGCGCATAGCTCGTTGTTCAAGGCGGCGGCGGTACTGGGCATCGGGCGGGCGTCGGTGCGGCAGTTGCCGGTCAGCGAAGCGGAACCGTGGCGGCTGGACCTGAGTGCCGTGGAGGCGGCGCTGAAGGACGAGGGAGTCGTGAGTATCATTGCGATCAGCGCGGGGGAGGTAAATACTGGCCGGTTTGCCACTGTTAGCATGGAGGAGATGAGCAGGGTGAGGAAGCTGGCTGATCGGTATGGCGCGTGGATCCACGTCGACGGCGGTGAGTCTACGCGCTTGGAAATTGATGGTAAGGGGCGGGTAAGCTAATGACGAGAACTTAGCCTTTGGGGTCTTTGCACGAGTTCTGCCCGACACGGAAGAGTTTGCCCGGGTGCGCCAGTTTGCAGATGGCATGCATCTGGCGGATAGCATCACAGCCGACGGGCACAAGCTGCTCAATGTGGTATGTCCGAGACCTCTCATCCCTTTGTCTTGATCCAGACCTGTTCTAAACTGTCGGCTCTTCGTGCAGCCCTACGATAACGGCATCTTCCTCTGCAGGCACAAGTCTATGCAACACGCTGTCTTTCAGAACCCCAACGCTGCCTACCTGGCCTCGGGCGGCGCCTCGGCCATCCCGAGCCCGCTCAATATGGGCATCGAGAACTCGCGGCGCTTCCGCGCCCTACCCGCCTACGCCGTCCTGCTGTCCGAAGGCCGCAACGGCATCGCCGACATGTTTGCGCGCATGGTGCGCTTCGCGCGCCGAGTGGCGGGGTACATTCGGGACTCGGAGGCTTACGAGCTGCTCCCGGACGGCGACGCTACTGCCGCCGAGTTTGGGCTGGAGGCGGTGCATATCATTGTGCTGTTCCGGGCGAGGGACGAGAGGCTGAATGAGGAGCTGGTGGGGAGGGTGAATGGCACGAGGAAGATGTATGTCAGCGGCACGAGCTGGGCTGGGAAGAAGGCTTGTCGGATTGCGGTGAGTAGTTGGAGGGTGGATGTCGAGAAGGACTTTGAGGTTGTGCGGGAGGTTCTTGAGAGTGTTGCGAGGAGGTGAGATGCTCGGCGGTGTGGTTGGAGGCGGCTCTGATTGAGGCGTCGTCTGAAAGACAAGAGACTCAAAGATATGATGCGAATTCTCGTCGACCTAGAGAGGATGACGAGTTTGATAAAATGTGGCACACCATGCTGTATGGTGTTGTCCAGCGGCTACATCCCAGGTACCTCTACATATTACCGTGAACAACCTGAGAATGGATCTGTCTGATCTGGTTATCTAATCTCTCTGACTTTCAATGTTGGACAAGGGCTTTCGGAATGAAGGCGGCCGCCACGTAGTCGGATGGAGTCCACATCGCCCAGAAAACGGAACGCTCTCTTGCCGAAATCAGGCATCACAGCGCCGAATCGGCACCGGTTCCAATCTCGGCGACCAACCAGTGTTGGAGTTTCTGTGGGGCATATGACGAAGTCGAGAGCAGTCAACTGCTTGAGCACTGATATAAATGTCCTTCTTGTCACGCAATATGCAGTCGGCAGGATGAATTGGATCAATCTGTTAAAATCGCAAGCCTTGTTTTGTCATGGCAGAAAAAACTACGCAATCAGAGGCTTTGCAGCCTTCGCAACCGGCCGAGAACATCGAGAACCAGGCCTTACAACACCACCAGGGAGAGAAGACGGCCAGTGGCGATGATAGCGCGCAGGCTGATGAGCGGCCACTGTACTCCGTCTTCTCCTCACGGACCAAAGTCTTCGTCGTCGTGATGACCGTCTTCAGCACCTTCTTCTCCCCCTTCTCGTCCTTTGTCTACCTCCCGGCCATCACGCCCATCGCCGAGGCCTACCACCGCTCCCTCGGCGAGCTCAACCTCACCGTCACCGTCTACCAGATCCTACAGGCCGTCGCGCCGCTCTTCTTCGGCGACCTCAGCGACCAGGTCGGCCGCCGGCCGGTCTTCGTGCTCACCTTTGCCATCTACATCGGCGCCAACGTCGGCCTCGCGCTGCAGCACAGCTACGCGGCGCTCATGGTGCTCCGCGCCCTGCAGAGCTCCGGGTCCAGCGCGACGGCCGCCATCGGGAGCGCCGTCGTGGCGGACCTGGCCACGAGCGCGGAGAGGGGCGGCTACATCACGGCCGTGCAGTCGAGCACCATGTTCGCGCCGGCCGTGGCGCCTGTCCTGGGCGGAATCCTGACCCAGTACCTGGGCTGGAGGTCTACGTTCTGGTTCCTAACCATTGCCGCCGGGGTGTTTCTGGTCTGCTATGTCCCGTTCGTTCCGGAGGTGTGTTGTACTCTTGTCTATTGGGCGGCCGACTCTCATTCACTGACGAGATGCATAATGTATAACTAGACGGCGCGCAAAATCGTAGGCAATGGGAGTATCCCCCCACCAAAGCTGAATGCCTCCCTTCACTCCGTTCTCGCCCAGCGGCGTAAGAAACGGGACCTCGAGCAGGCAGAGCCAGGTACAACAGCGCCAGCGCCGGAAAAGTCCCCCCTGCGCATCCCCGTTCCCAATATCTTGGCTGCCGTCCGCATCTGCTTCGAGAAGGATGTGGGCCTGCTCATGCTCTTCATGGCCCTCTTCGTCATGGCCAACTACGCGATGTTGATACCGCTGCAAGACGTCATCCGGCGGAGGTACAGCTTCAACGACCTCCAGGTCGGGCTGTGCTACATCCCCTTCGCGGTGGGGTCCGTCACCGGCGCCGCCATCTCCGGGAAGCTGATGAACTGGAACTACGCCAGGGTGGCCAGGAGTATCGGCGTGACGCCCGACAGGAAACGCGGGGAGGAGCTGCGGCAATTCCCCATCGAGCGGGCCAGGCTGGATCTCATCTGGCCGTGGACTCTCCTGGCCGTGATTACCACCGTGTGCTGGGGGTGGGTGGTCGATTTGGGCGTCAATCTGGCGGCTCCTCTGGTGATCTTGTTCCTGGCCGGCATGGGCCTTGCGGGTCCTGTCTCTGTTCTGACGACTATCCTCGTCGACCTGTACCCGATGAACGCTGGGCGAGTGTCTTCGGCATTCAACCTGACTCGGGCTTCGTTCAGCGCGATAGGCACAGCCGTTGTGCAGTATATCATTGAGGCTTGGGGGTATGGTTGGACCTATGTATTTCTGGGCTTGGTTGTGGCGGCAGCGAGCCCTGCCGTACTGGTTGTAAGGAAGTTGGGGCCTAAGTGGAGAGAGGAGAGGTATCTGCGTTTCGAGAAACAGGAAGCTAAGAAGGCCACGAAGTGAGCCTTATATTACTGTCACAAGTCAATATTATAGATCTCGGACCAGCCTAGGAACAAACACCTTGGAATTTAATTCTAGTTGCTAAATATATATATGAAGATGCTTCACTTTTGCGGTCTAGAGCAATCCTTTTCGCCATCCATTGCTGTTGCAATACCAGTGACCCGCCTTCAAATATAAGCTCGCAAGAACTCCACCAACGCCATCATAGCCATCGCCTGACCATAAGGCATAGCCGTTATCGGGATGTCCTTGTAGTGCTGCAAATCGTGGCCCATCGCCGTGCCATAAGAGGTGTTGAGCAGCTCGCCCTCGGGGCTAATATTCGCTAGAACGCCCTTAACCGCCTTGACGCCGACCTCGGAGTACATCTTCCCGGACTCAAGATACCGCAGCCGCTGAGCCTTGAGAATGCCGTAGGCAAAGCCCGCCGTCGCGCTGGACTCGGGGTACGAGCCTTCGCTCTCGGGGATGTCGAGCAGGGTCCGCCACAGGCCGTCGGGCTGCTGCATCCCGACAAGGGCCTCGCACTGCGCGCTGAGCGTATGGATGAGGTGCGCCTGGAGGGGGTCATCACGGTCCAGCTGGAGCAGCTCGAGGAACTCGGGGATCGCCAGCGTCACCCAGCTGTTGCCACGGCCCCAGAGCGCTTTGGCAAAGTTGTGGTTGCCGTTGAAGCACCAGCCGTGGAAGAAGAGGCCCGTCTTGGTGTCGAACAGGTACTGGATGTGGAGCAGGAACTGCCTCTTGGCCTCGGCGACGTACTCGGGCCGGTTCAGGACGAGGCCGATCTTGGTGAGGGGCAGGACGGTCATGACGAGCGTGTCGTCCCACAGCTCCTGGTCGTTGTCCGAGAGGTACGTCATGTGCTGCAGGCCGCCGTACTTTGTGCGCGGCAGGTCGTGCATCGTCCACTCGGCCCAGCTCTCGAGCCAGGGCTTGTAGACCGGGTTGCGCGTCTGCTCGTAGACGTAGGCGAGCGTCAGGAAGACGGCCATGGTGTTGATGTTCTTGCCCTTGTGGCCCTCCTCGAAGCGCGCGCGGAACCAGTCCTCGATGATCTTCAGCCACTCGGCCTCGCCCGTGAGCTCGTAGTACTTCCAGATGCCGTAGAGGCCCACGCCGTGCGTCCACTCCCAGTCGTTCCAGCCCTTGGGGTCGATCTTGCTGCCATCGGCCAGCACTACCAGCCACTCATCTGCCGTCGGTCTCGGGGTCACCAGCTCGCGGATGAGCAGTTGGATCTTCTTGTGGATGTCGGCCGAGGCGATGCCCTCCACGTGTGTCGGCATTGTGGCTACTGTTCAAGATGAATCCCGGGCGAAGAATGGGCGGTTCAGAGACGACGTTGCGTAGGATTATGGGACCGTAGCAAGAATCCAGAAAAGCAAATTCCCATGCGAGAGGAGGGCATTGGTATCCAAGAATGACGTCGGGAGTTTATCTGGATCGCCTGTGTGGAGCATCGCATTGACGGCCTCGGGGGTGTTTTCCCCGACCTGCGAACCGGAATATTTGACGCGGAGTTTCGACCCGGATCTCCAGCACCAAGCCAGATGCTAAGCATGCTAAGTGCTTCGACTTAGTCAAACCCCGCATCGTCTCGCGGGCTTGCTCCGCTCTACCGGGCGGACATGAGCCGAGCTTGGTCTTAGCCTGCAGCGCCCCTCATGCCTTCTCCACCCGGTCTGGAGAAAGAGACCAAGTTGATAAGGTTGAGATCGGTAAGATGGCCATATGTTTACCGAGAGCCTCATAAACGACGATGCAGGTACTGGCAGGTCCAGACTCAACTGCCATTGAAGTGGTCTGGCCGTGTATCAAAATTCTGCGCTGTCTGTATGCTGCGTGGTGTTGCCACAAACAGAGAACAAGTCGCCATACGAGAGCGTGTTGACTGAGGTAATACTTGGGTGAAGTCAGAACGCCAGATTATCAACCATTGATATAATTCGTCACGTGTCAGAGCTCGTAGCCGCACGAGGAGGGAGGAAGATGGCGAGCTGTCTGGGTGACCGGATCAATCCACCACGCGTTACACAACAGTATCCGGCACGAACAGCTTCTGAGGATATATTACTGAGCACCCTCCGCAGTTCAAGCGATGATACTCTGCCTGTTCTCGAAGTCCTAATACCTGACTGGCCGGTTCTGCGAGGGTACCAGCCGTATCTCAGAACAGAGTAGAGCACTCTCAACACGACCTATTCTGTCAGTGTCAGACGACGGTCTTGTTGTAGAACGCGACAAGCCTTTGACGGAACTACTCGCGCCAGAACTTTGAATAGAACGAGAACATGAACAATGTTGGATGAGTTTGGAAACTATTATATCGGACAGCCAAATCGCAGTCTTACACCTCAGTATATCGACACATTCCCTTGCCGCACTCTGGTCTCCTAATCTCTTAAAGCCATCACAACGGAATAAACTCGACGCTCAGGATGTGTCTCTTAGATTTGTTTCAAGAGCTCCGTGTTTCTAACCGATGCTATCAATAGCCGTGCCGTCTCAGCCTCCGGGGCCAGCCACGATGTGCCATTGCTCACCCTCGCCCGGCGTCTCCACAGCTTTGGGAGTTGGTTAAAGAGGTGCAGCGACATACGCAGTGCCTTTCAGGGAACCCCGAAGACTGCTTCACACTCTTCCTTGGCCCAATAATATTGCGGGGGCAGCTTGGACACCGCGTCTAAACTGCCGAGTCCGCTTGTCCCCGCATCTCGTAGAGTGTTCGGCTTTCTGTAAAAGGCAACCCGCCAGTGAAGAGCTGAGCAAGCGCGGGCGATTTTCACCATATCTAGCAATCTTGCTGATGAAGAAGTCACCCGGTTTCCGATATCGCTGAGTTACAGGGAGTCATCATGTTCACGCTCTTTCAAACAGCAGTACGATCGATGGCCATTTGATGTCGTGCCACCTAACCAGCCCACAATGGACTTTCAGCTTGTACACTAAAACTCCATCCGCACCTGACGGACTAGACAGCGGGAGGGAGGACAGATGCGGGGTTGTCCGTCATAGCAGGTGCATATAATTATTCTTGAGTTGCCTTTAGCACCTGATCATCATGTAAATGACATTTCATGCTGGCTCCCGGACCACTCTGACACAACATGGCCAACTTCACCGTTTCTGGAAAGACTGCCATTATCACCGGAGCGGGCTCTGGTGCGTTTCCCACAGCGAAGTCTCAAGAATAGGGTATTCCTGACTTTCAGCTAACGCGTGCATGTGTCATTTCAGGCATAAACTTGTGCTTTGCCGAGCTTCTCCTCACCAAGGGCTGCAATGTCGTCTTTGCAGACCTCACCCTCCGTCCCGAAGCAGAGCAGCTGGTCTCACAGTATAGGTCCAAGGACAAAGCCCCGCGAGCTGTGTTCGTGCAGACAGACGTGACGTCGTGGTCCGCACTGCGCAACATGTTTGAGGTCACGGTACGCGAGTTCGGCAGCTTCGACCTCGTCTGCCCCGGCGCTGGCGTCTACGAACCCAACTGGTCTAACTTCTGGCATCCGCCCGGGTCGGCTGAGAGCAAAGACGAGCTCGACGCGAGCCACTATGCACTGCTCGACATCAACCTCACCCATCCCATCCGGACGACGCAACTGGCGCTATCTTACTGGCTGCACCCGCCCGCGTCAACGTCACAGGCATTGCTAAAAGCGTCCCCGGAGAACCCAAAGCGGGTTGTCCACGTCTCTTCCATTGCTGCGCAGCTTCCGGTCTTTAGAGCACCCCTGTACGGCGCGTCCAAGTTTGCCATCTCCGGCTTCGTCAGATGCTTGGCTTCTCTCGAGTCGGCCGGTGTGCGTGTCAATGCTGTTGCACCGGGAGTCGTGCGCACGCCGTTGTGGACGGAACACCCGGAGAAGATGATCTACCTGAAGGAGGAGGACGCCTGGGTTACGCCTCAAGAAGTTGCAGAGGCGATGCTGAGCTGCGCGGAAAGCGAGGAGCACAAAGGCGGAACTATTCTGGAGGTCGGGGCTGGGAACACGCGGCATGTTGGCGCCTTCAACGACCCCGGACCGGACCTGTCGCCGGGCAAGGGGTTTGCCACCAGCAACTCGGCACAAGCCAACGAAGTCATCTGGGAGTGGATGGGAGACAGCAAGATCTGGGCGCCTCCTGCTGCGGACAAGTCTTGATCACGGCTCTGCTAGAGTAATGCATGGCTTGTATTAATGATATCGTTGGGATATCCATCTTGCAATTGAGCTTACCCTCCTGCTCAAGTCATTATGTCTCTTCAGTTAGGAGGTGGTGCCGTACTACACCATCCAGGATCGTCCGTCCTCTCGCAGTGCCACAAAAGCTTGACCGGCAAACTTCCCTTGGTTGCCGCGTTGCATGTGCTAGGATCCTTCACTTGCGTACAGTATCCCAGCGGGCCCAGCGGTGGAGGCGGCCAGACCGGCTGGGCGACGAACTCTGCAAATCAAAAGTGTTAGCCAAGCCATGCTGCGATATCCGGGGATAGTTCTATCAGCCTACCATAGACGTCAGGGTCTGCGAAAGCTGCTCTAAACCAAAGCTTAAGGCGGTCGTTGCCACACAGACTGTGGTAAGGCTGCTTCTTGGTTGGAGGGGTCGGGATGATGAGGCTCGTGAGGGAAAAGCCGCCGCGCGGCGACAGGTCTGCCGCAGGCTGATCCTGAGACCCCTGCTGAATGACTTGGAATCCAATGGGGTTGTCCTTGGTCTGGAAGTACTTGCAGCTCGAGGCGTCATCAGGCACGGCGATGATGTGGTCGACTCCGGCGTAATACACTGTCCCAAGCCAGAACCCTTTTGTGGGAACCGGTGGTGCCCACGGAGCACTTGTAGGCGCTGGCTCAGGAGTCGTCGTCGTCGTGGGAGGCGGCGGGGTGTAGCAGACCGGCTTTGTGACACACGCCTGCTGGTCTGGAGGGCCGTTGCATTCCACCGTTGTGGTAGTGGATGAGCAGTCCAGAGATCTACTCGACAATGTTGGCAGATTAGGGAGGGGCGGTGCCGTAGTTGCTTTTGTCGGGTCCGGAGCAAATGGCGGGAGGTTAACGAGAGTCCCTTCAAGAGGGAGATCCGTGAGTTGTGCGGGCAGGAGGGGACAGGACCCGCCGCTGTTCTGGCCTTGTCGCTTATGTCGCTGTCCGGGCCTTCCTCCTGGATCCAACAGACAATCCGTCTCTTGGTCTTGACCGTTCCACACAACATTCACGAGCTCGGGAATTTCACCTTGATACGTGGCTGTTGTTGCGCCATCCTGGGTCATGTCGACAAACTGTCTATGTAGACGCGTGATGAGTCTTTTCACGTTGCTTGGCTCAAACAGGGGATTCTGTGCGAGTGTCGGATTCGCAGCCCATCTGGTTGGCAAGACTTTAAAGTACGCTGCCAGTGCTGCTACACGAGGAGCAGCTGAAGCATGTTCAAGCCGAGTCAGTATGCAGAGGCATTTATCGGACAGCACATGTGGCTCACCGAGGGACGTGCCGCTGTATGGCATCATGTCTGCATCGCTAACGTTTCCTGGAACTTGACTAGAACAATGTCAGGAGCCAATGAAACTCATAACCATGCATTCTAACTTACCTGGACCCGCCGGGGGCGAAGGTGTCAATCGCCACGTTTGCGGGCGAGTCAAGTAGGCGACGGCCATTCTTGTCAGAAGCCCCAACGAGAATTATTTCCTTCAAGGTCCCATCTACCTTGAACTTGGCCGGCCAGTGGTCGATTCTATCGGCAAGCTGCGGGTTTTGGGTTCTGCCCTTTCCTGCGGCAACGACAATGACCAGCTTTTTGTCATCCATCAGGGAGCGAAGTAAATCCTCTGCGAGAGTTGATGGCTTAGAATGTTCCCAATGACTTATGTAAGGGAATGTTTACTCACCCATAGCTAGCAGCCAAGCTCGATAGTCTGTTTCTTGTCTTAGTGGATAGTTGTAGCATAGTCGGAAACCTGGCTGTTTTCTCACCTTTAGCCTCATCGGTATTCGGATCATCATAGGTATGGATATCGTATCCGATGGTAATCGAAACAACACCTTCCCCGGGGTTTGTAGACAAGTCGTCTCGAATGCGTGCAAGGACATCAATAAATTGGTCCCCTGTAGCACCGCTAGAGTCAGACACAAGCAGGAAAGAGATATGTTTCACAACCAGAGTCGAAATCAGGGGAAAGCAGCCGGAGAAGTGCTGATACTGACCTTGGTCCCCGAGTGCAACAAACTTCCAGCCGGCATTCGGCGCGAATCCCACGTCCTTTCCGATGGCAGCGCCGACTTGGGCCGTTCCGTGCGCAGCGTTACCGCTGCCATCAAAGTTGGGATGATGACCCTCTGCTATGATGTCTGGCTGCCTCCTCGGATTGTTCGAAAATTGCTAAAGGAGAGATTTAGCACAAATACACTCTGTCGCTGTCAGAAGAGATCAAAGACTGTGGACATACGCTGTGTGTTGCCCGGATGTCGTCATCGAGAAAGTAGATCATCGATCCTCTTCCGCCGGTGTCGTCCCAGTAGGCATAGTACTCGTGCCCTGGTCCACCAAATATGTTCTCTTGGTAGGGGCCTGGATACAAACCCCAGTCCTCATTGTCGCCTGGAGGACAGGAAACCTGTGATCGTTCCCAGGCGATGATGCTATCCGTCTTCACCACAGCCCTGCCCCTGACATTTCGAGTAGAAAGCTCCGCGCGGGCGAGGTTGTCGTCTTTGAGAGATCTTATCTTGTTGGATGAACGAGACCCATTGTCATACAGAACCACTGACGCAACCTGTCCGGCCAGCACTCAGCAAACATCCATGAAATTATGGGGGCAAGGGGGAAGGTGGGTAAAGGGAACGTGGGGGCTTACCTGCGGCTGGTCTTTGAAGACCTGGGTCGCGGCTGCATCCATATCCTACGCGTAGTAAAAGAACGTCATCTGCATCTGCGAGGACCGGACCTCGAAGTAGCCGCGCCCGTTCTGGTGCCTCCGGCGTTCTAGCATATCCTTGATGACCTGTGTGTCCGCACGGCTGTTTTGAGCGATATAGATGACCGCTTTCTTGGTCGATTGCCGTTCGCACGTGAAGTCGAAGTCGTTCGGCCCCAGCCCGCGCGCCTCGAGAGGACTTGCACCAGCAGAGGATGCAGCCCTTCGAGCGACTCCGGTAGGCGCTACTGTGCATCCCGCCGTGGAGGCTTTGGTCGTGGCATCGCCAGTGGAAGTGGCGCCGCACGCAGCGTATGTGATACTTGTGGACAATACCGTTGAAGACGTGGTCTGGGTAGTCGTGGGGTTTGTCGTCACTGCGTACGAAGTGGTCGTAAGCCCTATCGTGCCTATCCTAGTCGTACAGTCGGTCGGTTTCTGATCAAACGTGAGGCGGTGATCATTTCCGATACTGCTGGAAATTATCATTATGCTTAAAGAAAGATATATAGCCTGAGGGCTGAGGGAGTGAGAAGAACTTACGTGAGCGTCGGCCAAGGTCCAAGGCTGATAGACAATTGAAGGTCGTCAGGCAACTTGATCGGCGGACAAGATCCAGGGTCGCGGCATGGTGGATAGACTCCGGGTAGCACAAACCACTCCCACCCGCCGATGTGAATATTGCCCCAGGAGATGCAGGTCTACATGCTGTTAGCAGAATTCTGGGCGTCACAAAAGAGGCCTGCACTGACAAAGAAGAACCAGAGTCTGCACGAAGACTCAGTGTGACCGCCTGTCTCCTCAGATTCGGACTCAATCGTTGTGGTCACGGGAACAATCGAACTCAACGATGGCCAAGTAGCGTAGGTTATGAGGACGGTACCAGGCGGCGTGGTCGTCGGCGTGGTTGTCGACGATGTGGTGATCGGCACACCCACGCATGGCCAGCCTGGGAAAATGGTAAACGATGCACCTCCAGTCAAGGTCGTCAACGGGGTAGGTACGCAGGGATATGTGAATACTGAGCCGTCTGGTAGACGCGTAGTGCTCTCCGTGGGCTGTGAAGGTGGTGCTACACATGGAAAGCCGCCCGGGACCAGCGTGATCGTCACGCCAGCCGTGACTATTGAAGTTGAACTAGTGACGCAAGGAAACGTAAAAGTTGAACTATCAGGCAATACGGTAATACTTGGCGTAGGCACTGAGTTTGGAGGCAACGTCGTCACTTGACCACTGGGCAGAGTCGTGATAACTGGGGAGGCTGACGGAGTTGGGAGCAGCGTGATCGTTTGGCCGCCGGTGGTAATCGTGGTGGGTGCGGTAACGCTTGGAATTGTGAAATTCCCCCCATCAGAAAGAGTTATCACACTTGACTGTGGCGTGTTTCCTGATGGGAGTGGCAGTGCTGTAAATGTGGTTCCGTCTGTTGCTATTGCGGTGGGCGCTGTGACACTTGGCCATGTGAATACGGCACCGTCAGGGAGGGTCGTGACAGATGGTGGAGGCCTGCTGGCACTAGATGTGGGTAAGACCGTGATAGTCGCGCCACCAGTCGTGATTATGGTCGGCGCGGTGACGCTGGGGGTTGTGAAGATTTCTCCATCCGGTAGAGTTGTCACAGACGGCGCTGGTTGGCCGGGTCCACTTGTCGCGCCAGGCTGCCCGGGCTGTGTCGTGATGCCTCCCACTGGCGGCGGAAGAAGTGTGATTACTGCGCCATCAGTTGTGATAGTTGTAGGCGCCGTGCCTGTTGGCAAAGTTATAACATCTCCGTTCGGCAGTGTTGTGATGAATGGGGGTGTTTGGCCAGGAGGGGGCAGGGTAGTTCCTTGGTCTGGTGGCAAAAGTGTGAAAGTTGCTCCGCTCGTTATCAGCGTTGTTGGCGCCGTGACAAGTGGCAAGGTAAGAACACCCCCGTTGGGCAGCGTGGTGATGGAGGGAGTAGGCTGGCTTTGGCTCGCATCAAGACCCGTGGAACCTCCGGGGAATCCCGGAGGACTGATCGTGAACGTGGAGCCTGCAGTTGTGATGGTCGTTGGTGCGGTGAGGCTGGGCAGAGTGAAGACAACGCTCTGGCCGTTTGACACTGGAAGGGTAGTGATAAGAGGCGGAACGCTGATCCCTTGTGGAGGTGGTAATGTCAGGATTGAAGATGGCGGAATAACACCTGGAGGAATTAATGTGCCTGGAATGGCGCCAGCAGGGGTTGTGGGAAGTCCGAAAGTGATGCCAGAGCAAATAGTCAATACCGTAGACGCGTTCAAGTGAATCGAAGCCATCCAAGAATAAACCTGCGTTAGAGTAGTTGTCATGGTTACGACCGGGGGTGAAGGGCAGTTCTCGAGACATGTGGGACATGTCGGGTTGATGGAGCTCCCACCATGCCCCTGATCTGGGACATCACAGCCGCCGGCAGGATTGCAGACGGTACCAGATGGACAGCACCCATATTGACAGCAGATAGTTCCTATATTATCTCAATTTATCATCACTCTTCAGGCCAAGGGGTACTTTACTTACCAGGGCCGCAAAGGGTATGGTTTCCGTCAGGCGTAGGACAGCATGTCTCACCCAACTGATCTGACCCGCAGCGGTCTTGACACCAGTACTGACCAGATGGACATTTATCTGACGAGCGGGAGAATACTGCGTGAGTACTTCTAATTGAAGTTGCCACAAGCAGCAGAAGATACAGTTTGAGCCACATTGTAATGTTGCTTCGCCTCCTGAGGCAGGCTCAATTCCTCGCTCAATATTGACCACGTAGACATCCTCTTCGAGGTTACCTGCCACGAGATGGTCTTTTCATTTTGTATCAAGGCACCTGGGATATAGCTGATCGACTGATAAGCTCAACACTCAGTAGTTCTGTTAACTGCTAGAGCTGGCTCCAGCAGCCCTCTCGCCACAGTACGCCTCTTGCCATCTAGGGAAGTTCCGACAAGTGAAGCCAGATATCAAAAGAGAATTCGTTCCCTCCCACTTCAAGGGCCGAGAAATCTAATCGGAGATCCAGTCCAAGGCATTATAGATCATCTAAGAAGGTTGTTAAGGGCTGGGCTGAGGGCGTGTCCCTAAAGGCCGTTAAAATCTGACCCGGCAAGTCTCGCACCGTGTCTAAAACCAGGGTTCTCTCATCTATGGTTCCGCTAATACAATGTCATTCATGATTCAGTCGATCAAGTGCATTTAGTCTTGCAATAAACGCGTTATGCAATACGTCAACCCTAATCCATCTCTACAGTTGATCATCTGACAGGGTTACCACCGCTCCATGACGCCAAGTTCTGCGTCCTTGCGGCTAATGCAGTTCGCTCTGTTGGAATGATTAGGTTCTTTCACCATTTGATTCATATAGGGACCGGATTTGACATGCTCAGATTAAAGTTTAGAAAAAAAGTTCCCGTGCATTAGCCGGCTCTCTGGTATGCAAGGTACACTGGTTCAGAGCATCAATGGACAGGAGGGTCTCCTCCAAAAAGAATGGATACATATTGCGGAAGCAGATACGACACGGATCAATGGCAAAAATAAAACGTACAACACCAGGCATTCGCTGGTCGTCACCGACCCAACTACTACTCCGGCGGTTGGCAGCTTATTTATGGGAGAGCGGACGGGATCCCGAGTTCTCTACCACCTATGGTCGTACGTGGGAGATATAGATGTAGCGCAGGATTATATCTAGATTTCTTGATGAAGGCAAGGCTCGCTGATAGTCAAGTCCCCGCGAGTGAAGATATGCGAGACAATCACCTGAGCAAAACTGACCCACATCGAATCTTACTTGTACAAGATTGCACAGTGTATCCAGTAACTAAAGGGATTCTTGAGACTAATAGGCATCGTGGGTGGTGTTTTGGGACGCTTCATTCTGCTCAAGCTGCCAATGCAAGACTTTTGAATTGCTGTTCCACCATGGCTCGACCCACCCGCGACAATATTTTCTGCAGATGTTTGCCCTTCTCGTGAACAGAGATCCTCCAAGATTGCGCCAATTGCTTATTCGCGAGCACAACATCCTGCTTCATTGGGCCAGATCGCGCTTTGAATCTCTCCAACCCAACATCGCACCTATTCGAGAGTGATCGACGGATAGATGATCCAGCTCGGCGGACCTGGTGATAGCTTGGAGTTGTCTTCGCGGATATTTGGCGGGTGGCCATCGCCGTCGATATGACTGAAGTTGGGGCGGTGCTGGATGAAGGCCAGCCCTCGAACGCGAAGTCTCTCGTGGTGTCGGTGTCGATCGTGACTGTGTCATCGTAGCGTATGGCCCTGAACTCGAGGATTGAATCTGACTGCGTCGGCATCTCTCGGACTGAAAACATGCGCTGCAGTCTCAGGGGACTCATTGGGGGCACAGGAGGAACGATTAGTTCCGAATATGCTTGCGATCGCCGTCCCAACGAAACATCAGAGTAGCATGACATTGACCGCCGCCGGTCTTCTTGATGATTCGCTTCTGCCAGGGCCATCCCGGGATATGAGCCGAGGAAGTTGCTATGCTTAGTTTTGCCAGTGAGGAGAAAAAGACGGTTTTGTTCATTGCAATGGCTCACATCAACCTCCTCTTGGAGTTCTTGACGATCGCCTTGGGTTTCCATGCGCTGTTCAAGGCGATGAAGTGTTGCGAGAATAGCCTCAAGGATTTCTTCGTGCTGCGAACTGGTATTGCTCGCCATGATAGCGGCTCCTTTTTCGCCAGAACAGTGAACTGAATGGATTGATTCCATCTTGATGTAGCGGTAGCTCTGCCTTGCTTGGCGGAAGTTGAGATTGGCGGCACGCTTGCTAAGAGCAAAGGAAAATATGTAATCCGCCAACATATTACCTACTCATCCAGTGATCATGACACCTCTCGTTATCACATGCATGCGGATAGCTCAAGGGGTGTACGATTCACACCTCGAGCTCGCTCCTCCCAACCCTGCATTAGTACAGAAGTATGAAGTTATAAGTGATTGCGCCGTTACGAACTTTATCTTGTTACTGGTTCATCCAATTGGAATTGCACCTTTGACGGCGGGGTTCACCTTGACATCCATTATCCATCCAGATCTTGTAGATTAGCATTATGATTGAGAGGTATTGTTCTACTAGTCCGATGTCAGCTCCAAGCTTAATGAGCATAGCCTCCCTAGATGGAGACAGCACACAAGGTTCGAATAACTTCAGAGAACTGTTCAATCTCATGTCGCGTCATAGAAGACATAATGTGAAGGTTTTAGTAGCGCACTCAGATTCGACTTCACCTGTTGGTCACAGGGATGGACCTAGCAAATCCATGCATATCATTGATATGAGATCTTGAACTTATTACGAAACTTAAAGAACAGCACCTCAGAATCACAGGAAACTTCCGATCCGACGGTGACTGGCTATCGTCTCGCTATGCCAACAGCTATAGAGTTCAGTGATTGTCCTAGATAATACAAGGCATAGGCAGGTCTGTCTAGCATGAACCCAGCTGCCTTTCCCCGTTGCTTCTTCGCACATCATTCTCTTGCTATCTCTATCACATTATGCACCGAATACTAGGTTTCCTTGATCCGGCTGTGGTCGGTCTTGTACGCAGTGCCCGGGCAGACGGGCCCGCCGATTGCTGCAGCTTCATCATATCTTCAGCTGGCTCATTCAGCCTTCCCGCTGGTTCGCTGGAAGACGGACAGATACGCTTGAACGGAACGTGTAACACGACCACTTTCTGTATCAACAAACAGGGAGGCATCACGGACTCGCGAGGTCACGGATGTATCGTGACTGGTGAGTATAAAACTTCGCAGTACCCAAAAACAGTGTCTGATCGTATTCTCAGAGTCACCGACCTCTCAATTCCAATGTGATCGGGGGAAAGCGCCAGATACCAACTTTTTCATCGGCAATGACAAGACGCTAGTGTACAAGGGCTCTCCGACTTTCTTCGCCTGCCCAGCCACTGACACGGAGTACAACATCTACGTCTCCCCAAACTTTGGGCAGACCAAATGCTTTCCCATCAGGCTCCAGAGCGACGGGTGCGGGGAGGCAAAGCTGTCGTGCCCTTCTGCTCCTGCTCCAACGCTCTGGGCGACAGAGTGGGTTACCGATACGGTCAACTACACCATAACCGCCACCCAGAAGCTGTTCGTCACGTCATGCCCAGTGACTCCAGTGCCGCCGTCCAACAGCACCCGCTCTTGCACAAACTGCTACATGAATAGCACCACTGCCTGGACCAATAACACGTTCCGCATCTTGCACACTAGTGCCCCTGGTGACAGGACTTCAGATCCAGGTGGTTTCACCATCCAAACTACCACTGTTGTTGAAACGGCAAAGGATGAGGAGACGGCAACCCAGCCGAGACTCAATGGGCTACGTGGTCGCAGCTGGTGGCGCCTTCTGTGATGGGAATACACGTTAATTTGTAACAGTTTGCACGGGCAGAGGCTTTGCTCTTACGGAGGAGTCAACTTATTACAGGGGGCTCATAGTACCATTGGTTATTAGGAAGTGATGGAAGAAGTAATCACGGGACAAAGTCATGGTTCATATCTGGGAATTTCTTCTAGTCGATCACCTTTTGCAGTGAGTGAAGAAGCCCTGTGACATTGATGTTGAGAGCCTGAAGTGGAAGAAGGTTGTCTTAGTCAGCGGACTCCGTGCTTCCGAGTGTACGTCCAAGTGGTGTGACCCGGATCTGTGGAATGCCGGCACTGTGGAGACCCTCGTGAGTCCTGGCAGGTACCAACCATGTATTGAGAGAAGCTCAAGTTCAGTTTCCTAGCATGGGACAAGTCGATTTGAAAACCAGACAAGATCTCGCGCATCTCCCTCGCCATTATCATTTGATAGGAAAGCGGTTACAGACCACTGCGACCCTGAACAATGGCCCGACTCACCGGCACCTGGAGGCTCATCGCCTCGACCCCGCGTCTGCAACGGTCCTCGCAAGCTCTGTCAGTCTTTGGCACACGGGCCTACATTTTCGGCGGCGAATTGCAGCCCCGCCAGCCCATCGACAATCAGGTCGATGTGGTAGAGCTCCAAAGTAGCGACTGTATTAATGCCATAATCTCCCAGCTTTGGGCTTTGCTAATCCGTTTCGCATGTTAGCATCAAAAGCCACATCAACACTCGCTACGGCTTCCGACGCGCCCTCGCCGAGGGTAGGCTCGCCCAGCGCAGTTGCGCGAGACGGCCTCTACATCTTCTCCGGGCGTGGCGGCGTGGCGATGGCCCCTGTGGAGGAGTGCGGTGCTCTCTGGCGCTTTGATCGCCAAAGCCAGTCATGGGAGTGCCTCAAGCCGGCAGATAGCAGCGCGTCGTGTCCCGCAGGACGCAGCTACCACTGCCTGACGTCCGACTCGCTTGATACGATCTATGTTCACGCCGGCTGCCCCGAGAAGGGCAGACTCGCAGATCTATGGTCGTTCGACCTCGAGTCTCGTGTTTGGACGGAGCTGCCTGCTGCTCCCGCCCCTGCTCGCGGCGGTGCATCCATCGCCTGGGCTGACGACAAGGTGTACCGCATGAATGGCTTCGATGGGTCTACGGAGCAGGGAGGTGCCGTCGATGTCTACGACACAGCATCGCAGGCCTGGAGCACTATCGTCTTCAAGCCGGATGGTGTCGAAGGGCCGGAACCGCGCAGCGTGTCGGCTCTGATGGTTGTCAAGATTCAGCGTAAGAATTACCTCGTCACCTTGTTCGGCGAGCATGATCCCAGCTCTCTCGGACATGCCGGTGCGGGAAAGATGCTCGCTGATGTCTGGGCCTTTGACATTGACGGGAAGGCTTGGACCAAGGTCGAGTTCGCGGGAGAGTCTCCTGCGCCTCGCGGGTGGTTCGATGCTGATGTTGCAAGCATAGTTGGAGAGAATGATAGAGTCATTGTGCATGGTGGACTTGCGGAGGATAATTCTCGATTGGGTGATGTATGGGAATTGCGGTTCGAGTAAAAGGCATTTTATTTTTACTTGCTTTTATTCTCTTCCTTTTCATTTTTGCAAGTCAACCTCTACCAACGTAGTACTTTGCTGCGCGTAATTAGCACTGGATGTACACATAAACCTGGTAAATCAGGTCGTAACACTCGAACTTGGCGATTACATGCTGCTGTTGGTGTGGCCATCAAGGTTCACATCTGATGACAATTTTAAAGGACTCTCTAATGGCTGCACCATCGTAGAGAATTGCGGCCCCAACGAACCTCTGATAACTCTCATCATACATGAGCTATCATTCACAAGAGCTTCAGAGTATATCCCACTCTGCTTGAGAATACGAATATGCTGAACTTATTGGGCGAAAAGATGAGGGTGTTGATCAAACGAGCGGGTACATACGAGGTACTTCATCTGGACCCGCCGACCTCGCTCGCTTTTATGTGGGAACACTGCGGAACGACGGAATCGGCTCGATGAGCGAAAGATTGAACCTCACTCTAACCAGCAATTGAAGAACCTGTCTTGATTTCCCATAATTCCCAATACGCTCGATAGGCGCAATATTCCGTGCCAATGTAATCGCAAAACAGCCTCCTCCAGCAGGTCGAAAGAATGGCGAGCGAATCTCAATCCGGCACCTCCGGACCCGGAACCGGAGCTACAGAGTGCCAAGACCAGCTCGATGTCCACCGGCCTGGGCCGACTCATCATCATGTTTCACGGAGCGCATCGCCCCCGGTTCTGACAAGTGACGGCGATCTAGTACGCTACGAGGCTGAGCCATCCATGATATTGAACCCAGAGTCCGAGCACCCCCTCAACTTCCACGACACCGTGCCCCGCGCCGTCGAGATCCGCCTCTACGTCTCGCACTTCCTGTCCACCTGGAACTCGCGCCTGTTCGAGTTCGCCGCCGTCCTGTTCCTCGCCTCCATCTACCCGCACACCCTGCTGCCACTATCTGTCTACGCCCTCGTGCGCAATGCCGCCGCCATCCTCCTTGCGCAGTCCGTGGGCTCGCTCATTGACCATGCGCACCGCCTTGCCGTTGTCCGCGCCTCGATCATTGGGCAGCGACTAGCCGTAGCTGGAAGCTGTGCGCTGTTCTGGGCCATGGAGGAGAAGAGGGTGCAGAGCCGAGCGATGAATGGGCTATTCGCGCTGTCGGTGGTCCTGGCTTGCGTGGAGAAGCTTTGCTCGTTGATGAATCTTGTGGCCGTAGAGAGGGACTGGGTGAGTCTTCTCGTGACACAAGTATCCGAGAGAGGTGTACTAATGACGGAGTTGGAAGGTTGTTGTGATTACCGAGGGTGACGAGACAGCTCGTCGGGGTATGTACCGCCTCGTTAGTTGTTGCGCAGTCCTTCGCTGACAGCACGCAGTTTTGAATGCCCGCATCCGCCGCATCGACCTCTTTTGCAAATTGATCGGCCCTCTCTTCATCTCGACAGTCATGATTTCGTCCACGTCAATCGCCATATGGACCACGCTTGCTATGAATCTCTTGTCAGTCTTTGTAGAGATGGTCAGCATTGGACAGGTTCGTGCGCCCAAATTCATTCGTCGAAACTTCAAGGCTGACGTGCAAGCAGGTCTTCAAAAGAGTGCCAGCACTGAGCCTCAGAGGCGATCTTGTGGATCGGCAAGACCAAGCAACAACTGATAGACCACCCTCTGGAATCAGCTCTGTCTTGAAGTCCTGGACATACCGTATCCTGCCCATTTCATCCCTTCCCTTCTACTTCCGCCACCCTGCCTTCCTGCCTTCCTTCGCTCTCGCTCTGCTTTACTTCACTGTGCTGTCTTTCTCGGGCCAGATGATCACATATCTCATCTCTGTCGGCTACACGTCATTACACGTGGGAATTGCCCGGACAGTCAGCACAATCCTCGAGCTCAGTGCCACATGGGTCGCACCATATCTCATGAAGAAGATCGGGACCATTCGCGGCGGCATTTGGAGCATATCGTGGCAAGCAGCCTGGCTTGGGGGAGCTCTTGCCTTCTTCTTCGCTGGCGACCATACGTTAGGCACCTACGGCCTTGCGCCCGCCACTGGGCTCGCCGTTGGGGTGGCCTTGAGCCGTGTCGGGCTATGGGGCTACGACCTTTGTGCGCAGAACATCATCCAGGATGTAAGTTGCTGGGAAGCGTTCAAGGTCTCACAGAAGTATCAGGGACTAACACTGCAACTAGGAGGTGGAAGCACAGTTCAGGGGCACGTTCTCGACTGTCGAAGCATCTTTCCAGAATCTCTTCGAGCTTCTGTCCTATGCCTCGACCATCATCTTCTCTCGCCCAGACCAGTTCCGCTGGCCAGTCATTATCAGCGTGGTCGCCGTCTATGCTGCCGGTGGCCTCTACACAGCCTTCGTCCGCAAGCGACGCGGGCACCTTCTCCACATGCCTCCCTGTCTTAACAGCGAAAAGATTACCTTGAGACAAGACAGAGCTTAGACAGAGCTTAGGTCATAAGCAAATGTTGGTAGATAATACTGATGTAACAATATTGCTATAGGTAAAGCATATACAGAAGCGTCAAAGTGACGACCACTCTACTTGTACGTCGGCCACCCCTCAGGCGACCAGTCGTACCAGCCCATGTCCACCTCGTCAATGACGCCCCACTGCTCGATGAACTGCTTCTTCTTGTCCTCCATGCCCTCGGTGCACAGGATCTCGTACACGGTCCTCCAGGCGCTGTTGACGGCGCCGATGATCCACGCGTGGCCGGAGCTCAGCGCCTCGCCGGCGAAGTGCATGTGGCCCTCGGCGGCCGGGGTCATGAGCCAGGGCATGACGCTGCTGAACTCGCCGGGGCCGAAGATGGCGAAGGCGCCGTTGGAGTAGGCCGAGCCGTACCAGTCGTAGGCGTGCCACCCGACGAACTGCTCCTTGACGAACTCGTAGGTCACGCCGTTGAGCTGCGCGAGGTCGCGCAGCGTCAGCTCGACGAGCGTGTCGGCGCTCTCGGGCTGCTCGGGCCACTGCGTCGTCGGGTTGTGCGGGTTTAGGTACGAGCCCAGGCGGCTCGCGTCCTGGCCCCAGACGTAGCTGGCGATCATGGTGCCGGGCGCGCCCTCGACGTCGAGGCCGTAGGACGGGTAGACGCAGCGCCGGATGGGCATGTCGGTGAAGGACTGGCCGCCCTTGAAGGGGCCCGTCGGGAGGTTCTCCCACCAGCGGGTCTTGAACTTGAAGCCGATCTTGGTGGAGGGGTCGTAGTTGAGGGTGCGGATGGCCGTGTTCTGGTAGTAGCTCAGGCCCAGCTCCTTGGTGTCGATGACCTGCAGGGCGCCGAGCGGGACGGTGGAGATGACGTGCGCGTACTCGTACTCCTGGGTGCCGTTGACGACGACCTTGAGGTTGCAGCCGGAGCCGCGCTTGATGGCGTTGACGCGGTTGTTGAGCACGGGCTTGTTCTTGACGACGAGGTTCATGCCCTTGGTCAGCATGTCCATGCCGCCGTTGATGAGGGACCAGTTGTTGATGTCGGCGCTGTCAAAGATCCACTGTTCGAGCACGGCCTGGGACATGGAGTACATGTCGTAGTGACCCGTCGCGTCGTTCATGGTCTCGAGCCAGTCGATCTCGCTGTTGGCGAAGCCCTGGCGCAGCAGGAACTCGCGCACCGACATCGAGTCGTACTGCATGAGCAGGTTGAACCCGCTGTCAAAGTCGGCCGACAGCGCGGCCGTCAGCGTCTGGACCTGCGCGGCCCAGACCTGCGAGGCCGACATGGAGTCGAAGGTGGTGTTGAAGATGGGAACGTTGTACCTGCTGGGGGAGGCCGAGTTGGGGTCCTGGAGCGGGCACGTGATGCCGTTGAACAGGCGGAAGGTGTTGTTCGTCTTGAAGATGTAGTGCTTCTTGACGACCTTGTCGCGCTCAGAGACGCGAGCGTTGATGTAAGGAATGAGAGCCCACGGTTCGTCGCCGATCACGCGGTCCATGTACGGCATAGGGGGGAAGCGCATGGCTCCGACGTCCTGCGAATCCTGTCAGGCATTTGTTGTTGAAGGATGCTGAGATAAGACATGTGACTTACGTAGTAGTCGTAATAAGCGGGATCCTTGGGAGTTGACTGATCCCAAGCCGCTTGGTCAAAGCGATAGGTAAAGATTCTTCCGCCGATGCGGTCAGAGGCCTCATGGATATCATAGTCGATGTTGAGAGAGTCGAGCAGCATGGCAGCGTAAAGACCGGCGGCACCGGCACCGACGATGCCGACCTTCATGTTGGTGCCCTGGGGGGAGGGAACCTTGGTATAGTTGCTGTAGTCGGACTCGTGTACGAGCTTGCGGAAGAAGGCAGCCCGAGGGTTTGCGGCAGCGAGCTTGCCATCATTGCAGATGGTCTTGATAACCACCGTAGGCTGCGGTTGCGGTAGTATTACCGTGGTGTTCCATGCCGGAAAGGCGAGTGACTGGCCCAACAATAGGGCTGAAACGAACGTGGTGATAAACGAATGTGAACTAAGGAGCGTCATGATGAAGTTTGACTAAAGAATGACTGGCGGTTTATGCCGGCGTGGGGTTCCTGTTCCTCCTGGGTTCGCCACCCGAGGCCATCGTCGCCGTCATCCTTCAGATTTATATACACTTGTGTACGTCTTTGTTTGTTTACATCCGCCTACCTACTCGCCAGCCGTAGGACAAGGGCACCTCGGCATCAACCACTGCTCGCAGGATGACAGCCGGAAGCGAATTGTCCAATTGCAGTGATTCACCATGCCTTATTGACGAGTGTGGCTTGAACTTGTCTTGTTAGGGTTGCCGAGCATTCCGTACTTCCTTCAGACATCAATCACAGGACCACAAAACAGACTTGACATCAAGTCGAATGAACCGACAGCGTGCAATCTTCACTGTTACCAATTTGGAAGCGGGACAGACCCTTATGACGCTAGCAGCAGGGCTTCCGGTCTAAAAGCGGTCTGGCCTCCAGCCTTATTTACTTGGAATGCACGCCCATGCAGAGCGGCCAATCCCCACAGAGATCTCCTGCCGTGAGCTTATTTCCTTGCATACCACCACTCCACACTACTCCAAAGAGGAAATAGGTTCTTGAGACGCATGCCGATAAAAAGCCACAAACATCACAATCTCCTTGACAACAACTGTTGGGGCGGCAGGGTAGCATTCTCGTCCGCCCAAGAAGCGGTAAGAAGTCAGTCCTATTGCTGTGGTTTCACAGTCTCAGCCGACAGCTCTCCTCCATTGAGACAAGCACGGCTTACTACAGTCCACTGTGGCAGACCCCTGAGACTGACCTAGCATATCTAGTCTTCCTTGGTGCCCTTTGTGGAAATTTGATTATGAATCGCTGTTAGTCAATGCGAGACAATCCTCTTGACTCTTGCTCTTGTCATCAAGTTAATTCCATGAATAGGTTTCCCGCCTCTTCTGGTATATAAAAGCTTTGCTTCATAGGCGATAGCATACTATACAGCACCAGATTTAACCCTTTGGGACATGTTCGTGCCTAGATTGTCTCCCACGTTGGTTAGACAGCACACAATACCCGGCTCGTGACGAGTAGCACCCATCGAAGAAAAATAGCTTGGCAATGACTGCTTTCATTTTACTTCTATTCCCATATTTAGACCACTATCTCTTGGTATTGAATCTTCTTAAACCCAGTAGGCCTGTACTTCCGACTCATCAAGACAGGCATTGGGCGCAAGTTATCATAGACGGGTGGAATGTAGCTTGCTTGCTCTCGGGCATAGACCACTCGAGTAATGCGCTGAAGCGAGCTATTCGTCAGGATGTTCAGCACATTTCAGAAAGTTTGGCGTGATTCAATCAAACCTGCCGCATGAGTTTTTTATGACGCGAAATCACCTCGAGCCATCACACCGGTCGCCATCAGGTTGTATTTGCAGTGTTACACATAGGAACTTCAGTAAATAGTGAGTACAAAATCCTACAATTTCCCATCCATCATCTAATCGCTTATCTTCCTCTTGTGGATGTTCGGAAGCGGCTTGCTTGTAAAGCTATTCAGCGGTTCTAGAATACCAAAAGTCCAGCCAAGATTAAATCCCCAAAGAAATATTCAAAGCCTAACAAGAACGCATTGAGTATTGCCACTGGCTCTAAGAATGTAGTGACTTCAAGATGTAACCTAGTAAGCTAGACCCCACAGTCTTATTCAGGATATTTATCCTGGACATCTCTTCTTTCAAACTGAAAAGGTATATGGAAACATTCACAATGTTACATTTCACAGAGCACAACATCTTTTCAGGGCAATACGACTTGTTTGCCAAGCCACATTCAGGCCGGGGTTAACAATGCAGAATTCTACCTAGGGAAAATACTGGAGAGCCTTCGAGCTGAAAGTTGGCTTGCAATGACTTGTGGAGAGGACCAAAATCAGATAGTAACCGTAGTGAGACTGATAAGCCTGGTAACGGTAGCATGATGAATCATTAGGAATGGTCCGTTTCAGAAGCAGCTGGACACCAGCACCCTACGTAGTACGCAAAAGATCTATAGAGGTCAACCGAGCTCAGCTCCACCTGCTAGGAGGGCCAACTCCCCTAGGTGAATGCAGCCAGTAGCGGCCTCGTTAAATACGGACGAAAACAAGCTTAAGATAACAGGCAGCTACAACTGCCATCGGCCTACGGTAACGTCACTCGTTTGCAACTAGGGTCCACCATCACTAAACATGAAAGACACGGTGATCAACTTGGAGGTTACCTATCTGGTGACTAGCGAGGCGCGTCTCGGCGGTTTGTGGAAACTACTCGGTTCCTTGCCCAATTAGCGATATTCCAATTGCAGACGGGCGGGTTCTGCCTAACCTCAAGACCCCCTTAGCCCGAACCCTGCCGGCGGTGATGTTCAGCTCACAGTGTTTGCTATGGAACATGCCTCTATGTAAAGGACCTGAAACATACAGGTCAAGGAGTTGCCTCTTCGGGGCGTCACGGCGTCACCTGGCCGGTTGCCATCACGGTCTTGGGTCCCGGATGAGAGGGTATTATGGCGACTGTACTGTGCTGGCCAGAAGAGAAGGTCATCTCCCGTTTTCTTAACCACAGATAGCATGCTGGGTGCAACGGCGTCACCTCTCAAGTGCTTGGGTTACGATGAGGCCGTGGAAAAAAGCAAGTGAAGTAGAAGCATCTATATTTTTTGTGGCGGTGTTCTCCATCACTAGCAATATCTCGGCAGCAATATTGAATCAATTGTATTATCGAGGTGACGAACATCGGAATCTAAAACCCTTGGAACATCTCCTTCCTCAACCAGTCAGGGAAGTCTACTACCGTTTTACTTTTTCTTGCTTTTTCCGCGGCGAAAACCAGCGCGTGGCCCATGATGATGTCTGAGAGTGAGCAACCAATGTTTTCTCTCTGGGCGTCTGTAACCGAAACACCGTGGTTCTTGATCCGGTCGATGGCGAGAAGGAATGCTCGTGTCAAACCTTCATCGCCATCTTCGTGACTGTCGTCCTGTGCAACGTGGGGGTAGTGGGATTTCTTCTGGCCTGTACTGAAATCTTGCACAATGATACACGCACCATCGGTCTGGATTTCTCCATGCGTTCCGTAAATACTGGTCGATCTTCTGCAGATTTTCTTGCTGAAGGCAACCATTTGCAGCGTTGCCGTCTTGCTGCTGCGATCCGCAAGTGACTCTAGACTGGCCTCGCCGTCTGCCACAGGCTCGTCCTCCCAGGCAAGTGTAACAGTCTGGTTGTCACACACATCGTTGTCGGTCTCATATACACAGCGCCCATACCACTGGCGCTGACCAACTTCGTGAACCGGTGTCTCGTCGCCGTAGTCCTGGCACAATCTTTCTAGAAGCGCCTGCTGGGCTGCTTCAGGACGGCCAGCGGTAACGCATTCTTCGATTTCCGGACACACCACCCGTTTCCAACCCTCCTGATTCGGGCCCGCCAAGTAAGACGCCGTGTAGATTCTCTTGGCCGAGAATTGACACTTGGGCTCAAATGCACAGGAAAGGCAGTTTGTCGCTGCACCAGCCTCGGCGGGCTTACGGTTACGTCGGAAGTATTGGAGGGACCCGGATGAGCTGATGTCTTTCGGTACGTGTGCTGGTATATTGGACCCAGGCGCCGGTGCTGCGATGAGCCAGTAGAGAAGGTCGATATCGTGGCAGCATTTCGCGAGCAAGGACGGCGATGATACCGACTCTTTCCTCCAGTTTCCCCTAGTCCAAATTTGTTAGTAGAGATTCACTCATGTAGCTCACTCTCACCAGACCGATGATAATGGTAAAGGCATACCTGACAAAGCTATGCACAAAGTGATTCCAACCTACCGGTTCAACATGATGCACAGCCATGATCTCTCCAATGACCTTGTCCTCCCGCAAGAGCTCCCGTAAGAGCATGTTGTGTGGAGTGTAGCGGAGGACTTGTCCAACGGCAAAAAGGCGTGTGGGCTGCACATCGCGGTTCGGCAATATTGATTTGTAAATTCCGACGCAGTCTTCGAGAGTGGGAGCAAGCGGCTTCTCACACATGATATGGAGATTCAGGGGAGCTAATGCTTCGACAACCTCCCGATGCATGCTGTCCTGCACGCATATGAACGCCGCATCCACTCCTTCCGGTACCTCCTCCCCAGCGGCGGCGCGCTTTCTTCTCTTAAGCTCCCAGGAGACGTACTGGCGATAGTCTTCGAACTCTTCGCCCTCGAGAGGCTCTCGTTTTCCCCAGATGTAGGTACGCCCGATGTGTTGCCTTTTCAAGGTGATGGGCTCGACCACACCGGCGACAACGCCATTGCTCGTGTTCTTAATGGCCCTGGCGTAGGTTACGCCGCGATTACCAGCACCAATAATAAGAATCCGAGGCGGCGAGGCCGAAAACTCCAGTTTCTGAGGTGAGGGCAGACGGACGATAGTCTGGTCTGCCGTGCTCACATCCGAATGGTTCGCCATGGCGTAGAATAGATGTTAACCGAGATTGCAACCTTTCTTAGCAGGGGAAAGGGCGGGGAGGGCGTTGGTCTCAGTGTTACCTGCTAGTTGTATGAAGATATTTGTGGCTTATAAACAGATGCACAATGGTGGTAGGTTTCCGCAACATTGTTGTGATCCCAGCCACATCAAGTCCTCCCCTGCATTCGGACTCATTCGGTCACCACCAAGGATGTTTCAACTACATCATATGAGCAACGTTGCCAGAGCGTAGCAAACCAACCTACTCCTAACCAGATCAAGGCTGGCCTACGTTATCAATGCATTTACGAGACCTTAGATAGTCGATCTTGCCAATAACAGATTGGTGTCTCCGACTGGATTGACCAGCAGTTCTTCGTCCAATGCAACCTTGGCGTTCGGCTCTTGTCGCCCTCTTGCCGACCAGCCCATAGAGGGTTGCAGATCCCAGGCCAGACCCTGCAGATCAACCTAATCCGCGCGCGGCTATTGGTCTTCCCCGCTTCTCCGCAGTGGCGACCAGGTCCACCGGAGCCAGACCGGAGGAGTCGCCCGTAGCATCATCTCTTTCTTGTCGTTTGCCTAGGTCAAGCTGAACCATCTACAGGGGCTGGGTCGGATATGGAGGCTGATAAAACATCACCGCCCTCTACATCGCGCCACTTGGAACATACCAATCTTTAAGGTCTTCAGTTTCCAGCTACGAGAAACAAACGAGTTCTTCTGGCCCCCATTTACGTGATTTATTAAGCCTTCTCCATCTATCGGTCTCTACGGTACCGGCTTTGTCTCTAAAGAACAGACGCGATGCCCGGGAAAAGCCTTGCTTCGCTCCAAATGGGCAGGTTTCGATGTAGGCCTCGACTTACCATAGACTTTCTCTCGATGAATAATCGGCTTACAATTCTCCTCCAGATAACTCGCCATGGACTCAAGTCATCATCGTCGGCTTTGTTGCATTCTGCTCCGTCGGAATGTATAGCGCCATCGGCGGTCTGGGCGCTGGTGGCACGCAAGACGTCCAGTTGAGCGACATTGCCAACAGCGTCTTGTATGGCTGCTTTTTCCTCGGCGGTTTCGTCGCTGGCAGTATCAATGTGCGTCTCTTTTCGAATCATTGTCTCTCACAACCGAGTTCCTGGTGATACTGCCAACTTACTAATATTAGACTTGATTTTAGAACATTTTGGGACCTCGACTGACCATGTCTCTCGGCACCACCGGCTACTCCTTGTATCTCGGCTCGCTCTGGTGCTTCCAACTCAACGGGACCCGCTGGTTTCTTATTCTTGCCGGTGGCATTCTTGGCTTCAGTGCCTCCTTGTTCTGGGCGGCTCAAGGCTCCGTCATGATGTCGTACCCGATGGAGAAAGACAAGGGCCGATCATTCACAGCCTTCTGGGTCATCTTCCAGATGGGCACCTTCATTGGTGCTGCCATCGCTCTTGGTATCCAGTTCAACAGCACGCTGCCCTCCGTCTCCAACGGCGTCTACATTGCTTTCATGATTATCATGCTCACTTCAATCGTCTCCAGCTGGCTTGTCCTCTCCCCCGAGGCCGTTGTCCGCGGCGATGGCACCCTCGTGGAACTCGAAGCCTCCCTGACCCCCAAGGAGGAGTTGCACCAATTTATCCAAATGTTCAAAGATTGGCGCATGGTTGCGCTGTTCCCCATGTTCTTCGCTTCCAACTACTTCTATGCCTACCAAGGGGCCATTACAGCCGCCCTGTTCAATGGCCGCACGCGTGCCCTGGTCTCTCTCCTCACTGGCCTGGGCTCTATGATCGGCTCCATAATCATCGGCACCATCACCGACGTCTTGCCATTCGGTCGTCGCAACCGTGCTCTAGTTGGCTGTGCCGTTGTGTTCCTGCTCACTTGTGCCGTCTATGGCGGCGGTGTTTACTTCCAGACACAATTCACACGCGAGAGCGTTGAAGTTGCTGGCCTCAAGATTCCCTGGGACTGGACGGACAAACAGGCGGCCGGTCCTATCGTTCTTCTGTGGAGCTGTGAGTCCTAATGGCCTTGTATTGTCCCCGGTAGAGCAATCGCTGACAACCACAGACTACATCGTGGATGCAACCTTCCAAGGCCTTGCATACTATACCATGTCCTCTTTGACCAACGACTCGTTCAAGCTCGCAAGAATGGCTGGCTACTACAAGGGCATCCAGTCCGCTGGCGCTGTTGTGTCCTTTGGTATGGATGCTGTCAAGGTGAGCATCCTCATAGCGAGAAGCAAACGAACACGGATCACGACCAGGAATAGCATATTGACGCAATCATGTGACAGACTGCCTACCTGGGCGAGGCTCTCATTTCGTGGCTGCTCATGGTCGTGTCGTTTCCGCTGTGTATTCTCGTCCTTTATTCCGTCCGTCCGACAAACTACGAAGTCGAGCACCCGGTTCACGTGGAAGAAGTGAAGTCTGGAGCGGTCACTGTGGAACCAGTGACAGAAACTCATATCAATGCTGACACAGCCGTAGATCGCAAAGTTTCGGCTGTCTAAAGCAGCAAGTTTAGCGAATTGCTATTGAATTCGATCTGATCGGCAAGCTGGACTCTTCTTATTACTCGGTGCCTCAGTATTGATAATAGCCGTGGTCCGTACGTGGTAAATTCTCTACATAAAAACCCTAGATAGATCTCTAGCCCTTGAGATCGGCCTCGCCCAAGCCAATATACACATGAGAGAACAGAATTCTATTCTCATCTGTTTTCCAAATGATATTGTTCTCGATCCAACTTTGCTCAACGTCATCGTCGCGGGGGTTGTCTCCCCATGGTGCGAATCCGCGAGAATGAATAAAAGAGGAAAATGATCAAAGACAGTCCCACATCACTGTCCACCCTCGAGAGGCAAAGTCCTGGGTGTGGGAAATCAGTGCCTGGTCGTCGTCTATCGTGAGCCCTCAACGTTGGTAGCTCGCTACCATGATTCTCGTATTGCTAAGGACGGACGAATGAAACCAAATCACTGAGTCAATAGTGAGGTTACATTCAAATCACAGAGCGTGAGATATCCCTTCCGTCCGCCCATGAGATGAAAAGCTGATATGTTACTGTAGATGTTCAGGTTACATTTCTACTGCGGGGAAACTAACGCTAGGCCTCCATGGGGAATTAGAACATGTTGAGCTCCGTGATCTACAGTGTCATCGCAGCTCTGGCGCAGTTCTTCTTCGAGGCACGCAGCGATAACCTCATATGTTTTCTTTTTGTATTTAGCTGCCTTGCGTCTTGGCTGAAGTATAGGAAGCTGGACAGTGAACCAACTTCTCGATGAGCATCCAAGTTTCAAAGCATTGCCATCATAACTGATCCATACCACTCGCAACTTTCTTCGGTCTCGCAGACTTTACCACCAGCAAATCAGATCGACTGGAGCCTGCTGTAATATAGAAAGAACGTAAGGCAAGATGCGCATAACGAGCCTCACTACAGCCTTGTTGCCTTGCTTGTCACTCGTGCAGGCGTCGTCCTTCACCTACAACAACAGCTCATTCCTCCTCAATGGTGAACCTTACCAGATACTCGGAGGGCAGATGGACCCGCAACGTATGCCTTATCAGTATTGGGAGCAGCGCTTGCAGATGGCTCGCGCGATGGGCTTGAACACTGTCTTCTCTTATGTCTTCTGGAACGAACTCGAGCCCAAGCAAGGCCAATGGGACTTTACCGGCCGAAACAATGTGGCCCAATTCTTTCGGCTTGCCCAGCAGCAAGGCCTCAATGTCGTCCTCCGACCCGGGCCCTACATCAGCGCCGAGCATGAATGGGGAGGCTTCCCCTCCTGGCTCAGCCAGATCCCCAACATGGCTGTCCGCCAGAACAACGCGCCCTTCTTGAAAGCAAGCCGAGCCTACATTGAGCGTCTAGCAAGCGAGATACACTCTCTACAGGTGCCATACGGCGGTCCTATCCTGATGGTCCAACTCGAAAACGAATACGGCAGCTTCATCCTCCAGGACGCCAACGGCAAGCAGTATGGTGGCGCTGACAAGACGTACCTTGCCGCCCTTGCAGACATTTTCAAGGCCAACTTTGACGTCTTTCTCTATACAAATGATGGCAATACCGAATGGTATGTCACTCGCGGTGCCCTCAATGGCATTCTTGCCGAGACGGATGACTCGCCCCAACAAGGGTTGGAGGCCCGCAATAAGTATGCGCATGCCAGCAGTCTTGGGCCCTTCTTGTGTGGCGAATATTACATGACTGGGGGTACGAGTTGGCTCTTGAACGGACACCAAGATAGCGACGCGAACGCAGCGACAGCCCTGCAAAACCACTTGAATGATCTTGAATGGGTCCTCAAGAACAACCACTCGTTCAGTTTGTACACGTTCAACGGGTGACGAACTGGGGATTCCAGAATGGCGCCGACCTGTACCCGACAAAGCAGATCCAATTGGCAACTACGACTACGTCCTATTCCGACAACGCGGCACCCCTGGATGAGAGCGGGCGTGTGAGGCCGAGCTTCTACAAGTATCGTGAGCTGTTCACCAAGTACTCCGGGCCAGCCCCCAACGTGCCTGACGTCGGGAGCATGTCGACTGTGCCCGCGCTGGCTCTGGAAGCCGTGGGAAGCCTCTTCGACCTCGAGGCCAAGACACCCACCGCCAAGAACGCGATGCCAATCAGCATGGATGCCCTGGGCCAGTCCTACGGCTTTGTTCTGTACGAGCATGTGGCAAGGTCGCCCGTCAGTGGCGCAATCGGCCTGGTGAACGGCCCGCGGGATCGAATCATTGTTCTCATCAACGGTACACGCTCAGGTGTGATTGACGTCAGTTACTCAAAGTATCGAACAGTCAACGTCAATCTTGCCCAGGGCGACGTCCTCCAGCTTCTGGTCGAGAACCTTGGCCGCGTTAAGTATGGGCCCAACATCACCGATCAGGTCAAGGGCATCAAGGGGGATGTGACCATCGGCGGCACCGCAGTGCAGGGCTGGTCCATGTACTCCCTCCCACTCGACAACGTTTCGGCAGCATCTTCCGCAAGCGGACCGTACGCCGTGCGCGCGAATAGCCCACCCGTGTTCTACAAGGGCCATTTCAATACCCCGTCTGCGACGGGACCTGATATCAACCGCGACACCTACCTTGCCCTGACGAATGTTATCAAGGGCGTGGTATGGGTGAATGGAATAAACCTCGGAAAGTACTGGACTGTGGGTCCGCAGCAGAGCCTTTACCTGCCTGGCTGCTATATGCTTCCACCTGGACAACTAAATGAGGTCGTGGTTCTTGAACTCGAACCGCAGGCCGGGAAAAGTATGACGGCAGAAGGCATTACTGACAGAAAGTGGTTCAATAACCCTGACCCAGATGCTCCTTAGTTTGTAAAGCAGAAGTGGCTGGACACAAGGTAAAGTTCGTGGTCAAGGGTTAAACATCAACAGGGTAGCGCTCTGTGCAAGGCCCTCACAAAATGAATGACAACCGGATCACGACAGATTAGTTCACACTCTATCATTCTTCACAATCTACAATTCTATGTCTCATATTGCAAAACAAAGTGTCCAGCCTATTTCAGTTGCGCCTAGACAGTAACACGATCAGTGTCAGCACCTAGATTCTTTGCAGATGCAAACCCAGTCAAATTAGCAACAGAATACGCAGTGCAACTGTAACCGGTTCAATCTGTATTATCATAGTGCTAGCATTAAAATATGTTCTGGCTATCCATCAAGCGAGTAGCCAACCTCACCAGCCTCCCGTCCCATCGCGAGCAAGTTCTGACGCATAAGCTCGGCCTGTGTCTTCTCAACACCCTCCAGAGCCTTCCCAAAGTCCATCTGGGAGATCCATTCGCGCACGCCATGCTGTAGCACATTACGCGCGCGCGCTTTGGCGCCATCAACATGGCCGCAGCTACCGTGGAGGGTCATGCGCTCCTTACTCGAGTCGTACACGCCACGGTGCAGGATGTTGTTATTGTAGAACACTATGTCACCGGGTTCCATCCGCACGACGAGCTGATTGGGAAGAACAGCTTCGTACGGATCGGCGTTGCGCTCAGTCTCGGTACGGGCTCGCTTGTGGCTGCCAGGAATGACAACAAGGCTGGTGTCTTCATAGAGGGCCAGGTTCCACTGGGCGTGGAATGCGGGTTTGCCAAGCCTCTCCATTTCTTGCTCGGGGTCAGCCGTGGCGGGGATGTCGTCACGGTGCCAGCGCAGCTCAAAGTCTCGATCGGGGCGGATGAGCAGATTGAAGAGCTCCATGACAAGATCTTCACCTGAGCACTGCAGTAGCTGCTTGGTAGGCTTGAGGATCAGGTCTTCCGAGAAGTACAGCCTGATGAACTCATCGTGCAGGGGCATGTTGGGGTGCATGACACCCTGGATACCCCAGATTCCCTCCTGGGCCGGGTTCTCGCCCACATTCCAGGGCGGAAATTGCTTGGGAAGGGTTCTGACATCGCGCCATTTACCATCCCGCCCAAGCTTGGCGGCTGATTGGGCTGCTTCGCGAAGCCGGTCCAGCTGGGGTCCGGTTACCACCCTGGGAATCTTGACGAAGCCGTTGCGGTTGAGGGAATGGAGGAGGGGTGTGTTTGCCATTGTCGTTGGTCTGAGGCGCCTCTGCGTGAATAACTGCCTTGTTGCTCGTCTCGCAGTCCATGGCTGTCCCCCTTCAAGCTTGATCCGTTGCTTTTATCGTTCAACAATGGCCACAGAAGCATCGGAATTCACAGCCGATGTTGCAACCAGCTAGAACATTAAACATCAGGTTAGTCTGGTAACGCTGGTGGAGCTGAATGGTGGTTTGGTTGCCGCTGTTGTGTTAGTCGCATGCCCGGATCCAGCAGCCACAGAGCGCTAGAACGCGAGCCGATGCGTAACGTTGCACACTGATGATCGTCGAGACAGGCGCACAACTTCGTGTTCATAACATGGTCCATCAACGACTCTATCACAAACCCGGTGACCCGGCTCCAATTCAGGCGTTGTGTTGCAAACACAAGTCCAATCAAAATGGGTGCCTGAGCACGTGGCAAGTTGCAACGATCCAGGGTCTGTTTACTCTAGAGCCAATACTGATACACTCTCCATCTTGAAGAGTTGCTCTGTCTTGTATTCGGTGTGTGATGTTTGAGATAGATGTCCACAATGTGTGGAGCAATCACTTGAGCAGTGAACTACCAAATTGAGTCGATCAACTCCAGATCCCCCTTTTTCTGCTATTTGTATCTGTACCGCTACATAAAGGTCGTTCATACTAAGGGGTCTGGGTCCTACTAGAAGATGAGTGCAGTAACCCGCAGTACTCTTCAAAATGTACACATTCTTTGAGTCGAACCTCGCCGCTCTTGCCGTTCTTAATACGGCGGATTCTGACCGTATTGCTGGGTCGGGCCGTACGGTTGACTCTGGGGGTACTGTTGTCCCTGGCCGAAGGTCTGATTCTGGCTATCCGAATGGTTTCCACTGTATCCCGGATCCTGGCCATACGATGGGTTCTGAGGATGTGATTGCCCCTGACCATATGGTGCTCCCTGTTCATGTGACGGATTCTGTCCGTAGGATTGATTCTGACCGTATGACGAGCCCTGCTGGCTCTGCTGATATGGCTGGCTCTGACCATAGGACTGCGGTTGGCCGTATCCCGCGTTCTGACCATGTGCCGGAGTCGACTCATATGGCGCGTTTTGGCCATAAGTTTGAGGCGGTCCCTGTGGCGTGTTCTGCTGATAGGATGGTCCATTAGACGGTGCAGGCTGACTTCCACCACCGAGCTGCGTATTTTGCACCAGCGCTCCAACGCTGACACCCTCGTTGCCAATGTCGTCAGGGACCGTAATCTTGACCTTCGGCAAGTATCTCTGTACCTTGCTCTCCACGATACCTTGCACAAAGGTCCAGCTCTCGCGCTCAAACTTGCGGTGCCCACCATTAACTACCCCTAGGATACTCTCGCGTAGCGTCTCCTGCACCTTGCGCACCAGCGCGCGGATCTTGCCCACAAGCTTGGCCTTGATATCGTCGCCGAAGCCGCGGTCCGCGCTGGGCTCGGCATCGCGGTCCAGCTGGGAGTCGAAGGGGTTCCCGCCCAGGATCTTCTCCAGCGGGCGCTGCACCTCGTCGGGCAGGAATTCGAATAGCTGCTTCTCAATCTCACCAAGGACTTTGCGGAACTCGAGGCGCACCTCCCTATGCACCTTCGCCAGGCCCGTGCTGAGCTTGTCGCTGATGACCTTGGAGAACCCGCCGCTCTTCTCCCCTCCTTCCTCGCCATCCCGATCCCGGTCGCCGCCGAAGCCCCTCGCCGATCCCCCATCGCTCGACGAGTGCTTCTTCCCAAATAGGCCGCTGAAGCCCTTGACCAGATCCTTGACCTGGTCCTCGACCTCGCCCCGGACACCGTCGCCCAGGTCCCGCGTGCTCGTGTTGCCGCGCAGCCAGTGCTTGATGTGGTCGAGAGCGATGCGCGTGAACTGCTCTGCGATGGGCGCGTGCTGGTCGCGGAGCTTGGCGCCGACCTTCTCCTTGATCTCGGGCGTGATGAGGCGCGCTTTCTCCTCGGGGTTGCGCGCGGCGTCCTTGACTGTATCGCTGAGCACGCCGAGCAGGCCGTCGAGCTGGAACTTCGGGCCTCCGCCTCCGCCTCCGCCTCCGCCTCCGCTGTTGTTCTTGTCCAGGTGGTCCTGCACGACGTTCAATGCGGCAGAGAAGAAGGCCTTGGTGCTGCTGCCACCCTGCGAGAAGGCATCGCCGCCGCGGGACCTGCTGCTGTCGCCGCTGCTGCCGCCGCCGCCACCTTCGGTGAGGTCAAAGATGTCGCGCAGGTCATCGCTCGCGCCGTCAGCGATCTGGCTGAAGCTGCGGGTCAAGCTGGCGATCTCGTCGGCGAAAGGCAGCGACTGCCCGCCGTACGCCTCTGGTGCGGCGTTGTCGAGAGCCCAGGGGCTCCCTCTGGAGGTGTTGCTCGACGAGTCCTTCTGGAAGAGCGAGCGGAAGGCGTCGACGACTTTGTCTTCCAAGCTGTCGATCGTTTTCTGCTGGAAAAGCTCGAGCTCTGACGCGATGCGGGGCTGGATTTGAGGGGCCAGCGAATCGACATACTCGTCGACCTTTTTCATCAGCACCTCCGGCACTCCGTGAGAAGACATGGTGACTCTCTTGGATCGGGTAATGTTAAAGAACAGCTGTGGCAAGAGTAATTTTCTGGTACGGTTAGGTTAGGTGAGTGTAGTAGGCGACGCGTACGGCAAGAAACTTGGAAGTGAACTGGCTGGGCTGAAGAAGTGGAGTCCTTTCACCTTTCACCCTGACCTGCATAAGTAGCGACCCAAAACACCAAGCAGTCGAAGATGATGTAGTGTAACAGAATAGTGGGGATCTCATTGGCCATGATGTGTGCCCTCAGCTCTCCAACACATGCACCTAGACATTGATAGGTCTCCGAGTAAACTTGGCATTGTGAGGTCCTCCCGGGAATCACCGAATCACACCAGGTGTCGGACTGGTGCGAGACCAGTGTGTCCATGCCGCGACATTATTAAAACCAAGTTAATCAATCAAGCATATGAGCTTATCCAAACCTTTTAAGAGTATTCTTCATTCTAAAAAGCCAGTAACGGAGGAACCCTGAGTGGCATCAATACCTACTTATTTAACCAGCACCGTGATTTGTGTATTTGCATCAACCTCCGCAATCCATCACAGAAGCATAATAGTTCGACATCCCTCTGATAGGTTCAAATTCAACATGCCAGATGAAACGGGCCGCTAATAAAAGCCACACCTGCAAAAAGAAAAAGGCACAGTCCATGCATGAATCGAACATGCGTTCCCGGAATCAGAACTGGTGGATAGATTAGAATACAAGTCGGAAGGTTTAGTGGAGAACGGTTGATGAGACTTACTCCGATGTGATAGCCACTACACTAATAGACCATTCGGTATTTGCCGGCGGCTGTTAGTCGTCTTTAAGTAGTTCCTCTCGAGGATGATGTGGAGCAACAGAGTGGGGAGTCTCATGATGGTGCCATGTTTGAGGAGATTTGACCGGCAAACACGCCCCGGAAGAGCTCTATTCAACACGATGAGGAAGGGATATGGTATTGTGCGTGCATGAATTAGTATGAGGCGCCCCTCATCGGTGTGGCGTCACGGGGCGACGCGACTACTTAATGCCGGTTCAGCTTTCAGCTCGGGCGTGAAATCCCTCAGCTGACTCTTTGCTACCACAACCAACAATAGGACTTGGGACTTGGAAACGCAGGTTTAAAAATTCACATCCGTGCTTGATCAATACATATACTCCAGCGCCTTCGTCATGGTGGCTTTCTGTGACTACTGCCACGGTATCCCTATCAACCTGTTTAGTTTCCGCCGCGATACCCAGTGTACTCATGATCACCAGCCGACAGTACATGATCTCAAGACATCAGCTGCCGCAGGATGTCCCGGATGCTGTCTATTCCTGCACGCCATCGAAAGTAGTTCATCCGAGCACGCCGGGAAGTATGCCCTCAAGAGGTCGTGGAAGGGAGATGAACGCGTGCGCTTGAGCAGCTCCAAGTTCGGGGATCAGATTGTGAACCTCGACTACACCGAGGCCGGGCGTTTCCGGTCATTTGCGATACCATCTGAGTGGCGTATGTGTAGTAGTCGGCTCCTCTCATTCTGGGACTAATTAACACGTTTATACAGAAAGCGAACAGCCTCCCGCTGCGGGTGACCGCGCAAAGGGCAGCCCTGAGTATCTTTTGTACGAAGCTCAGTTACTAGAGCGGTGGTCAAAAGTCTGTCTAGAAGGCCACAAGTGCTGCGAGGGCTCGAAACCCTTCCTCCCTACTCGTTTGATCGATGTTGGGACGACAAGGCAGCCGACACTTGCGCTCGTCCAGAGTGAGAATCTCGATGTTGGAGAGAGCAAATACTTGGCCTTGAGCCACTGCTGGGGCCTGAACATGCCTGCAGGTGCTAAGACAACCTCTCTTACATTAGAGGACCGCCATATGTATATCTCCATCGACGAGCTTCCGCTTACCTTCCGGGATTTCATCGGCATTGCGCGTCGCATCAGCATTCGCTACGTGTGGATCGATTCGCTTTGCATCATCCAGGATTCTCGTCAGGACTGGGAGAAAGAGGCGGCGCAAATGGCATCTGTCTATTCATCCGCTCACCTAACGATTGCGGCATCTTCATCTTCAAGCGGGAGGGAGGGCTGTTATGTTCACGACGACGTGCGGTCGTATGGTCCCGTGGATCTCGAGTGTAAGAATAGTGAGGGATCCAACACCATCTTCCGGCTCTGGAGCAGGGACACCTTTCCAGTGGCGCAGGTCTTAACATCGGATCCACTATCGACACGCGGCTGGTGTCTTCAGGAACGCGAACTCTCCCCGCGGATCGTCTTCTACTCCAAGGATTCAATTCGCTGGGAGTGCCGCGAAATGAGGGCCACTCTAGAGTTCCCCTGGGGCGATTCAGGTTCTTTCGACAAGGGCCGGTTCTTTGATGGGGGAACAGCTTCCAGGCCTACGAGTATTGGTTTGCCAATCAACGATTCGAAACCGCTGGAGACTGTCACAAAGCAAAGGCTTGCCTGGCTTGAACTGGTACAGGCATACACTAGCCGATCACTTACTCGACAGACAGACATCCTGCCTGCCCTGTCTGGCATAGCCAGGTCCATAGCCGAGAGCACGTCCGATGAGTATTGCGCCGGACTGTGGAAGTCATTCCTTCCGCACTGCCTGCTGTGGGCAAGCGACTGGCACGTGAGCAGAGGGTTCAAGCAACACACTCGGCCTCTTGAGTACCTCGCTCCTAGCTGGTCCTGGGCCTCGGTCAAGGGACCCATTCACTACCCATCCTGGATCAATGGGTACTGGTTTACATTCAACGCAGATCCGGACCCGGAATACTTGCCCAAGATCATTAGCGTATCAGTCGAGCCGACGTCAGATCCCTACGGCGCCGTCAAAGGCGGAGCACTCACAATCCATGGCAAGATTGGCCTAGTGTTCGCTTGCCAAGAAGCATACGCCCAGCCCAAAGATAACTTGAATGTCTCGTTCACGAACGGCCCGCAAGATCGCCTGAATTTGTACAAGGCAGGCCCTGCGGGGACGCCGGAGAAGGTGGGCGAGGTGCGCTACGACGTGCCACTCTGTCCGGACTGCGCACCCATCGGGTCGGTCCGTATTCTTTGGCTACTATGCTGCATGAATAGCGAGATGCGGAATGGGTCTATGAGAACATTTGCCATCGCTCTGGAGGCGGAAGGGACCAACGGGGTACAAGAGGCTCCGTTCACGGGCCGCTTCCGAAGGGTCGGAGTAGCATGGGGGATCGACCCTTCGTTCTGGCAGAGTGCCATCAACATGCCGCCGATTGTGATTATTTAGATTCTCCAGTTTTCCTAATACTGAGTTTGGTGTACTGAGCAGGATCCCTCGAGAATTAGAGTACCCTGATGCATGATGTGTCGCCTTTAGCCACTAGTGGACGGAGGACGTAAGACAGCTGGATCTCCACAACTTGATGAATCAAGCTCCGCAGCAACTCAAGCTACTCGCAGCAATAACATAATTTCAGGGAGATACTGGGTCACTAGCTGACCAAGAACTGAGTAACCCCACTGACTAAACGAGTGACTAGGTGTAAATCACATGGAAATCCGTTGCCTTTGAAACAGAAATTTGTTGGTTGAACTTTCTGAGCCAGCGTGACTATCTTCAACACAGTGGGCCTGTGTGCGACCATTCGTGGCTAGCAGACACGAGCCACCTCACTGGTGAGACTCATGCTCCTCCTCCCTAGAAGCATAAAGTATTTTGTAGGCGGCATCGGCATCATCGCGCTTGGCAGTGCCATCTTGCTCCCTGGTGGCGTACAAGATCTTGTAGGCGGCATCAGCATCGTCCCGCTTGACGGTGCCGTCTTCCTGCCTGGCGGCATATAAGATCTTGTAGGCGGCGTCTGCGTCATCAGGAGCACGAACATCATGACCCGACAAGACTATTCAAAGTTAGGAGCCTGTGTTGTTTATGAAAATGGCTGAGTGATAAAGAGAGATTGCTCACCCAAGCTCTTGGCCTTGATCGGGGATGCCTGCAAGACGGGAGCAAGCAGGGCAAGCAAGGCAACAGGGAGTTTCACAAGCATTGTGCTCACGGTAAGTGAGGGTTGTGTTTGATGTAGTGATTGATGGTAATACAGCGGAAAGGATCAGGGTTGAGAGAATTTGAGGAGAGGCTTTGACAGAAAGTAGGCTGGGAACTGAGCTCAGTTTTGTAGCCCATATGAGCATATTCCAAGACTCTTCCGTTTCGCGAAGATTACACCGATGTCACGTACAAGAGAAGCTCATATTGAGATTCGCAGACTCGACCTATCAACCAAAACGACGTCCGAAGTATACTATACTGTGAGTTATTAATTTTAGCCCTCCGGTCAGGGGGTGTCTGTAGCGGAGTGTGTGACTCTGCACCTAACGCAGAAACTTGACGCGGATGGGACTCGGGAGTCTCGAGATGACAATTTGTGGCCAAAGGTGCATATGAGCCAACTGCAGCGGGATGAGCCATTTGTCATTACCACCTTCTTAATGAGGTACTGATCTCCTTGAGGAACACAGGATATTGCATACAAGTCTCATTCAATGCATGCACGACCTGCAATCGGTGAGGTCGTATAATGTTGAAACTGATGGAACACGGAGTCACTGTGCTTTGTCGGCCCCGGGCAACTAGCCGGTGACCCGAACGCAGGCTGCATGGCTTCGACACGGAGGTCAGCTTCCGCGGAAATATTTTTCGCGCTCTATTTGCTCGGCATATTCGGTTTATCGATTGTGGACGTTGGTATTACTGGAATCTTTGAAGTCTTCAGCGCGCGTGACATTCCCAATTCGGGCAGTCCAGTCTGTTGGTGTCACCAATAGCCCATGCATATTGGAATCAGCCCCCCACACCCACGTTCTCTTTTGCTGTCACTACAGTTCTGCAGTGTACTGCGATTGGCCTCAAGAACGAACTCGCTCATATCCTAGAAAGATAGTTGATTATGATACAGGAATTAGTTTACACGGTCATATCAACGATTGCATCGTCTTGCAAATCCAGTGAAGTCGGGTTGGAAATCTACGCACCTCACTTCCAAAGCTCGTGAGGCCCAACATGTTGCCATATAGGGGCTTCAAGCACGTTCGATGGCTGAAAATGCCTTTGACAAATCTGGGCAAAGGAAACGGCTTCACGAAGATACCCACTGACGACAAAACAGGCCAAGCAATGTCATATGAAGACATCGACTCTGAAGATGGCTTGTTGTCCAAGCACCAGACCCAACCTCAGCTTGATAGAAGGACGACGAGCACATCACGAATTCATTCATATTCTTTCCTTGGTCATTTCGTCCTGGTGTGTACATACACAGTCGTTTTCTTCGTCCTTGCTAGCCGAGGCCGTTGGTTCCATGACCTTCGCAAGGACATTGTGCACTGTAAGTTTAGAGAACCTTCAGTTGCGTGTTTGATTCGATGATCACCTACTGATTGATGAATGATAGCTCCTGCAAACTCGATCGTGGAGTACGAGTCCAAGGTCTTCAATCCAGGTCTTTGTCTTCGCGGCCCCTTCTCCGCAGAGCCCTCTGAAGAGTCTGACAGAGCATGGTCTGAGCTGGTTGAAAGTAAGCATCTCTCAGGACCAATTCTCTTGTGCAAAATTGATAACAAGAGCCCAGACGCCCACGTGAGAATTTCAGGCGAGGACCTGAGGCGCATCAATAAGACTTCCATTCCCCTACCAGACGAGGAAGATACCTACTGGGGCACCTTGGGGGTCATTCACGAGTTGCATTGCCTCGTGAGTATCTCGCTTTACATTCGTATGCCTACTTGCTAATAAAATCAAGAAACGAATCCGTCAGTACGTTTACAAGGACCACTACTTCCCCGACCTGAACCCACATCAGGAGATGTTAAATCACTGGCATACTCGTAAGTCAAGGAATGCGGGTTGCGACATGTGCTCAACATGAATGAATCGCTAATACTGGATGTTAGGACACTGTATCGAAATCCTTCGCCAAGCAGCCATGTGTAGGGGCGATGTGTCCTTGATCACGATGTTTTGGAGTGATGACACTGCTTCTCCGGTGGCCGATTTTAATGTACCGCACTCTTGTGTCAATTTCGACGCCATTCAGGATTGGGCCAAAGAACGATCATTCAACCCTATGAAGCCAGGCTATCTCCGTCATCCAACCCTCGGTGTGTATCTGTTGAGCCGTTTTTCCTTCTAGAATTCTACCTTCTAATGAATTGCTTTCCAGGGGCCTCCTTTGCGGATGGCCACAGCCATGACATCGGCGTTGCTGAGCAAAAACAGCACGATGGGCTTATGTCGATGGAAGATATCCCTAAAAGTTGTCACTGAAATCATACTGGCAAATAGCGGACATGGTCAGGTTGAGGTCTATTCACGCTGGGTCGGAGGGGATTCGGAGGTGGCTATTAAGCCCTCATTCGTACTGTAATACTGTACGTAGATTGATACTAGGGCTCGGGAAGGTGACAATCGTGCACCTGTCAGGGCCTTATGGCGCTATTCAGAATCGAAAATCTCGTGTAGCTATCATGTCTTCATCGAACAGCTTACGCACTGGTTGTGTTCTTCCTGTTGTTTGCAGTGTCGATCCATCCACATGCAAGCTTTCGTGTCACTCCTCGAAGCTTATAAGTCCGGCTCGGTCTGAATTCAGATGCAATTCCATAGCTTCAACTAGTACAGAAAGAGCAGGTGGAAGAACTTCCATTCTCTCCGTCGCTTGTGAGTGTTTGAATTTAGCTGCGGTAGCTACGCTAGAGAGACCTGCATCTGCGTCAAAGCCAGTCGAACTCCCCCGCAGCCCGATAAGGCCGGCATTGCCAAATTAAGACCAAATCTGCTAGCCCTCGTCATGGTGGTGATGACCGCAGGACGTTGTGTCACAATGACCTGCACAGGTCCTCGGCCTTTTCGTAGGGACGAGAAAGCCAGCATGTCTTGCTTATCATCAAACGAGCGAACGAATGGCATTTGTCAAAATTGAGAACCAAACCGCTTGCGCGCTTTCGGGATTTGCAACATCAGTCCAAGCTACTAACTTATTCCGCATGATACACGTCACCGGGCCAATAGGAAAACCTACCCCGTAGTATGTAGCTCATATCCTCATGATAATAGTGACTACTAGCAGCTTCGTCTGCGTATCGCTCAGTGTGGGCACGGTGAATGCTGCTTTTAGGCACTCGGATAGCATTTCGGAGAAGCAGCGTTATATGTGACTAGTATTGCGCATTGACGCAAGCAGCTACTCATATAGACTATTGACTGTATCGTCAAAGCCTATGAATATCTCGCTGGGGCACACAGTGGACTGATAACCTCTCCTGCCACACGCGCACTGCGGCCCGCCCGCACCCATAGCAAGATTGCCTCTGCCTCTCGTGAGCATCACTAGACCTTTAGTCTCTGCGAAGTTGGCAGCGGAACAAATGGGAGCTTCTTTGGAACGTCCCAGTCCTCGATGAGTCTGTGGCCGTTGGGATATGATGCCCCTGGTTTGGTCAGCGCACATCACAATGCCGGTGTTTTGTTAGCCTCACTCACCATAGACTGGGTGGTTCAGTTCGCCCTCTCCATAGATGTCGACGCGACGTTCCTCCAGCCACTGCTCAACTTTTGTCCAGTCCACGCATTCGTGATCCGCAGCAAAATCGGTCTCTGGGACTCGGCTTTTGAGCGTCCAGTAGAAGGTCATTGGCGACATATCAGCTCGACACATTATACTCTGACGGACGACATCCATACAGTGATCTATTATATTAATCAGATAAGGGCTTCTTGAGTTGAGGCCAATCTTCGGCAAATCAAATACTTACCGACGTGCGTTTGTAATTCTTCATGATCGCGAACTCCAAACCAGTGTCCGTATCTGGTCAAGTTGGAAGACCAGCGAATCATTTTCTGACAGCTTTCAGCATCTTAGTCTCTGTTTCCAAAGTTCTGGAAACTTACAAGACAGTGTAGCTCATGGAAAACAGTGGGCATGCCAAGGTAGCCTCCACTGCCCAAAGCTACTGATGTCCTATTGAGTCTTTGAAGATTTTCGTCCGTGAGTCGAAAATTCGTGTCTGGGCCAGTGAGCATGGAGAAGTCGTGGCGTTGATAGAGTTGGACTTACGTTCCATCAGACTATGCCATGCCTCGTCAGACGCGTCGGTCATTCCCATGAACGGGTTTGGGTTGTCCTCGCGAGTGTACATCTCTGTGACCTGATACTGTAATGCGTCCCTCGCTGGTACTGTCATGGATGTTATAAAATGCCATGATAGAACACATCTGGCTGAGAGACTGACCATATATGAGATTGGGAAGTCGCGCAGGCAAAGTAGCCTTGAGCCACGCTGTGATAACTATGAGATACAAAGCTGCGACCGAAATATGGATCATAATGATCCTGAGAGTAAGTCTCTTGGAAGACCGAGGCGAGCAGTTTGGACACTCAGAATCATCACTTGTGTTGATTTCCAAGTCTTCATCCTTGAGAAGGCCCTCTGCTTCATGCCCTTTGCAGTCCATTGTGTCTAGAGACAGAAAATCAAAGAATAATTAACAAAGTGAAGTATGTCGACTGAAGAAGACGTTAGAGACGAAAGTCTTTTGGGTTGATTTTCTAGGAGTATTGCGACCTCTCAACATCTAGCTCACTGCCTCTTGTTCGTGTGGCTGGTGTCGACAGTAATTCCGATGTTCCGAACAATTGATAGCCGTTGCAAGCAAGTGATCGGCTATATTTTAGACGATAGATGTAAAGGCTTGTTAAATGTCAATCGACATTGTTTGATTGATGGGAAATCTGAGCTAATGCCGAACGCGTCCCGTCGGCGCAGCATTTGACCGTATTGGGGTTATCGAGATCGCCACATCGTTATTAACATTGAAGCACGAAAGCATGCCCCCCCTTTTAAACCGATGTTGCACAACAGATGGACAAAGCTTGTTGGTTCTCTGTGTCTTTCGGTCACAAGGCTTATCTACCCAGGGCGATTCTACCGCAAAAGGAACAATGTTGCGCCCTGCAAAATCTTGCATCTCACATGTGCCTAAATGTCGTCCTAGGTACTTCTTCTAATATAGGGTGTGGTTTTAAAATCCGGTGCGCATAGCAGGTTAGTTACACAGGGAAACATCCAAAGGTTACATTATCACCGTGTATGGGCCTTGAGACATGACAACATTCTCACTGCCTCATACGGCAGGTCTGCACGATATTTCCTTGCTGCAGCTGACCAGAGATCATTTCCAGTTCCGTACATATTCGAAACAACGACTTGGCAAAACACATCACACCTTCTTCAACAGTCCTGCTTACCCGGTGCCATTCCCAGAGACAGAGAACCTCGGAGAGAATGCCCCCGTTCCCTACACTGCAAAGCATGCTGGACTCCGGATGAATGACCAACATCACCTCACGTTTACTGTTCAGCGACACCCTTCATTTCTTTTCATTACAGAAACCCTTCGACAGTCAGATCGAACCCTCGACGATGAACCTACTCTTGACCAAACCTAAATACATGTCCCTTCTTCCCGGCAAAGCTGGTCTTCGTGAGCATGCTAACACACTACACGCACCGCCGGGTGAGTCTCTATTGACCCGCCTCTTGCGACTGGTGCTCCTCCTGTCCCTCTCCACGATAATCTTCGTTGGGGTATTCCTACTGGGAAGTTATGCGGGCTACAAAGAGGCAGCTTTATTTCACCGACACCTCCAAGCCGAGTCTTGTGAGTTACGCGGAGCCGGAAACGCTGCCTCGGCTCCCCCATCAGATCGTTTGTCTAATCCTCCAGGGACGTCTTCCTCCACCATATGTCAAAATGCATCTTACCGGATCGAGTGGAGAGCACTCTCTTTTGAGGAACGAACCAGCTACATTGAAGCTGTCAATTGCCTGGCTCGTACTCCGTCTGTTCTGGGAGGCAATGGTACAATTTATGACGATTTTGCTTTTGTTCATAATCTACACGCCCACAGCAGTAAGTTCCCATAGCCTTCCGAGATGGCCGCGCTCACAGTCCACATAGCGCATGGAAAGGCTGCATTCTTTTCTTGGCATAGAAGGTTTATCTCAGTGTATGAGCAGTACCTCAAAGACAAGTGCACCTACACAGGCGCTCTTCCGTACGTATCAGAACAAGTGGAGAATTTCCTGTCCGCATGGGGATGGATGGTTAACTGGTACTAGGTACTGGGACTGGACCCTGGACTGGGAAAACCTCCCAGGTTCCCCGATATTTTCAGCCGTTGCTGGATTCGGTGGGAATGGGGACCACACAGCACCCAAGGGCGTAGGCGACGGACATTGCGTGACCGACGGCCCATTTGCAGATCTCCACCCCTTGTTTTATGGCTCAACTTTGCGGCCGCACTGCTTGTCGCGCGGCTTTACAGACTTCCATGGACGAAACGCCAGCCCGGCGGTGGTGCAGGAGGTTCTGGGCTCGGCAGACTACGAGACCTTCTTCCTGGCTGTCGAGAATGGTCCTCATAATGTGGCGCCGAATGGAATTCGAGGAGACTTTTATAGCTTCACAGCCCCCTACGGTGAGTGCACTGCCTGTTCTATCTTCTCCTCCCCGTGAGATGGCTCCTAATCTTAACGTGTCTTTAGACCCAATCTTTTACCTCCATCATGCGCAGTTGGACCGCTTATGGTTTCTGTGGCAGAGAAAAGACGCGGGACATCGGCTGAGAGAGTACACTGGGCGGACTGACACCAGCAATGCTGCCAGTCTTGAAGACCTCCTAGTGCTGGGCGGCCTGGCGCCTGATATCACTGTCTCCCAGGTCATGGATACAGAAGGGGCTGAACTGTGTTACCGATACTCTTTAAGTTGATTCAGGATCTATGAGAGGCCAAGGTCTGCTTCCTAATCTACTATGTTCACAGTCCTGTGTGCACTCTATGCGTCATTGAGTTGACTGTCTCGATATGATGAGGCCCGGAGCATTGAGGGCACCTTCATCTCGAGACACCCGGCATATATATCCATTCTTTCAATATGGAAATGATGTTCTACCAAGCCACGAGCCCTGTGAAAGTTTCCACGGCAGAAATGCTCTGGGAATTGCATGTAAGACTAGATTAGTAGACAGATCCGGTAAGCCTCAGAAAAGATCAAAATGTAACATCTGGCAGGTTGAGTTTAGTGGCTGTGGGTCAAACGTTAAATGAGCCTTCCTCACAGCCAGGCAACAGAATGCGGTCCTATCAAGGTCGCGCCATTCTGGCGCCGTGTCCCAATAGGTACTCACTGCATAGGAATGTGGTCCCTTTTCGGGTAGCTGAATAGATCCTGGCGCGCCGATCTATGTGGAGCATTTGCGCCAGGCTTCACTATTAAAATCTTGGCATTACTTACCTAGATCAGTTCTCCTGACGGGCCACTGTACCCCTAGCAGGACAGAGTTGCCGAGAGGCGTCTGAGGAGAGTGCAGGCGTAAATTTCGAACATTTGTCAGGTACTGTGTATGGAAAGAGGGGGCTTTGCGGCACCCTAAAGTTTGCATGGACGGCTTCAATGTCTTGGTACAGGTGCATGATTTACCCCTACCCCCTATGCGCCCTGCATCCCTACGTTCCATCGTATGGCAGTACCCGTTCTGGTCCAGGCAGCATGATTCTTTCTCAGCTAGTTGGTGTGGCGTTGGTTTTGACGGATCCAGGGGCAACAGCATGTGCACTTATACGACGGGAGAGCAAATCAAGCGCACCAACAGAATGTGTCTGCGGCAACAAGTGTTTCTTCTGATCATCAAAGACACAGCCACCAGAGCCTTCCCTCTCACAGTGCAGCATGAGGAGCTTTGCATATAGATGTCTACTTAAAGTCATCCTCGTTGCTCAATCGTCGAAGGCAGATCTCCGTCCCCGGACTGCACGCTTCTTCCCCGAAAGCACTGAACTCGATCATGGCTCTGGAAATCATTCCGCCCGAGGGACTGGCTCCCTTGGTGCAGCAGACCAAAGCATTGATCCAGAAAAACATCCTTCTCCTGCGTAGAAGATGGATATCAACTCTCCTGGCAGCATACATCTTCCCCGTCCTCATTCTTGCGCTTCTCGTCAACCTTAACCGCATTGGTAATGCGCAGACAGGCTATGGGGTCGGAAGCCCGGCACCTCTGAAAGACTTTAGAAGTGTGTTGCCTACCGACAAGCAATTCGTCGTTGTCTCCAACTCGAGTATGGGGCCGGATGTCGATCGAGTTATCAAGAACCTCGTCGAGCCTCTTGGAGGCTTTTCTGATCGCATTGTCAAACTCAACAGCGAGGACGATCTTACGAAGCAATGTGTTGTCAACCGCCGAGGCTACTCGCCATGCCATGCCGCTGTTGTCTTTGAAGACTCGCCGCTGACCTCCGGAGGGAGGGGCAATTGGACTTACACCATGAGAACCGACCCCGGCAAGCAGTCCGTGGGTAGAGTCAACGTCTTTGCGCACGATAGCACCTTCGAAACCCTGTGGCTCCCGATGCAGTTTGCCATCGAGAATGCCATCACCAATGCCACCGATGTCCGCTTGTCGGCCTACACGTACACCTCGACGACGGCCGCACAGATGGAGAAGTACAGGCGGGCGGATTTTGCATACACCTTCTCGACCATATTCATCATCATCTACTTTATCAGCTACATGCCCATCATCTTCCATGCCGTCACCACCATCGCTGCCGAGAGGGAGCTAGGCATAGCGCAGCTGATCGACGCAATGGGTGGCAAACCAGTGGCTCGCGTGATAGGCTTCGTAGTGCCGCTGAACATTCTTTACCTTCCCACCTGGATCGTCTTTGGATCTTGTAGGTTTCAGTACCCACGCCGCGAACACTGATTACTTTATATGCTGAAATCTAGTCATTGGCAGTGTACTGGTACTCCCTCTTCAAAGCCTCGAATGCCGCCATTCCCATTTTCTGGTCCATCTTTACCGGCATGGCCATAACCAATGCCAGCATCTTTGGCGCCGCTTTCTTCTCCGGCCGCAGCATATCTGGGATAGTGGTTACTGTATCATTCGTGAGTCTTGCAGCCATTGCTGCTGACAGTCTACCCAAGAGTACCTTGACTACTGGGGCAGCCGTTCTATGCTCGTTGCTGTTCCCGGCTATGAACTTCATCTACGCACTCTCTCGCATGAGCCGTTTCGCCTTTCTAGATTCGCCTGTCGATATGTCTTCGGCTGCCTACCTTGAACAGGCACAAGAGCTAAATCAGAGATACCTCGTGGCTTCATGGGTATTCTGGTTCCTTCTGTTCATCCAGATTCTCGGGTATCCGATTCTGGCTGTGTTTGCGGAGCACTTGATGCACGGTCTGAGCTCCACGCGCAGATCTCTGTCTTCAACCCCTGAGACCGAGGCATCATCCGTGGCTGTGGAAACTACCTCTCTGAGAAAGGAATACGCCCCATCACTTCTGCGCCGATTTTTCTGTTGCGGTCGCCGGTCCGAGACTGTTATCGCTGTTGATGGTCTGGATCTCATCGCACGCAAGAGCCAAATCCTCTGCCTGCTGGGTGTGAATGGGTCTGGGAAGACAACAACACTAGAGCTGATCGGCGGTAATCAGCGCTCAACAGCTGGACACGTCCAGATCAACGCAGCCTCAACAAAGCTTGGTACGTATGTATCGCTCCATTTCTGCGCTTCTTATTGCTCACGACGTCTTCACTTTAGGTATCTGTCCACAGAAGAACCTCCTCTGGCCCAAGCTGACCGTGTTCGAGCACGTCAAACACTGGAGTGGGATAAAAGGCGGCCATGAAAGCCCCGAAGAAATACTTCAGCTCATCGAAGCCTGCGACCTCACTTCCAAAATACACAGCCGTTCAGCCACTCTCAGTGGTGGACAGAAGCGCAAACTGCAACTCGCTTGCATGTTTGTCGGCGGTAGTACAGTCTGCCTCATGGACGAGGTCACGACCGGCCTGGACCCTGTCTCCCGCAGAGTCATTTGGAATATCATCCTCGCAGAGCGCTCCAAGAGGTCCATGATTTTCACGACTCACTTTCTCGATGAGGGTGAGGTGCTCGCCGATCACATTGTGCTGCTTTCCCGGGGCCAGATCAAGGCTCAGGGATCCGGCGCCGAGATGAAGAACCGCTTTGGAGGTGGGTATCGCGTGGTTGTTCCAAAGACAGGGACGCTTCTCGATCTCAATGTGCCCTGTACCACCCACCAAGACCAGGTGATTTATCACACCGAGGACTCCAAGTCTGCTGCAGAGCTCATCACGGAATTGGAGGCTGCAGGTCAGAAGGACATCGCGATGCAGGGCCCGACCATCGAGGACGTCTTCTTGAATCTCACGCAGGATGTCGACGATGCAGCAAAGACAGATTTGGGAACCACCAAACCCCTGTCAACGGAATTGTCAGATATGTCCAATCTACTTGAGGGAGACAAACAGCAACGCTCTGGAGTGATCCTCAACCCAGGGAAACCCACTTCGGCTCTCTATCAAATTCTGGTCTTGTTTAGAAAGCGGTTCACTATTCTCCCGAGATTTTGGCTGGCTCCTTTGATGGCCCTGGTTCTCCCCTCCGTCATCCCTTCCCAAATCTACGGCGCGGTGTTCTCAGAAACGTTCAAGCGCCCGACTTGCGACCAAGTCATCGGTGGGGGGACCTTCTCGAATCGTGTTTCACTCAGGAATTCCTTCAACTTCAGGGGTTCCCGCTCTTTTATGCCTATCGGACCACCCACCGTTAGGGATACCTTAGTCAAGGTCGCCTCGACTTTCCCGATCGGCCAGTCTTTCAATATGTCCTCCTTTGACGATCAGTTTTCCTTCCAACCCGACTTGAAAAGTTTTATGCAGACAATCAGTGATCAGTCCGTGCTGGTCGATTACGGAGGTGTCTTCATGGGCGACGATAAAAACCCTCCGACCATTGCCTACAACACCCAGTATGGCGTCTTTGGTGTAACGCAGATGATGAACCTTTTCTCCTCGCTCCGTTCGCAGGTCAAAATTGATGCCGGCGTTGGTTCGTTCAGCACCCTCAACTCATCGGTGAGTAAATCCTGCCCGATTTTCTCCGAACGACTTGAGCTGACCATATGTAGGGAGATGGCGATGGCAGTCTTGCTTGGGTGCTTGTAAGTCTTGACAGTAACCTATCGATTCAGCTCCTGAGCTAACCGCATCAACAGATTGTGCTTTTTCTCTTTGTAGTCTATCCATCCTTCTTCGCCCTCTACCCGGCTTACGAAAAGTCCCACAACATCCGAGCCCTGCAATACGCCCACGGTGTCCGACCTTTTCCTTTGTGGATGTCGCATCTGCTCTTCGACCTCATCACCGTTTTTCTCATTTCCATCGCGCTCACCCTTTCCGTCGCTCTGATCTTTCCGGAAAGCACTCTAGCTCCAGCAAACCTCTTTCCAGTATCCTTGCTCTATGGCGTAGCCATGATGGTCATGAACTACATCATCTCGCGCAGCTGCCGCTCTCAACTCACAGCCTTCACGACAGCATTCGGCATCAACATCTTGATGTACATCATCACCATGGTGACTTTCCTACTCCCGCGCATCTTTATCGACGCCGACAAGTTGGAGGGTGCGACAGATCTGGTTGCCTTCATCCTGGGTCTGTTCATGCCAACGATGAATCTGCTGAAGGCTCTGGCCGTCTGTTTCAACACGAGCAAGATCTGCTGCCGCGAAAGTGGGATGGTCACCAACCCGATCTCTATGTATGCTTACGGCGGACCGATCTTGCTGCTCGTCATACAAGTCATCGCCTTCATCCTGATCCTCGTCTGGCTTGAGTCCAGCCACAGCTTCGAGTCCCTGCGCCAGCTGCTCCGACGCAACGAGCCAGCCCCCGAAGCGGAGGACGGCATGTCCGGGACGGCCAGCGCGATCGCCAAAGAAGCCGCCCGCGTCCAGGTCAGCGGTTCAGAAGACCTCCTCTGCCTGTCGCATGTCACGAAGCGATTCGGCGACAACGTCGCCGTCGACGACGTGTCCCTCGGCGTCGGCCGCAACGAGATCCTCGCTCTGCTGGGGCCGAACGGCGCCGGCAAGACGACCCTCGCCAACATGATCATGGGCCAGCTGTCCCCGGACACAGGGCGCATCCAGGTAAGCGGCGTCGAGGTCCTCACCTCGACGCAGCACACCTCCCTCGGCGTCTGCCCGCAGGTCGACGCGCTGGACCTCATGACGGCGCGGCAGCACGTCGAGCTCTACGCGCGGCTGCGCGGCGCGCCGCAGTCCAACGTGCAGGCCGTGCTGGACCGGCTGGGCCTGGCGCCGCACGCTGACAAGCTCGCGTCGCGGCTGTCGGGCGGCAACAAGCGCAAGACGAGCCTGGCGGTCGCGCTCGTCGGCAACCCGGACGTGCTGGTGCTCGACGAGCCGAGCTCGGCCATGGACGCGGCGGCCAAGCGCGCCATGTGGCGCCTACTGGCGGCCGTGGTGCCCGGCCGGTCGGTGCTGCTGACGACGCACTCGATGGAGGAGGCGGATGCGCTGGCGACGCGCGTGGCGATCCTGTCGAAGCGTCTGCTGGCGCTGGGCACAACGCGCACGCTGCGGGAGCGGTATAGCAATGTCTACCACGTCGAATTGGTGCTACGGTCAGCGCCCGAGTCTAGTCCGGAGGAGATGCGTGGCGTGGAGCAGTGGGTGCGGCAGCGGTTTGAGGGTGTGGCGTTCAGTGGTGAGAGCTTGGGAGGCCAGGTCAAGTTCTTCATTCCTAATACTCCTACTTCCTCAGAAGGTAGACAAGGTGCAGTGGGCGGGCGGAAGCAGAGGAGCGCTATTGGTCGCTTGATCGAGACGCTGGAGGCGCATAAGGAGGAGTTGGGTCTGGCTGACTACAGCATTGGAGCGCCGACGCTGGAGAGGGTCTTTTTGAGTGTCATGAAGGAGAGCGACGTGAGCGAGGAGGACTACATTAAGAAGAAGAGAAGATGGCTATTTGGTCTATGATTAATCTATGAATAGAAGCGCTATTTTGTGATACCAACAAGGGGTAATTTAAGCAGAGTCTAATACAGCCAATATCGTACATGCTCATAATCTTACATCGACGTTCCTCTCACCTAGTGATCGCTTTGATTGACTCCCGGAAAAGCATATTGGCGTACACTAAGTGGAAATCGAGAAGAATCTCAGGAGACAACTTTTTCGGCTTCGTCGGGTTGCAGACCAGGTGTTGCAAGTGAACTTGGACAGACGACTCTGTCCGTTGGATGGCGAAGCGGTGCACTCCTCCAAACTCGCTGGTGTCTGATCCAAAGACGATATCTACGTGGCTCTCACTCTCACCGAGAGTGATCTCAACCACTTGGAAAGCACCAAAGAGCTTGGTGTGAAGGGCTGGCAGAGCCGTATCGGAGAGCTCGGTGGTGGACCAGATGGCCGGTGCTGTATCTTGAATCCCTAGGCTTTCGGTTAGCATGGCGATAGGTTCATTAGGTAAGAGCAAGACACTAACTGGACATATGGACCAAGTCTATCCCTACGGCCTTAAGTGCTACCCGTTCAGGCCCAAAGACGTAGCCACCAAAGAACCCGCGTAGGAATCTCGCAAGTAGCACCGTATCCGGGACTTCTCGAAATCGTGCAGCGAGCTCAGTGTACTGAGAATCCATCACCGCAGGGTGATTATTCCTGTTGATAAGCTCTTTGACCGTCCATGACTGGCGGAGGGAGTCAGGAATGCTGCGGGAGGCGATGATTGGTGTATCAATCGCGGTGGTGTTGCGGTAGACGCGGTAGGCGTAGTATCCGGCTGCGGTAGCGCTGGCAGCCGCCGCAACTTTTGCGAATTTGCCAATCAGTTGAGAGCCCATGGTTTTTAGATCTGTACAGAATTTGATAAGCAAAAGCTGCAGTTGGCGCGGTCGGCTCGAGCACTGAGCTATATGTGAGATTGGTATGACTCTTTGGAGCGCACGGGACTAAGAACCCAAGACCGCCGGCGAGAACTACTCGGCCCGGTTCCACCCACGATGGCGGCTCGGCGGTCCCGTTATTCAAGCCGCGTGACACGACACATCTGCACTTGTCTGCAAGATCTCGAAATGAGACAATTAATTGAGCAGACTTGGCCGGTCTTTCACATAGTGTCCTTCCCAATAGGACAAATGAGTTCTTCCTGTGTAAAGAGCGCCCACGTTCCAGCTGTGTCAATCACAGCCATCCACTTCACACGCCAGAATTCGAAACTCTGGCCTCGGACTGCTTCGTCTCGGCAAGAGTGGGAGCAACTCCTGAACACGCCCTCGGGGGAATGAGATGGGTGGCACCGCCCCAGTGGCCTGCATGCGCCACTCGACGTCCACCGCCCTCAATACTTGGAAGACATCGGGCGATGCCGGGCCGCCTCTCCATGTCCACTCTGTGTCCGTTCGGAGCACCTCGATAAACCGGCACCGGTCGCCCTGAAACCGGCACCGATCTTCGCGGGGCCGGATTGATGTCCGCTCCAGGCGGTAGTCGATGACCCAGATCCGGATGTCGAGGCCCATGACGTACTCCGCGAGCGTTTGGGCCAGGTCGTCGAGCCGGTGCGCGGACAGGGAATTCACGTGTGTAGTATCAAACTCGCAGGCCACTTCGCGGACACCGGTGGACCTGATGTTCCAGACAATCGCGCCCAAGGTAGCCATGACGGAGTGTATCGAGTCTCGAGAGAACGAGCCGAAAGTCATAGACCCTACACCAAACTTTCCCACACAAAACAGGTCGTCGGGGTATGCCAAGATATAATCTCTGAAGCCCTTCCGCGTCATCGAGAAGCCCAGGTCTTCGGACGGGACCCATCCTTCGAGACAGCCCAGGGCACGGTCACGGCCATATCGACGCCACACAGCAGCACGCGAACCGGAGCAAGTCATACGAAAGGTGCTCTCGTTCGTCAAGGCTGATGGGTTCAGGATCCTGGACTTGTACGCATTCTTGAACATTTTCTTGTCGCTCAGCAGCAATATCGAGTCCGCGCTATGAACATCCTCTCTGAGAGAGCCGAAGTTGATCCGAGGCATTTCGCGTCTCGGCAGCGCCGCATCCCAGATTTGGTCTTGTAGTTCCTGGGGCAACTTGCTGAAAAGACGGAACTCGGGGCCGGGGCAGGTGGTAGCAGGCGTGCCGACGCCGAGAAAAGGCAGCTTGCTTGAGAACGTCATTTCGTGCGGTTCGCATGGCCTAGTGGAGAGAGACATATTGAGCATGTACGAAGTGTCGATGCGAGGCGAGCGATTGTTTTGAGAAGTTGGAGCTCGAGAGGATTGATCGTGGGATTCGAATGAGATGGAAAGATTGTACATGGTTGAAATGATGACACGGGAGAGATTCGAGTACATGGAAAAGGTAAATACCTCACTCGTCACATCGATGACACAGATGCGTCTTGGGTCACACTAAAGAATCGATCAAAATCTGTTGTGCCAACATAAACTTTGGCTGTTCCATGGTTGACACTTGTCATAGTGATTTAAGTCTGCCGCTTGCTGCAAAATCATGGGTTGCCTCAAAATCGCTTAATCGCAGCATGCATAGGGCTATGAATCCCACTGCAATTCTTCTTATCCATCTACTCGATGTCGTCCCAACTACCGAGCTTGGTTCTTCTCTCAGAACCGATATGCCCCTCACCGACGCTTGCTTGCGTTGACACTGCTAATAACCCGGCTACTGGCAACGGTAGTCACCACAGGAGAAGGCGTCGTCCCGCACAGCATCTCCGCATAGCTCAGCGTGTTTCGCGTCATCGGCACATCGGCCAGTCCAGGATTGACGCAGGCAATAACCATGGTCCTGGTCTTGGAACCGTCGACAGAGGGGTCCAGAGCATGTTTCAAGACACGCGTTAACGCGCTCTGGCGAAATGGCAGGTAAGGAGGCTTTTTCTGCTTCCCGTCGGTGCCAGATTCCGACGTAGTTGATGCGAGAGCGTCGTATTTTGCCTTCCCTCGCATGCAGTCCTTGAGCGCCGACAGACTGACATTGATCTCGCGCGTCTCGCGCATGCGTTCGGGCCCATGTACCGCGACATCGCGCGCTGCCTCGGAGCCCGCCAAGTCGATAAGGTAGAGGAATCCGCTTGTGCCTGACTGCGTGTCGAGAATGCGAAAACGACAGATACTGTGAGACCGCGACGACGCGTCGTTCTTCAGCGTCGGCTTTGTCCTGCGGAAGGATGTGGCTCGCTCGATCGCGTCCATCATCTCGTCCCGTCCCTGAACGACATGCTCCTCTGCACCAAGCTGGGTGACACCGGCCGCGTTGTCCAGCAGTGAGATGGGCTTGCGATCGCTGAGCAAGTCGTAGCCCTGATTGCCAGCCAGCTCGATGATGGTCAAGAAGACTTGGCGTTCCTCAGATGCGCCTTTCTCAACCAAGGACTCCACCACTAGCTGCTCGAGCCGACTGATGGTGTAGGTCTTGCCAGAGCCTGTCTGGCCATAAGCAAAAATGGTGCCGCACCCTCCGTTCCGCGCCAGAGACACCAAATCATCCATGTGGCTATTGTAGATCTCTTGCTCTGTCGTCTCGGGCCCAAAGAGGTTGTCAACCTGATAGCTGTAAGACTTGAGAACAGGCCGGCCTTTGGGATGGTGGTAAAGGTCGTGGATGTCCAATACACCAGCTTGATTTGTGCGAGGATAGGATGCGCACGGGAAGCCTGCTGTCACGTCTTGGTCGAGAAACGGCCGTATCCTCACGCTGACAACCATGGAGGGGGTTCCGGTGGCTCCCGATCGGGGGCGGGGTCGTGGTTCGAAATTGTTCACCAGTGCCTCGTACAACGGCGTGTTTTCAAGATAAAACCCTTCCATGATAAATCTGGTGGCGGTGCAGTCAACTGACAGCGGTTTCTCAGATGTCTAACTCCGTCGGGTGACGGCTGATGTTGATAAACAAAGCGAATGGGTGCTGCCTTGGCTGTGATGAGTTGGACGGTGGGGCATTTCGACCAATCAACACGACACGTCACCGACTCGCCAACCCCCCACGACCCGCTGTCCAGATAAGACAGGCAAGTCTGGCGAAACAGTGAACTTCCGATGCTAAAGAGACATGTCGAAACGTACAATTGAAAAGCAGCTGCTATCAATCAATATTGGGAGGCGCTAAGGCCATAAAATTTATTTCTTGAACTGCTATGGAAAAACAAGGAAGAACACAAATAACCGTGAAAGGAGTGACGGAAAGAAGAAAGCTGAAAGAGGAATAACTAAGAAGACCAAGTCGAAGAAAAATAAAAACTGAAGAACCGTAGCCGTAGAAAGAGAGTGTTGAAACAGACGTGCACAAAACATACCCGTTATGTATCGAAATGTCAAGTGAGTGGTATTCCAGCTCCTCCATTCTTGGCTGGTGCTCTCAAACAATTGCAAAGCAGCTTTCAGCACCTCAGGCCGCCATTGCGGTGTAAATCTGCCCATCACTTCGTCTCGGGACTTGCCGCACACACCCAAGCTTCGCCGACCCCCTTATCCCCATTACAAAGACTTTTGTAGCTGGGGTTCTGCTTTGACATAGGCAGCACGTTCCCGTCCTTGTCCTCCCACCCTGCAATGCTGTCAGTTCTGAAGGATCGTTCCAGAGAGAATTGAAAGAAGAAGAATGGAGACTCCAAGGCGGGAAGAGGCCTGGACCAACAAGGCAATCAGAGGGTTAGACTCACTTTGCACATACTCAGCCTGCGGTTTGCCATCCTTGATCCAGGGGGTAATGGAGCAAACGTTGGGGATAGTCTCCAAATCGTCCACACAAAGAGCCGGTTGAGATGGCGGCCCAACCGAGGCCATTATATGCCTTCGCCGTGAGACGGATCCGCAAGACTCCACATACTTAGCGAATGTGACCCATCGAGCCCAAACATTGGGGTCAGTAGAAGGTTGCCCCTCCCATTCTTGCTCAGTACTTGTCGATACTTCCATGCTGTCTTTGGTCAAGAGATCAGCTCAGGGTCCACAAACCGTAAACTTGAAAGAAGAAGAAGAAGAAGAAGAAGAAGAAGAAGAAGAAGAAGGAAGAAGAAGAAGAAGAAGAAGAAGAAGACGAAGACGAAGACGAAGACGAAGACGAAGACGAAGACGAAGACGAAGACGAAGACGAAGAAGACGAAGACGAAAGAGAAAAAGAAGAAGACGAAAGAGAAAAAGAAAAAGAAAAAGAAAAAGAAAAAGAAAAAGAAAAAGAAAAAGGGGGAAAAGGAGAAAAGAAAGCAAAAAGAAAAGAATAAGGGGAAAAACCATTCAAACTCAGTAACTTACATTCAAAATTCACTCCAGCGCCAATAACTTCCTTTAAAACCCCCTCTACTCCAATAGACACTCCACCACCTACCGTTATGGTCTTGCCTTTGACAATATTGATCTTCTGCCCTGCCGATGCACGGTCTCCCTCAGGTCCATCAATCAAGGTTTCCGGACCAACGAAATAGGTCCGCTTCACCTCACAATACACAGCGCACCCGTTATCTGGGTTCGTCTCCCCACAGCTGCCATCGGGGTTCAGGGTGTGCCCTTCTTTCTGGGGGCAATCATACCTGTCCACTCCAGTGAACGCTGCCGCTTCGCAAGCTGGTATTGCGAACTTGTGCAGCCGAAATGACCCACCAGGGCTCCTGTCTTGGGGAGCAGCCAGGTCCTTTCCGCCAAAGACGCCATAAGCTGAAAAGGTCAGGTTGTTGACCACATGGATACCGCTGAATGCGCCATCTGCACCACAGTCCTTCTGAAGCTGTTCAATTCCACGTCTGACTTCTCCCTGAGTCACGGTGCGGTTCCGGGCAGCCCCATTGCAGAGAGAGACGATGGTGGTGTTGTGGCGCCCGTAGACACACTCGCCTTGAGTAAGTCGGAGGCCGCCGGTACGTGTCACATTGGTGTACAGCCAGTGCGCCGCAAGGTTGGCGTCGCCGGTGACATAGCTGGCCGAATCGTAAGTCAGAATAATTCTCAAAGTACTGAAATTGGAGCGAATATCAACTGAACTCACCCGCGATCAGCCGTGCAAGACGAGTAACGGTCGGCGGTAACCACTCCTGCCGGCTCTCTAGGAAAGAGCAACGCCGTCGAGCTGGCAAAAAAGCCCAGAATGCAATGAGCAAGACGCATGTTGGATGACGGCTCTCTGTGTGGAAATTCGCAGTGGGGGCAGTTGGAATTTTGCAGAAATGAAGCAGTAGATGAAGAGAGGATGAAATGGAAACACGGTCTCCCATTTACTTTAGGTCAACACTTGGTATTTATGCTTTTCATATCTCTAAGCTTAAGGATCAGGTTTCTCATTGAGCTGAATAGACCCAAGTCGGCGCCATGGCATTCTTTCCGCCAGCTCGGTGTTAGTCCAAAGTTTCCGCTTCACTTGCGAGAATGTTGCACATGTCGACTTTATGGCTTCACTGCCAACGGCCAAAGATACGGATCATCTATTGGATATCGTCAACCACGGCGGCGAAGTTGAACAGCTTGCCAGTACTACATCAAACCCGCCAACAAACACTCTAAGAATGCCTCGACACCTGAAATGGAAGGTGTTTTGGCATTGGCTCCTTTCCAAATCGCGATCACGACTGCTCCCCACGGATCACGGATGTCTGTTGGTTATTCTTCGAGTGCAACTTCGAACGCTACGTTGCCTTCGTATACCCCCTCGCTTTTGGAGCAAAGGTTCCGGGTTTCTAACGGAAGTAGTGTCGTTGGAACGAGAAATCTTGGAAAATTGTGCTTGGCATGGATCTTGTTGGCTTGACGTGTCTGCTTCTGCAAGAAATTCAAAATATGAGGGGCTTCAGCGCTGCTCGGGCTCCTAGAAGTCGGTCTAAAGGCCACCGAGAGCCGTTTGATCCAATGAGTGTGGTACCTCCGGCTTCTCCCATCAACAGAAATAGATGAGTTCATTGCGTTTTACTTAGCTCGGCCTCCCCTGGCCATATCTTGCCTCAAAGGTGCTCTTCGCCCCGGACCAACTTGAACTTCGATTTGACCACTTGCAAGGCGGTGCGAAGCGGAATCTTCCCGCGACCAATACTTGGTTGTTGGTAGACCGCTTTAGGAAGGTCATCTCTCCCTCTCCCTCTCCCTAGCATGACTGGAGTCTAGAACCAACCCCGGGCAGAGGGTAACAATATAGGTGGGTACTGATGGGGTTCATTGCAGCCTCAACGTAGCTTAATTTCAGCTTGTCGCATACCTAGTTTGGTATTATGTCCAACTTTCTCTCGATCGACACGTCAAGCAAACAAAACGCAAAGGCCCCGCATGCCACTAGTAATGGGGAGAGGGCGGAGAGGGGAAATCAGTAGACCGAGCACAGCAGCTCACAGGTCCGCAAGGTCGCACTCAATTTGGTTGTTGGTTCTGAATGTCTTGGCAGATCGGACCCGATGGAGTGCATACTTGGGGAAACGGGCATGCTCTGGGTGGCCTTGCACAAGACCTACGTCATTTGTTGATGAGTTCGTCAACCAAGTCTTGAATGCCAATCCCGCCTTCACCTTAAAACACCGTCGACGGTTCACTTCATTCTGTCCTTCGTTGTATCTCCAATGTACCCAACAATACACCCAATCGGAGCAAATAGCTTGGGGTCCAAGCGAGCGTCCACTTTAGTACGCTACAAGTCACAGGCTCCCTGGAAGACACACCGCAAGCAACAATGACCATCATCTACCAACCGGGCCAGAGCCCTGGTGGGACTGTATGAAACGACGCTTTCTGTTCACCCCCTGTGCTTCCTGTGTTCCGTCCCGTTTAGCTGATACTCCGGGGCACAGGTCCAAACATCCTGGGAATTATTGCGACACGGATGCGGTCGACCTCCTACAGACTTCGACTTGTCCGTTGTCTGCTATAATAGCAGAATCTTGCGCAAAACCGGTTCCGATATGGACTACTTTGCACCTTGCTGCCCAACTCGACTCGGCGAGAACATATTCGAATATGATCATGGGTGCGGCTTCATGTTCTGCTTCACAAATGACATAGCTATGGCTGAGGCTTATCCCGGGTGCATCTCCAACCTGACCAACATGAAGCTCACCGATATCGGAGCTAACGGGGCCGACGCAAAAAACATTACGGATAATCGAAATTCGACTAACATCATGTGCGAGTACGTGGACTACGATTCTCTGAGAGCAGGCGCGAAGAAGATGAGTGATGGGTCGCCTCGGCCTGGAGGAGGAGTGTGGCGGGCCGCTCTCGCCAGCGTGGTTGTCCTAGGCCTTGCGCAATTTTTCCTCTCGTTTTAGTCATCTCAAAACTTAGTGTCATGCTTTTGATCTTTTTCGTTCTTATTTCCTGGAGAGATACTGGGAGGAATGCAACTAGTTCGTTTTGTCAAGGGATACATCAATGACCAATTCTTTCGTTACGCTTGACCTCTTGCCGATGTTCTGCTTCGCACACTCGATCACCAAACAACTCCGAAGACACTTCTGAATCTTCGGCATTGTAACAGTACAGCGAGTCTTGGGCCACCCCGTGGAAAATTGAACTTTCCTCGAAAATCTAAATCGAGATCTCTCTGAGTCATGTAAAAAGGCCTGAAGCGTGTGCGCGGTGCGTAAAATATTTTTACTAGTGTAATGAAAAGGTAGATGGAAATTGCTCTACAAGGAGGATTGAGCACTCTGAAAGGACTCGGATGTGCGATGATACATTGAGCCTCAGACCAAGCAAATGAAATTGGAGACATTGGTTTTGCCCTATTGAACGATGAATCAAGAGCCTTTGGTTACTATATTGGCTTCAGAATGCCGAAACTAATCTCGCTACTTACCACGCTCGAATGATCTCGGAATTGGCAGAGAAGACCATAACTTCAACACTGCCCTACTGAGGCAAATCCACTACATCCCCGTCATCTGCGCCTGGCCCGGCAGCTCCGTCAGCCAGCCGTCCGTCTCCTCCACGACGGTCCTCTGCACGGCGCACTTGTTCATCTCGGCCACGGTCTGCGTCTTGAGGATCCCCTGCTTGCCCGGGCTGCCGCAGCCGTGGAACATGCACGTGTCGTTCATGGCGCGCTGCAGCGAGTCGCCCTTCCACCCGAAGACGTAGTCGGCGTGCGTGCCGTACCCGTTGCCCATGAAGGACCACACGAACGGCTGCTTGCCGTCCTTGGGCCACATACCGTTGAACATGGTCGTGTTCCACATGGTCTCGTAGGCGATCTGCGGCACGCGCACGGGGTGCGAAGCCGGGCAGGGCCCGGCCTCGCGGAAGCCGCCCTTGGTGGTGCTGTACATGTGCGACTGGTGGTCCGGGCTGTCGAGGTTCTTGCCGTCCCAGCAGGCCGGGAAGTGGTGGATGGCCATGATGCCCGCGGGGCAGGGCCGGGCGGGGAAGTCGGGCGTCTCGCTGCCGCGGGTCAGGATGGACTGCAGGCAGGTGTAGCGGAGGCCCGGCTCGGCCCGGGCGTCGGCGAGGGTGTTCCTCGTCGGGGCGCCGACGGTCATACGGAAGCCCTAGAAAAGAAATACATATGTTAGCAAGGGGTCCCCACCTTCTTGGGTATTTAGAAACGTACTGGTTTGAAAGCGGTGATGTGCTGCTTTCCGTTGGAGCTAAAGTCCTTTTGCGTGTAGTAGATGGTCATGCCGGCGTTGATATCTGGCGCGTCTCGACCATCGGTGCCCAGCTGGGCGTTGGGGTACTGGGGCACGCGGTGATAAGACCCGTTCTCGTGCCTGAAATACATGACGGCTGTCCAGTAGTTGGAAAAGTCCTCCGTGTACGCGCAGGTCGTGCAGCTGCCCTGCTCGCCAATGTCCCCAGTCATGGTGGCGTTGAACGCATTGCCGCCGACGATTTGATGGACGTGGGCCGAAGGTATCTGGCCTGGCTCTACAAGAGGGTCGAGGCGCTGCAGAGAGACGGTCGAGCAGGCGAACCGCAGGGCCGCATGGGAGAGCCCAGCGTTCAGCAACAGAGCAAAGCGCTTCATGTTTGGCGGAATCCTCTGAGATTGCTCACGGAATGTGCAAACGTACCAGCCAGGACTATTCGACTCGAGGGGAAAAAAAGAGAGATGCCAGCACAAGGCCTTGCTCGTTGCTGTGGTGGTCGACTGAAAATGTCTTTCAGCCCAGATTTATACCGCGACGAATCACGGCCTCTTATCTGTTCGCCTCTCCTGGATAAATTGGTCTTGTTTATTGGCGCCGATGCTGCCAACCCTATCAGCCATTTGGTAGACTGTACAAATTGCCTCAATATTAAGCGGTCAATATCCGCGAAGGTGCTAAGCCAGCTAAGGTTCTAGGCAATATACATTGGAGAGGAAACACAACTGCCGAACCTGGCAAGGATTGGACGCGTGGCCAGCCTCAAAGAATGACAAATGCCAATTTTCGTGATAGATAGCACAATTGAAGTTCGTTGAGAAACTCAAAGTCTTGGAAAACAGCAGTGATAGTCAGCCTCTGCGGAGATTAAACACCAAAACTGTGTCAACCTCTCGCCCCAGAGTCCTCTCTTTCGCAGGTATGTATTCCGGTATCGACGGTATATTCGTACGTGGCATCGTTCGCACTTGTAATATGTCTGTGACCGACGTTCACCTCACAATTGGCACCTGTCAGGACGCTGTGACTTGTTTCGTCCGGGTGGTCGCATTCGGGATGCTGCCGGAATCATCGTCCAGCTCCAGCTCCAGCGACGAGCTCCGCCCTCTAAATCGTCATTGGGGAAGTCATGCTCGAGCTGTTCATTGGTTTGGGCAATCGGGCTTCGTCCCACAGCTTGCACCGACATATCCTCGTTTTCAGAGACATCGATAGCAACGTTCGACTATGCATTGCAAGGCTGGAGTTATTGTCAGAATATCGACTCAAAAGTCCATGCAATAACTAGAACTTACTTATAAAAGTGTTCTGTAATCTGTGCTAAGCTCATCAACTCCACGGCAGGACAAAAAGTGCTGTCAACATCGATTGATGTCCAGGCCTGAGACCAACTGTGTTATGGCGTTGTTTCCTCAAGGCCATGTCCACTGCAAACAACAGCCTGGTAAAGCGCAGATCGGGTATCAACACTGAGGACGGTTCATGTTCTTCGCCTGGATCGTCGTCTCGGGGATGAACTGTTAGCTCTGAGGTTTTGTGCCCTTCTCTGTTGTCCTCAAACTTTTCCAAGAGCTGGGAAGCATGACAGCCTCGGGAATCAGACCGATGAAAATCGTTTCCCGCAGTTCCTGCATCTCGAAGGTGAACATGACTGTTTCAGTGGCCGTCTGTCGGAACAGGGGCTCGAGGCGTTGGACGCGGTAGGTCTTGTTGCGTAAAGTTCCAAATCAAATTGTAGTGGTCCAATCTCGCGCTCAAACACACAAGATTTCTCCCTCAGTCATTTATGAATACGCAAACTCGACGGGCCCAGGGTGATGTTCATTGTTGGTCTCCCCATCGCAGTCTACAGCCTGCCCTGTCGGTGCATCGTGATGCAATGCGCTGTTCATGGCCACGCAACTCGGGCAGGGTTTGTTGCCCTCAGAGACAGTCTTCACAAACTTCTTCGCCTCGTTGGCTATGTAGTCGTGGATCATGACACAGTCGCAGTCCGTGTGTTGAAGCAGACGACCCTTGAGTCTGCAGATCTCCGCCTGCAGGGCCTCGACGGTAGAGGTCAACTCCTTGCGACGCTCGTCCAGCCTCTCCTGGCAGGAGGTAAAATAGGCCGCCTTTTCCTGCCTCCGCTGGCGATACCTCGTTGCAGCCTCTCTGTTCCTCTCGAGTGCCTGTGCCTTCTGGGCTGCCTTGCTCTTCTTCTTTTTGGGCTTCGATTTGGCAGTTTGCCGTTCGGGCTGCTGCGCTGTCTGCTTCTCGGGTTTCGGCTTGGTATAACGACGACCAGGGTGCCTGACCTTCTTCCTCTTCGTAGAACTGTCAGAATTCATTTCAGAGATGACTTCTGCGACGGGCGGCGACATCGATTGCTCGCAGTCCGTGGTCATGCCGGTCCGATGCTCGGTAGCCTCCGGGCTCGAACATGGCGATAGCAATAGAGCAGTGTCTTGAGAGATCTCGGAAAGAGGAGTTTGATCGTACTCCATGCTCGCCCATGTCTGACAGTCTCTGGGAGTTCCTAGATGTAGTTTCAAGCCTTCGCCCCCGACCAGATACGCTGGCATTGCTGAGGGATCCTGGGGCCGGAAAAATGAGGATGTCGACGGTATATAGCTGTATCCTGGCGAAGTAGCCTGGCTATTTGGTGATATGTACGGTATGTTGTTGCGGGACATATGATGGAAGGGGTAAGCCCAGATGCCGCCGTCGTCGTACACATTGAGCCCATCCACCGAGGCTTCGACGTAAGGCTGGAGCATTGGGCCTTCGAATGAAAACGCCATTTTCGAGAAGACGGTGGCCCAGCTATACCGGAATCATCAAGCGGCTTTCGAGAAAGACCGTTCAACAGGACGAGAGACTGGCGACTGCGCAACTCTTATCATCTCGGAGAGGGGTTCACGATGAAAGCTATGGAGCCCGAGCCTGATGCTATGATGTTACGATAACCTTTTTAGACAACATGACTGTTCAACAGTTGCAGAGCCTAGGAATGGCTGTGGCTCGTCTTAAAGCTTGGGGCAGCCTCCGAGTGAGTTGCATAAGGCCGGACATAGCGCACACCTTGAATGAAGTGGTGGTCAGGCGACATGGGCGAATAGGGTGCCCTGCATTTCTACGCAAAGGGCAGCAGACCCACAATGTTCACCGGAAGAGCATGATGCTCATGACATGACTAGCCCCCAGCCACGAGATTTCAAGTGCCACACACCTGTCGCAGGCTGGATCACAAGCCCGTGTGGAGGCGGCTTCGGCGACTCTATCGTCGCAACAGAATCACGCCAGAGTGCCAAACTCGGAGCGCGTACGGCGTTGGGGGGAGGAAAGCATTTTGCGCATCACGTTGTGAAACGATGTCTCAATCTTGGCGGCCTAGCTAGCTCAAGAAGCTTCCCTTTCTGTGTCGGGTGTTGCCGGTACCGGACGATGCTCCTCCACATCCCTGATTTGCTGGCCCAGGGCCTGTTATGATGATGATATTATGCACTCGCGTGTCAGGGGGTTGAGCCAGTCCCCACTCCGAAAGATGCACGACTAGAATCTGAGAGCGCTCATTGACCTGCATTTATGTACGGCATCTTGATTGGCCAGCCACATGCAAAAGGTTTAGGGCCATTCTTTGGTCACTGTACACGGATATCAATAGGCGGTCTGAGATGCCTGCGCAAGTTTCCATTTGGACTTTTTATATATTTTATGAGAACTGACCATCGTCCCCTGGCAACTTTTTCCCTTTTTAAAAGGATGTCGTCGAGACTCCCCCCTGACTTGTTGTTCCAGATCCTTGCCCGTTCGACACTACAGCGGAGGTAAATGCACAAATGCAGCGTTTGTATTGTTGGCGTGTGTCTGCCGCCTCAATCCTCAACATAAACTGCTCGTGATGATATAACATGCCCGAGCACATTCCATGCCCTCGGCGCTGGCGCTGATCCCGTAAAAGTACTCGGCTGATTCTTCCCGAGACTGTCTTTCACGTACTCCAGGATGTACCAGCACGCCAAGTAGGCAACGTCCCATCTCCTGTGAGGATGAGACGTGAGCTCCCTTCGAGTGGTATTGCGTGAGTAGGTGGCATTGTCCGGAGGAGAGGCTGCAATAGTGCTCCGGGCATAGCGTCGCTGAACGCCGAGGTTGGTTCTCGCCCAGCCCATGGCTGATTATGGTTGAGCGGGCTCGCGCAATAAGTGCTATATTTTAGGTTTTGCCGCCTAGAATGACATACAGCCAGCAAGTGAATGACCATGGAGTCGCTTCAACATGCTGACCACCAACCTGCCATGTCAGGGCATAGATGAGAATGCTAGATGGCATCAAGCTCTACGCCCGAGCCAGTCCAACGTTGGGCTTGGGAAGGATTTCTGGAGGAGTGATGGGGAAGGCAATGAAGGGGAAGGCAAAAGAGAAAGACGATACTAAGAGTTCGAGAACAGCCGATACCCTGCGTATCGCCATTTGCGGCGCATTGGCATTTCATGATAAACTGCGTTCCTTATGTCAGTCAGCACTCCAAGTCAGATTACTGACATCCTGAATTCTGTTCAGGTTCCCAAGTCAGCAATGTCTTTCATCTCTGTCAGGATGTGTGGGACAGGGGGAACAGGAGGGTATACTAGAATCCGCCCCCTCGACATAAGCCGCATGGATCGAATGCCCAGATATGCAGCTTGTACACCCCCCACCAGGCAAACGAGCACGGACATGCCCTTTGCCCTTACGTCGAAAATGGTCCTGTGCCTGAGAGGCGCGATGGATCATGGTGGGGATCCGAGTCAAGAGATGCTGGAGGTGCCAGAAAAGATGGACTGGATTTTAGGTTCAGGCTCAACTTTCCTATCATGTTAGGTGGGACCACAGCCACCGCCCCTAGGTACCTAGTCGAAATCTTAGGTGGGCGAATATTCGGCGTCCTCGTTCTGTCGTGATATCGGGCGGTGGAGTGATCTTGCGCTGCTGCTTGCGTTCAAAACTCCCTGAGATCATGCAGAGATGCTATCATGACGTTTTGCGTATTCCATCGAGTATTAATTAGCAAGCTCTCTTCACGGTGATTGAGGATGGCATTGACTGGGAGGGAGGGGGAAAACGTCAAAGCAATGCGATTCCTGTCAATCAAACAGAGAAAACCACAAAAGCCCACATGAAATCATCATCCACTTTCCTCACTCCCATGATTCCCATCGCGATCCACGACGAAGAGCTGACGTACCACGGCAGACCCTTGAGTGTCTGGTACGAGGAAGCACGCTATCAAGAGACTGTGCGCGACGCAACAAGACGCCCGTCCAGTAAGAAACCTCCATACATCCCTGCAGGGCATGCCATGCAGTGTTCTGTTTGTTTAACAAAGCCACTAATCCCTTTCTGCCAAGCTGACCGGCGTACAGGGCTAGCCTTGGCGTCGGAGGTGCTGCGAGAGCCGGCCTGGGACCGGGCCAAAAGAACTGGGCTCGGGGAAGAAGGCTGTTCAGAGAACGCGGTGAGGGTAGATCATCCCTCTCGGGAGCATCTGAGCGGGCGAGGGGAATGCAGCTTCTCGTTTCAATGATGCGCCGGACTACAAGGGTTTGGCTGCCAGTTCAAAGCGTCGTGTTAGGTACCGTAGATTCCATCGACAACCGACATATGAAAGCCTTTGCCTCTGGCCCAATGGTGTCTTTGGGTGTGCGGCACGGAAGATAAGAATCAAGTTAGGCATTGGCCTAAGGGGTGTTGGTATGTGCTCCTTACATTCCAGAGGTCCCTCGGGGTTGAGAGAGGAGATGTGTAGAGGGGAACCCTGAAGAAGGGGATTCCGCCCCGCCTTCCGCCCTGCCCCGGATATGTGTACGGCATGGCCCATGCCGTTGGTTCCCCGTATATATACCTAAACGGCAATCTGCCGGAGGGGGCGCGCGCAGGAGAGCGCAAGAGAGCGCAGCAAGAGGAGGGGGGAGGGCGCATCCCCGATCGTACGATCAATGCAGAAGAAGCTCGCCCTCGGCGATCGGGAAAAGAGGAATTGGGTTTCTCTCGTATGGGCTGCACTTGTCACTTCTCGATTCGCTCAATGCATTGCCCAGAAGCAGTCTCGCTTCCCTGACAAAGGTTCGCCAACCCTGCTGTCCACAACACACCGAACACCTTACTTAGCTACTGTTAGGCAGGTTACCCACCCTTACTTAGTCGAGGACCCCTTCAGACCCCTCACGCGTCATCAAAGATCCCATCCCACATTAAATAGAGACAGCTGCACTAGCTACATTAGCTCTTTCAGGGTAGACATCGTTATTGCAACCCTATCACCGACCCCACGAGCGTTGCGTCGAACATTGTCATAACAGGGCAGGGTCTGTAGGCCGCACAATTGGCCTATGGCCGACTGTAGACCCCGAAGCCAGTCCGCTAGGAGCAATAGCGTAAGCCTCTCAGCATCTAGTAAAGGGTTTGGCTTCAGTAGCTCCAACCCGCGACCTCACCGTTGTATTCAGGATGGACCCCGAAGAGGCAGACTTTCCAACAGGGACGAGTAAGTCCGCGACAAGTTGGCACTCTCGTCGTCCCTGGTGTCCAAGATGTCTTTTTTACAAAGTATGTAGAAAATCGGGGTGGTTCAAAGACTCTACTCGTATTAGCGACCAAATGGGGGACTGCAAGCAGATCAGCAAGGTCGCATTCAGAAGCACAATGCAGAGCCCACACCCGCATGCAGGTCTCAGTCAGAGACCCTACCTCCCTACTTGGGATTTTGCTATGAAGAAGATGGAGACAATGGTATCCTTTCCCACTCCATTCCATGACAGGTGATAGAGTTCAGGTAAGCGGACCTGTTAGCGGCGAGCTTCGTCGGACACGGGCCTTGTAAATTCGGGTCGCCGGACACTAGCACCGCATCCCACAGGCAGATCGAGATGCAGGCAAGGCACTACTCCGTTCTGGGAGCTGCAGAACGCAGTGGAGGAATCCAATCCGCAGGCACTAGGCAATGGATGGCCCACAGTCTCAAAAGACCCTCGAACATCTTCCACAGACTCGGCTGATCCATGCTTTTGCAGCCTGCCGCCATATTTCGAAGGCTTTGAGAAATCAGCTGATCTGCCTCGCTTGTGAGGGTGGTGATGGGAAGCCCCGGGATAACGGTCACCCAATCATGGAGGGCTTGCCAATCGGCCGTCGCCGTTGTGCTCGCCGCTCAACGCCTGGAGCCAAAGCTCTGGTGGAATGTTTTTCGGCCTTCAGGTTTTATCGCTTTCGGCTGTCGCAGAATGGACAGATGGGAGAAAACCGAGGTCTAGTCCTGGCCATTTGAACATGCTAATCCACACCTGCGGGTGACATTGATGGGACTAGACGGTATGACTTTGTAGGGAACGTCCCAGAACGCGACCGTGTCTCTCCTTGTACACCCATTCCTGTGCTAACACTGCACGGGTACCGATGCAGCAGAAAAGCAAATACCACTAGAGGACTGGATATTGGCCGCGTATAAGAGCCCCATGACGTCCGGCATCTGCTGCAGCCAAGCGACGGGTCTTCTTGCTCCTATCCTCAAGAAGTCCCAGATCCTCAATTGTTGCTGCAACGCAATGACCATCCTTCCACAGACCCAGGCTGCTTTTGATACTGAGATGGTCCTTCACCAAGACCGAGACGGCTTCCAAGCTTCTGCCTCGGGGCTTGATCAATGTCAATCGCAGGTGAGTTAGCCCGCTTCGACCGTGCAGACAACAGGATTCGGTTTCCCGATCACACTCAACATAAAAACAATTTGTTCACCTACCATCCCACTCCATACCCATCGTATACGTATCCATCGCCCGCACACCTAGCCATCCCACGCCAAGTATGTCCGTCTTCGGATTTTTTAACCATTATCAACAGGTGCCGCTCAACTTCGCCTACGAGCCAGCCATGGTGGTATCCCCAAGCTGGACTCTGGGCGGCCCGCTAGGGACAGAGTATATATCGTCTGATCCCTTTTTCTCTCCTGTACTTTCTGATGTCCTGGAAGCCGGATCGCCACCGACTAGCGGCCTCGACTCTAACGGCAGCTCCGACCAAAATTACTTTCCGGCCGTCGAGGATCCTCCATTTACGGGTACGAGCGGGTCCTTGAGCCCGCCCGATGACGACCGCTTGGAGAGCGATAGCGTCGGCAACGGCAGGGCCACCGCCGCAGCTTCTGCAGCGACAACGGCCCGGGCCTCCAGCCCGATGCGCCTCTCCGACGCCAAGCTCCGGTCCGCCTCCCGGAAGCCCAAGAAGCACAGGGGCGGGGCCCGCCAGACCGCCGCCTCGGCCCGCGAGACGCGCCTGCGCGCCGGCCACAACCTCTGCGAGAAGAACTACCGCGACCGCCTCAAGGCCTACTTTGAGGACCTGCTCGTCGTGCTGCCCATGGGCGGCGCCGCCGGCGACTCGGACGACGACGACGACAGCCCTTCCGCGGGCGAGAACATCAGCCGCGCGCTGCAGCAGGGCGGCGCCGGCGCCGGCGGCCAGGCCTTCAGCAGGGGCCAGGTCCTCGAGGCCGCCCGGAAGCGCATCCTCGAGCTCGAGAGGAAGGTCGACCGCCTGTCGTCCGAGCTCGGATACCACGGCTCGTCGCCCCAGGCGACTGCTGCTGCTCATAGGAGATCAGTGTGCGTGGGCGGGAACGCTGTGCAGTTATGACATGATGCGTTGCAGGCTGGGTCTCGGGCTCGCCAGCCTGTCGGTGGGTTTGCTCTTGCTACTGGAGGCGCGGGGGGGGTTTTCATTTCTGTAATAGTCCTTGGTGGAAATACATGTACCGCCATGAGAATGTATTGTACAGGGTTTAATAAGAGGTTCACAGGGAGACTGGAGTACGGCCGTCTCATGTGCCGCACGGCGCGCTTTGTTTGTTTTGCAATGAGTTTGTTCTGTCGTGCCGCGCTGTCAGCTCGTCGACCGTGTTTCCTTTAATCGGGGCTAGATGTCTCCTATTTACAAGCCTAAAGGGCTCCCAATACACTTCCAGCGAAGAGTGCTGCCGTACAACATTACGCAGGCATATCAACAGTTGAATGACTAAACACCAACCAATGGACAGCGGTGACATTGCAAGACTCTATGGTAAAAAAGACACAAGACATCCTTGTACACATGCAACACGTCTCAAGGAAAGAAGCATACGACTCGGTTCACCGTCATTGCTTCCTTGATGTGAAGGATATCTCCAATCAATATGGTTGTGATAAAGACTGAGGCTCTCGGGGAGCCTATCTAGTCTCGCTGTTATATTGCTTGACGCAATATCATGTTGCCGGGGGCGTCACATTGAGAACCTCCACATCTATGAGACTATGAAGCTACAGATCCCAAGTATATCAAAGCCTAAAATGCCAAGCTATGCAGGCCTGAAGGGCTTTCTGCTAGGCGGGCGTGGCCTTCTTGGTCTCTACAATAGCCTTGTTAGTGATTTAGAGAACTCCTCTTAGAGGATCTCCTCATTCGTACAGCAGGTGATCAGACCACAACACACCTTGACATACACAAGGCCGGGCTCCCGGGCAGCAGACAGGTGAGAAACACCATTACCAGTATAGAATAGCGTGAGGAGATACTCATTAGTCACGTAAAAGGTTAAGTGCAACTGTGCTTTGTGGGGGACTACGTTACTGAGATGGAGATGTCTTACTCCGGCCCATAATTCGTCTGTCATCGTTCCTTCAGTCGCCTTTTGGAGGAAAGTAGGAATGTATTTGGCAGGGGACCACTCCCCAACATCACAATCACATGGAAATGTATGATTGTCCGAGCCCACAAGCCTTGACGAGTTCCTACACCATTGGGTAGAGTCACAGCTGCTTGAGAATCCGGCGGCATGATCAAGGTCGTTTCAAACCTGTCTTTGTCGTCAGTTTGCCGATCGCATGATTTAAACCACAAGGCCATCGAACTGGATTGCTGTGCTGATGTGAGACCGGCTCTTGAGACCGGTCGAGCCTGGACAATCTTCCAGCCTGGCTCCAAGGACCTATGCCTCCGGTGGTGTTGTGGAACCAATCTGCCACGGAGCCAATGGCGAAATGGTCGAAACTGATCATCACACCAGGGTTGATCGTTCCGTCTGGCCGCATGCTGTCCCATCGCGCTCACACTGTTGTCGCTCCCATTGTAATCGGATACAGAAAGCTTGGGAACGTCTTTCGTAGCAGCACCCTGGTATGCCAGCTGTGGTTTGCCTGTCTTTATCAAGGCATGCGTTACCACAGAGGTGCCGGCAAACCCAGTGGGAATCTGGAATCTTGCAGCCCTCACAAGGGGCTCTAAGCGAACAGAGGCTACCGTACGCATTGAACTGAATGCCAAAGCGAGTCCTATCTACATCCCCGCCATCAAATTGTCATGTAGCGAGATGTATTTTCTTGGCGAGCCCTTCCTCAGGCGGAGGTCATCCTCACGGTACTCAGCTGCCTTGTCCTCTTAGGCTAGGTGCAGGCAGATCTTGACCATCTTGTCAGTAGTGTGGACTTGGAATGTATCTGTAATGAGCACACCATTTGTTACAGTGTACCCCGGATCCTCGGAGGGCTCTCTGGGATCGAGTCAGTGGGCAAGTTGCCACCCCTGGTCCCAGAGGCCATCTGCGACATGCGGAACTCCTTGATGCAGCCAGGCAACCATGCCTTCAAACTATCGTGCCAGGAGTAAGGTCGTTGCTGAACTGGACCTGTACCCACGGTGTCAAGACGGTGGCATCATCCTGAATCGCTTGCGCGATGTTTTAAGGGACAAACACACGAAGCAAACATCTGGGCACACTATAGGGGAAGCGCCGTTCCTTGGCTCCTCCACCTGTTCAACTGACAGGTCGTCCAGCCGGATACTACGCAACCATCACTTATTTTCTTACCATTGACATAGACATCGAATATGTCGAGGGCGGTGATATACAGTCGAGCATTGGCGGATGAAGCGGAGTTTGTTGCAAGTTTGAGTTGCTTGTAGAACCACAACTGTTGGAGTAGTGCTTCTGGGCCAAGTCGCTTTGAAAACGTGATGAAATGAGAGCTCCAGTCCGCTCTCTTCAAGAGACTTCAAGAGCCGATTCTGGCGTCCAGGGCATCGCTATTTGTCGTAGAAACCCTTGGTGCCGGCTCTTCCAAACTACTGAGCTCCAACTTTCACACATTGTCGCGATGTCCTCTGGTATATATCAACATTCGTGCCCCGTATTCTTTCACGGATGCGTTCAACTTCTTGGCGCTATTTGCGTGCTATGCACCAACCAGTAGTGCAAAGGTCACGCACCCTGAGTCCCTGACTAGGGAGCTGCAATCCATACGTCCGCTGCCAACGTTTAGTCCTGTGTCTTCGGACCAAACCCGAAAAGTGGAACCACGGGGAATGGCGGGAGCCCGTCCGTAGTAGCGCGCAAAAGCGGAGCATCTGCCGGTCTTTTCACCGGGACTACCATGTGCTGCATCAAAATTTTCTGGGGTTCTAGCCAGGAACTTGAAAGCCCCAATGTTTGATGAAGATGGTGGCCAATCATACACGTGGCTCGGGATGATCCCCGAGCCCCAGAACAATTCCTTGCCGCGTCACGCGTCCACCGGGGGAATTCTCTGGGGAACGCAGAGTCGGCAGAGGATCTCCAACTGTTTCGATCCTCTGAGGAGAGCTGAGGCCCGGGTAATATAAATCCTTGCAACACGCCTTCCTTCATCTTTTCAGTCGACACTTCCATCCACTCATTGCCAGCCTGGCAGACTATTGTTATCCTTTGAGTACCCAGTCTTCAAGCCTTAACTCACTTCAAAGGAAGGATCCCAGTCTTAGTCATGGGTGTCTTGAACCGCAAGAAGGGTCCCTCCAAGGGAGTGGAAGCGACTGTTGGACCTGCTCTCACTGCCGTGAGTAGTACTCTATGGTGACGATATCACCGGGGTTGCTGACAGCCAATGCAGGTCTTGCCAGATGAGCCCAGGCCATGGTATCGAGTTCCCCATCTCCTTAAGCTCAACCTCCTGTTGCTGGTCCCCTTGGTCTCTTCCGGCGCGATCGGCTATGACGGTAAGGCTCTACAATCTTTGGAAGCAAGGCAATTGGATGGAACCTCAGGTTGACTGACATCGCGTAGGCTCCATGATGAACGGTCTTCAGACCCTCCCTCAGTGGCAGACTTACTTTGGCCGCCCCCAAGGTGCCCTCCTTGGTGCTATGAACTCTGTCTACCCTGCTGGAAAGTTCTTCGCGCTCTTCCTTGTCACCTGGATTGCGGATCGGTTTGGACGTAAGAGGGCCATCTTCATCGGCGTCGTTACCTGCATCGCGTTCTGCATCATGCAGGGCCTTGCCAAGAATATCGAGACCTTCATCGCCGCCCGTGCGGTCCTGGGATTCTTCACCAGTTTCCTGGCTCAGCCCAGTCCCATCCTTATCACCGAGCTGGCGTATCCGACACACCGTGGAAAATTGACCGCTCTCTACCAGACCTCATTCGTATGTCAACAAGCGATTCTCTGCATGTGTGGCCAGTGCGCTAACTTGTCCATGACCAGTACCTTGGCGCCATCATCGCCGCTTGGTGCACGTACGGAACCTTCAAGATCAGCTCAGACTGGAGCTGGCGCATCCCTTCCCTGCTGCAGGGTGCCCTCCCTCTGCTCCAGCTCTGCTTCATCTGGTTCCTCCCCGAATCTCCCCGATGGCTCGTCAAGCACGGTCGCCACAGCCAAGCCCGCAAGATCCTTGTGGACTACCACGCCGGTGGCGATGAGAGCTCTCCCCTCGTCGACTTTGAGATGAACGAGATCGAGGTGGCCTTGACGATGGAAGCCGACGTCATGTCCCAGAACTCCTGGCTCGACCTCGTCCGTACCCCCGCCAACCGTAAGCGCACGCTCATCGCCGTATGCGTTGGTTGGTTCGCGCAGTGGAATGGCGTCAATATCATCTCGTACTACCTGTTCCTCGTCCTCAAAACCATCGGCATCACCCAGCCAAAGGACCAGACCCTCATCAACGGCCTGATGCAGATCACGAACTGGCTCTCGGCTGTATTTGTCGGCGCGCTGATGGTGGACCGCGTCGGTCGCCGGACACTCTTCCTCGTCTCTACTGGCGGCCTGTGCTTCAGCTACTGCATCTGGACCGGATTGACTGCTTCATTTGTACAGACGCACAACGAGGCCACCGGTCGGGCTGTGGTCGCCTTCATCTTCATCGCCTACTTCTCGTACGCCATTGCTTGGGCTCCTCTCTTGGCCGCATACACCGTCGAGATCTTCCCCTACACCCTCCGCAGCCGTGGCGTGTCGGTCATGTACCTGTCCACCTTTGCCGGTCTGGTCGTTGGTAACCAGGTCAACCCCATCGCTATGCAGAACATCGGCTGGAAGTACTACATCTTCTTCTGCTGCCTCTTGGCCGTCATTTTCGCCATCATCTACTTCTTGTTCCCGGAGACCAAGGGCTACACCTTGGAGGAGATCCGAGAGGTGTTTGAGGGACCGGCCCATGGGAAGCTTGATGATCTCGAGACGGCGCGTCCTGAGACCCAGTCAGGAAAGAAGGATGAGGGCAAGGCCATTCAACACGCAGAAAAATAATCAGGGGCGCAGCAGTCCCGCGGTTTTTCCGATCTAGCTCACCTACATGCAATGCATGAACTGTACGATACCCTAGCCAGAATTACTTAGAGGCTGATAGCCCAGAACAGCAGTCTCACACTCCCGTTCAATGAAACACATTCTCCTCCATGTCTACTATTATTTCCATACTCCTTAAAGGGAAAAGTTGTACTTGGCGCTCTTAGTCCCAATACGCAATAGCTGAGACTTTACAGCATTCCTCGTCCGATTCCCGGAGCTTGGCTCTTGGTTCGGAACACTAGGCACTATTGGCTAAGCTATTGCTCCACCGTCCTGGCATTGGTTCACTGCATCGCTCGGAAGATGTAATAGCTTGGTTTTTTACGGCACTTGTCCCCAGATCAAGCATTGTCTTCCCCACAACTATGGACCTATGGATTTGTGGCGTTTGTTACCACGGGGAGCGTTCCGGCTGCTCATAATGACCTTGTACCTACTTGCTCAGATGATCTGGGGAGAAGGCAATTTTTTTTGTGGCCGTGCTCCCCGGAGATGCTCCGAGACTCAAGTTCTCGGGACTCCATGGGAATGTGATTCGGGGGCCATGCGGGATCTAGACTCCCTTTTGACCCCATATAAGATGGGCACAGTCTAGAATACTCAAGAATGGGCGACGTAATCTGGGGAGGGCAAAGAGCAACCACATGCAGGAATAACATTCGGCCGGGTTGGAGTGGAGAAGGAGAATATGAAGGCTCCGGAGAGCGTCGGAAAGTTGTTAGTCCTGGTGATCATAGCAAGTGGAGGATTTCTTCTGGTGAGATACAGTGTCTCTTACTCCAGAGCACAATACTAGTACATTTTTACCACCATCGATGCCGGATGCTCAGAGAGCGGGATCTTTTCAGTTTACAGGCATCGTTGTAGTATTTACAGGATTGTTCCCGAGTAATTCTGGCAACGTTGGGCCCGGGTCAAGATCTCAGCTGCAGAACCGCGGGAGGACGTGTCGAGAAAGGATCCCTTCACATCTCAAACTCCTTGATTGCGATAACGTTTGACCTCGAGACATTTTGGTTCATCCGATCAATCAGCACGGCAAGCATACAGCGCCAAGTCACAACTATGGCATTTCGTATCAGAGGCGACGGGTCCTCGACGCGACAAAGTAGCCTGTGCAACGATCGACTTCCTCTGCTGTTACTACAACTGGCGACTGGCGTGAAGATCTACCTTATGATGAACAGCCTCCAACCTGCATCCGCGACTGAATCGAGGGGAATTTGACAGTCAATAGCAAAGGTGTTGCCAAGGAAACAGAACCTAATTTCACCCTTGCACCATGTGCTTTCTGGAGGATGACGCTACAACCAAAGTTGGAAAAGGTGCGTTCTAGGGTTGGCACGGACTAAGTCATTCTGATCCGACGATGCGAATGTAACCGTGTCTGAAACTGACCATTCAGAGCGTGACCGTATTAAGTCCTTTGACCAGCTTCAGATCGACTGGGCCGTTGTTGGAAAGCAGCTGCAGTACTGCAGTAGACTCTTCCAGAGGGGAAAGAAATTGTGAATCGACATTTCTTTCAATCACACTTGCGCTTCGGATGTAGGTATGTTTCAATGTTGCTTAACGCTCATACGCCATACAAACAAGTCGAGAGCTAGACTCTCACGTTGGTAATCAACTCACAAACCTTGTGAAAAGGCTATCACCAGAAGCTTTTCCAACAGTAAGATGACGATGAATTGGAGATAGTCCCTCCTTCTTAAAGATAGTAATTTGTTAAAACATAAGATGACTAATGGTGTAGTTTTGAAGTTAAGACAATGTCAAGTAGGTTATAAGAAATGATATTACCACTGTGGCTCTGCAAAGTTCATGCAAGTCCTTTACAATGCAACACATCATTCTATGATAATATCTGCGGAAGAGATTTTTCTAACAGCCCTTATTCTTCTTGAACATGTTGATAAATTTAGTGTAGAAAGGACTCTTAGAACTGTTTGGCAGAACCGGGAAGCCACCAGAAAAAGAATTAGCAGGCTCATAGAGAGTCCTAATGCCCTCCACATCCTAGAATCCATCGTCATTAGCAAGGTTAGCCATCATAGTAGTCCGCGATTAGGCAGAACTTACACCCAAACTCGGCCGGAAGTTGGACTGAAAGCTCTGGCCATCGTTACGTAGTAGGATTGGGGTTCCAGTGGCACTTCCATCGGAACTCCCGTAAAGCATGATTGATTCCCAACTGTGCAATTGTGGTGTTAGCGGTACTCAGACATTCCAAAAGGACACCGAGGAACGACTTTTCTGTGGGTCATCAACAATAGACAGGGAGGACTCACTCGACATCATCATAACTCTGCCCGGCGTAATACGAATTTTTCGACTTGAAAGTCCTCCACGGCAGCCACTGCCCGGCGGTAAAATTGTACTTGTCCGCCATTCTCTTTGAGACGCACAGGAGCCTCTCGTCACCGTTACCATCGGCGATGGCCTTTTGCAAGACCTCCATGTAGCCCGGAATAGCCGCGCAGTCGAACTTGTCGCCAAAGATGACACCGTTGGCGAAGCTGACGGGTGCGTTCCAGAAGTATCTATTTTGATGCTCGTGGTACAGCCCCCACGCGTGGCCGAACTCGTGCGCAATAGTAGCGACCACGGCTTGGCCTCTCGCGGTCCAGGCGAAACGGGCGTTCTCGTAGTCGAGGTTCATCGTCGGGCCCTTGTACTCGGTGTCCCGGGCATTGAGCAACGGCAGACCGACGGTGCTGTCCATGTAGGGCTTGTCGGTCCTCACGTTGATGACCAGCGTATTGGCCCGGTTCGAATAGCCCGTGCAGCTGCCCCCGGGGTTGGCGACCTCCTTGTACTTGTAGACGTCCTTGTGCAGGCCGGCCTGGTGCCAGAGCATAGTCGCCTGCTTGATGAACTTGGCGAGCTTGTCCTTGGCTTCTGAGGTGGAGTAGCAGTAGCTGATCGTCTTCTCGGGCCATAGGCTCTCGGTACTGTCGGTGCGGAGGCCGATCCAGCGCTTGCGGAACTGGTGCTCGCGCGAGGGGTCTTTGATGGCGTAGCCGGCGGCGTCGACGGGCAGCGGGCGGGTGTCGGCTGGCTCTTGCAGCTTGGTTTCCCACGCGTGGCTGCCGCAGAGCGCAGTGGTCGCGAGCGCGCCAAGGAGTGTAAGGCGGAGAAGGCGTGTCACCATCATGATCAAGTGATGCTGTTGAGACACAAGAAGATCCTGGTCAAGGCAAGCACTTCAGCGTGAAAGGCTTCAGGGTTTGATGGGGATGGTCCATGAAGGCGCCTGGATATTCTGGGCCATCTTGAGCTCCCCATCATTCTAAGATGCACTCGTGAGCAGTCATCATGGAATTTCAGGGTCTCAAGGTACACTGTCGATGTACAGGTACAACTGAAGCTGATCCAAAATTTAAATTGTCTGGAGCGGCTTGGCCCGGGCTGACTACCGAACCGGACCTCACTATCGCCGAACTGTAATTTCACTAGCATGCAGGTAATAACGGGAGATCTAGCTTACGTGAGAGAATGCCGATGCACCTGCATAAGCTAATCAAACCCCATGCATGCTCCATCGTGACGGTAACCGCACGATTTGCCATAATCTCAAGATGCACGTGTGGGGTTGTACGAGCTAGATTGTTGGTCCCCTAACACCGAGTATTGGATCGTGATAGCTCCTTTGGTGTTAGTCTAATCACTATCCGTTTTCCTTTACTTCGATAACGGTTAGCAGACATCGTGATTCCGATAGCCACATGCGTCCGCGTTGCGAGTAGAACTTAAGGGTGTGATAGCTCGGCGGCTTATCCCGTTCTGTTCATCGCTGGTCCGTTGGAGATACGAGTGCCTTTCCATCGCCAAAAGATATGTCCGGTCTTTTCTCAAAGGCCAAAATCGACAGAGACAAGTGCGCCCCTCATACCGTAGCGTCACAGGTGTTGTCATAACTATTGCCCTCTTCAACACCAAACCACACTTCAGGTATGAATGCCTCGAACATCCTATAGTCAACACTTATACTGACATTGCGAAACAGCTTCCTTAAAGAGAATCGCAACGTCTGATGACGATGAGACTCAGCTCCTTCACTGTCGGCCTTCTGGTCTTGGCTGCCGGTCATGTACAAGGCCAAGGAACACCACCACCGGCATCGACGCAGCCCGGCACCAGTACAAGCTGCAACAAGTGGCATGTCGTCAAGTCTGGCGACAATTGCGGAACTCTGGAGTCTCTGTACAAGATCACGCACGCCCAGTTCCTCACCTGGAACCCTGCGGTATCAAATGACTGCATCACGAACTTTTGGCCCGACTACGCATACTGCGTCGGTATCAGCAGCACCGTGCCAACAACGACCGCAAAGCCCACAACTCCTACAACGACAGCACAGATCACCAGCCCTCCGGGCCCGACTTTCACCGGCACTCCGGCGAACTGCAACAACTGGTACACCATCCAAAAGGGAGACGACTGCGGCGTGGTCGAGAAGAAGTTCGGCATCACGCACGACCAGTTCATTGCTTGGAACCCAGCTGTGTCCAAGGACTGCGTGACGAACTTTTGGCCTGACTACTCCTACTGCGTGGGCGTGGACCCGAGCAAGCCCTCCACGGCGACATCAAAGCCGTCCACTACCACTACGACGAACCCGTCCACCACAACCAAACCATCCGTTACAGTACCCACCACTACGACACCGTACTCCATTTTGCACCCTGTGACGAACGAGACCATCTCGCGGCCGCCAATGCCGACAGAGGAATGGCCTCCTACTAAGACCCAGGAGGGCCAGCCGGCTTACTGCAACAACTGGCACCTAGTATCTCCCGGGGAGACGTGTGAAGATATTACGAGACGATACAGCACGTGGATGGGCCTCGAGGACTTGTAAGCATTTATTTCTGCTCATATCTCACACTAGTCAGCTTGCCTAACTAACAACACATGCACATCAATAGCTTCGCATGGAACCCATCTCTCGGCACCGACTGCTCCGGCCTCTACACAAACTACTTCGTCTGCGTCGGCATCCAGCCCCAGCAGTCCCTCACCCTCGTCCGCCCCGCCCCCAACGGCACCGCCGTCCTGCCCCCCTACTTCTCCTGGACCCCCGAGCCCCTCCCCACCGTCGACACCTCTTTCGTCCCGACCCCGATCCAGGGACCTCTGCCCACCGACTGCGCCGCGTGGTACCTGGCCAAGCCGGGCGACCGCTGCGACAACGTCATCGCCGCCAACCCGCCCATCTCCAGGGAGCAGTTCTTCGCCTGGAACTCCTACCTCAATAACAACTGCGACGGCCTCTGGGCCGACACGTATTACTGCGTCTGGGCCGGCAGCAACAAGCCGCCCGTGCCGACGGCCACGGCGGCGCCCTCGCCAGTCGAGTCCGGGACCGTGAGCACGTGCACAGCGTGGTACCAGACCTCCGGGTCAGACGACTGCGACTCGATTGCTCTCGTGTTCGGGACCTTCTCGGCGCAGGACTTTGTGCAGTGGAACCCGGCCGTCGGGCCCGACTGCTCCAGGATCCGGAACGAGTACTACTACTGCGTGGCCGTGCCGGGCACGCCGACGACGCGGACGCAGCCTATCCCGTCGACGACGGCGGCGCCGGACCGGCCTACGCAGAGCGGGATTGCGAGTGCTTGCGGGCGGTACTGGCTCGTGTCGAGTGTGGATACGTGTGATGTGATTACCTCGACGAACGGGATCACGCTGACAGATTTCTTGACGTGGAATCCGAGCGTTGGGTCGTCGAGCTGTACTAATTTGGTGCCGGATTATTATGTCTGTGTAGGCTTGACAGGGTAGTGGGCCTCGTGGAGAGCATGAGTCTAGAGACTAGTGAATATCATAGGGTGTTGAATGAATTGCTTTCATGATGGCTGATAGACGTTCTCGTGCAGATAGCTCTTGAATGTGTCATGTGTGGAGAGGAAAAACCCCTGCTATCGATCGGTGCGCATCGGACGGAAGCTGCCGGAATCGGCTTCGGCGATGGAGATTGCCGCTCTCGGATCGTCTAGAACCGAGCTGAGTCAAAACTATAACCTATACCTCCGCCGGTCAGCTCTTGGAGTCTCCTTCAAGCTTGAAAGCTTCTTGAATGGCTTGTTAAATTCGTTAGTCCGTGCCTGGATGGTCACACCGGCCAAGACCATCGTGGTTGGGTTGGTAAGCAGATGACGGTCAATAGTGCCATGTAGAACAAGTCCAGGACATTTGGGGTGGGATTGATGTTGCGATGCAACAAGGCCAAGGGCTGTATTAAGCCGCTGGGGGGTTCCAAGATAGCTCAAGCAAGAGAGTGTCCCAATGCAGCCTTACTCTTCTCCTTCACAATGAAGTTGTGTCCCATCCCCGCCGTCTCCTGGATGGCTATACCTCATCAAGAAGCACATTGTGGTTACCAGCGACAAGGATGAATGTCATTGTTTCTGCTCCACCCGTAACCCTTCTCTGACCTAGCCTTAGCCCTATCGTTCCCCTTTTCTGCGGCATAAGGAAGTTTAACTTAAAGCTCCTCCCTCTTCAACACCAGAGTCGTCATTGTTATCAATTACATGCTGACATGATTTGACAAGCATTTCTGCGATCTCACATAGTTCTGAGCAGTAATCCCTGTATACTGCTCTCATCTTTTGGAGTTCCTGTTTCTTTGACAACGGGGGATTCGAAGCACGAATGTTTTCCTTTGCCCAATACAGAGTAGTACGAACCGCGGCAAGAGATGTCTGTATCTCGCGCTCCGCCTGGGCCAGGTTCATGCCTTGCACGTGGGGAAGCAGCTTTTCAATCCTAGCAACCAACTCTTTCCCATCGCTCTCATACTGGTCAATCTATGTCTCTCTGTTAGATGATCCTACAACTGGTGTGAACATTACCACATACCACGCGCTGTACACGAGTGTTATGGGCACTTTCCTCCGCCAGGTGGCGCTGGACTTTGGTGTGTTTCAAGGCTAAAGCCGCTATGGCTGCCCCAACAATTGTAATGACAGCACTACCCCCTGAGACGGCAGGAGTAACCCAGCCTGGAATGGTGCTGCCAGTGGCAGTCTCAGCAGGATTGGTGTGATGCGGTATAGTCGGGCACAGACTCTGTTGTACAGTTGTAGTGGACGAGTAGTAGGATGTGGTCCCGGATGTAGGACCGTAGAATGAAGGACTGGGCTCAGCGGGATAGTCAGTTGGGGTACAGTCGGCAACATGGTAGGCTCTTCTATGTGACCAAGCATGTCATGATCGGACGCAAAGTTGGGCCCTTTGAGGTAACTAGCCATGTTCCCGTCGGAGGTACTGTCGAACCCGTCTAGGGGCTTATCTGTGCCATAGAAAAATCCATCAGACTCTGCGAAGTTTGTAGCTGTATTAGCGGGTACAGTGAGATCTGACCCCTCCGGGACCGACTTAATGGTCTGGCGGCGCTCTCGTCCCATTGCAATTCCAGGACCGAGGAAAGGCTGCAAGATTGACGGCTATATGCGAATTGGAGGAATTAAGTCTAACAGGAGAGCCGTTCCTACCTTTGAAGGTATGCTTGACGGAGATTGCTGCTCCTTTTTATGGTAAAAAGGTAATTGGGTAGGAATTACACCTTCAGGCACCGCTGCACATACTTGAGCTGAGCTGCTCACCGAGGCGTTCCTAACGAACCAATCAAGCTTGTTACTGATACACCAACTCGCATCATTAGGCACCTACACAGCTATGTAGATTCTGGCCCAAGACTGACATTAGCACTAGTGACGATAACAGTTTCGGTGGTGAATGGCTGCATTAGGGAAGGAGGTGTGCGGAAGAGTTGGGAGAGGAAGAATGGTCGCAGCGCTGGACCAAGTTTATTTTCGATAAGAATCTCTTCGGGCATTTTGAACGATGTTATCAGAACGGAAAGTGGAGATGAAGTAAGAAAATACTGTGTCTCTGCGATCCCTTCTGTGGAACACGAAGGGCTGGAGTGAAGATGGAATATGCTAGGAGAAAGGAGGAGATTGCACGCGTGAAAGAGCTCATCTTGTACTATTCTCAACGGATGATCTTACTGTTCGAGTCCGAAGACCTAGAGACTTGTTATCAAGCAAAGCACCGGGGTCTTTTCCCTAACCAGCAGCTCTGTGAAACTGCGTAGTGATATTGCGGGGGTAGGACGCGAGTCACAGCAGTGAAGTAAGGAGCGCAGGGTAATAACCTTACCCAAATGAGACAGCGCCTGCAACATCAGAGGACCCTTCCCGACTCTGACGACCGCTACGCATTTCCCACGTGGTTATGACATATATATAGCGCGCTCAATATGAAGAAATCAATCATGTATAGTCCATTACATAGTGCTAAATAATGTCAAGGCTCATTTATCGCTCCCTCCACAGCCATATTTCTCATACTCCTTACCATACTCGTGCGTGTAACCTCCCGCGGCCTTGACCACCTTCAAGTTACCAAAGCATCTTGCCTTGACAAAGACAGGAGTACGCCACGATGCATACCAGTCGTATCCGCCGCAGTCCTCTCGCTTCTGGCAGTACTTGAACTTCCACTTTGTCAGACCCAGCCCCAGACAGCCCTTGATGTTGGGCACGATGGTCTGCTGGCCGTAGTCCCACCCGGCCCAGCCATTGCCCCTCATGTCGTAGTCGGAGAACAGGAGCTTGTAGTGGCTGTTGCACTCGCCGTCCATGCGCGTCAGGAACCCGCGGTCCCACTTGGGGTTGATCTCGTACGTGTAGTCGCCCTTGACCCAGCGCCCGCCGTGCTTGAAGTTGAGCGGGTTCTTGTCCTTATCCCCGTCGCACGAGTTGATGATCTTGTCAAAGGCGTCCAGGCACTCGTCCTTGTTGAAGTTCTTGGCGCCGTTGTCGAGTTGGATCCGGAACTCGTGGTGCTCGGGCGTGTTCTCGTGGTACGTCTGCGTCTTGCCCCAGTTAACCGTGTTGTCGGGCTGCTTGACGACGTTGTTGCAAAAGTCCTTGGCGTTTTTGTCGAGCCGGTCCCAGCTGACGTAGGCCAGGGCCGGGTTGCGCCCGTTGTTGTCGGTCGACCAGCAGGTGAAGACGTCCTTGTCGCCGATGGCGCACGAGTCCTTATTGAGTATCTTGGCCCGCATCCACGCGAGCGTCTCGAAGGAGCTGGCGGCGATGGTCTCGTGGCCTTTTTCGTTGGGGTGGAAGTTCTCTAGGAAGCTGTCCGGCAGGCCCATACCTAGCGGAGGCTCCGGCCCACCATCACCGGGGCAATTCGGAGGGGACGGTGTAGCGCGCGGGTCGAGCTTGTGCAGAGCGACGGCCCGCGGGTTTCTGGACTTGTAGATCAGGGAGTCGTACAGGTCCTCGTTCCTGGGGTACCGTTGTTTCATCCGCTGGATGTATTCATCTCGCCTCTCCAGGGCCTTCTTGATATACGGCGAATCCTCTTCCTTGGCCACCTCGACAGCAGCTTCATCGCGCTTCAGACCGTCGTGGCCGGCAACTACAGCGTAGGTATCGGGCTTGAAAAACTGGAGATTGGGCTGCTTTGGGTCCGGGTAGCGGCCATCACTGCTGGGCGAGCACATTTGTCCATCGACGATGCCTGGCCATTGACTCCAGTCGGAAAAGGCGATCCTGTACCTCTTCTTGCCATCGTTGGCATCGACGACCTCCTTGATGGCTTTGTTGATGTTATCGACCAGGGTATTGAACTTCTTGCGTCGCTCAATGTTCAGCGGCAGTGGCGTGCTCAGCCAGTACGAGATCCACCACCACTCCCGGATGGCCCAGGACTGCTTGCTTTGGTCTGCGCAGTCCTCGTTGTCCGTGTTGAAGAAGGGTGCGTAGCCGTTGTAGATAAGAATGCTGTTTGAATTCATTTTGTCCTCGACCTTGTCAAGAACGCTCTGGATGTTGCCCTTCAGGATAGTGTCGATATTCTGCTGGGCCTTGTCGATGACGTCTTGGCACACCTGGGCGCCTCTCCAAGGCAAGAAGACACATTCCTTGATCATTGCTGCCTGTGGCAAGATGTCAGAATGTTACAGCACAATGTTTACTAGATATATGTACTCACGAGACAGAGATCATTGCCGCCAGCAGTCATCATCACCACGTCCAGGTTCCCCAACAGGGCATCCGCCTGCTTGTAGATCCCCTCAGTACGGTCGCCACTGCAGGCTGGGAACTGAAAGTTTGAGACACTCGGACCCAGGCCATGATTGACAATTTGCGGCCACGAGTAGGAGTACCGCGAGCACCTCCAGTTCTTGCGGGACTCGGGGTCAGTCGTCACCAGGCTGCCGAGCTGCTTGCCGGAACCGATGCCTGCGGTGAAGCTATCACCAATGGCAGCCCACCGTTTGACCCAGCTGAAATCCGTGGGGTCGCTGTCGGCTCGAGATACAAGAGGAGAAGAGCGTTCCTCATTGAAGCTCGTGTAATTCTCCCGCTCGTGTGGCTGAATCACATACGCCGTCGTGAAGGGGGCCGTCATCAGGGCGAAGGCCCCGAATGCAAGCTTGCCCAACATCTTGGGCAAGCCTAGAGTGAGTGATAGGCGATGTCAAGCTAGGCAGATTTGGAAAAGAGACGGTGATTCAAAGAGAGAGGGTCTTGTCCTAGAAATTTGCAGAGTTCGAAAGGGCTAAAGCTTCTACCACGAGACCATATCTCGATAGGATGCCACTGTATATCGGAACGGAACGAGGTGATGTCTGTAAGCAGGGGGTCTAGATCTCGGGCATGTAAGCGGACATGTGAATGAAGCTAGCAACCGAGATGTAACAATATCCGGCCATCTCATGCTGTGAGGCCGTCCATATACTCCCTTTCCATGTGGTGATCAGACCAGACCGTCCCGCCAAGAACGACTTTCAACGGAAGCGTTTCACTCATTGAGCTTCAGTAGCGCCGAGTTAATAAAGATAAGTATGCACGGGACATTGGCAAGATGAGACATTGCTGGCCGAGCTCGGCAGTCCTCAGTTGGAAACGAATAGTCTATCACAAGGTCTTAGACATAGGGAAACACTAATAAAGTCAAGGGCTTTGAACTTGGTGGTGTAGTCGGAAATTTGTTCACTCTTGTGGCTTCTTTAACGCCGAAGAGGAATAGTGTGTGGCCTGATCAGCCGCCACTCCAGCGGATGCAACCGTGCCATGCCATGCCTTTCCCGGGTTCGCAACTCTGGAATTGCATTTGCCTGGGCACGGAATCTTGGATGCTACTCCTGGACCCTGCAGCAAAGCAGCACTATCAGATGCACGTTCATTCCCGTATTTTCCAAAGGTTCGGGTGATCACACGTCAGCAGACTAGCATGCGCCGGGTTCTCGGTGGTAGCGCTTCCCGAATGGGAACTTCCGTGAACTAAAATGCAGGTACCGATACATCGCCATGGGCATTCACGTGCTTCCTTGCATGTTTGCGTACAGAAGGCTTGAAAGCAGGAGAAATATTCACAGTCGAATGAGCGACGTTTGTTCATCGTGAAGGTGTGTCTGAGTTAACATCCCAGACCACTCCGCTTCATGTAGTTAACTCCTCTCTTTCCGTTGAACCGCAGCTAGACCCAGCGTGAAACAGCCAGCCATGGGGATATCGAACATCATGAAGTCAACACTGATCCAGCTCGTCTTGGCCGGCACTGCTCTTGCGGCAACGACATTCCAGGAACAAGCGGAGGCCAGTCGCGGCCCTGCTGGTGAAGTATCCATCGCTGCGGACAAGAACGATTACACCTGCACAAAGACGAAAGGCTGCGCCATTGGTTGCTGCGGCGCCCTGTAAGTTTTGCATGCCTGTGGATAGTCGATGAACCACACTGACAATGTCTCCTACCCAACATTTAGAGACCCAAACACAGGCAAGGGAGTCTGCGGCGGCGGTCCCGACTTCTGCGGCAAGGGCTGCGTCTCCGAGTGCAGCTGGAAGAGCGAGTGCGATCCCGGCTGGGGTGCCCAGTGGTCCAATGCGACGACCTGCCCTCTGAACGTCTGCTGCAGTGACTTTGGCTTCTGCGGCACGACAGTTGACTTCTGCAAGGGCAAGGTCGTTTCCTCGCCCGAGTGCGGCGGGAGGAGTGCCGATGCCAGGACGATCGGTTACTACGAAGGATGGAACCAACAGCGTTCTTGCGGTCGTATGTCTATTTAAACCCCACTTTCTATCGGAGGAGCACCTGGATGCTAATACAATGGTGGTAGACATGAAACCCGAGGACATCCCCCTGGGTTACTACACGCACGTCTTCTTCGCCTTCGCCCTGATCCACCCAAAAACCTTTCACGTAGCGCCGATGGACCCGGAGACGGCCACGCACTACGACGAGGTGACGAGGCTCAAGGCCAAGCAGCCCAATCTCGAAGTGTGGATCGCGATCGGCGGCTGGGCCATGAACGACCCAGGCCCGTACCGCACGGCATTCTCGGACATGGCCAAGTCCGAGTCTGCGCAAGATGCCTTCTTCGAGTCGCTTATCTCGTTTATGTTCCAGCACGACTTCGACGGGATTGACTTGGACTGGGAGGTATGTACATGGATTGCCTGCTTGAAGTGTGAAAGAGAGAATCTGACGTGTGACACAGTATCCCGTCGCTGATGACCGAGGTGGTATACCTGAGGACTTCAAGAACTACGTCAACATGATTTCCCGCCTGAGAGCTAGGCTCAATGGAAGTGGACGCCGCTTCGGTTTGAGTATCACTCTGGTAAGCTAAGATGCAGCCTCTGGTTCGAGAATGTGAATTGACTTGCGTTGGTACTTGCAGCCGGCCTCGTACTGGTACCTCAGAGGCTTCGACTTGGCCCAAATTGAGCCGCACCTAGACTTCTTCAACATCATGACTTATGATATTCGTAAGTAGAGTCTTCGTCATGGTGGTTTATTATGATAGTTGACAATAAACATCTCGACAGACGGGGTCTGGGATAAGACAGTCAACTCGATCGGGCCGTACGCGTACGCTCACACAAACTTGACGGAGATCCAGGTAAGCGGGCACGAGGCCCAGTCGTCACGACCGTGCTGATTTGTATCTTAGTTGGGCCTAGAACTGCTATGGCGAAATAACGTCAACCCCGCCCGCGTCAATCTCGGTCTAGGCTTCTACGGAAGAAGTACAGTGTTCCCCGGCGCTTTGAACTTTGATCCTGAAATGGTTCTGACAGGCGCAACACAACAGGTTTTACCATGAAAGATCCCAGCTGCATGCACTCGGGCTGTGAGTTCTCAGACGGCGCCCACGGCGGCGAATGCACGGGCACCCCAGGCGTCCTGTCCGCCGCCGAGATCAACAAGATCATCAAGGCCGGCGCCACGGTGACGTTCGACCAGGAGGCCGCCGTCAAGATCGTGACCTGGAACTCAAACCAATGGGTCAGCTGGGACGACGCAGAGACGCTGAAGATCAAGCAGGACTACGCGAATAGGCGTTGCTTGGGAGGGTGAGTCTACCCGCGCCTGATGTTAAGGACAGGCCTGCAAGCATATACTTACTAACACCGTGTTTTAGAACTATGGTGTGGGCTATCGACTTGGACGACGGCACTTTGATTAATGCACTTGGGGGGAACATGGCGCGCAAGAAGGCGACGGTGTTGGACAACTTTGTCAAAAACGCTGATGTGCAGTACGAACCTAAGGGTGAGCTATGAGTGAGGGTGTGAGATAGTGAATATTTGGATATCGGTTAGATGAATTCAGTCCAAGAGAAGTATAATTTCTGTGCAAGTATTGTGATGCAAATCTTGTGTTGGGAAGAGCAATGTGGCATTGTATTTGTCTCATCAATCCTGAGAAAGTCGCTCAAGTCACAGGTCTTGATGCTATTGTAGATAGGGATGACTGACCATGTCCGCTGCGCTGAGCCGGTGGACAGGGTCTATCGAGAGCACCCCTCTCAATAGTCGCAGCAGCACATCTCTCTGCTCCTCCGAGATTTGCGGGCATTTGTCCTTGATCTGCTTTTCCAGGGCTCTTCCGGGAGTGAAACTTGGATCATACCAGAAGTCTTTCTGCCCGGGTTTCAAACGGCGGTCCGCCTGATTGACAAATTGGCCTTCCCATTGGTCTGGAAGATTGCCCAATGTATCAACGATAGTTCCGATCAGAAGATCCAGCTGGTCGAAAATAAGAGGAAAGAGAGCTCGAGAGCTATGAAGTTCGAAAATGACACATCCTAGGCTCCAGACGTCACTTGCTTGTGACTCTAGGTATCCAAAGCAGAGTTCTGGGGCGAGGAATGACCGGGGAATACCAGGAATCTCGGATGGCGGATTACTGCTTCGGAAAGACAGCCCGAAATCGACAATACAAGCCTGGCCCGAAAGCAGCTTAGGATCTAAGCCCCTGAAGTTGATCCCTCCCACGACTTCTCTTGGAGCCGCCGCGGGTGAACCATCCATGCGCAGCAACTGGGTTTTCCTTGGAGCTCCTAGGTAACGATATACCTCTGAATCAGTCCAGTTGGCGACATCGTGCAAAGCAAAAAGCACGTTGTTGTGAGTCAGGTCTACCAAAATTCATTAGCATGAGAAGAAAAGTACTTCTTGACGGCAGATAGCTTACCACCATGGCAAACCCCTGCTTTGTGAATAAATGAAAGCCCTTCGCCTAAGTGACGTGAGGCGTGTCGGACGAAAGGCGGTGGTAGCTCTGTCCGACGCAGATGCTTGAGACTTGGTCCTAAGACCGGTAACACCAGACAGCAGTGGGAACCGTAAGGGCCAGAAATTTTGAAGTGACCATGTAGGGACAATACACTTGCATGTGTACCCTGAGAGTTCATCAGGTAAAGTAGTGTCTCCAGTTCTGTCTGCGGTGCATCTGCGGCCAGGATCTTGAGTGCATAGAGCTTCTCATCAATCGTGCTCCTTGCTAGCCATACTGTCGAGAATCCCCCACAGCCAAGCTTATGGAGGATTCTATATATTTTCTCAATGACGTCTCCAATGTGGACAGGAAGAAAACCACCCTTGTGATATCTTTCAACATCTTCGACATTGTCAAGGTCATCGGGCCACTGATATCTTTGAGGCGACATGTTGGATGAGACAGCAAGCAGACTCGCTGGTCAGAGAACGATGGCGATGCAAGTGTGGTCAGCACAAGCTGTAGGGGAACATATCGATTGAGGAGGGCCTCCAAGGTTGCCCCGCGGCTGGGTAATTAGCTCTAGGCAGCCAACTCGTCGGTAAACAGGTGTGCCTGATAGGTCCAAATGCCACTAGCCGTTGCTCTACTCCGTGATCCATCAACCTCAGGACGCCCCTCGATATGCGAAAGCTTTACCGCTGGCGCAGCAAGTCTTACAGCAGTGCTTCAACCTGTACTTCACATGTGGCTGCGCCACATGCACATTCACATTGCTCAGGCCAGCCAAGAGTGGGAGACTTGCCCTGCCAGAGAGGTGGCAGGAGGCGGTGGCGGTGGCGCGGTGCACCCTCCAGCGGTGGTGTCAAGAAGCACCTGACCTCCGCCGGGTTGAAGTGGTGGTGAATGATTTTGTAAGTTCAGGACTTGGGAGCAACGATGGGAAAGGCTCAAGGTCGAAGTTATCGGGTCAGATCGAAGATCAAGGTAATGCCATCTTCCTGCTAATTATTGCAACGAACTAACCTAATGTGTGTCATGTTTTGAAAACTGTACTACAACACAGCAAAGTTCACCGATGGCCCTCGCACGGCGATTGGCACAAGCCACATCCTACTGTTCATATCGGAACTATTCCGCCTCTCTATCTTGGTCCAACTCCATGATTGTCTGATAGTAAGTTGGCGGGCGCTCAACCTTTCTCAAAAAGACATATCGCTGGATAAAGTATGGCAGGTACGTTCGGATTTGATACGCCATATGATGCAGCTTGGAACGGTCGAATATTGTATCCAAGTCTTCGAGGCTCAGCCGCTGTGTCTCTTCAACGAGGAGATAAACCAGCACAAATGCGATAACATTCAGGCCGGAAAAGAATCCCGTCGCTCCCGAAGTTGTGAATTTCGTGTTGATTTTCGGGTAGAAAATGGTAGGGAGCCCAGCGAAGAGCAAGTTTATAGCGACAGCCACAGAAGCTCCAGCTTCTCGGTGCGACATGGGAAAGCTGTTGATCTTTAGTTTGGTGGATGTATTTTTGCATCATAATAGGGGAACCCATACCTTTCAGATGCCAACGTGAATGGAATGGGTCCTGGGCGTTAATTCATTAGCTGAATGGATGCGAGCAATCTTGGAAGCAAGCTGGAGCTCACCGAGGCCTGGAGAATACGCTGCGGCAAAGACTATGGATCAATTAGCGGAGTCCAGGCTCGCATTGGAAGATATCATACTGACAGAAGATGAAGACTATGAAACTAATTCGGTGTGGATCTTGATCACTCATGCCTGGGTGCCATGGCGCATACGTCGCGGCGGCAATCAGCAAGAAAAGGCTCATTAAAGGCAGTGTCGTCAGGAGCCATGGCCTTCGACCGAATGTATCGATTGATCTCATCGCAAAAAGACAGAAAACAAAATTGACAGCACCTGAACGGAGTGAGTAATGGCTTATTGATGGTGAGGTTGAAAGTACCAACCGAATCCCATGCTATACAGCATTGCGGCCTTCTCATTTGTCTGGTCTCTTGCTCCTGAAGTTTTAGAAAACAGTTCGTTGGAGTAGAAGGCAAGGATATTGACTAAAGTATTGTTCAGTGACTATTCGCAAGTCAGAGGACTTCCAATACTCACTTCCACACATTTGCTGTGCCAGGTTCACTGTGCATGAACTGTATACCGCATTTCGAAGGCGCGTAGTACTAAAGAGAGTCTTGTACTGTGTGATGGAGATGCGTATACCCATACCCAAGCGCGATGCATATGTTAGTCTCTGCTTCTCGGCCTTCTCCGTTGCCTCTACGTCATCATCCACTGGATTGGACCAATGGATGAGAAAGATGTCTCGCAGAGCTTGTAACTGTGAGAACATTAGTCTAGCTGTTATCTATTCTTTGGATGTTTCAGTCAATCAACGACGAACCTTGGTGTTTCGAACGTTGAGCAGGATCTCATACGCTCGAGCCGGATGATAGTTAGGAGTACGGCGCCGCATGTAGAATCGTGGACTCTCATAACAGAAGCAAACAGCGATCAGGAGCAAAAAGGCCGGCACGGCAGGCGCTGCAAGTATGCCTTGCAGAGCCTTGTACTGTGACATCCAAGACGCGGGTTCTGGCTTGCCCGGAATGTTCTGCGCAAAATCGTACCCATGGACAGCACCAGCGATGATGAGATTGACAACCAATCCCATCATAATTCCAAACGCCACCCTGTCGTAGCGTGTCAGCGTTCTGTCCATCAATAAAGCATTTGGAAAGCGTGTGTCCTACCAAAGTTGCCACTGCAATATTGTTGAACCTCTCCAGTATCCGACTGCAGTTTCGGAAGCGCTTTGACGAGGTCAGAGACAATCATACACGGATTTGGGCCGGGCATTGATACTCACAGGATGGGAGCGCTGACTGCCTTGATTCCCATGCCTAAAGTTGCATCAGCTCATAATCTTCAAGATCTCAACCTTTTTGACCTACCGATGCCACCAATAATTCGCACTCCGAGCAATGATCTCCAATCGGGAGCAAATGCCGACCCCACCGAGCTCGCAATAATCAACAACGCGGAGATGGTGATGGCTCCGCGCCTTCCCACCCACTGGTTCATTGCGAGCGAAAGTGGCGCCCCGATGAAGGCAGCCGCCAAGTAGGGACTGCAGTTCATCGCCCCGAGAGCCCAGTCGTGAGCGTCGATGTCAGCCCGAAGCTCCTTCTCCGTGATGTACCGGACTTTGAGATGGCTGGCGTATAGGGTGGCTGAGTTGATGGAGGACTGGACGAATCCTTGCAGAAAACTGCACAGTGAGACAGTCAAGATGACACGAAACATCTTCCCTTGAGAGAACAGCCGCTCTCTTTCAGCTACCAGCGACTCCTTCTCTTCATCGTCAAGAGTGTAAGGAAAGTTGTCTGGGGGGTTGAACTGTCCTCGTGCTAGGGTGTAGTAGATTTCTCCGTCTCTCGCCACCACCACGGCTCTCCTCAGCTCTTCGGTCGTTACTCCGGAGCTACTCAGCCGAGCTACCAGAGCTTCGATCTCCCGGTCGAGCTTGTCCCAGGTAGCATCTGCTGTAGGAAAGTTAGCTATTGGGATGGAATGAGGCGTTGAGCGAAGCCATACCGATAGAGCTGGTGACGGTGTCTCGGTTGTAGATCTGCCTCTGCTTCCAGGCCTCCCACCAGCCTGGCAGGCATGATCGAGAGGCAGTTTTCCCTTCAGATTTAGCCATTGTGACAGTACAATGATATGTGTAGACAACTTCAGCACGACACAGACACGCTTGGAAATAGTTGTCAAGGAAGAAGCCTTTAATATTGAATCTACCAGAGGGTGATTTGGAGGCTCTGCCATCCAAAAGAGGCGAACGGGCAAGGACAAGGCAGAGCCTCAGCCCGTGTCTGCCTCATATGCAACTAAATCCCCCGGCCTCGTAATTCTTATGAACAGGAACACATTCCCGCTGCACGAGTGGGGTGATATTTGCTTTTCAGCTGTGTCATTGGTCGCACTTGAGCCGACAAGCCGAAATGGGTGTCGATGCGAGCGCGCTCCGCCGCCCCCAACGTCAGGCAATGCAGCTTGTATTGCACCTTGGGATGAGGGGAGAATCGGGGGGGCTTAGATGAGGGGTGACAAGGCTGAGCCGGAGGACTTCCTAGTGGTCGGCGTCAAGTGACACCGCTCAGGCATATATTACAGGAGGGAAGGGTGATGTCGATCCCAGTATGTCTGTTACAGGCCAGTAATAATCCTTGGCACACGCCTCACTCTCATGCATTAGTGCCCAAGGTGCCCCGGACGAGTGAGGGAGCAGCCGAGGCAAGGTGGCTTCCGTCATAACCGTCCCCCACTCCAAGAGTGCGTGGATATGCACCCTCCTGTGCCTCTTCCCTGTAAAGCTGAACACACCGTCATCAGCGGGGGCTGTGACTTGACACCCGACCCGTACGCGTGATTTCTCAGAAGGCTGGAAGCAGCTGGTGCGCGGAACGAAGGCACGGCGACCAGCAACATGAAGTGATCTTCTTACAAAGGCCCCGCCAGAAGAACCCATTTCTTCACCAACACCAAAACCTCGAACCCCCGTCGAGATTGGTGACATTGGTTGGCTTGGACAAGAATCGCAAACTACATACCTGCGATAAAGGTCGTAGAACAAGCAAACGCACGCCCCTCGATGCCTCACCTATCAATCCCGAGATCTGACGCGCGACCTGAAAATCTTGCAACATGACGTCGCCAGTCGAATATGTGGCATCTGCACTCTCAATAACGGCGTCCGCCATCAAGACTGTGAGGGGTGTCTATGAATTTCTCGGCCGGGTGAGACAGGTTGGCACCGAGATAGAGTCCTTGCATACCACAGTGGAAGCATGGACGAAAATCCTGGAGACCATCAACGGTTCTTTAGAGCTGAGGAAGAGATCCAGGGAACTGGTTCCCTTGGAGGTAGAATACCTTGACCACATGGGCAGAGTCATCAGTATGTGCGAGAAAGATGTGAAACTCCTCCAAAAGAATCTTCCACAGCCAGTAGAGAGTACCTCTATGTGGAGAATCAGAGGAAGGGATTCAAGTTGGCGACAGAAAGCTATTGCAACACTCAAGATGTACATCAAGGAGGACCAGCGCCTCATTGCTCGCATTGCTCGTCACATGCAATTGCTATCGGATCTCAACTTCATATGGTAGGTCTCCTTGGCAAATTGATCTCACGCACTTCAGGGAATAGCTAACGTCTTGCAGCCCGGGCAGCCTGGCAGGAGAGTCGTTCTTGGCCCAGAATCGGGACCGACTGGGCAGATTGCCGCAGATGTTTTCTGAGAACGACACGCACCCAAGCAGTAGGGCGGCATCTCCATCTACTCGGACACAAGACGAGATGGAAGAGGAAAAGGTCATCACGGAATTTGAAGACGCAACATTTGAATACACCACATATCTAGTCATCAAGGGTCACGACTTCACACCGCCAATCGAGCCAACAATGGAAGAAATCCAAATTCAATTTGAGGCCAATCAGGCCATTGTTGGTTATCTCTTTGACAGTTTGAAACTACCCGGAAACGCATATCGGCTCCATAAGAGGGGCATAGAGATCCGGAAGACCATGGATGAAAAATATGGGATCAAGCTTGACTTCGATACTCATGTGCAGCTCGATCTCCGTCTTATCGAAATCTTGAAGGATTGCAAAACTTCCGAGTGTTCCAACGAAGCTTACAAAATCTTGAGGGCAATGGACGAAAAGAGTTGGGGCGACCAAAGACCACAACGATTCGAAATCCGGTTCAGCCTTGCCGAGGTGTGTGGCGAGCGGCAAGAGATCTCGGAGGCATGTCGGTTATTAAGGACACTGTATACGGAATACAAGAAGGAACCAAGATCTTATCGAACCAAACTCCAACAGGTCGTTCAGCTTATAGATCAAGGGTACCGTGGATCTGGCAATCTTGAGTCCTCATATGCTTGGAGGGTTATGGTCGAAAGAGATTTGGGAGTGGACTTTTTCCCATCTCACATTCTCTCCCAAGCCCTGGATTGGTGTAGGACACACGGCTTCGATGTCAGTGAGGTGCAGCGAGGTGTACCGGTCGATCAAATTCGGAATCACGAAGGAGACTCACCTCTCCATTACGCAGCTCGCAATCCGGATACCGATATCGATATCCTGGAAGGCCTTCTCTCTAAAACACACAGTCTAGACGGCCGCGACAGGCGGGGGAACACGGTTCTGATGATTGCAGCGGAGGGGTCAGGCGATCTCGCAATCAAGGTTATGGGGATCCTGCTAGCACGCTCGACAGCAGCGGACCTGATAGCTAGAGGTGGTGTCGACGACGAAACACCGTTACATCGATGTCGGGACCCTGAGATAGCACGTCTCTTACTCCAGAGAGCAATGCGTCGAGGCAGTTGCGTGTCGACGAACTCTGTTGCAGGCAGCATCAGCGACAACAATGCCCTGAACGACATCCTCAACAATCAACATGGCTGCTATAGAAAAACCCCACTTCACACCGCGTGCCAATATGCAAGGACAGACGTGGTCAAGATTCTGCTTGCATACGGCGCTGATCCGAGCCTCCTGGATGCCGGCAAGCAGATCCCGCGGGAAAGGCTGCCACCGAGCACTAATGGGAGAGACAGGTTTCTCATCACCAAATGGATGTTGAGCGCATATATCATGGCAGGGAAAAGCGAGAGCGACAAGAAGAAACTACTAAGCGATCATTATCTTCGGAACGCTGATCGTAAAGCCCTTCTATCCAAACAATCGCAAATTCTAACCCTTGATGCGACGCCGAGTCTGAGAAATGTTTCCTCCATTGGGACGTCTAGTCGAAGATCAAGCGCGACCACAGCAATCACATCATCAAGCTCTCACTCGGACCAGAAGTCTTCGACAGAGGCACCAAGATTGAGCATCGCGATTGAGTCACCGGACATGCAGTTTCGCTTTCATTAAGCAAAGAAGGAGGGACCGAAGAGAAGGATGAAGGATGAAATGTAAGCAAATTGAGAGGGCATCAGGCTAGATGGAAGAATGGAGATTGCTCACAAGCTTGATGGCGGCGCAAGAGTACGATACATTTGTTTCCACGGAGTCGTCTTGATCAGACACTATGGGCTTCATGAGCAGGTTGGCTTTGCCTGTAATGCAGAATGGTTTGATGATTTATGATACCCTTTACTTAGTCTCCGCGATTTTGCTTCGTCGTGACATAGCAAACTTGCATTGCGTGCCCAAAGACGCAATGTGGCATATTGGTATCTGATATCTCTGGAGGCACCTGTCAACACTGCCTGAGATACACAATTATTTTTCTAATCATCTCTCAAGACCAGAAGATGAAAGAAAAAACAGAACAAAGAAAAACTTTTCTAGACATCAGATAGGCCCATGAGAACACTTCCTAGCCGAGAGAGCAGCACAAAGTCGCAGATGATTGGACCAACATAGCTTATTGGCAAGACAGTCAAACACAGGCGCCTTTGCTCATCTTTCTATTGAGTCAGTCTTTCCCGAAGAGATTTAATTGGTGTTCACTGATGTGTTGCCGCACCTGGTCGATTCCCAGTACTCTAAGTTGGCTTCCCTTCAAGTCAACGGAAACGCCTTCAAAAAACTACGTTCCATTTTCAAAATCCTGACCATGATCTTCTCTGAGACAGCGAAAAACAACGATGCCTACATCTGAAAGACTCACCAATTCAACCAAATCAGTCTCTGTCTGGTGGCTTTGCCTAGCTGCGTCTGTTGGAAATAGTGATTTCATGACGTTATTGGTTGACAAGTACGGTTTGATTTTCACAGACCAGAAGATGTTTCCCCATGGCAGAACACCGTTGCGGTTTGCGGTTCAGAAAGATGTCGCAGACTTGCTTGTTCGTAGAGGCGCCGACCTTTCCGCAAGAAATGAGAAGGGGGAAACACCGCTAGACCTGATCTACAGTAAAGAGACGGGACGGGCAGCAGAGACAAGATGGAGAAATGCAATTGTGAGAAAGGCATAACAGGGGCTACTCTTCCACTTTCAGGTTGACTGGAGATGGGGATTTATCGCATCGATATTTAACCTGCAGAGGCAGCCAAGAGTGATCTCACAGTTACTGCGGTGTAAACATCGACTCTTTGTCCGCGGATCCCCCTTTGTCCCCGGAATACCAAATGCAAACATTGATACACACTCTCTTGGCCAAGACATGCTCCATTTTCTCTGCTATCCTATCTGTAACCTCCTTCGTTTTTGGCCCCCACAGCCAGCACTCACGCAACTGGCCCGGCCCATAAGCTGCAAAACCGTCGATGCCCACCCCCGAGGAGCCCACCCTCAGCCCTACAGCCCGCGATTGGATAGGCATCATCCTGCATATCTGCAGGCTAACGCACGAGTGCTCGCTGTCACTGGCATGGCCGCTCATTGCCCACAGCACACGTCTCTCTTCCTTCTCGGCTGGTGACTCAAGCGAGCCAGAGCCAGGCAAACCCCCCCTCCCCGCCACGGGGCGCCCCGCGGACGACCAAGAAAGCGGCACAGAATAAGGCGGACATCCCACCACTCTGATCACCTGCCTACTTGCCGCTCTCCGCAGAATCCAGCCTGCTGGATGTGCGCATTCTCCGGCCGTGCTCGACTGGAGTCTGGCTGCCGCCTGATAAGCAGGCAGGCAGGTCTAGGTAGCAGTCCGTCTCCCTCCACCTCTCCCCGCCTCTCCCCTCGCCAAGTATGGATGATGCAAATGCATGAAGTGAGAGAGGCCAAGGGATGAGCACTCCTGTTTGGCTGGCGATACGGCCCACCCGGACCAGGCTGCATGCTGATGGACCCAGTGTGGGTGTCCTGGAAGGTTGTACATGCTTGCCGGCGATTGCGTGCATGGAAAGCTGAATTCGATTGACTTCGTTTTTCTCATCGAGGCTCGCCACCCCCAGAAGGTTCTTCTCCTCTCTTTCCCACAAGCATCGTCGGAGGAATCTTGCGGTAATTCATCTACACCGATTAACTCTTGTCTCGGCTCTAGCGCTTCTTGTTTATGAAGTGAACTGTTGCTGTGTGACCCGATCGAAGACTCGATCACTAAGACAGTCTCTGATAGAGAATCTCGTACGGATCAAGGGGCACCGAGCGAGGAAGAGCCATTGCGCTTTTCCTGAATATCAGCGAAATACCAGCATCATCCTCACAGCGCCTCCCCACGAGACCCGTCCGCGAACAAGATGTCGTCTTCCGACACCGATTCGGACTCGGATTCGGGGCCGGACGGCCCCCAAAGCGCATCCGCCGTTCCGGCCGGTGCGGCCCGGCACAAGAAAAGCAAGTACCGGAGCCCGCAAGAGAACATCGACAGGTTCTGGAGCAAGTTCATGACCAAGACGCCCGGCAGGGGTGAGTAGTAGTCTTCCCCCCGCATCTCATATTTTCTTCTACGTGAGAGCGCAACATCCAGGCTGACTCGCTTCCACAGTGACGGCAATCATCCCGTCCAACGAATTTGGCGAAAAGAGAAAGGCAAAGGGGGCCGCCAAGCCGCGTGCAGCTGCGCACGCGGGCCAGACGGGCTTGAACTCGTATGAAGAGGCTGCCGCGATCTGCAAGGCCAAGGTCGCCCAGATCGTCAAGGAATGCCGCCGGGTCAACCAAAAGTATCGCGACCCGCACTTCGATCTCGAGTTTGACCTGAAGCTCGGCCGGCGCGATTGCCTCGACAGCCTGGACAACCGCAAGGACAAGAACAAGAAGAAGGAGCCCGACAACCGCGACAAGGGCAACCGGGCCGACGTCAAGAACGGCAAAAACAAGATTCCCGTGCATAGCGCGACCTGGCCCGCGGCAGCAGCAGCGGCCTCCTCTTCCTGCGCCCCGGCCGAAAGTAGGGGCGGTCCCAGCCACATCCACGGCGAGGATGACGAGACGTTCTACCCGCGCGCCGTGAAGCGCGTCACCGACATCTTTGAGAACCCGCAGTTCTACGTCGACGGGCCGACGGCCAACGACGTCCGCCAGGGCCGTGACGGCGACTGCTGGCTCATGGCGGCGCTGTGCACGATGAGCAACAAGCCCGGGCTGATCGAGCGGGTCTGCGTGGCGCAGGACCAGGCCGTCGGCGTCTACGGCTTCGTCTTCCACCGCGACGGGCAGTTCTTCAGCGAGATCATCGACGACAAGCTCTACCTCACCAAGCCCGACTACGACGAGGGCTTCCTCGAGCGCATCCTCTGGGACGACCGCGAGCGCGTCAACTCGGAGGAGAACTACCGCAAGACGTACCAGACCAACAGCGGCGCGCTCTACTTTGCCCAGTGCGAGAACCCCAACGAGACCTGGCTGCCGCTGCTAGAGAAGGCCTACGCCAAGGCCCACGGGGACTACTCGGCCATCGAGGGCGGGTTTACGGGCGAAGGGCTCGAGGACCTGACGGGCGGCGTCACTTCCGAGATCTACACCACCGACATCCTGGACAAGGAAGACTTCTGGAACAAGGAGCTCATGCAGGTGAACAAGACCTTCCTCTTCGGCTGCTCCACCGGCGTCTGGGGCCGCGGCTGGGGCGAGCGCAAGGGCATCGTCGAGCTGCACGCGTACAGCGTCATGCGGGCCGTCGAGATCGACGGCAAGCGCCTGGTGCTCCTCAAGAACCCCTGGGGCAAGGGCGAATGGACCGGCCCCTGGTCCGACGGTTCCAAGGAGTGGACGCCCGAGTGGCTCAGGAAGCTGGACCACCGCTTCGGCGACGACGGGTCCTTCTGGATCGAGTACTCGGACCTCCTGCAAAAGTACCAGGCCTTTGACCGCACGCGCCTCTTCGACACCAAGGAGTGGGGCGCGGCCGTCGCGTGGGCGAGCTTCCCCGTCCCCTGGGCGACGACCACCGCCGCGCTCGGCTACAGCCGGACCAAGTTCCGGGTCGAGCTGAGGCGCTCCGGCCCCGTCGTCATCGTGCTCAGCCAGCTCGACGAGCGGTACTTTGTCGGCCTCGAGGGCCAGTACCGCTTCGAGCTGAGCTTCCGCGTTCACAGGTTCCCCATCAGCGGCGGCGCCGCAGAGGTGGCCGGCAGCGGAGCGGCGGACGACGACGACGATGACGACGACGACGATGACTACATCGTCCGGAGCCGGACGGCCTACCGCATGAACCGGTCCGTCAACGTGGAGCTCGACCTCGACGCGGGCGAGTACACGGTGCTGGTCAAGATCGAGGCGCAGCGCAACGACGAGGTCATGCCGCCGGAGGAGGTCGTCCGCGCCAACGCCAAGACCCGCCGGGAGAAGCTGCTCCGCGTCGGCCTGGCGTACGACTTGGCTCACGCCAAGGCCCGGCTCACGCCGGAGGAGGAAGCGGAGGAGGAAGCGATGCGCAAGGCGTACGTCCAGAGGAAGAAGGACAAGGAACGGCAGAAGATACGGGAGGAGGTCATGCAGGGCAGGAGGCGGGAGCACTACCTCGACACGCGGGATCTGATTAAGAAGAGGAAGAGGGCGGAGAAGTCAAAGGCCAAGAAGGAGGCCAAGAAGGAGAAGAAGAGGTTGGAGGCTGAGAAGCGGAAGGCTGAGGAGGAAAAGTGCGAATCGCCAGCGGAGGAGGCATCAAAGACTGATGTAGAAGACCACCAGAACGCGACTCGGGGTGAAGAAGTATCCGAGAAGAAAGAGCCGGCAGCGGATCAGCAGACACAGGCATCGGATGACAAGCCTGAGGCTAAGCCGACCACCGAAACTGAAACGTCTGCAGAACAGTCCAAGGATAAATCAGAGCCGTTGCCAGACCCATCTGCAAAGGTTGAACCTCGGTCAGCGGCCGAGTCGACAACAGACGAGAGCACCGGGTCGGCCATCCTAACACCCGCAACACCGCAAGTCGAACCCAAAGATGAGGTGCCAGACGTGACCGAAGAGTTGAACAATGACACGCAAACCGAGCCGCCAACGACGCCTCCAGCTCACGGTCACAGTGAACATCCAGCAGCAACTCCAGAGACAGTAGCCGCCTCCCCAACAGCAGCAACACCCCCCAAGGCTCCAAGCCCACAGGACAGGCCAAGCCGCGCCGACAAAGGGGTCCAAGTCCCCGACCGACCCCCTCCTCCCCGCGCCCGCTCCCCAGATCATCACTCTCACCACCGCCGCCACGACCGCTCGCCCCCGCGCCGGCCGCCGCTCATGAACAGCCCATTCCCACCAAGACACATGATGCGGCCCTCTATGCATAGCCTCTCCCCCATGGGCGGCGGCGGGAGGTGGAGTCCTCCTCCCCCACCTCCACCACTGTCCCCGCCGGCCGCCGACAACGACAGCAGCGACACGGACTCGGACCTGGAGAGCATCTCCTCCGTGTCCGACTTATCGGACCGCGAGCTCGACATTGTCGTCGACAACCGCAAGCGCATGCAGGCGGCACAGATGGCGGGCCCCGGCGGCGTTGCGCCCGCTCAGCCCGCGGCTCCCGCGCCGCCCGGGGCAGCGGGCAGCGCCTCGGACGGGGAGGACGACGGCAAGGACCCCTGGAACGCGGTCGCGGTCATCGGGCTGCGGGTGTACTACAGGGTGTCGGCCGAGGAGAAGGAGGGCGCGCGGATCAAGGTGGTGCGGCCGAACAAGTACCCCGTCAGCGGCGGCGAAGGAGGGGAGGCCAAGGGGAAGGGGGCCGATAAGGCCGATGGGGAGGACGTCTTGGATGTGGACGACAGTGCCAAGGATGCTACGCTCGAGGGTGTAGCGCTCGAGAAGGGAGGGGAGCACACTGCGCTGGAGAGGGAGGCGCATAAGGAGATGGAGAAGGAGGAGCAGGCAGAGGAGAAAAACGAGAAGCAGGCCGAGGAGGGTATGGAGGAGAAACAACCACAGGTAGAGCAGAAGGACGGGAAGCTGGAGGGAGGCGAGAAGAAGGATGAGAAGTCGGAGACCGAGAAAGATGCCGGAGAAGTCAAGACTGATGACGGGTGACCACGGCCAATGCAGATTGACTGGACTGGACTCTCAAGTAGTCTCGTGTGCGATTTCCACTTCCTTGGTCCGAGTATCAGCGCGTTCTCATTCCACTCCCTCACGATGAAACGGCCACCGCACGGCATCTCACTTCATTCCACGACTTGACGAATATACGACACTAGATAGTCAAATGATCACACTTCTCAACCCTCATAAATCTCTTGTCTCTTGGGGTATCGTAACTCACTACCAATAACCTCGTCTGGCTCGTGTAACGTGCCCCGTTCATATCTCACTAGACGACCCATCATTGCCCTTCTGCCTCTTGAAAGCCCTTTCGAGCAGGTCCTCTACCTTCCTCTTCTCCTCGGCCTCCACGCCCTTGACTACATCCCCGCCCTCGGACACCTCGTCAACCTCGCGGAAGAGCCTAGCTTCCTCCCTCTCTTCGTCCTTGAGCCGCGCCACCTTGTCGCCCACGCGGGCCAGGAGCATACGCATCTTGTTCAGCTCCTTCTCGACCTCGCCGTCTCGCGTCACGAGGTTCTCCTGGATGCTCTTCATGGGGTTGCCCTCTGCGTTGTCGTCGCCCTCAAACGGGGCGATCATCTCCCTCATGCGGCGCAGGCGCTGCACGCGCTCTAGCACCTCGGCGCGCTGCGCAGAGAGCTCCTGCAGACGAACCGTCAGGTCGGCGTACCTCTGGGCCTCGGCAGGCTGGGACGTGACCTCGCGCTCGTCTTCCCAGGCCGGCGGCAGGGCTGCGATCGTGGCGGCATCGGCTAGGTAGAGGCATGAGTAAATCCGTTCACCTTCCATAACTTCATCAACTACACGAGACAGCCAAAAGACGTACTAAAGTCAGCACCCTCCCTCAGCTCGACCTCGCTCTCCCCGGCCCCGTCCCGGCCATCGCTCGTGGACGTCCAGTAGAGCTTGTCGATCTGCTCGGCGACGTGGCGCGTGGCCTGCGGCGCGTAGACCCGGCGCGAGTGCTGCTGTATGGCGTGGTTCAGGCGGTAGAGCGCGTCGTCGACGGCCTTTTCGGACAGCCGGGCCTCTTCCGCGGCGTCATTGGCGCTGCGCCAGTCGCGGGACGGGGCGACTGGCTGTGAGAGGATGCGTGTCTGCGCGTTGAGGAAGTTTTGCTTGATGCTGAGGATGGTGGGGGGTGCCATGACGGATGCTGGGTTGTATGCGATACCTTGGTGCCTATATTTCCGGTGGATTCGATGTATGCGATGCGCTGTTGGGGATGCTCTGTGAGAGTTATAGGTGGTCTTTCATGAATGTCGTCGGCAGTAGACGCGGATGAGAGGATGACAGACGCGTTAAGAGGTGGGGTCTTCTACAGCATGCCGCTAAAGAGCGCTGATTTGAGTGCATTCTACGTACAGCGGCCTCTGCTCATTCACCAACAACAAAATAGCGTCCATTCATTTCATTTTCTCAAAAGCCAACGGCCTCAAATTCGCTCGTATTAGGTCTGGGCTGAGATATGAGACGCGGTACCCCTTCCAATTGCACCTCCTACATGGTCCCCTCTCCCGGAAGACCTCTGGCTCAGCCCAGCTTCATCCAGTTGAAGCGTTGATCGGTGTGCCCTTCCATTTGCTGCGTTCTTTCGGCCGGTTCAGCACCTACGGGTAGGTCCTTTCCGTCGTGATAATGAGTGCGCCTCAGGCCAGACGTGCTCCAACTTGGTGTCGGGGCGGGGTTGAAAGGTCTTGTGTCTAACAGGGCCACGGAGGGTGACTTTGCCGCCGTCGGAGTAGCGAAGGGGATGTCTCAAGCCGTGAATCATCGGATGCGAGATAGTTTAACGCTCCAGACTGAGGCCAATATGCAGCTGTCCGTCGTGATCTCTGGCAGCAGACTTCGTCCGTACATGTGCCAGCTCAGCCGAACTTCTTGGAGCCGCCCTTCTTCTTGTTCGCGTCGTCCTTCTTGCCCTTCTTTCCCTTGCCGATGAGCTCCAGATGGCCAGCCCGCTCGCCAAGCAGTGCCTCGGTCTGTGCAGCCATGCCAGAGGTGAACTTCTTCATGACCTTGTCGGCATTGCTTTTCCCCTTCTTCGACTTGAAAACCCGAGTGCCCTTCTTGAGCTGGGTCTGCTGGGTTGTCTTCTTGGGGCCCGTGCCGGCCTTGTTGGCCTTCTGCTTGATTGTGCCTTGGGCCATCTTGACTGAGTAGTGTAATTATAACAGTGGCAGCATGGATTTGTGTGAGAAAAGTGAGTGGTTGGCGATGAGCGAGAGGGGGAGGACGAGAAGAAATGGCGGGCACTTCAATGCAGGCAGGGCCTGGGAATTTTTTACTGGGGTCAAATGGGCGATAAGCGATAAGCAAAACCCAAATGCGTGATTGGCCGCCATGTCGCGCAGCCCCTGTAAACGACGGGCTCGAAGACAAGAGCTAACTCCGCCAAAAGCTGCAGGATGGAAATTGAGGTCATCGTCTCCCAAGCTCGCAACGATTCTCTCGCCAAGGGACGCCCGGCGCATGTCAATTGATCCATTATTACTGTGCTCCTACAATTGGGGATGGTCGAACATGTACAGGTGAGCAGGTCCATGATCAAACCCCGGCATCTCCGTCGCAATACTCAACCACGTCTGCCGACAGTAACTTCGCAACCCGGTAATATCTTCTCCCCACGATGCGGTCGCACCTCGCACGCAATGCGTACCGACGGCTGCTGGCCCAGCGCGGCTTACGGCCGGCCGCCTCCATACTACCGAACAGATGCCTATGTCGGCCCGCCGCACACAGCAGTCCAACGGCATTCCGGCAAGTCCCTCGACGGACATTCTTTGGCATGTTCCAGAAGCCGCCTCGCGAGGTGAAGGAGCCCGAGCTGGAGCCGGGATACTATACCTTGTTACAATTCAGGGGTAGAGAGACGGAGAACCTACGGCCACCGCCACGGGAAGAGCTATTAGAGGGCTTCCGCGACTTCTTCAAGCACAAGGTTCGGTACCAGAGAAGGGTCAATTCCACGCAGGCCTTTTGCGCGCTGCACTTGTTCCGGTATCTGATTAGCACAGCTGATGGTGCTGATGGCCTGACAATGGATGACCTGAGGTCAGCACTGACTGCTCTGTTGAGGATACCGATGGGTCCGGTAGAAGACCACCTCGAGCTGTCCAAGGAGCTATACGCAGAAATCAAACGCAGACTAGCAGTCGAACAGCAGGGTGACGAAGAGGCAGTAGCGCAGGAAACGACATCCGCGGCTGGATTCAAACAGTACATCATCGCTTTGACCCAGTACGGTGCGTCGTCCGAGGCTGCCGATCTGCTGGCTTCATACTGGCAACAGGCTGGCATCTCGAGGCGCGACAAGGAGTTGTGGGTTTTGGTCTTGCGAGGCTTTGCCAAAGAAGGCAAGGAGGAGGAGCTGCTGAAAGAGGCCGAGGCTGCAGAGAAGGCCGGCCTCGAGTACATGCCTCTGTTTCAGGAGATCATGATGACACACTACGCCAAAAGGAACAACTTGGCCGAGACGCAAAAGTGGTTCAACAAGCCTCTGTACGGCAACTACCCCCCGACGGCAGAGACGTATATGGAGATACTGCAACTCTCCCTGCGCAACAAGCAGGCACAGAAGTGGGCTCAGTCAGTATTCCAGGAGCTGTGCAATTCCAACCCGCACAAGGGATTGTGGGACGTCATCTTCCAATGGGCCATCTTGTCGCTTGGGAAGAACGCAGAGGAGATAAAGCACATGCTCGACACCATGGTCCGCCATAACGAGAAGAGCCGGCCACACATCCGACCGGATATCGGCACCATCAATTGCCTCGTCAGAGCAGCGATGGACAAGGAGGACCCCTTCCTCGCCGAACGTTTCATCGCCCTGGGCGGCGAGATGGGTCTCCAGCCCAACTATCTCACATATATCCTACAACTAGAGTACAGGATAAAAGCCAATGACCTGAGCGGCGCCCACGCCACCTTCGAGGAGCTCGAAAACGTCGGGTCTCCCAACGACGAGGACCTCCCCGTCATCAACAAGTACCTCCGGGCCCTCTGCTCCGCCAAGCCCTTCAACGCCGAGCGCCTCTTCGACGTCCTCGCCGTCGTCGAGGAGCGCCGCGCCATCCTCGAGCCCCCGACCGTCGTCGAGGTCTGCATGGCCTTCTTCAAGAACGACCAGCAGTACGACGTCATCGACACGCTCTCCCTGCACACCTTCCAGTACAGCCTCGAGGAGCGCAAGACGGTCCGCGACGCCCTCGTCGCCTACTGCCTCGACCGGGCCAACACCACCGCCCGCGTCTGGGACGGCTACTCCCTGCTCCGGCAGTACTTCCCCGAGACGCCCGCCGCCGACCGCGTCCGCCTCATGGAGGCCTTCTTCGCGCGCCGCCGGCCCGACATGGCCTGCTACGTCTTCGGCCACATGCGCGGGCACGCGAACCCGTCGGTGCGGCCCGCGACCGACACGTACGTGCGCGCGCTCGAGGGGCTCGGCCGCAGCCCGGACGCCGACGGCCTGCGCATGGTGCACAACATGCTCAAGATGGACGCCGCGGCGCAACCGGGCACGCGCGTCCACAACGCGCTCATGCTCGCGTACGCCGCGTGCGGCGACCCGGACCGCGCCGTCGACTTCTGGCGCGAGGTCAACGCCTCGGCCGAGGGGCCCTCGTACGCGAGCCTCGAGATCGTCTTCGCCGTCTGCGAGCGCCTGCCGTTCGGCGACGAGCTCGCGCGCGAGATCTGGGCCAAGATCCAGCGCATGGACATCGAGGTCCCCGCCGCCGTGTACACGTCGTACTGCGGCGCCATCGCGGGCCGGGGCGCCGTCGACGAGGTCAAGGGCCTGATTGCGGGCATGGAGGCGAGCGTCGGGGCCGCGCCCGATGTCATGACGTGAGTTTCACCTTTTTTTTTGGTTTTTCTCTCGCCTCTCCTTGTTCTTGACTTTGTGCAAATGTGGTGGGAGTTCTTACTGACGTTGCCTGGATTGATAGACTCGGTGTATCGTTCAACGCTCTTCCGGGCCAGCAACTACAGGCCGACTTTGAGGCGTGGGGCAAGGAGAAGTATCCGGAGCTATGGGAGAAGCTCAGGAAGCGCGGCTGCAAAAAGACGGCCGAAGGACTCAAGAGGTACAAGGTTGTACGAGAGCTCAAGGCATGATTTGACGACGATCTTGCTGTACCATATATGCATACATTAGAAGGAGAGACCAAGCCGGATCTAAAAGAAGGGGGCAATGCCCGGTTTTGTACAAGTATATATAATAGAGAAAAGTGTCCATTATGGCTTTGGACTATTGTACAAGATGTCTTCTTTTATGGTTCATTTGGCTACAATACAGATGATCCCGTGCGCTTCCTTCCATCTTACAGCAGGATGCGGTTCTCTCTAACCGAGCTTCCTGGGGTTCCTCTTGGGCGCCGAGGGCATGTTCTGTCGGGGCATGTTCTGGACCTCGCTCTGCAGGATCATGGGATGCCTGTGCACACTGGGGTGGATGCCCAGGCCGATGGCTCTCCGGATGGCCTTGGCCATCTTGCGCTGGTTGACGGGCCGCAGGCCGGTGTCGCGGCTGGGCTTGATGCGGCCCATCGGGGTTATGAACTCGGATATTATCGAGAAATTCTACCCAAGTCACCAAGAGTCAGCAAAATGGGCCAAAACCAAATACCTTGCCTACGTCCGGAAAAGGAAAAAAAAAAAGCATCATACCCTGTACTCGTCGAGCGGGTTGATGCCCAGCATGTCGACGACGTCGACGCGCGGGCTCGACATGCGGCGCCACTTGGTCATCTCCTCGGGGCTCAGGTCGTGCGGCGCGTAGACGTCGCCCGTCTTCCACCGGCGCGGCATCTGGCGGACGTAGCTGTCGCTGACGGCGCGCTGCGAGAGGCCCTCGATCAGCTCCTTCTTCTTGCGGGCGCTGTCGGCCACGCGCTGGTGGCGTGCCGTCGACTTGGACCAGACGCGGCTCAGGCGGTCGTTGGCCGAGAGGTTGGCTTCGCTGCCGGTGCTACTGCCGTCGGCGGAGGAGGAGAGGCTGGGGAATGATGACCGGGTGGGTTGTTGTGAGGGCGGGTCTTCGAGGCCGAGGACGGAGGATATGGGTGATGGGACGTTCTTGACTGTTGAGGAGAGGTCAGTGAGATGTTGCTCTGATAAGCGGTGCGGTGTTCAATCCCGGCAGGGCGTGAGAAGCTTCTTACGGGCTGCGGCGCGGGAGGTGGTGGACAAGCACGAGACCATCTGCGTGAGCTGGGAGACGGTTGTCCGGCAGCGGCTGGCCGCCGGCTGTATTGAGAGCCTCGGAGGCATTGCGGTTATGTGCGATGTCGCGTGCCGCCTCCTTGCGCGGTTGATTGAGGGATTGGAGGATGGCTTGTCACCGGAGCTCTGCCGATTGTCTGATCTTCGATCTAGAGCGTCGTCAATTGGCCCAGCCAGACCAGACGGGGAAGTTTTTGGCGGAGCGGAGGTTTTGCCGCGAGCCGTTATCTTATCAGCGGTGCCAGGCAAAATTTCCAGGAGATCGATTGATCTTTAGTATCGGTTCTCCACCAAAATTCTTATCAGCACTCCTCAAGTCGCCATCGCCAGTCTTTCCCTCCCACCTTTTTCCTGCCCACGCACCTTTTCGACCATCACCGTCTCAACCGTCGAAAAGCCGCCAGGATGGGTCGGAAGCTCAAGTACCACGAGGCCAAGCTCCTCCGCAAGACCGACTTCCTCACCTGGAAGCAGGACAACGGCCACCGCGAGCACGACGTCGTGCGCCGGTACTCGATCCAGAAGCCCGAGGACTACCACCGCTACAACCGCCTCGCCGGCTCCATCCGCCAGCTCGCGCACCGCCTGAGCCTCATGCCGCCCGAGAGCGCCGCCCGCCGCAAGCACGAGCGCCTGCTGCTCGACAAGCTCTACGACATGGGCCTGCTGTCCTCGACGTCCAAGCTCTCGGCCGTCGAGCACAACGTCACCGTCAGCGCCTTTGCGCGGCGCCGGCTGCCCGTCGTCATGACGCGCCTGCACATGGCCGAGACGGTGACGGCGGCCATCAAGATGATCGAGCAGGGCCAGGTGCGCGTCGGCACCGAGGTCGTGACCGACCCGGCCTTCTTCTGCACGCGCTCGCTCGAGGACTTTGTGACGTGGTCGGTGGGCAGCAAGGTCAAGAGGAATATCATGAAGTACAGGGACCAGCTGGACGACTTTGAGCTACTGTGAGGGGTTTGAGAGGGCATGAGGCGGTTTTGTGGTTGTACGCAATGATACGGCCCAAATTACCAGTCAGGCTACAGACCCGGCTGTCGAGCATTGGGGATTCCTCGCAGATTCGAGGGTGAAGGGAGAGGGAGTCGGAAAGGTACGATACATACATCAGATACCCAGCTCTGACAGGAGGATGTATGCCTGGCAGAGCACCTCACGACAACCGCAGCAAGTCGGATGGAGGCTCGAGGAGGCGGACATGAGAATCTGGAATGAGGACAGACATCCTGTGTTGACTATATGTCATTACTGTTATGCATTGGATCAGGTGGAGAAAAACCTGGATTTGCATTGGGTACTGGGCGTTCGTCCAACTGGTAAGGACATCGGCGTCATTTTGACATTTGAGATGGGGTGGCATCAGATACATAGAACTTGGAGCGAATATCACAATCTTTTTTACATTACAAACAATACCATACTGCTCGGTGGTATTGGCTGAAGTTCTCCTTATTTCCATTGTAATGAGTCAATCGCTTCGTTATGTTTCATGGTCAGTGTCGGCGCGGGACGCCTTGTAACGGTGTGCCCCAGGCCGGACCCGCTTCGCCGGCTTACGTCTTTCGGCACGGCGATTCCATCATTTCTCTCTGAGCAAGCACCCGATTCCATCCGTCAACAAGCAAATCTAGTGTCTTTTTACTTTCTTGTATATTATCTAGAAGCTCCTTTCTACCTGTGGCTAACGACGAATATCGTTCAAGATGGTATGTTAGAGGCTTTGTGCATTTTCATCCATGGACCCAGAATGTAAAAATCTGTAATCTAACTTTACCCATGGCTCACAGGTCCACGCCGACGCCTCCAACTTCGCGGCCGATATCACCAAGGAGGAGGCCTATGAGCAGGTCCTATCACAGGCTGGAGGACTGTTCGATGGGCAGAGGAATTGGGTATGTACAGCCCTCATCTCTGAGCTGAAGTTCATGTGCTAACTCATGATTACAGGTTTGGTAAGTTACAGCGCAACCTCAACACCGCTCATCGAGTGTCTCGCAACACCCATGGAACAATTCCATTTTCGATTCATCTGTGCAGTCTAAACGGGTCATGAACTAACATAAGTATCCTCCAGCAACCTAGCAAACACCTCCTCCCTCCTCTGGCACGCCTTCAAGTCCCTCCCCGCCCCAAGCAACCAAGTAAACTGGGCCGGTAAGTCATTTCCCCTCTGTCCCCTGATCAACACTCCTCCTTCACCACCCCCTCAGCTATCCCATAACTCACACCATCCCTCCTATCGTCTACGAATAAAATAGGCTTCTACACCCTAGACCCCCTCTCCCCGCCGGGCAAACCCCAGCTCATACTGGGGCCCTTCCACGGCAAGGTCGCCTGCGAGGTGATCCCCTTCACGCGGGGCGTCTGCGGCGCCGCGGCCGCCACGCAGCGGACGCAGGTCGTCGACGACGTCGACAAGTTCCCGGGCCACATCGCCTGCGACGCGGAGAGCCGGAGCGAGATCGTCGTCCCCATCGTCGCCGGCGTCGACGGAGCGGACGGCGGCGGCAGCAGCAGGGTGGTGGCCATCATCGACGTCGACTGCGCCGTGCCCGACGGGTTCGACGACGTCGACCGCAAGTGGCTCGAGCGGCTTGCCGAGCTGGTGGGCAGGAGTTGCGACTGGCCTTGAAAGAAAGTCTTCGTGTATTTGGCCCGACGGGATAAGCGCGGGCTTTTCTAGTTCTGGGGGCGAAAGGACTTTCCGTGCTGAAGTATTGCTATGATGCAGTAACAAAAGTAAATTAAGATAGATGTCTAGCTGCTCTATGGCTGGGCCTAGATGAAAGACAGTAAAACAAGTAGCCTCCCTAAAATGGCAGACTCCTTCCAACGCCAGATGTTGCTATGCTTCTCTCTCTCCTTTTCCATGGTATTGGTACTTGGCAAACAAATGAGAAAGCAACGACCGAGTACGCCAAAGCTGATAAACAGAAATGCTAACCCCCCCTATGACAAAAGATGGTAGTAATACAGAAGTAGATAAAGTTGTAATGAGAAAAAAATGCAATAATGATAAAGTCCAAGGGAAACCGTTGTAACTGCAAGTGGCGTGACAATCATCACCGCACTCGCAGGAACAAATCGTCGCCGTGCCTCGTGGGCGTCAGTTTGGGCAACCATCCAGGTGTTGCGGGGAGCGGAATGTCATCGTCGCCGCCAAACGAATTCGTGCCCCGTGGGGTAGATGGCGTCCAGTCCTCATCGGCGCCCCCGCGCACACTTTTATGCCGTTTCCATTTCGGGCCCTTGCTACGCTTGCCATCCTTGTCGAGCGCCAACGCCGCGGCACGATCGGCGCCGAGACGTTTTGCGAGAAGAGAGCTGGCAGCAGAGCGAGATGAGGACGGTGAGCCTGGTGCAGCCTTGTTCCGGCTGGCAGGGCGCTGCTGCTCATCATCGTATGGGTTCTGGGGCGTGTACGATTGCCAGTTGGGACGCTCGTTTGCCTGCCCTTGTTCTTTCTGGGGAGCATTCGGTGAACCCGTGCGGATCTGTGCTGGGTTACGGTTTGGATTGGGGTTAGGCGTCAGGGTCCTGCCGTACTGCTGCTGGGCATTCGTCCTCGGAGGAATGTAAGGGATGTATTGCTGGTTCTTGACCGGGGCGACAGCACCTAGCGTAGGACTAGGTTGGCCTGGCGGGCTGTACAGATTGTTGGTCCTCGTTGATGGCGGGAAGATGTTCAGACCGTTGTTCTGCTGGCTGCGTGGAATCTTGGGATATGATACGGGAGAGACACCCGCCGAGATTGGAGATTCTTGCACGGGTGACAAGCTGCCTCGGTCGAGGTCGTTCTGGTAGTTGTCATCATCCCCCGCAGATGACTCTATGGTCGTCGCATTAGACTGCGTAGACTGTCGTGGGTCCGAACGTTCTGCGCCTTTTGACTTCCGGTTCGGCAACTTGTTGAAAATGGTCTTGTTTGGACCTGCTTGTTGCATCGGCTGTTGGCGAGTTTCTCCCATGAACAGCGGTGGCGGCATGGGGTTTGAGCCAGTGGGCACCACAATCTGCGGCAGGCTGTAGTTTGAGTAAATGCTGGATGATCGGCTCAGATCCGCTGGTTCAGGGCGGAACTGGATAGGGGGGCCAAGTTGAGCAGGTTGCGGCTTCGATGGCACGTTGCTGTCGGGTCCTCTTACTACAGGCCCATCACTCAGTGTTAACGGCACAGCTTGGCTCGCGTTGGTCTTCGCCACCGGTACCGACGAACCATCAAGCTCAGCCATTTGTGACGCCCTGCGCCAGTTTCCCCATTTATCCGCGACGTAGTACGTCGTGGCCGACTGCGGGTCGGTCGCTGGCGGGCGCCAGATCTGCGCGACTCCTGCGCTGACAATGTCGGTCTCGCCATCCTCTGCAAACTCGGTTACGACGCTCTCCCTGCCGGAGAACGGCATGCGAGGTGCTGGCGGCGCTAAGCCTTGCTGATTTGGAATGGCGAGCGTCAGCGCTGGCTTCGGAATGACTGGGCTGGCAACCGTCTTTTGAACGACGGGAACAGGAGCAGAAGCGGTGGTGGAACTTGGGGTCGAGTCCTCGTCTTTACTTTGTTGGTTTGGGACCAAGCGCAGGGTTTGTTCAGGCGAGATTGCAAGTCCGATAGAGTCAGGCTGCACACTCGACCGATTGTTTCTCGTGGGCCTCGTAAAGTCCATCTCCTTCTGCTCCACATATGTCGGGTTGGAGATCTGCGGCATCTGCGGGCTCCCGTCAGGATTGCGTCCGAACGGCCATGAGTCCCTCATCTTGGAAAACCCCTGCTCTTCGTTGGCTGCGAGTCTCTTTCGTCTGGAACATCTTGCCAAGAGGAAGACTGTGAAGATGAGGAGAGCCAAGGCAGCCCCTCCCATCGAGATGCCAATGATCTGTCCCGTGTTGAGCTTAGGCCGGTTCGAGTCACCGGCTTGTGCATCTGGGGCCGCCGTGGTAGGTTGCGGATCGACGGTCGGCAGGGCGAAGGTTGGGCTAGGCCGTGATGAAGGCGGCGTTGGAATGTCCGTCGCCGTTAGGAGAGTTGACGGCAGTGGAGTTGATAAAGATGAACTCGAAGTGGAGGCCGAACTGGCAGATGGCGTTGACTTCGGAACGGCAAGTGTCGCGATAATGGTAGCATGTGTCGGCACTACAGCGCTGGGTTGGCCATTACACATGCGGTAAGCCTTTGTAATAGTTTGATCTGAGGTGAACGTCAGCACAAGAGGTTGTGGCGGAAAGAAGACCTTGATGCAAGAGTACTCACCGTCACCCGACGCAATTGGGCATGCGCCAGAGTTCTTGCCAGCTGCAATGCATGCTACCGCCCCCTCTCCGATCGTAAAGCTCGATGAGCCTGTCCTTGAGCAGAGGCATTGTAATGAAGGGGACGTGCCACAAGTGTCCGGTGAGAAGTTGTTCTCCAAGAACAGCTGGAAGCAGTCCGTAGCACATGGAGGAATAAACTTGGTGAACTCGTCGGAGAGAGTAAAACGAGCCATAACCGATGTGGTAGTTGTCCATAACGCCCAGAGCAACAATGGCCTCGCTGCCATGCTATGTGACGTCTGCCGACATCCAAGTCAGTATAGTAGTTCAGGTCATTGTGTGTTGTTCCCGTTGCCTGCCACACAGCCACGCCAAAGAGGCATTCATCGCTTGAAGATAACCAGAGAATAAGGAAGGAAGGGGTTCGTAGGCCAGACTCTCGGGCTTCGGAAATGCACAGTAACGTTGATTGTAGGCAGAGGAAGGGAGGACAACAAGAAAAGGACGAACCTACCTATTGCTGAAGATGGGAAATTAAGTGAGATGGCCAGCATCTCAACATCGTCTATAAGAGTGGTCGGTCAAAGGAAATGAAGCGGATACGAAACAAGAAGAGGGCCACGGAGGTCCCGATAACACACGACGACAGAAGAACGAACCACAAGGAAATCAAACGAAGGAAAGGCAGAAAGTGGAATGATCCGTCATGAGATGACTGGAAGGAGGCCAGAAAAATTGGCCGTCATCGAAATGTTAAAAGAAAATGGGATGGAATAACAGACGTGTTGGCTCAGCAGGCCGGCAGACTGGACAAGTCTGGTCGTCCGCGGCGTAACCGACATGCGGCTGTCTGTCTGCACCTCACAGAACAGCAGCACTGCACCATCAATAATAGTTTCATTACCACATTAGTATTCTCGTTTCGATCGACCAAGCCCCCTTGCCGTTCCCAAAACTGCAAAAGCAGAGTGCAGTGCCGCCGGGAGAGCAGGTCGGCCGGCGAGCTTTGCGTCATAAAGGGTCCCCGACCAGGTGCTGGGCGACCCAGAGCAAAGAGCGCGAGCGGTGGTGAACCATGCATTGCGGTCTCGAAGAGGGTGGTGCCAGATCGTCTGAGCCTCATGGTTGGCTGCGTAAGGCTGGCCTATTTCGGGGCCAACCTGGGAGGACGGTTCGCGGGCGCGAGGGTGAGATTCGGCGGTGGCGGTACGGGGCGACACAGCCCATCGGACCGCCAATAAAAAGGTGTTTTTAGATCTGCCATGTCATTGCAGGCAGCATTGCAGGCGACTGGTTGGCGCTGCGCTGCAGGTCCTTACGCGCTCAGCAGTGGGTGGGCGGTTAATCATCCTGCAGGTCTGGTGTAGCCCTCGGCGCTTAAAACAGAACGGACGTCAGACGTTCCGCAAGGTCAGCTCGCACGTGCCAGCAGCTGAGATGAGGCCAATCATGGGCGCCGAGCGTCTGCAGAATCGCGATGAGAAACGGCCCATCGTACAGACAGGAGCTCGATCCTGTTTCGAGTCGCGTCAGAACTTTGTGATAGGGACTGCGACCAAGGGCTTACCTCATATCCATACAATTGCCAGACTCGGCCTCGGCAATCGGCAATCAGAATGTCAGTCTTGTACTGGAGGGTCGGTTCAGGCGATGAGTCTGATAGATGTGATGGCCAGGATAAGGGGTTTGGGGAAGAGAATGTGGGAGGAAAAGATGAGATGAAACCAGCCACGTCGGCGTAACATGGTGAAAGAACCACCAAGAATGGTCTCTCACTCCCAAACTTGTCAGGAACACCGTGAGCGAGTGCTGTACATGAACACTTACCACGAACACCAAACATCTGGGAAAACGAAAAGCAGTCATCCTAAGATAACAAAGAAGAAGCCGTGATCATAATAAAACATCTGTCTAGAGTCTTAAGGCCCCAGCAAAACGGGCCCAAGCGGCGCGCCAGGATTGCCAGCCAACTTGCCGCCAGTCCATTCCAATATGTTACACTCTCATAAGACCCTCGAAACGTTTCCGTTCCCCTAGATGCAGGGCCACGCTGAGCTCCGGGCGCCTCATAGGCCTCGGAGGACAGTGTTGTCCCTCTGGGAGATGGGCGTATACCGCTCGTTTAGCACCTCCTTGACGCTCTTGCTCATCGAGTCCGACTTTTGGTACCGCTGCCGCAGCGCCTTCTCTACGTCGGAACCGTTCAGTGCAGCCTTTGCCGAGTCCTCCGCCGCGCCCGCCGCCGCCTTGGCCTTGTCCACCACCTCCTTGCCCTTCTCCACGCCCCGCTGCACCGCGTCCTGCACCGCCGCCTTGATCTTGGGCGCCTGGGCCTTGGTCTCCTCGAGCGCGCTCCTGGCCGCCGCCGACACGCTCCGCGCCTCCGCCTGAGCCGCGTCCTTGGCCGCCGCGCCCCGGCTCGCGAGCCCGTCCCGCGCCACGGCGGCGGCCTCCCCAACGCTGCTGCCGCCGAAGGCCTGCGTCCACAGGCGGCTGAAGACGCCCTCGGCGTCCTCGCGGACCTCGGTCCAGTCCTTGTTCTGCGCCCACCGCACGGCGCCCTCGATCTCGGCGTTCCACCGATCCTTGGCCGTCTCGACGAGGTTGTCCCGCGCGGCGGCGAGGTGGTCCGGCCGCTGGGGCGGGAGCACCGGGGCAGGGGACTCGGCGGTCGAGCTCAGCTGGTTGAGCACGATGGCGTTGGCGCGCAGGAGCTCGCCCTGGTACTGGCGGTTGCGCTGGTGCGCGAGGACGCCTAGGTAGGCTAGTGAGAGGGTGAGGGTCACACCTCCGGTCTGCGTATCCAATGCCATAAGGTCAGTTTAGAAGCTTGGACAAGCTATGGCTAAGACCTCGGGCTGGAGCTGGTCCACAATGCCTGCTGGGAATTAGAAAATGCGTGACTTACGAAGCCCGTGGTGAAGCCCATGATGCTGGGAGTACTCGGAGCGCTGGCGAAGCGCCGAATGGCTTAGAGATGCCCTCTGTCCAAAACGGAAGCAATTGGGTCGTGCGAAGGTATCCGTCAGATTTCAATCGTCGTCGTTGTGCGCATCCTCCCCTGCGTTCAATTGGAGGGAACAGGCTCGGGAACTGGAGATTCTCTGTTAAGGTTGTGACGAAAGAGTAGCTCCCGGTAAAGTGGGCAGCTTTCGGTAAAACCCACCACTCACTCATTCACTGTAACAAAAAAATTCGCAGAGCCTCGCAGCAGCCAGAAGCCAGCCTTTTTTAGCACTAACACCACCAAGACACAATTGGAACTTCCCTGCAACGCTACTGGTTGTCCTATCAGACGAGTTTCGAGATCCACTCTTCCTCGATAATTTCCAGACCCTCCAACGATCCCGACGACAGAAAGGCAGAGCCAGCTCATCGCGACTTCAGAAGGGGAACAACAAGTCGCAACCGTCCTCACCCATTCCAGCGAGACCCCCGACGCGACAATGGCTGGCGGTCTGACCAAGTACCGCCATCTGGGTCGCCACTCGGCTCACCGGCAGGCCCTACTGCGCAACATCGTGACCTCGCTCGTCAAGTTCGAGTCCATCCAGTTGACGTGGCCCCAGGCCAAGGAGGCCCAGCGCCTGGCCGAGAAGCTCATCACCCTCGCGAAGAGGGACAACGCCGAGACGAGGAGGAAAGCCCAGGCCATTCTCTACGTAAGCTCCGTCCCTCCCCCCTCCCTCTCCCCCTCCCTCTCCCATCATCCATCTGCCTGCAAACATCGCGGTCTCCCATCACCCCGACACCCGTTTTCTCTGACATTGGAACCCCCCCAAAAATAGACCCCCCACGACCTCCTCCCCAAGCTCTTCGGCACCCTGAAGGAGCGCTACGCCGACCGGCCGGGAGGGTACACGCGCATCCTGCGCACCGAGCCCAAGGACACGTACAGCCAGGCCCCGAGCGCCATCCTCGAGTTCGTCGACGGGCCCTCGGACATGCGGTTCGCCATGACGGCCGCCGCCGTGGCGCGGGACCGCGAGCTCGGCCGGGCGTCGACGCCCCTGACGAGGCGCAACGTCGACAAGGTGACGCGGTACCGCAAGGACGGCCAGGCCGACTTTGACGCCATGGTCAGCAAGGTCTCGGGGCTCAACCTCGCCGACGAGGCCACGCAGCTCGAGGACCTGGAGCCGAGGCGGCGGACGCAGAGGGACTACGGCATGTACAAGCCCAGGCAGGCGTACTGGGAGGTCGGGCTGAGGGCCGGGGAGAAGAAGGATTAAGAATGTGCTCCTGGGGAACGGGGTATTGAGCATGTGCGGGATAAAGATATTGGGCGGGAGTCAGAATCAGTCGGGAACTCCTGGCTGTGTACATCTATGTACGTTCACCTGTATTATAATGGCTCAGGAAATACCTGGGTCTAGAGTCAGCGATACAAAAGTCAATTCTTCCGTATCCGTGGCGCATCGCACTCACACCAAACCAAGGTTATGACATATGAGAATTCCTAATGAGGCTCCTATGTAAACGCCATGAGATGCATGCTATCATACTACTACTACTCAAGAGATAAAGTCAAAAGTGTCACCAGCTGCCTTCAAGATCTTCCCGACTCTTTCTGTGCCCACGATTCTCTCCAGCTTCAGCACATCATACTTGGAGAACATGACCTTGACGTGGCCCGTCCCCGGCTCGAGCCTGAGATCCTGCTCGCTACGACTGAGGTAGCCACCCACGATCTCTTTGTAAAACGAAGGGTTATCCGGAAGGCCGTACATGATGATCCGCTGCACACCGCGGAGCTGGTACCGACGGAAGTGATGAGCCCTCTCCGTGTACAATAGGACTTTGTGCCTGCCGTTGAGGAAGTGGGATCGTGCCCTCGACGCCTCGGGAACGTCCGCATACTCCGAGATCGTGCCAAATGACACATTGGCCACCGCCGAGGACGTCGCGAAATAGTTCCTGACCTTGACAAAGTCGAGATAAGACGGGATGAAGATCAGGGTGCCAGTCGCATCCTTGGCACGCTTGGCCAAGGTGGGCACGACGGCTTTTGTGAAATATGAGAAGCGGTCTTCCGGCTCCTTGATCACCGACTCCGAGTCGAAACGCAAGAAGGTCTGCCTCAGCTTCACCTCCAGTTGCTGAAGGTACCCGGGGTACTCTGGTTGCACTCTATGTCTCCCCTGCCAATTCTGGCAATGTGTTCGGAAGAGTTCTGACAGCTCGGGGGTGTTGAAGGCCGAGAAGATGACAGTCTGGCGGAAATATTTGGCTTGGTTGTCCAGGTACCAACTCCGGACGCGACTGAAATCGCAGCCATGTGCGTCCTTCGGTTGAAGGTTCAGATGCTCAAAGATGTACTCCATGTGCTCCCAGTTCTGCATAAGCAGTGCATCTGCCTGGTCCACAATGACCATCTCGATCGAGCTCAGAAAGTCATAATCGAGCTTTTTGTCTTCTTCTGACCCTATGGCGAGCCGAAGTCCGAGCGGACTGGCAAAGAGGATGTCGGAGTTGTAGAACTGGGCAAAGTACTTGATCGTCTTCCTGGTGAACTTGACGCCGATCCGGAACATGTCGTCGTCGTTGCCCTCGAATAGGTCTCTGAAATCACTCGGCTTATCATCCGAGAATTTCTTTTCACTGTCGGTGTACGAGTCGTCAAATCGTTTCCTGTTCTCCTGTTGATCGGGATCACATATGGAACACATCATCTGGACCATCTTCACGCACGACTGCCGGGTTGGCAAGAGCACCAGCACCTTGGGGCGAGTGAAACCCTGATCTCGAAGTTCAAGATCCTCGTTCCCATCACGAGCGAGCCTTGCGTTGTTCTTGATGACCCGGTCGCGCGTCCTGAGCGTATGCATATCAGCAAGGATTCAAGGCAAGGGACAAGTGATGAAAGACCTACTTGAAAACGTGATTGACAGCATGCAAGCAAATCATCCGCCGGATGCTGTCACCATTCGTAGCGTTCCTGTTACAGTAAAGCGCATCGTGGTAGTTGAACAAAAAGGGTGCAACTCTCTGTTCTGCGCGGTCCAGCTCAGGGTGCTTCGAAGACATGACTTGGTGCAAGCGTTGCTTGAGTTTGAGATCGGATAGACGGGAGATGGGTGCCAATGATGTGAAGTCCGAGTCTTTCGGCTCTTCCTGGACGATCCGCAAGGATTTGTCGAGGTTCCTCTTTGACTTCCACTCGCCTTTCTGAACTGCCCTGAGGCGTTTGCTCGACTCTGTCTCATCAGGAGCGGCAAAGTGGGTTTCGAACGGGTCTGAAGAGTCTGGCTCGTCATCTTCGTCTGATTCATCGCCGACCATCACCTCCTCGGGCTCTTCTTCAGGCTCGTCGACTTGGTCGACATCGTCGCCTGCACGATCCTCATCGCTAGACTCATCTACTTGCCTCGACGTCGTCTCGTCAGGTCCCGAGTGATCGAGCTTCCTCCTCTTGGCTTGCGGCGCGGAGTTTCCTGATGACTCTGTGAAGCTCTTGATCAGTGCCATGTAAGGCTTAGCGGTCGTGGCCTGCTCGGCTTCTTCATCCGAGCCAGCATCTGATGTGTCCTCGGGTTCCTCTGGGACAGAGCTTTCATCAGAGGACTCTTCCTCTGCTTCAGACTCGCTATTGATCTTGTCAGCAAAATGAAAGTCGAGAATGGTGGAAGTGTGGGATTTGAGTCCAAGGGGCGGTTCATCTCACTCTTTCGTCTCAGCCAGTCTTGCACTGTCAAACCTCGGCCGCTTTCCGAAACCTCTACCACCCCTTCCCCTGCCTCTTCCCCTGCCCCCTCCCCCACGACCTCCCCTGCCACGAAATCCTGCTCTAGGTGCCATCTTGAAAATTCGGTCGATTCGTGGTTGGCACAGAGCTCATGAGCACATATCGAGTCTCGCTGGAGAATGAAAAAGTTGAACGCAGCCTTGCAGATCTTCAGCCTTGCAACCATCCGCCCGCCATAATTTTTAGAGACTTGGCACGCTTATCGGCAGGGGACCGTCTTATCTTAGCGCGCACAATCCAGACCACCCCACCATCAGTAAAACCAAAATTTGGTGCAAATTCGGGGGGCCATCACCAAAAAAATAGCACAGAGTGGGAGTGTGAGAAAGTGGGATTGACCACAACGGGGCAACTTGGAGCCATACAAAGAAGAAACAGATTTTCCGACAATCCACCCACGACGACGACCCTCTGACGAGACCACCACCACCAACAACCACCTCGACACTCCTCTCCTCTTCCCGACCATCACCATCCCGTCCGTCAACATGGCTGTCGATCTGGAAGACTTCCTTCACCTCTCGCGGCCTCTGGCGCCGCAGATGGGCTACAACACCAACATTGCCCCGCTCACCGTCAACATCCAGCCTCAGGTACGTACATGATATACAGGCCCCTTGCCCTCCCCACTGCCACCACTCGACATCTCGACGTCAGGCTGACATTTCCCTTCCTCCCTCCCCCTCCCCACAGGCCATCTTCTCCATCCTCGACCATGCCTCCCGCCGCGACATCCGCGACGCCCCCAACACCCGCGTCATCGGCGCCCTCGTCGGCGTCCGCAGCGAGGACGGCACCGAGGCCGAGGTGCGCTCCTGCTTCGCCATCCCCCACACCGAGAACGAGGACCAGGTCGAGGTCGACGTCGAGTACCAGAAGAACATGCTCGCCATGACCCTGCGCGCCAACCCGCGCGAGTCCCTGCTCGGCTGGTACACGACCTCGCACGAGCTCAACTCGTTCAGCGCCCTCATCCAGAACTTCTTCGCCGCGCCCGAGACGGGCACCTTCCCCCACCCGGCCGTCCACCTGACCATCAGCACCGAGGCCGGCCGCGACGTCGAGACGCGCTGCTACGTCTCGTCGCCCGTCGCCGTCAACGCCGACCGCGCCTCCGAGTCGTGCTTCTTCGTCGAGGTCCCGCACCGCATGCTCTACGGCGACGCCGACCGCGCCGCCCTCGAGGCCGTCTCCTCGGCCGCCGACCTTGAGGCCCGCACCGCGCCCCTGACGAGCGACATCGAGGGCCTCGCCCGCAGCATCGAGCAGACGCTCGACCTGCTCGACCGCACGTCCGACTTTGTCGGCGCCATCCTGGACGAGGAGCGCGAGCCCAACCACGCCATCGGCCAGTACCTCATGAACTCCATGTCCCTGGCCCCCAAGGTCGACGCCGCCGCCATCGAGCACGACTTCAACAACCACATCCAGGACGTCCTCATGGTCTCGTACCTGGCCAACACCATCCGCACCCAGATCGACCTCGCCCAGCGGTTAGCCACCTCGGCCCTGACCATGGGCGACAAGGACGACAAGAAGGACGGCGAGGAGGGCGGCAAGTCCGAGCGCGGCCAGGGCGGTCAGAGGGGCGGCAAGAGGGGCGGCAGGGGAGGCGGCCGCGGCGGCGGCCAGCGGGGCGAGCCCCGGGAGCACAGAGAGCCCCGGGAGCCCCGGGAGCCTAGGGAGCCCAGGGAACCCAGGGAGCCGAGAGAGCCGAGAGAGCCGACCGAGTAGGGTACGGCCGGCCATGATACATCCACGACCGCTCTATGTAAGGTACATTAGGAGGAAGTTGTGCGTGGTTGGGTTGCAGCATCCCGGAGGACCAATGCACACTTTGTGGTGATTCACCAGACTATGGCTCTGCAGATGACATAACTCTGCTGGCCAACAGAGGTGGGTGAACGAGAAAGAGTGTGAGATGAGCGGGCTGTGGTCACCATATTCAAAGACATCACGGGCGTTCAAGGTTAGAAAACTAGGCATAGGTTTGAGAGGCTTAGTTTACCGAATTCTACGTATTTTGAACAACTCTAGGGCTTTTGATGTCCCTCCGCTGGTGCATTGTTGAGAGTAGTGGCGCCGGTGGCCGTCAACTTGGGTCATGAAATAAGAGCTTGGATTATATTCACATTAATAGAAGTGAAGTAAGCAGAGAATAAAGGGGGTGTATCACTTCACCCCGGGTCATGGTCCTACAAGGTCTCTCTCATCTCTTTTTGCAACCCTCTCTCTGTTCTCTTGCAAAGACCAAGTTCTACAACGAACACCCACCCACCCAATCGCCATACCCATAGGCAAGAATATCATGGTGGTGATGCCTCCTATAGTTTCTCCGTGCTATAGACAGAGAATCGGGGCCATGCACACATCATTCCTTTCTCCCCGTCTGCCCCAGCCTTCTCTCTCTCTCTCTCCACACATCCCGCATAGCTGTTCCCCATAATAACGCCCTGAATGCAGGTATATGACTTTGTACGCCCCTCGCCATGTTGGAAATCTCTTGGAACAAAGAAAAAAGAAAAGTAAATATGTGTTCTCCTCGTTACGCCCATGATGTTAGTAGTGTGCGGTCTTCTTTTTGTCCCCCCCTTTCCCCACCACGCCTGCAGGTGAGTCTGTCTCTATGTTGGTACAGGCAAGTCGTTCTATCACGCGGCTCCGAATCGGCCACGCAGCCAAACTCGCTTTCGCTCTCGATGCAATAACGGTGGCTGCAGCAGAAAGCCTGCAGTCCTCTAGTTGGTGGTAGGCCTCTGCGGCAGTGTCGCAGGGTTGCCGTAATTCGGCAGGTTGCCGAAATGGCCAGCGCCGCCATTAGCAGGACCGGGCATGTTAGGCGCTACTCCCTGAGGCGCGACCGGCTTGTTAGGAATGTGCGGCGGCGGGCCGCCGGGGATGAGGTGCGGCTGGTGAGGGTTGGGAGGCATGTGAAGCGGTACCTGGTACGCAGCCTGTTGCGGCGGGTGCTGCATGGGATATGGCGGCAGCGAAGTGTTGGAGCCTTGCCTCATCATACCGTAGCCAGCGCCATTAGCGCCGTACGGTGGCTGCGGTGGCATGGGCTGCTGGTACCCGTCAGGTCTGTAGTGAGGCTGCCCAACTTGTTGCGGGATCGGAATCTGCTGTGGCCCGGCAGTGTACGGCATCAGTTGAGCCTGCATAGGGCTCATGCCGGTCGCTCCGGGGACAAAAGACTGTGTCTTGGGGTTGAAGCCATGGCGATTATAGTTTCCAGCGTAACTGCCCGGGATAGGATGCTGGCTCTTAGGGTCATTCGGGTTTGCATTTACGGGAAGCTGGCCAAAGGCGTACGGGATGCCAACATGCGATGGCACCGCCCGGGACTGGTAGGGACTCTGGTTGAAATTCTGTGCCTGTTGCCAGCCAGGCTGGGCGGTATTTTGCATTGGGGCAGCGTAATTTGCCATCTGGGCAGTGGCTGGGGGCTGTTGGTATCGTTGCTGCTGAGCCTGCTGAACAGGATACTGAAGTACAAATTAGTTACCAGTCACGATCAGTGGCGAGGGGACCACTTACTGCCTGCATGTTGTTACCCTGAGGATATCCGTTCGCGGGCATCATTTGCTGATAACCCTGGTTCGGCGGTGTTCCGTAAGGAGCCTGCGGCATGGGACCTGGGAATTGCTGCGGCTGCATCTGTGGTGCGTACTGGGGCGTTCCAACAGGCACGTACTGTGGCGAAACCCACGTAGTCTGCTGCGGGTGGCCGTAATACGGGGTATACTGGGAGCGTGAATCGAAGCTCTCAGAGTCATCACGTCTCTGCCGGCTGGTCTTGCGATTCTTGCCTGTGTTGGATTTGTCCTTGGCCGACACTGAACTTGCGCGCGAGATCCCTGTTCCATCTTCGTTGTCTTGAGAGATTCAGTTAGCATATACCGTGAAGGCAGTGAAAGAACGTCTAATACCTGGAGTAGAAGTCTCTGTTGGCGCAGCACTGCCAAAGATGCGCTCTCGGGCCTGGTTGTATTTCTGTTCACGCTCTTCCCGTGACAGCCTGGTAGTTTTGTTAGTCTGCTTGCATCGCAGGAAGGACTTTCAATCACGACTGACTTCTCTTTGGTAGGAGCATTCTTGTCCTTCGAATCGCTGCCATCCTCCGAGGTTGGCTTGGAAGGCCCACCGCTCGATGCAGCCAGTTCGCTGTCTTCGCCACGACGCATGATCTTTCTAGGTAGAAGGGCAGGAGGCGGAGTACTGCTGCTCGTCTCGTTCGCGGCCGCAATGCTTGCAAGGGATGGTGGAACACGACAGAACGGGGTGCGGTAGATACGCACTGCACCGGCGACGGCCTCGAATGAGTGTGTCATATGGTAGTAATCGGCCAGTTTGTGAGTGAGCATGCGGCAGAAAGAATTGCAGGGAGGCAGATCCATGAAGGGTTCCCTGCGAGAAAGATGTCAATTTCAGTTCGGCGAATGTCATTTGTGGCCATGAGAAAACCTACTTGGAATCTTGGACAAACTCGATGACGTCCTTTTCCAGTCGCAACAAGAACAGCCGGTCCTTGGGGGAGCGCATGGCTTCCAGAAGTTTGTCATCTGGGTTCTGCCTGTACCCGATGCTGATTGCTTCAGAGCCTGAAGTTGCTGCAGCAAGCGGCATGTGACTGTCCGGCATCGCAGGCGGGCCAGATGAGGCGCTCTGGGGCGTGACCGATCCCCGCAGGCGGGAATCAGGTAACATCTGGGTCATGGTGCGCGGCGGCATATCTCCAATCTGGATACGATGCACTCGAGCTGCCACCTCGGATCCCATGCGCGAGTTAGGAAACATGGATCCACGGATGGAGAAGGTATCATCGTCTTCAGCTGCAGCCTTGACGCTGGCACTGTCATCTGGTCGGAGAGACTCCTTCTCGTCGAGAGCATTGAACGTCGTGCCCGAGGTGATGCTCTTGCCGTCAAGGCTGGGAGGCTTAGTGCCGAGCTCCGAGTTTGAGTCGGCCTTCTGCGAGGCTTCGTCCGAAGGTGTCTGGCTGTTGCCGATTTTGCTTGATCTGTCGGTGGAGATAGATCCGCTCCCATTGACAACTAGACTTGGTTGACTAGTCCGCAGGGACAGCTCCTTGAGGCCCTCAACAACCTTGTTTTCGTCTCCCATCTGGGCGTCCGATGGCACTGCCGAGTGTACAGACACGATCCCCTCTGCATCTCCTGACGTTGGCGGGTCGCCGAGTGTTTCTGGCTCGGCAGTCGTGGTCGTGGTAGGCGCTTGCCGCTCTGCTGGTTTGGCCTCCCGCGATCGAGGAGACGGTGTAGCATGGGGCATAGCTGAAGGCCTCGGAGTTACTTTGTCTCTTGAGCCAGATGCGACGACCTATAGATGATATGATTAATACCCACTGTGATGGAATAATCACTCCACGGAACAGGCCCACTGGGGAAATGCAGAATTGTTGCTCACCTTTGCAAAAGACAGTTTCTTGACATCGGTCGCCATTGCGGCCGTGGTTGCCATGGTGTAATATGTAGTAAAATGTGGTGGGGATGACGGATGATGCTGGATATGTATCTGTGCAGGAGAACCAGTTCGTCTCACGAATGAATCCGAGTTCGGCAAGGTCGCGAACGAGAATTAGAAGAGAATGTTGTATGCGAAAAGTCAAGAAGCAGAAAGAATCAAGTCGGACCAAAGCGAAAAGGAAGTACAAATGATCATCGTTGTAGACATTCGGTCATAATTCTTCAGGTCGTGTCTCAAAGCTCAACCGCCGATTTCCCGTCTCGAGATCTTCCTTCGACGATGACGGAGGACCAAGTTGCGAGGGTCAGGGGGCATGCGCTGTTGGTTCCAAAGCGGGTGCGTATGTTCGGTTGTAGATGATCCGGGATAGGGTATAGCAGCGATAACAACCGATGTCGTCGGATGGTATCGTTTGTAGAAACAGCTGCCAGGCGATTGCTGGCCGATGTAGTGTCTCCTCAGACTTCCCTCAGTGCTCGAGAGAAACGTGCGAGGCCCGGGAAAATCTGGATCCAGAGGCGCAGAAGGGCAGATGGGTCGGAGGATGGATGAGGGTGGCCGATGCTAGATGGCCGAGGCAGCAAGACTGGCGGTTCGGTCAGGTCAGGCTACCTGCGCTGCTTCTCAGCTTCTCGGCTCGGTCAGACTTTCAGGATGCACAGAACTGGCGCCATTCCCCTGCGAGTCTTCCTCTGCGCGGAAAGGAGAAGGACGCGAAGTCTACTTCACGCCTTGAAGATGTCGGGATTGGGGACAATGCCGGAGCCAGGGTTGGGGCGGCGATGGGCTCGATTGAGAATGGGGGTACAGGTCGAGGTCAGGTCGGGACCGAGTACGTAGATTTTGGTGATAAAGCCAAAAGCCAGCCTTGGAATCTTGTATCAAATGCTGGTTGGGTTAGGTAGCCTGGCAGCCTGGGAGGGTGCGGGAGTGGGTGGATGCGGCTTTGAGACCAAGCCTGAAGAGCCCTAGCGCCACCCTTTTTTCCTGCCGGCACGCTGCCACTACGCAACCTTGGTACCCTGGGGCGCTGACTTTGTCCCTGTCACACCCTGCATTCTTGTTTGCTGCAGCGCTTTCGCCCGGCTGATTAGGATGGAATCAGTGATGGTGTCGCATCACGTGCACATTTGTGATTTCCACCACATCACCGTCAAGACCGTCGATGAGAAAGCAGGCTTGTGAGCTGTCACTTCTCTTCATTTCGGGGAATTCTTGCTAGCTTCGAAACGAGGACAATAGAAGTCCGAGTCCGAGGATCTGGGTCGTATCTTGGACCGGACGAGTATCGTTCTCTCTTTGTTTCCCTTGCATATCGCACATCCGCATCACCTCTCAACTCGGTTCTTCATCTCAAAGCACGACCAACCGGCATCATGCATTCGTACCGCGGCAGGACTGGCCCTTCGCGGTCGACTCCGGCCAACGTGCAGTGCCAGAAATGCCTGAAGAGAGATAAGTCTTTGGCTCCATCACCGTGCTCCTCCCTCTGCAATAAGCTAACTTTCTTAGAACGCCATTACTCATATGAGTGCAAAGCTGCACCTCAAGAGCGGCCTTACGCCGCCAGGCCCTCCCGCTCCCAGCAGCTTCGCAACCCAAAGCTGGTACCGAAACTCACAGAGGCGACCCCCGATGAGGTTGAGAGAAAGTAAGTCTATCGGATCCCACCTATTTTGACTTGAATCCTTATCGTTTATATAGGAAAGGCGTTGCAGACGCCGAGCTGGCAAAGAAGGAGGCAGAACGGGCCAGGAAGCGTGAGCTCGAAGGAGGTGATGATGGTAAATTGCCTTCGAAACGCCAGCGATCTGCATCCTTCGACTCGGTCTCCTCCATATCCACTAGGTCTTCGCGGTCGCCGCCGCCAGCACGGAGGACAGCGGACCAGCCTGGAGGAAGTCGCCGGGGGCAGTCTCGTTCCCGATCATCTTCAGGAAGCAGCAGATTTGGCAGAAGCCGGTCTCCGGACTCGGACGGCGATGCGCGACGACCACAAAACTCGCCTCCTCCCGCGCTTCGTACGCAAGACACGAAGGAGGTTTCTCGACGCGACAGATCCCTGTCTTCTGGGAGTCGGAGCAGAAGCAGGAGCTTTTCCCCTGAGAACAAGCCATCTCGACAACAGCAATCGAGGATGCAGTCATCAGACTTCTTTGGTGATGCTCGAGCCCCAGAGAGGCGTCGCCGAGATTCGAGATCACCAGACCGATCGTCGAGGGCAAGACAGGGACGGGAGCGAGATGGCCGCCGTCAGTACAGGGCTCGCGATGACGCACCCCCTCGCCGAGACGAGAGACCCTCAAGGCCTGAACCTCCCCGTCAGCGAAGCCTGAGTCCCTTTAGCAAGCGGTTAGCGTTGACCCAGGCCATGAATACCGGAAGGTAGCGAGAATATGGGTATCGATTTGCATACTGTACTCTAATGAACCAATTATCTTGAAGAAACGCCCACAATGGGAACTGTTCCTAACCTGTGCCCAACGCCGTGCCATGCTACCTTTCCGCCCATTTTATTAAACCTGAAGCATCTTTGAAGAAACCCATCACTCCACGTCAACTTCGGCCGCTTCCCGTTCTCTGCGCTCCTCCTCTGCCTCTTCCTGCTCCTTGAGCCGCAGTCCCTCTACCAACGCGGCGCCCTCCATTCCCGTCTCCGTCTTCCCATCCTCTGCTACGCCCTTTGCGCCGCCAGCCCCTTGCGCCGCCGCCTTCTTCGCAGCCAGCCTCTCCCTCACGAGCTTGGCGATGGCGTTGTCCGTCCGAACATTGAGCACCTCCAGCTTCTTGTTCAGCTCCCTTTTGAGGTCCCAATTCGGCTTCTTGGGCTGTAGCTTAAACAGGTCGATCCCTTTATCCGCCTGCGCCGCCTCCTCCGCGGCCTTTTGCCGGATCTGGTCCTCGATCTCGGCCGCCTGCACCTCGAGCGTCTTGTCCTCTATGCCCAGCGTCGGCGGCGCCTCGAAGCCGAGCTTGGCGCCGCGCGTCTCCGGGTCGTAGTTGCGTCCCGACAGGTGCAGGCGCGACACGTCGGCGGCCTCCTCTGCTTTTTCTCCTGCCGGCGGGTGTGGCAGGGCGGGCGAGTCGCGGTCCGACTCGGGCGGCGCGATCTCGCCTTCGGGCTGTTTGCGCTTGAGGTTTTTGAGCTTGGCGAGGCGCGCCTTGCGCTCGTCCGAGGCGGCGGCCAGGGTTACGTGTGAGGATGACATGTTGTGGCGGGGTTTGAGGAGGCGGTAGGGCGATTTGGTGAGCCTGGTGGTCGATTTTGACTGATCCGAGACCTGGCTGGAGTTGAATCTTGGGAAAAGTTAGTGGAGGAGGTTGAGATCGTAGGTAGGGATTAGCGCTGTGCCAGGTCCTGTGGAAAAGTACACTTGCAACAGACAGTCCTTGTTATGAAGACATGTAAAGGCAGAACCACAAGAGAAGGAGGAGATTTGGAGCATCAATAAATGATAGAAGATACCAAATATCTCCCATGATGTTCATTTTAGTTCGTATCTTCAACAGACCGAGGGAATTGAAAGTCAAATATTGTCATTAAGATAGAGATGTACTTTCTGGTTACAACTCGTTGGTGATAAGATAAGCTCCCGAAGATCAATCAAAAAGTTCCCAGCTTCATGTTCAGCAACCTTCAACAACGTCACGAATCAGCTTTTTACCCTCGTATCTTGGACGTCCTCCGTCCAGCTTCGCGGTACCCATGGCGCAATATATCCGGTAGCCCAAGTCAAATAAGGACGTACGAGCCGCGACCATGCTCCAAGCGGCGAGCATTTGCCGGGCTTGCCTGGCAAAGTTGCGCCAGCCATACTGCCCACGACCGACTGCGCGACTGATGAGCCAGGCGATTGCAGCGACGACGGCATCTGCGGCACCTACAGACATCCCAGAAACACAGACCGATCCTAGGCCCAGGCGGGAACCGAACGATCCGCGACGATTTCGCAAATATGACCCATTGCGCAAGCCGCGTCCGATGAAAGCGGATCAGAACAGCAAACGAACACAGCCAAGGACACCGGAGGCCGCCCAGACATTCGAGCAGTCACATATCGACTGCTACTCTGCCGAGGACACAGGCTTCTGGGATAAGTTTGAGGAGCTATGGAGCGACACAAGCTCCTCTACGGCGGAGGCCCTACAACCAGAGCCCGACGCATCCTCAACAGACCCAGTTAGCCACCAACACCGCCGTCGTCCACCAAAGGGTCTGCCGTCGGAGCTTCAGCTCAGAAGATCGCCACAGTGGAAGTTCTCCAAAGTGCGTGTGGTGAGAGGCCAGATGGCGCATCTCCTTCGCCATGTCGACCCCGAATCGAAAGCCGAAGAGATTCGTCGTCTCAACCGATGGAAGCATCGTCTCGCGAGGATCTGGAAGAGCATGTTGAACGGCAACGTTGTTCACGGGCATAACAAGGGCACGCGCCGGCTCGAAAGGCTCCTTGCCGAAGGAGACGTCGCCGCTATGGCGGCCGCCTGGGAGAAGCTCCCTTCTGAGACTAAAGTCCGCGTGTGGCCCGTTGTAATGTCGTCAGCACTCCAGACACACCCTGATGACGTTTGCGATATCCTCGAAGCAACTTACGACCCATCAGTTGTCCCGTTCTATGCTGTTATAGACACTATCCACTTCCTTGCCCGACGAGAGCAGATGCCGCTGCCACGCAAGGTCCGCAGCGTCGCTCCCAAGCAGACACCTCCAGAGCGCTTGTGTCAGGTGTTAGAACATGTACTTTCTAGAAGCCCGAAGGGTCACCTCCTTTTCCGCCAGAGGACACTATACCTTCTCGTTCACAAGACCGATCCAAAGCAACTAGCATCTTTGTACGATGCGCTGGCCCAATATGAGCATCCGCTGCATACGCAGACCCGGCTTCACTTCGCCATACGCTTTGCAAAAGAAGCTGCGTTGAAAGAACGGGCTACGGAAATTCTTGCATTGCTTACGCAAAATCAGCAGCTCGATATCAATACACCCCATGGCGCCAGTCTCTGTACTGCTATCTTGATGATGGAAGAGAAAGATCTAGACGGAGAACATTTTGAAGCGACGCCGGCTCATCTCTTTAACCAACTCCTGGAACTGGGGCTGAACCCGAACCTGGTCACCTATACCACCATCATTCGGAACCTCTGCATGACGAAGGAGATCAGCGCTGCCTGGGAGGTGTACCACGTGATGCTGGATCACAATATTGAGCCCGATATTTACATCTACTCAACCCTGTTGAACGGGTCGAAACTCGCACAGAATTTCAGCTCAATGCGACACCTTGTCCGCATAGCAGTGGACAAGAACATCCGCGAGCCCATCTTCTGGAATGACTTGTTGCACGGGATCTTTCTATCGGCGCTCATTGAAACGAGGAGAAAGAAACTCAAGCCGCCACGCGTCGTCCCGTCCTTCCCGTTGATGCTACAAGCCTACGCCAGGGTCTTCAAGACGGAGCCCTTGAAACCGCTCCTGCTTGTCGATATTGATCGTTTTCTGGAGACAAATGTGAATCAAGCCGCCCTGGCAGACTGGAATTTTGTGGCACAACTGGCGCCGGTCATCGGTGAGCTACCGCCGCGTGGCGATTCTGAGCTCCAGGAGCCGACTGCCTCCACTCTCTGTGCCATGATCCTCGGCTACATCAAGGGCATCTCCAGGCCTTACGACATCATCGCCTTCTATTCCCACTTCCGCCAGCTCCTCCAGTCGGGCGATCCCGTCGCCGTGCGCCTAGTCCGCGAGCAAGGCACATTCGTGCACGACGTCGTGATCAAGGCCCTCTGCGAGCACCAGGGCATGCTGCGCGTCGCCCTCGACGTCGTCAGCGACATGCTGCGCGACGCCAACCCGAAAAAGCACGCGGCTGGCAGCGGCAGCGGCAGCGGCCACCAGCACCCGCAGCCGAGTGTGCACACGTGGTCGATCCTGCTCAACGGCTTCATGTTCCAGCGGCAGCGGCAGCAGGGCGAGCGCATCCTGGCCATGATGCGGCAGCGCGGCGTCGAGCCCAACGCCGTGACGTGGAACACGCTGGCGGCGGGCTACTCGCGCATGCAGGACGTGGGCAAGACGGTGCGCGCGATGCAGCGGCTCGAGGCGGCGGGCCACGAGGCCGACGAGTTCACCTTCCGGGCGTTCTCGTACCTGCAGAACAAGAGGGCGGCGCTCGCGCAGATGGAGCGCATGGTGCAGCAGCGCAAGGAGAGGCAGGAGAGGAATGCTGCTGCCGCTGCCGCCAGCACTGAAACAGCTAGCGGCAGCGGTAATAGCGTCGGGGACGCGCTGAGTAAGCTCGAGAGCGAGGTCGAGGAGATTGCGAGGATGATGGACGACGAGCAGGGTGAGACGGCGGAGGACGGTGATGGATATGACTATGACGCTGAGGAGAGGGGGTTTTTGTAGAAGCTGTGTATATGTAAACTTTACTGTATATTATTATGTGAATATGTCAACGTACCGTGCCTTGAACGTTGCTTGTCAATGACCAGATTGTGTGGTTTGTCTGTTTGATACCACATTCCAGCCAGTGTTGTACAATGATGGGAGTTTTCCTCTTCAATCTCCCTCCCCCAAGCCTTTCATACTGTTGTTGAACGGGCAGAATGATAGCTCATGTGCTCGAGGCTGGCATTATGACACTTGAATGTTTCCAGTCCAGGTTCGTTGTTCGTACTTGAAAAGTGTAGTGGCTTGCACTCTAGTTTTTTAGTCATCGAGAGCCCCAGCATACAGTGTCGAGAACTAAACAGTCACAGAACTTTCAAGGTTGTTCCGGCGATTTCGTTGTAAGAACCAGAACCAGGGCAAAGCGATGAATTGAAAGAGAGCTTCAACTCTGAGATCAAAAATAAATGTTTGTAGGTAGTCAACACAACTCTGCCACTTCTGAAAAGTAACACGGCAGACTAGATCAAAAGGTCCTTGAACAGTATAGACAAATCAAGTCCAAGCATGCCCAACCAAACCAAGAGGTAAATGTTTTTGTCGAAACACTCATTGTGCCTGCGACTCACTGACTCTAGCATTATCGACAAAATTGTCTAGCACTGTGTTCATCGCGACGAGGTGCTTCCGCACCATACTATCTAAGACTTCCGGTGGTCGGTGGAGGGAGGAAATAGAGGTCCGTATAAAAGAGAGGGAAGAGATGGTGGTGCTTTGACGGGGGCCACAAAGGTTGTCATTTGTGACAGAGAGGTGTGGCAAGGCCGAGCAGCCACATGATGTAACTATGAAGCAGGGAAGCATTCCCGCACCATTTGAGAATGTTTGAGAATGATTGGCTGTTCTGCATTTGTTGGGATCCCAGACTTAGGCGAGCTAGCAACGCCAATGAGAGAGAAGTGCAACAACTTCAGCCATCAGATTCTGGGCACCCTTACGCCCGACTATGCAGATAGAGCACCCACTTCCTCGAGCATTAAAGCACAGCCCCAGCCTGGTCATAGCAGTCCATATATAACCCGACCCAAGAAGCCCGACACGAAGTATTTTGATATCCCTGACGCAAGGTCTTGGTCTGTTGCGAGATAGTTGCCCAACCTGGTCACAGCCGATGCAATCCCAAGATGAACAGCCAATTCGCTCTATCCCTTGAGTTGACGCGCTTGATTCCCCTTATTTTCAACACGGGGCCGGGTAAGTATGTCATGAAGCTCGCTAGGGATTTGCAAGTAGGTACCGCCTGGCTCTACAGACTCCGGCCAAAGACCTTCCTACCGCAAGGCAAACTTTATTGACAATCGCCCCAGCTCTCAGGATCCGACCTTATTACCGAGGAGGACCTAGCTTCAAAGGTCGGCAGATGTCGTATTGATGGTCAGATTGCTTCCAGTTTCAGATCCCTCGTGTCCAAGTCGGCATACTCGCGTCTCTGTGAAGGCATAGTCCTCGAGGCTGGAGCCGGGCCAACTATCTCCAGAGCACTAGTAACAGGGCAAAACGCATACTTTGCAACTGTTGTGCAGCTCTCAATGTTAGTTGCGTGTTTCACGAAGGAAGCATTAGCCGTCGCCATATATGAGATGTTCGAAATAGAGCTTGAGGAGGCTCCAGAAGGTTCTTCAATCAGGGCGATGCCGAGTGAGCAGGCAATCGCCGGTGTTCTACGCGCTTGCGAAGACCAAACGACCCAATACGACTGGACTCTTGTGCTCCTCGCGGTAGCCTATCGGCTGGGACTTCCACAGAATGTACTGACCCGACACCTCCCTGGATCAATATTCCGAGGGCTGGTCTACATGTTACCACTTGTGCAGCAGCTTCCTGATGATCGCATGATACTGGTGGAGATTGAAGACAGACTCGGAATCTGCCCTATCATTGTGTGGGCACACCATATATGCAGCCTCAATGTGGCAGTGCGGGTGTATAGGAGTGGCTCAAATGCATCTGGGCAGGTCATCTTCGGCTCTGAGCCAGTACAGATGGTCATTGCAGTCAGGTCCAGCTCGGATGATTGGTACTCTCATGCAGTGGTTCCCTCCATTACACTACTCAAGTCTTCATCTGCGGAAGAGAAGGAGGCTTTAATCACGCTTGTCCCTGATCCCGACGAGTCGAAGCTCGAGGCCGTACACAGAATAGGCGCGGAAGGCTACGGAAAAGCTGTCTTGCAAGATGCGGCTCTTCAAGTCAAGGAAGGTGCAGATGCCATTGCGGAGGACATCATGTTCATCTCGTACGCCTTGGCTATTTTGATCGCAGGACACCTAGTCATTCGACCAGAGTTCGGTGACCGCACTGCATCTGGTTCAGCAGCAACCGAAGGCAAAGTTCAAGCTACGGGCAATAGCCAAGAGAATGAGAAGCTCACCGGTGAGGCGGAAACAGATTCTACAACATTAGCGCCTTATCATATTCCCACTCACCGGATTCACGATGCGGCAGACCTTCTCTTCTCGCGGAAAAGACCACCCATGGGAGTGGTTGAAGACTATGTAACTTTCTTCCGCACAAGAGGTACCGGCATTGTTGGAGCTCCTCATCGAATCGACGCGATCCTCAAACGACCTTCCAACGCGAGTCCTAATGATCAGGGGCACTGGTGGCGTCTTCTGCCTCTAGCGAGATACCTTGCAGTCCTTCTCCTTGCATTCGCGAATATCTCGGAGTCCTCTTCCTGTCGCGAGATACCGCTATCGTTTGACTGCGCAATGCTACGACACCATCCTCTTATCTGGGAGCTACAGGAATGGGATGGAAAGTCTGACATTGCTATCGGGGAATTCACGTGGTTCAGAGCCATTGGCATCCTTCTTACCAATCAGACCCTCCCAGAGAATGGGCCATTCCCTTCCCTTCTAAGTGACTGTGGATGGAGCATCTTCCTTAGTACTCTCGACCAACAATCCCAAGCTTTACCCAGGGCACAAATGAAAGACCCCATGACGGTTTATCCAGGATTGGTCTTCCTGAGACAAGGCGTACCTAGCAGAAACGGCGTCCGTAAACATGCCATCTCTGATGCTCCGTCAACTCAAGGTCCTACGCCAGCTACCTACAGCTCGACCATCGAAAGGATGGAACAGGCGACTTTAAGATGCTTCGGATCATTCAAGCTGGGTCTGCCGCTGTATGGTGAGCAGCAGCAGAGTTTTATCGTCACACTTCGTCTAAATCGAGAAGCAATAAACTTCAGAGATTTTATCCCGGACACTAATATTTCCATACAGCGGACCGGATTCTCTGAGCTATTCAGCGCGATATGGACGGTGCTAAGGACGAACCCTTGCCAGGGCCATAATGCTTTGACTGCCTCAAAAACGATTGAGCTGCCGCCCGGTTACGCAACAGTGGCAGATTGGAATGAGGAGCTGGCAGAGCCTGAAGAGAGAGCGAGAGTTCTCATCACTCTGACCGCAGGAAACTCGACGGCTCGGTGGCGGACACTGGTATCAATTGTGAGAGCTAGGCGTCGCCTGCATAGTGATCATCACAACAGTGATGACTTTCCTGGTGTTCTGCTACGTGGAGACGATTGCTGCTTTCAATGCGCGATTGACCAGACCGCAATGTTGACAGGAAGGTGGAGGCTGGTATTGTAAATTGGGACTGGGTTTCCTAGCTTTATATTTATTTTGATTTTCTTGGTTTTTCTCATCCACAAAGGGTTGTCAACCTGACCGCAAGATTGGTCATGAGTGTCAGATTCGTGGAGAAGAGAGCCCTGAGTCGTAATTAGCACTTAAGATTGTCCTGACCACAGAGAAGAAGCACATTGACCACAACTGGTGACAGTACTGCAGCACTGGCCCTCCCCGGAGAGGAAATCAGTGATGACAGAATTTGTGTTTTTGAGATTGTGTTAATACAATGCCCTGATCAGGTCTATTCAATAATGAGTCCTATACTTGTGAACAAGCAAGGCTACAAGTCAGCAAACAGGGTATTTTGGATGAGGAAGATCTTCCAAGTATTAGGAGGCTCCACAACTTGTTAACAAGTTATTTTACATATTGAGTAGTCAGTAAGGTCTCGCTTATATAGTCAATACCTAGAGATACTGCAAAGGGCAAATGTGCAACTATAACTTGATACCAAGCTAACTGACTTGTCAAGTGACCACCAAAGATTTGGGTCCTATAGTGAATGTGTCAAGGTAGTGCATCAAAGGCGCATTAAGAACTCATCACCAAGTTATCTCACATCTCAACTAGTCACCAAGGACCACTGTCTATAGTGAATGTCATGATGTCTGTGAAAGATGGCAAAGCAACGTCAAAGTGACATTGCAGTCTTGTTAGCTTAGAGAGATGCACTGCCAGCCGATCCATAAACAACAGCATTTATTTCCTCTCCCTCTTATCTCCCCCCTTAGCCGATTCCCAATCTCAACACCATCTATAGATCCATCAGTCTTGATGAGAACTACCAGACAGCCAAAAGTGAGGGCAGGGTGAACGACTTGGCCTCTCAACTCGGTCACCACGCGTTCAGATTTCCCACAACAAAGGGGGGAGCAACAACAAAATCGCACAACTACTCGCACATATCTATACAACAACAAGAAGAACAGCAACAGATTTTACTCACGCTGTCCCTCTCAAGCTGTTCCCTCTCAAGCCGACAGTACCTGTCTTTGCCAACCACCACCACTTGTCTCCATCCCTCCCCCTTGCTCTCTTCTCCTTCTTCTCTGTTCCCACGTCGCATAGCACCATGGCCGGGCCGCCAACGCTCCCCGACAAGTCCTCCTCGCGCGCCCCCTCGCCGTCTCCTCAGACCCCGTCTCCCATATCGCTGACCGACCATCACATCCAGACCCGCCTGGCGCTCGCGGCACAGGCGCAGCGCAACCTGGCCGTAGCCGCAGCCTGCGCCGCCGAAATGGCGTCCAAGAGCCCGCAGGCCTTTGGCGACAGCCGCAGGTCTGACGAGAACAAGACTCCGGTGAAGGACACTCCCACGACAGACACTCCCAAGACGACGGCCGCCATGGCCACCGCTGCCGCCACCGGCAGCGCTCAGGGTAAAGGATCGGTCCGGAACATGATCAAGATGTTTGAGAGCAGCGGCGGCAGCGGGAAGACGCCCGACCGGAAAGTCAGCGCTCTTTCTCTCCGGGGATCTGCGGGCACCGGCAGCAGCAAGGGTGGTAGCGGCGGAGCGGCGCAGAGGAACCTGCCTCTACGACAGATGTTCAACGCCACAACGCCGACTCCCGAGTCGAGGGTGGCGCTGAGCCCGCTGCCACCGTCTTCGACCGAGTCCTCTGCATCGACGGTGGTCTACATGGGTACTCCTTCACCAGCTGCACCTACTCGTCAGGGCCCTCGAGCTCTACCGGAACCACCAGCCAAGTCTCAGCCGAGCCAGCCTTTGACCTCGCCTCGACCTCACTTTGGAGTCGAGAGCCCCCAGGACACAAACACCAACTCGAGCGAATCCGGAGGCTCCCAGAACAACACCCAGAAGCAAGATTCGCCAGATCAACCTCCTGCAGCCACAGGACGCCCTCCGTTCCGAACTCGTGCACTTAAGAAGCTGCAGAGAGCCACTGCTATTCGCGTTGCAAGGAAAGTGAGCCCTACTACTATGGATAATCCAACTCCCTCACTTCCGAGAGGAAGCACAAGGGCGCCCGCCCTTTCACCCCCGGAGGAGCGCATCAACTCCCGCGAAGAATACAGCCGCATGCTGGAGTTCGGCCCGAGCCCAGCGATCAAGACCCCATCCCCTGCACCACCACCGCCAGCACGAGCTCAACGACAGACGTCCTCAAGCCAAGCCGCAGGCCGTCGTCCACAGCAACAACAGCGGTCCTCCTACTTCCCCCACCACACCGACCCTCGCCACCGCCGCCCCGTCCGCGCAGACCCCAACTCGACCGACCCCCTCGCCGCCGTCAAGGCCCGCCAGATCTCCCCCTGCACCACGACCTCGGAGTCGTACTATGCACCCCGGCTCCCGCCGCCGCAGCAGCAAAGAAGGCACCACCACGGACCCCCTGAGACCGAGATCCCGGCCCCGCCGCCGCGGCGCAGCAAGGACGACGCGGGAGGCGGCGGGGAGGACGACCTCGCGCGCCTCCGGTACCAAAAATACCTGACCAGCCGGCCCCTGGGCCGCTGCCTCGACCCGCCCAACGAGGACGAGGGAAGGACCATCGTCCGGGCCGTCACGGCGCCCGTGACCGTCGGCGGCGGCGGCGGCAGTAGCGAGCGCAGCGAGGAGGACAACCCCCTTCCTCCTCCTGCTCCTGCTCCGGCTCCTCCTCCTCCCGCTCCTACAGCATCCATGCTGTTCGCGGAGGATCCGCTCCTCGCCTCCCTCGCGCGCGCCTCGGTAGGAGCCCTGTCCTTCACCTCGCGCGTGTCGTCGTCCGCGTCGTCGTCCTCCTCCTCCGTGTACTCTACTGACTACTGCCTCCAGACGCAGCGCGCGCTCCCGTCGCCGACGCCGGCGCCCCTGCGCACGCAGGCCAGCGCCAGCGCCTTCTGGGACATGGTGCGCCTGAACCTGCAGCCCACGCCGTCGGACCTCTCCTCGCGCGCCGCCTCGGCCGCCTTCTCGCCCGCGCCGCCGGACCCCTGCCACGGCCCACAGCACCAGCAGCAGCAGCAGCAGCAGGGACAGCGGCAGCGATCCGGCACCGAGGGCAACAACGACAACAACGACAAGGACAAGGGCAAAGGCAAGCAGCGCTCCGTCGACGACCCCGCCCCCCAGCTCTACTCCTCCTCCGCCCCGCCGCACCCCTTCCAGACGACTCACCACCGCGCCTTCCACCCCCAATCTCTGTCATCTTCCTCCTCCTCCGCGCGCCGCCCGTCCGCCGCCACCACGAGCGCGACGGCGACGACGGCGACCAGCCGCGGCCGCAGCGGCACCACCGCCACCACCGCCACCACCGCAGCGTCGTCGTACTCGTCGTCGTCGTCCACCAGACACCACCACCACCACCACCCCGGCTCCCCCTTTTCTTCATCCTCCTCTGATCGTCGTCGCGGCCGCGGCTACGCGTCCGGCAACTACGTCTCCAACCCGGGACGGGCCTACAGCCGGAGCGGCAGCGGCAGCGGCGGCGGCGGCGGCGGCGGCGGCGGCAGCAGCAGGACCAGAACGGGGAAGGCGGCGCTCCTGACGCGGCAGATGTCGAGCGAGGAGAAGCTGCGCGAGGTGGACTCGTTCTTCGACGAGTCCGACGGCCCGCCCAACGGCCCGGCGCCGGGAGGGGCCAAGTGGATCTGACATTTTCTTTTCCCCCCCCTGTTGTGGGATGGGACGGGACGAGACCATCATGATTGCTGATTGATTGTAGAGAGGAAGGAGACTTTGTTTGATGACCATATTTTGTTCGCTGTTCTTATTAATATTGTTGTTATTAGTTGTGTGGTTTTGATCTGATTCGCGCGGATCGCTGGTATAAAGGGATGATTGAAGGGAGGAGGACAGTAAGAAGGGAACAATGGCTGGGATGAATGATTGCTACCGATCAATGAGGAAGAGCACGATGAAACTGTATTTTCGTCCGAAGGGTAGTTAGTACAGGACAACAATAGGAGATGCTATTCTATTCATGCAATGCTGATCAGGCCTTTCCTTTGTTGAAAGGGAGGAATAAAGCATCTTGTTTGCTTTCACTCATGCCATAAACCACATCGCGGACACAACGGAATTGAACCACACTTGATCATATAAGTCTTTATTAATCTCTCCCGCATATCTCTTCTCCCTCCTCCTTCCTTTGCCCTCTAAGGGAATACCTCACACATCATATGCACATATCCCTTTCCCCTTGACCCCCCCCCAGTCCAGGCAAAGCAACGAATCTTCCCTCCCGGACCAACCCCTGATCCTCCTCAATGACAGCTTATATCTAGCTTGTATATATTCCTCCTCTTTCTTCCACTCTCTTCAATACAGCCAAGGATCAATAAGAATAGGTGTTATCTTAATAGTACATCGGGGGGGTTATCAGTAACAAATAATGAAAGAAAATAAGGGAATCGTTCCCTGCTCGTCCCTGTAGAACTGCGATCGATCCATGCCACCAGTCAAATCAGGTCAGTTAGTCAGTCGTCTTGTCGTGGAAATATTAACACTTTCTTCCTGTGGAAAAGGCTCCCCGAAATTCGTTTCGTGAGCTGGCTGCGCGACACCAAAAGCTCCGCGTCGTTCCCCGTCGAAGCCTTCTCACAAATAGCAACCGTCCAAATATGTACGTCGAAGCTCTCACCCCCCTGCTCAACTCCTTCCCCTCCCCTTACAAACAAAAAAAGATCGCAAACAAAATCACGCGCTGAGCGGCAACTGCTTCCCCCCGCTCTCCTTGTCCCCAGCGTCAAAGCTAAACTGCCTCGACGTGGCGCTCTCGACCTTCTGCAGCCCCTGCATGCCCAGCTTGCCGAGCCCCGCGACGCCGCTGTCGTTCTCGTTGTAGACGATGCCCAGGCCGTTCGTCTCCTTCTTGGAGGCGGCGGCGGCGGCGGCGGCGTCGCCCCCGTCCTTGGCCGACGAGTCCTGGCCGCCGTCGTCGTCCTCCATCTTCTCGTCGAGGTTCATGAGCGCCGGGGGCCGGTGCCGCATCTGCCTCGCCTTGGCCAGCGAGATGGTCTTCTGCTGGTACGTCGTGGTGATGGGCTGGCTGTCGTCGCGGTCGATGGTGGCCTTCATGAGCGCCGCCATCCACAGCCGGCCCTGCTTGATGTTGGGCACGGCAAAGTAGTGGACTGTGGGCTTGGTGAAGGTGACGGCACGGGAAAGGCCAGCCCGCGGCGGGACGAGTTTGAAGATGAACATCGACTCGGACGACTTGGTCGTGTCTGCCTCGGCGGCCGTGTCGGCAGCAGTGGTCATGGCGCTGCCGGCGGGCATCGTCGGTGTAGTTGAGGCTCCAGTGAGCGTAGCATGGAGCCCGGTCAACCGCTCGTTGTCCGCCGGCAGCACACGGTGGAAGGATATGTCGATCAGACCCTTCTCCTCGGTGTCGTCTTCCGAGTAGTAGTACGCCAATCGCCTGCCCTTGAGCACAAAGAGACGCGCCTTCCAGGTGGTCATCAGGTTGGAGCTCCTCTTCTTCATCCAGCCACTGTAATCCGCGCCCTCCATCGCCTCTCGCGGGGGCAGAGCCTGCAGGCCGCGCAGGTAAGCGCTCGTTTCCTTCTTGCCCTTCCTCTTGGCGCTCTTGGCGGAGATCGTCGTCGTCGTCGTTGCGGGGCTCTTGGTATTTGGCGAGTCTAGCTCGAAGCTCTGGCCCGCAGAAGGAGTGCTGGACCCTGTCCGGGCCGGTGACTGAAGCGGCGAGTCCTTGTTCTCGGCGAGTTTCGCCCTCTCGTTGCCCGTGACCGCATCGGATATCGCCCGCAGACCCAGCCCGGCAGCCTTGAGATTCGACTTGCCCAGCCAGTCGCCGTGCATGCCTTGCCTGTTGGTGGGCGAGACCTGCGTCACCGGCGACGAGCGGACGCTATCCAGGGCGCTGCTGTCGAGTCTGGTCACTGTCGGGGAGGGGTAGTCCTTAGCTGGCGGGACTGGCCGTATCGACTCCGTCGTGGCCGTCGATGCTGTTTTCCGGTGGGCCGACGGTTGGATACCGTAGTACTTTTGGACCGCCGAGGGTGCGCTTTCTTGGATGGAGCCTACGCTTCCGAAACGAGAATGCCTGGACAGAGCGGTGGCGCTACGGACCCGTTGTTCCTCGGTGTACGAGGTGTTCCGCGAATGGGACTGCACACCGCTGTCGCGCTTCTTAAGCACGTTGCGCCGTGACCGGCCATCCACCTCGGTACCTGAAAAATACCCACGGTCCAGGTCCAGATTGGGCTCCTGGAGCGCAGGATCAGAAGCCGTCGCGGCGTCCTGGAAACCAGCAGATGACAGAGGCCGTGCGCCTCCCAGTGTCCAGTTCCGGTCAAAAGACGGTTGCTTCTTGTGTCCGCCCGTTGCTGTGGGTTCCGTCTTAGGGAACGTGCCACTGTTCATCAACTTGTTGGGGGTGGCAGAGCTGCCCACCGGGGGCGTGCCGGTAAGGCGGTACTCCGTGGAGGAATGTCTTCGCGAGTGGTGCAGGTCTCGTACGGACGCAGCGGATGGCCGCTTCTCGTGTCTCGGCCGGTTGGCACCGTCGGCCAGGGCAGTCGGTGACACAGGGCCGGCAGCCTGCGTCGGGTCCATCCGTGGCGTAACGATGGAGGACCGTCTGGTCTGCACAGAGCCAGGCCGGTCGTCGATGGGTGGGAGTTTCTGCTGGAGGGAGGTCAGGGTGTTGGTGCGGCTTCTGAGCCGTGCGTCATCCGAGCCAACGTCGCTGCCGTATGTCTGCGTCGTCCTGCGCGTGGATGGCCCCTGCCCGTTGACCTCGTCTTGCAGGGTCTTGATCTTCTGCCACGTCTTGAGCCTACGGCCCACCGAGCCCAGATCGAAGGCCTTGATAAAGACCGAGGTCTGGTCCATGCCGAGGAGCACCTCGCCGCTGATCTCCTGGTCGCGGAAGACCTCGCAGTGGTGCTTCTCGACTCCGGCTGTGAACAGGTACTCGGCTACGTCGTCGGCGGACCAAGCCTCGACCTCTGCACGGGTGTGCAGCCCCTCCTCCTCCTCGTCTGTCTCCTCGCCTTGGATGTACGAGAGTCGGTGGTCGAGGTGGGAGCTGTACTCGCTGCCGGAGTCGTTTGCGGGCGCACGGAGGCCGCCGTTGCCTGGTGATCGCAGATCGGTAATATGCTCATCGATGACGTTGAGGGTCTCGTGCAGGACGTGGCTGTCTGCAGGGTTGTTCAGGCGTCCCAGGCTGCCTATGCCGGAAGCGATGGGGGGCAGACTCTTGGTAGCAAAGCTGTTTGCGGAGGGGGGCGGTGACATGGAAGCTGCTTTGCTCAACGGCAGGTCCACCGAGCCGGCCTTAGGCTTCTCGGCAGGTACGATTGGTGTTGATACCGATCGAGGCTGCTCTGCCGCGGCAGCGACAGGGGCAGGTTTCTGCTCGGTCGTGGCTGCCCCGTGTACGCGGGAGAGGGCCTGCTCGAGTGATGAGGAGGCGCTGGCGACTCCGGAAATGCCTTTGGGAGCGGGTCGTGTATATACTGCTCAAGCAAACAAGTCATTAGCAAACAACGGTTTAGAACGAGAATCTCATACCACGAGAGAGAAACCTAGGGAATCAAATAGCAAAGCCTACCTTCGGGAAATAGACCACTGTTTCCATTGACCATGTGTTTGCCCAAGAACCAACCGTCGCCAAACTCGTCGTCCCTTTCGATCAACTCGACCCGGTCACCTTTTGCTAAACTCAATTCGTCTGAACTACGCGCTTGGAAATCATCTGGAGCAGGCGCACAGTTAGCATGACCCGAAGCACACGAGACGGCGAAGGAGCAGGTAGTCCGTTGCCACACAACTACTCGGGAGACAGTCTGGGTTCCGCGACCGACCAGCTCCTCACCAGCAGACATAGAATGGCACTCACGTATTACAAGCAGGATGTCGCCCACTTCAGGACGAGCCTGAGGCTGCTGTGGCTGTTGTGCGGCCATGATTGCGATCCAAGGCACCTACACCCTGGCGCTGTATGGGACGATGGCTTTTCGAGGATTCGAGCGAGTGGCGTCAACCGAGTCGCATCGAGGACTGGTTGTTCGATGCTGTGAGAGAGCACAATAGTCGCCGTCGATGAAGAAAGAAATGCCGGAAGTCAAAAGTCGTCGTCGGTCGCGGGCGGGGGTCGGATCAGCTGCAAAATAACCGGCAGGATCAAAGTTTCTCAACGCAAGGGAACGGAGACTGCCGCCGAGGGGGGGGGGTGGTGGACCTCGAGTCTTTGCAGGCAGGAGAAGTGAAAAAAAAAAAAAAGAGTGAGTCCCAAGACTAAAGGAGCGTGGCAGAAGCGAAAGGTGATCGTCGAGAGCTTGCTGAGAAATGAAAAAAGGCGATGCTGGAGGCTCAGAAGGTCCAGGGGAGTTGTCGTCCTAGTTCCTCATCATCCATCCATCCACATGCAAAACACGTCGTCTACCGGGATGATATGTCGAGTCGGCGGACTGGCTGGCTGTCACAGGGCAAAACCAGGGGGGCCCGCACGCGCAAGCGATGTGGCAGGTTGGCAGTTGAACCGCACACGCGCACAAGGGTTTGGATTGTCGTGGTGGACAGAGGGCGGCGAACCGGCAAGGGGGGGGTGGTTGGCGAGAGCGAGGGCGAGTGAGGATGGGTGTGTGTGTGTGTGTGTGTGTGTGTGTGTTTCGGGTTATCTTTCGCAAATCCTCTCAGCAGCAGCAGCAGCACAGTCTGGCTCGTCGGGAGGAGCAGAGGCTGGAGGGCTGGATGGGCTGGATGAATGCGTGGTGGTTGTTCCGGCGGCGGGAGTGGTCCAGTTTTTGTCTTTTTCGAGGTCCCAGTTCCTGGTCCAGAATGGTCGAACCCTTGACGAGCTGCTCTCCCCACCCGTGATTGGGTCGAGGCGCACTAACTAGCTACCTAGAGGAAAATGGACCGCGGGAGCGTGGAGACGACTGATTGGCCTGCCGCAGGTGCCGGGTACCTCGAATCAGTGCACGCTGGGTCGCGGGATTGGCCTTTTTTTGGCGTTGGGGACTGGACTTTGCCTTTCTTTGCTCTAACTACACTCACCACTGAATTGCGGCGAGGGGGCGAGAGGAGAGAAGAAATACGGACGAGCACAGGAAAAGGGGGGTCAGGCTGGTGATACGAAGGCAGTGGCAGTGTGCCTTGAGAGAAAAGCCAGCGTCCACTCCTCCTCTTCTGGGAGAGAGAACGGGGGATGGCAAATGGCAAAAGGGGGTGAAGGCCACGTCGGACAAGGCGCGGTGCAATGTGCGAGAGGAAAGGAACGAGTTGAGGAACCAGAGATGCTCCAAAGAGCTCTCGCTCGCGGACGATGATGCTTTGGAAGAACCAGGGCAGAATTGACCTTAGTCAGTTCGGCCTGCAGGTCATGATTCAAAGTGCTACCTACACTACCTACGCTACAAAGGTTCACTAGAGTAACGGGCCGTTTCACTGCCAAAGTCAGTCAGCACGAGGCCACGGCCAAGGCACAAGGCACTCGCTGCCCCCAAACAGAACAAGAAGAGGCTGGAGCTGGCACACGAGAGAGAGCGGGCCGCCTCTGACAAGGTCCTCCGAGGACTCCGTCGTTGCTTTTTGTCTCTGCTGCAAATGAGCTCATATATTACACACATGCAGGTAGATCAGAGGGCGCAAGGGTGCTGTATATCGTCATTAAAGACACCCTTGAAGATTACTGTGTCTTACCTTGTGCATGCAGGTGTGTCTGGTCTGGCAGTGCGAACAAGGAAAAAAAGCAAAGAAGATGAGGAAGCACAATGACGGCCATGCAGCCGACTGCATTGTGCATTAACTAGTGGCAGTGAAGCCCGCCGAGGCAGCTCGAACTCCAGGAATCCGGGCATCCCCACAGGGCGCTAACTGACACGTCCACCGGGTCCTTGTCAGTGCTTGTTCCCGCTGGGCAGGGATCAGTTCAGTTCCTTGACAGCTCGGAGCCGCGCCGCCATCAATGTTAGTTGGCTTCTCACATGCCGGCATGTGGTCTCAATGAGTGTGTATTATGTGTATGAAAAATAAAAGAAAATAAAAAAGGCTGGAATACAGTTTAACAATCTGCACAATCTGCACAATATCACACAAGCAAGACTATTGTATCATAAAGGAGACTGTGATATCCCAGACCTCATAGCCCGAATGCGATTGGAGGGTAGACTCTTCAGCCCCAAGAAACTCTCTCCCTGCCGATTCCCTCTCACACACCCCCCAAAAAGAAGCCTCGGCTCAGCTTCCCTCCCAAAGGTGTAAGTGGACCTAAGAAGGTAATCATGAATCCTCTCCTCGACCTCAACTCATTGCCGATATAAACTCACAGCACCTCTCTCGCATACCTACGCCATCGCATCTCAGACTCACTACCATACCTATACAGAAAAGTACCTCTCAGCGTTCTCTTTCATAACCTCTCTCCCCCATCTCCCCCATCAAATAAAAGCAACCATGGCCTCCTCATCATCATCATCACCGCAGCCGCTCCCCGCCTACGCCAAGTACACCCACTTCCTCACCACCTCCCCGGCCCCCTTCGTCGCGCACGTCGAGATCAACCGGCCGCGCAAGCTCAACTCCTTCTACGAGGCCATGTGGCTCGAGCTCTCCCGCTTGTTCGCCCAGCTCTCGCACGACCCCGACGTCCGCGCCGTCGTCCTCTCGGGCGCCGGCGACCGCGCCTTCACGACGGGGCTCGACGTCCAGGCCGCGAGCCAGGGGCCCCTCGTCGCGGCCCGATCGCCAGACGGCCCGGGGGACCCGGCGCGCGCGGCGCTCGCCCTGCGCCGGCACATCGACGAGTTCCAGTCGTGCGTCTCGGCCGTCGAGCGCTGCGACAAGCCCGTCGTGGCCGCCGTGCACGGCGTCGCCTGGGGCCTGGCCATCGACATCGCCTGCTGCGCCGACGTGCGCCTCGCCGCCGCCGACGCCTCCTTCTCCGTCAAGGAGGTCGACATCGGGCTCGCCGCCGACATCGGCACGCTGAGCCGCCTGCCCAAGTGCGTCGGGTCCGCCTCCTGGGTCAAGGACGTGTGCCTGTCGGCGCGCGTGTTCGACGCCCGCGAGGCGCTGGCCCAGGGCTTCGTGAGCCGCGTGCTCGAGTCCAAGGCCGCGTGCGTCGCCGCGGCCGTGCAGACGGCCAGCCTGCTGGCCAGCAAGAGCCCCGTCGCCGTGCAGGGCACCAAGGAGATCCTGAACCATGCGCGGGACCACACGGTCGCTGAGAGTGAGTTTTTTCTTTTCTTTTTTATCTGTCTCTATTCCTTTTACCCAATTTGATGAATGCACCCTGTCCGATAGGGACCAAGCCAAGTCATCTCTTCCGTGACGAGATAGATGCTAACTATTCTTGCCCAGGCTTGCGGTACACCATGGTGTGGAACGGGGCCGCCCTGCAGTCCAAAGACGTGCCCGAGGCGCTCATGTCCGGCCTGAAGAAGACGAAGCCTAGATTTGAGAAGCTGTGATGACCATGTATTCAATAAAAGCTAAATAGAGTATCCCTATGGCAGCGGTGCCCAACGCTCATGTGCTCTGACTGGACGCTACAACGGGTCGATGCTGTAAGAGCACCCAACACTCCCTGTAATGATCAACACTCCCTGTAATGATTCTAGAAACACAACAGACATCAGGGCATAATCCCGAGCGTTCTCTTAATATCCTCAAGCCGACGTTTGACAAACTGTAAAGGCTTCCAGACCTGGTCATCTAGAAGCCAGTCCGGGACCTGATCCGCCATGTCATCCATGGTTGCCATCTTCTCTGCGATCGAATCCATGAGGCCGTGTATGTCATCCAGGAGGTCGTCTGCCATCAAATCTATAGCCTCACCAAGTTCCTCGTTTAGTGCCTGCTCTGATGCCTCATCTAGTGCCTCATCTGGCGCCTCGTTTGGTACCTCGTCTGGCGCTTGCGCTTGGCTGATGGTCTTCACTTCCCACAACGTAGGCGGCCCGGGAGACGGGCCGGGCCCAGGTGCACCAGAAATCGGAACTGACCCCTACTCCGACTCTGATTCCTCCGCAGTCGGTGCCTGTGTCTCCTTGAGTCGCTAAGAGTGGTGACACAGATACGTTAGCAAAGGACGGGGGAGGGGGGAGGGGGGCCGACAACTCTTGCTGGGAGAGAGAAAGAGAGAAAGAGCAGACGCGAAACGTAGGAAAGATTTTCGCACCTGTTCGAGCAGCTGCTTGAGCCTGGGCAGCGCGCTCTCCTTGACGAACAAGGTGTTGTCGTCCAGGTCCTCGATGATAAAAGCATGGTTCTCCTCGGCGTCGATCTTGACGATGATGGCCTTGATGGGCGGGTCGACCTGGATCAGGGTGCCTGGTGCTCATGCCCGCGTGTGAGTGGACGTCTCTTATCTGCACACATACATGGACAGGCACACACGCCGGAGTAGACCTACCTCTAACAGCCGTGACCATGATGGGCAGGTGTGGATGTTTGAGACGCTGAGTAAGAGTGGTGGATAAGGTTGATATTGAGTGAGAATGGATCGAGTCGATCGATGGTGATGATGACGATGTGCGAGGGGGCTGGAGGAGGCCCGCCAGGTTGCCTTTTTTCTAGACTCTCAGGCGTCCCAGTCAGATTGGCAGCTGCTGAAATGCCGTTCAAACCACCTCAACTTGCTCAAGCGTCACATAAAGTACCTAGCCAACTTCTCTTCGAGAGAGACCCATGGATGTGGGATGTAGTTATGAGAAGGAGTGAGTGAGTTGCTGTTTGGGGTGCCAGGAAAGTCCGATCAATGGGGCTGCAGCTCGGTACCCTAGGGCCTACCTAACTAACTAGGCACAGCAGCTTATTAGTGCCCACCCGCCCACTCGGAGCCTCTGCTAGTGCGATTCACAGCTGGAACTCCACTAGCAGCTACACATTGATGGAGCAGCTCGCGCCATCTCATCACACGCCTTCGTGCTCTTGTGAAGATCATGTCATGAGTTACCAAATTTAGTAAAATAGGTAGATCCAGGTAAATGGAAAATTCAAAGAAAATATTAACGGTCAAGTACAGAGGCATCCATGCCACCAGAAGAGCAAAGAGTACCAAAACCTGCCTCCGTCCAAGCCAGACCAGGCAAGAAAAACAAACAATGCTGAGGCCATGAATATCTCATCAGCGCCGGCCGTGTCCGTGGTATCAATAAATCCGCAAGCATGCATCAGATCAAAGCTCGTCCATCATCCAAAGAACCAAACAACCTCGCCTCTTCCAACCCTCGACATCAACTACCTCACCTCTCTCTCTCCCTCCCCACCACCGCAACAGCAGGCGGCTCCGTGATAACCTCCGCCGGCGCCGTCCCGCTACCCCCATCACCTTCCGCCTCCGTCCCCCTCCCCGCTCCCCCGGTCCCCGTCTCACCGCCCCTCCGCCCGGAAGACCCAGCATCATACCCAGGCGGCGCCCCCCTCTCCGCAGCAACCGCCCTCCGAATCCCACTCCCCGTGCCCGTCCCCGTCCCCGTCCCCGAGAGATCCCTCAACTCCGTACCCTGCCCTTCCCCTTCCTCCCCATCCTTGTCCCCGTCGTACGGCGGCGGCGCCTCCCCGAGCTCATTGAGCCCTTCCTCCTGCCGTCTCGTCACGCCGGCGCGCGTCTGCCTCGCGGCCCGCTGCCGCGCCGCAGGCCCTCCTCCGCCTCCGCCCCACGCGTCCCCGATGATCACGCGCCCGCCCGCCGCGCGCCCGACGTACGTCGCCCCCATCCCAGACTCCGGGTCGCCGCGCTGCAGCCGCCGGCGGCGGTGGCAGGTGTAGAACAGGGCCAGGGAGCCGATGACGAGGATGGCGGCTAGGGGGATGACGATGTAGACGATCGGGGACTGCTGGGAGGGGTCCATGGGGTTTGGTTCGGACATCTTTTGTCTTGGTTTTTTGTTTATTTGGGGGGGGGCTTGGTTTGATATATGTGTGTTGTCTGTTCTGTGATGTCCCGTGTTTGTGTTATGTTGTGTTGTGATGTAGCGGTGGCGTTAATAAGGTTGGACGTAAGATTTTTGTTTGTGATGCCGAGTGAGTGATGATGTTGCTCGGCAAGGTGTGTTTGATGTGAGCGAGCAGGAGAGGGTGCCAAGTTTCTCAAGTTGTAAAGAAGGTGTACGCCAGAAGGATATGAGCCGGCTTGGTGATACGATATCTCAGTCCACTCGAGGTTGGACGAGAGGGACATGCGTGATTCAAATAAGGGCCGCGTCCGTCTCAGGTCCAGCAGCTCCGATGTATTCCAAACTCGGGCCGTATGGTCTCTGGAAGCCTCGCCCGTAAGATGATGTTCACTCTCAGTGCCGTAAACCCGGAGTCTCCGAAGTGGGCATCGCCCTTCCTTCACTCTTTATCTAGTTGTCGTTGACAGGGCTCGGTTCGTCGTGGGGAACCAAGCCTCGAGGGGTCCATCACAGAATAACGAGAAATGGCGATTTATCTCAAATACTTCTCTCCCTTTCCTCAATCTCTCCCGTCGTATACCCTTTCAGCGACAAAGGTGAGAAAGTAAAAAAAAAGGTGCCTTACGTCTTCGCAGGGTGTGTGTGCAAAGCCACCCCGTGCGCTCCGGGGGGGGGGGGGATTGAGAGGGGAGAGTTGGTCCGTTCGCTTTTACCAAAAACTCGAGACAAGTCATATGCCAAGTGGAACGAACGGGCTCGATAACCTCATCAGCGGAGGCGCAGGCCGCCAGAGTCAGACATTACTAGGTACCCGGTCATAGATGGGCGATGGGGATTGAAGGTGTCAAGCTGCGTTGCGTGGCAAAGCGGGACATCGGAACGCAAGTTGTGCCGCCTCGAAGAGAAGAACGGGGATGCAGAATCCGGAGAACCCTTGGCAGGTGATCATGCCGGCAGGGTCCTAGGGACCTTTTTTGGCTTTGATCAATCATCATCCCACTCGCAAGAAGTGACAACGACACGACACACACCCCGCCTTGACAACGGGTCCCAGCTAACTAGGACCAGGGCCCTACGTAATCGACACACCCTGTTAGTTAGGCCTGGGGGCGGAGCAAACACCACACCACCCTCACCACGCTACCGGAAAGCTTGGCTTTCCACTCTACGCTTTCCACCCTACAAGCAGTCGTCTAAGACCCAAGACTGACTGCCGAGAAACAGCCTAGCACGAAAAGAAGATTTGGAATACACGGATGACTCGAATATCAGACGATATTGTGAAGCAAGCGACCTAAACTCTCAGATGGTCACTAGACAACTGTTCACTTAGTTGAGGTAGTCAGCCAGGGCGGACGAAGCCATCGTCCCGGTCCCTCACGGAGCGTATCCATCCAGTCGAGTCGAGTCGAGTCGAGCGTACTCCGGCCGGCCCGTCGATACGCTCTTCTCACTCTAAACGACAACAGCACAGCCATCCCGTGCTTCGCCGTGCTTCTGGAAAACCCACCATCATCGCTCGAGAACCATTCCAAAACAGCAATGGAATGCTTGTCTTGTACATCGCAAAACGCCAGATCCATTTGACTAATCCCTGCTGCTGTCCATTCATGTACATAAGTTGCTTCCAACATCGTACAATCTGCCTGACCGTCTACAATACATGCCTCCCTCCTTGAGAGAGCAATGCCCAGGCGCAAAATGGCGAAAAAAAAGAACAAGGTGCAAAAGACGCCTGCTGATGATGTGCCGCCCACCCCCTTTATCCTCCATACAATGATATAGAGAGATGCATTTTCTGTGCCATCGAGAAAAAGAAAAAAAAGAAAAGAAAAACCAACCGCCCAGAGATATACCGTCCGGCTTCCCGCCTCCTCCGTGTCCTCCTCCAAAAGAAATCTCTTCCTTGACGATGCAATGAATCGCAAAAAGCAGCAGCAGTAGATATATGCCGGAATTGCTGTTTGGACAAATAAAGCTGACAAGGACCCCCTTTTTTGTATTATACTCTTCTTCATCATTGTAATTGCTGTGCTCGCAGGGGAAACAAAAACAACTCCTTTTTTTCCTTTCACTTCTTGTTGGCCGACTTGTTGGCCTCCAGAGCATTCGCTAGGGCCTGAGCCGACTCCATCGTCTTGACCTGCAGCATCCACGTCTCCAAGCCGTCGCCCTTGTCGTTCGAAGTCGTCAGCTTGACATACTTGCCGCCCGTCTCCGGCTTGTACGTAAAGTTGGGCAGCACCGCCTTGTTGAGAGCCACATGTCCTCTGGGTTCCGCCCGCAGCAAAAGTCGCACCGCACCCGTCGTCTTGTGCTTGAGCAGCCGGAGGGGGCCGACGCCCATCACGTTCCAAGGACTCTTCTTGCCGTCCTTGCCCGAGTCGCCCTCCTCGTCATCGTCCTTGGACGTCTTGAGCCTCAGGGCCTTGGCCCGCACCTCATGGACGACGGCCTCGTCCTCCTCGCCCGGCCCGCCTTCGGTTAAACTGATTTGAGCCTGTCTCTCCTCATCTCCGTCAGCGGTCTGTCCCTCTCGTTGTGCAGCAGCTTGCTCCTGCGTGGCTCCCGGCTCGGGTGTCCCCGTCGCTGGCGTTGTGGCCAGGCTGGAAGCCCCACCAAGAGTAAAAGGGGTGTCTAAAGCAACAAACGGCACGTTAAATCAATGCACTTGCGCGGCGGGGTTGCGTTCGACCAAAACGGCGCGGATACTTACTAGTACCTGTCGACGTCCCTCCCATGGGGGGTCCAAAGTTGAAGCCGAGACCAGAGCTCGCGGGTTGCTGTTGCTGGCCAAACAGTCCTCCAGGCTGTGCGTTGGCACTACCACCACCGCCACCAAAGTTGAAGATGGGCGCCGGTGCCGCGCTGGTCGATGCGCCACCGAATACGTTGCTCGTCGGGGTCGACGTGCCAGAGGCCTGCTGAGAGCCCCCAAATGTGAAGGTGGCCGCCGGGGTCGACGTTCCTGCACCAGCGCCACTAGCACCAAACATGAAGGGGGTCGTACCGCTGGTCTCACCAGCAGGTTGCGTCGAGCCAAAGGTAAACGATGATGACTGGCCTTCATTCGAGCCACCAGTCGCGAAGGGGTTGTTGAACGACTGGCCGGCGCTTCCTGCACCTCCAGCAGTGAAAGTGAACGAGGATCCCGCGCTGCCACCGCCATTAGCAGCTGCACCAAATTGGGGCGTGGTCGCCGGCTTGGAAGCCTCCTGTCCAAAGGTGAAGGAAGCCGCTGGGGCTGGCGAAGGCGCCGCCGCGTTCTGAGAGGTGGCACCAAAGTTGAAGATGCCGCCAGAGGGCGCGGGCGTGCTGCCAAACAAGCTGGGCTGGCTCTTGGCAGGCTCAGTCTGCGCTGCCGGTTCTGGTGCCGCCGACTTAGGCTCCTGCGATGCGGGTGGGGCAGGAGTCGTCGAGGCGCCAAAAATGGAAGTTTGTTCGGCAGCAGGAGTCTTCTGGCCCTCTGAAGGGGCGGCAGAGGGGGTTGCGGACGGGAAACCGAAGGCGGGGGCGGAGGCGGGTTGGCTCGTAGTCGCGCCGAAAGCCGGCATCTTAGCAGGCTCGCTGGTGGCCGGAGCGGGGGTGGTAGAGCCAAAGACGCTACCGTTAGGCTTGGGAGTGCTTCCAAACAGGTTGTTAGCCTGGGGTGCCGCGGGTGTTGTACTAGCCTCCGTGGCAAGCTTGCCGAACATGTTGGTTGACGGCGGTTGAGGAGTGGCAGGTTTGGCAGCGGCCGTGCTGTTCACGTTCCCAAAGAGAGACTTCTGTTGCGTGGTTGGCTCAGGTACGGCAGACTCCTTGGGCGCTTCCTCGGCAGGCTTGGGCTCCGTGCTCTTAGGTTGGCCGAATAGCACAGCGGGGGGCTTGCTAACGGAGTTGCCAAACAAAGAGGTGGTGCTTGAACTCGTGTTTGCGGGGAATGCACTGGTGCTGGTGTTGGTGCCGAATATGGACTTGGGGGCAGCAGGCTTGGGTGCTTCCTCGGCCTGGGGCTCTGACGATTTGGTCACGGCGGGTGTAGCACCAAAGATGAAGCCAGTCGCCGGAGTGGTCGACTCCTTGGGCTTGGAGACCGAGGCACCACCGAACAAGCTCTGGGGCTGAGATGAAGGAGCAGCGAACTTGAGCGGGGTGTCGGGGTTCCAAGTCTTGTTTGTGGCGGCGGGCTCGGCATCCTTCTCGGGAGGCGCAACGGCCCCAGACTCGGACGGCGCGGCACTACCGAAGCGGGGAGTCTCGGAGCCGGCAGGGAACACGCGGATAGGTTGGCCATCGCTATCCTTGTTGACTCGGTCAAACAGGCTACGGCCGGTCTGTGCCTCACTAGCCTCCGAAGAGACACTTGACTCTCCATTCGTAGATGCGGGCTGTTTGGGCGCGAAAATCGAGCCAGCGCCGGCCTGCGAAGATGGCTGGGGTGTAGCAGCGCTTCCGCTAGCGGCGACGCTGGGCTCGTCGCTCTGGCTGGCCTCCTGGGCTTCCGACTCGTCTTCGTCAGACTCGTCGGTGTCTTCTCCATCGGCATCACCGCCAACACCGCTACCCTTGGCAGAGCTAGCATCAGAAAGGTAGCTAAAGATGTTGCTAGAGGCGCCAGCCTGTCCGGTCGGCGGCTTGAGTCCGCTGTCAAATACCGAACGTGCGAGGCTACTAGCGGCAGGCTTTGCCGCTTGAGCAAAAGGGGTTGCCTTGGGCTTCAGCGCGGAGGGGGTATCGTTTGACTTGGCGGGTTCGGGTTCTTTGCGCGGGGTATTGGCAACCCTCTCGAGGAAAGTTCTCGAGGCCGACTTTGGGGGCGCCGGCGCAGCTCGGGGAGCGGGTCCGGGTTCATCGTCAAACTTGTCCGCCTTACGCTTGTTCGAGCTCTTGTTAAGAGCCGGAGTAGTCGTCTCGGCGAGCGGCTCCCTCTCCGCAGCCCGCGGTCGCTTGCTCTGCGTTGTTGCCGAGGAGTCGAGCAGCGATGACTTGGGTTGCAACTCGTCCTGTGCCTTTCTCTTTCCGGCGCGGAGGATTCCAGCTGTACCGTTTACCTTGGCAGTCGAACGAGGAGGTGCAACCTCCTCCTCTTGCGCCTCATCTTCGCCATTGGGCACATTGTTATCAGTCTTCCATTTATCGAAGACTTCCTTGGACACCTTGACCGACTTGAACTCGTAGAGGCCGTATCGCAGCATGATGAGGCTCCTGCTCTTCTCATACTCCTTTGCAAAGTTCAAGATGTTCAGTTTCCAATCCTTCTTGACGAAGATCTCGTCCGCAGCGTATTTCAGCCGACGCAGGTCAAGGATGCAGAAGAACTGATTCCTCTGGTCATCGGTGAATTCGGGAGGGCACAGGTGAGCCAGATACTCATTCGCATAGATGGAGCCGGTGCGGTTCGCATCCTTGGGCACCTGTTTGGAGATGGCCTCGCCGGTGAGCTTGGGGTCGGGCTCGGGGATCTTCATCTGGAAGAGATCATGGCTCGATGTTATCTTGGACATGCCCCTGCCGGTGAGCTCGGCGGTCGAGGCTCGGAAGGACCGGCCGGGTGTGGCCGGAGGGAACGATTCTTTCATGGTATTGGGGGGCACTCGAGGGGTGAAGGTGAAGCTGGGGCCGTCTCTCGTCGAGGCCCGAAACATGGTGCGCGGAGTCGACACCGAGTTGAAGTTGGTCACCTTGGGCGTGCTCGACGCCAGTTTGTTAGATGGGCCGGAAGGGCGCTCAAAGATCTTCCTCTGGGCCAAGAGCGAGGGAGAGGCGCGCTTAACGGGACTCTCGGGGGACGCGACGCTCGGCACTGCGAAACCCACGCGCGCTTTGGAGGGCGTTGTCGTGCCAGTCGAGTTTGCCGATCGAGAGTGGTCTTTCTCGGTCGGGTTTGTCGATGATGGAGACTCGGTCGTGGAACGGCCGCCGAGGAGGCTGCTGAGCCAGGACTTTTGACGCTTTTGGGGCGGATCCATGGTTGCGAGGTTGTGGGCAGTGAAGGGGGAAACCGTCGCGTCAAAGCGTGGCGCGCGAAAGGGGCAGGAAAGTACGATGGGGTTTCTATAGGTGATTCATAGAAGGCGCGTGCGGTGAATTTTCGAGGTGGTTCGGATTGAAGCTTCCCGCCGGTGATGGCCAGCGCGGAGGGTAAAAAAAAAGGTCGTGATGGGGCGAAACGGTGCACCACGGAAATGCGCAGAACGGCTGCCCCAACTCTCGTCGACGCGTCACCGTGGCCGGAGGATGGGATGATAAAGCAAGGTGCTCAGACAAGAACAAAGACAGTATTAAAAGGGCATAGAGGATGGGAGAGAGATGAAAGAGAAGCAAGGAGACGTCTGTCTGGCTTTGGGGGGGGGTTCGCGCAACAAAGGGCTGCCCCGATGTATGGTCGCTTTTCAGAGGGAGCAAGGAAATCCTTCGACACAAAATTTTGGGCGGGTGTTTTGGTGTGGTCGAGCTGGTCAGGTCTGGCTGGCAGCTGATGGTCCCCTGTGAAAAAAAGGTTAGTGCGAGCCGCCCACTGTCCTGTGGTGGAAAATTGGTCGAGCTCTCTGGGCCACACTTCTTCCCCTGAACCTGAACCCTGCTTTGTCCCTGGCTGAACGCAGCAAGCTGGAGTGTGCACGAGCCAAGCCCAATCGAGTCGATGATCTTTCTTTTTCTCTGGGGTGGCGCTTATTAGGCCTGGGTGCCTAACCACAGAGCCTCAGGCACCACCGAGAACGACTCCAGTGCTTGGCTCGACCGAAAACGGACATAGGCCAAAATGTGTGTGTGATGACATAAGAGGCCGTCTCTAGTTTCTGTCGGCGTCTCTTGCAGACGAGTCGAGGACACCCAAACAAAAGGCACAGACACTTCAGGGAAATCAATGTTAGCCTCAACTTGCTAGACTGCGGGTTTGCATGTGCGATCAAGTACCATGTATTGGAGGATGCATGGCAGCTTGCAGCTTCGACTCTTTGTCGTGGAGGTCGACGACTCGACAAAAACACAGGCGACAAGGGGATGGCATATCAGAGCAACGACTTGTAGGGTGGAGGAGTGGAACTTGGCAAGGCTAGGACAAAGAACGAGGGAGACACAGATATAGAAATCAGGGGAGTGCATCATCATCAGTCCCCGAAATGATTATTGACAACCCCCATTCACATGGCCGGCCGATACCTCGTCTCTTCACTGCAGTCCTATTGATGTAGTACACTGATACTTGACTCACGTGGCAGCCCGTCGTTTGCATGTCAAAATCCGAGATTCTGCAGCACGTCACCAGGGACCATCTCTGTGATTCGTCAATTGCCATGGTTGATTGCAGGCCATATCATGCCGGCATGTGGTCTAAATGCGTAGGATACAGCACAAGAAATACAAAAGCACCTCCCATTCACCCCAACCATACATGTGCAAGCCTCCACCGCTCTCCTCCCTCACAGCTTCGCCTTGGTCTGGGCCTTCTTCAGGATGGGGTCGAGCTTCGTCGCCTTCATGACATCGCCCTTGATCTTGAGCTTGCCCGACATGAATAGCCGCTGGGCATTGGCCTTGCCGGTAACGAGGTTGCCAAAGTCGCTGTCCGACAGTGATAGCGTGACTATCGACAGCGATGCGAGGGTCAGCCGCCGGGGACAATCAAGTGGTAGTTGCAGCGCCAAGAGACCACTCACCATTGGGCTTGCCCTCGATGCCCTTGGAAACCTTGCCCGAGTTCTTCAGGTCGATCGTCCAGCTCTCCGTCTCGCCGCCACCGTTCTTAAGGGTGAAGGCAAAGACGGCGTTGCCCTGCTTGATCGCATCCTTGCGGTCGGCGTCGCTAGCGTTGAGCGCCTCGTTGATGGCGTCAAAGGCGGCCGAGGAGGGGAACTTGTCTGTTGCCAAGGAAGGACAGCTGTCAGCTTGGGTGGGCCGGGCTCTATTTTGCAGTGGTCAGGACGTACCGCTCGTCAGAGACATGATTGCTGTGTGGATGTGGATGTGTGAGGTGGTGAGTTTGTGTGGGAAAGGCGCAGGCGACCAGACAATGATACTCTTTGGATTGACGTAGTAGGTAGCCTATATAGAAAGATGGGACAGAGGGGAGAAGAAGAGACGTCGGATTTGTGGTGTCCGGGGTATTTAAGATTACTTATCCTGCGGGAGGTTTTGGTTTGGTCGACTGGAAGGATGGCAGGGAAAGCCGGGATGCGATGACGCCCTGTCAGCGAGCTGCGCGCATGTGAACCTCGGCGCTTTTGCCATGCCTCAGTGTGCTGCTTCATGTGCTGCCCGCGACCTCAGCGCTGGCCGGCCCCACCTCTCCACTTCCCACAGCGCGCTTGTCCCTTTGTAGGCTCGCTTTTTGCCAGAGGGGAAGCCTGGCAGCTTTTGCACTGCAAGATTTCCCCACAGTCCATTCATTTGCCAGTCGATGCAAGTTGGCCCAGACAGGGCAAGATTGCGAATGCGGAGGTTGTGTTCTGTGGTTTGCGGTTCTGCATGTCCTCGTGACACTTGGCTTGTGAAGATCAGCCTGGAGCAGCTCTCACATGTGATTTGTGGGCACTCTTGTCAGATCAAACACCCGGAGCATCGGCGAGTCAAGCCTTGCATGCAGCTATCAATCTGGATCAATGATGTACAAGTACTTGTACTGTGCCATAGCAAGGCTCGACGAGGGCTGGATGCTGGAATACCCTGGAATGAAACAAGGGTATTTCATGAATTACAATTCTCCATAATCAAAAGACCATCACGATATCAGCATGTTCATCTGAAAGCTGCATGAAGTATCATTGAAAAAAGCAATCTGCTGCTGTCAGACTCTGCAGTTCCCCGTATTCAAGACTCGGGTTGAAAGCACCTGCAAGCGCTCCACTTTTTTACTACGCGGGAACATTGAATTTTTGGGAGAGCATCCAAACCATCGCAAACCGGCTCATCAGTATCATCAAACTCCTTTCCAGCAGCACAAACACCCACCACACCTGTCGCAACCACGAAACAGGGAGTCAGCTGTCTCCATATCTCGCTCTTCCATCCATCACATCTTCGACTAACCCTTTCCTCTTGGCAATCCATATACCAAACACACACCCACAATGCCATCCATAACAACAATCCACGAATCCCTACCCTGTAAGAGTCCCTCCCAGTCCCAATCGCAATCTCCCCTCTCTCTCTCTCTCCCTCCCTCTCTATCTCTCACCCTCTTTCTCCCTCTTATACAAAAAGGCTAACCCTTACCCCCCTAAAACAGACATAGACCCAGCCCCGACCGCCTCGGAACGCGCCGCCGCAGAGGCCCTCATAGCAGCAGAGCGCGCCGCCGTCCCAGACGACCCCTACCACGCGCTCCTCCCGCCGCCGCACCGCCCGGCCTTCACGCCCGCCCTGGCCGCCGAGCTCGCCCGCGTGGGCGCCCACCCGCGCCAGCCCCTGCGCGCGATAGACCTCTCGCGCTACGAGGCCCCCGAGCTGCCCGACGTGGCCACAGACTCCTCCTCCACCGCAAACTGCCCCTCGGCGGAGGACCTGCGCTCCGCGCTCGAGCGCGCCTACGCCTCGCGCGCCTACCTCGCCCAGCGCAGGGCGCACCTCGCCCTGCTCGACTCGCACGGCAAGAACAGCTGGCTCGTCGGCAACTGGCAGCTCGAGGCCGAGCTCGCGGGCCTCGAGGCCGAGCTGGCCGCCGCCCGCCGCGACGTCGACCTCGTCACCCTGCGCCGCCAAAAGGCCCAGGCCGACGTCGCCGGCGAGGTCGCCACCCTCGAGGAGAACTGGCGCCGGGGCGTCGGTCGCGTGCTCGAGACCGAGCTTGCTGCCGAGGAGCTGCGGCAGAAGGTCCTCGAGGCCAGGCGGCTGCAGGGATGATGAGCGCAGAAGGTACGAGATGTATACATGTGGTCTGGCATTGATTCGGGAAGGGCCTGGATCCATGATCAGCCTGGAGACAGTTGGCCTAGAAGCAGAGAGTCTAGCCATCCGTGTGCTGTAGCAAGGAGTGGGGACTCTCGAGTGTTTTCAAAACAAAACAGGGCGTAAGGACTACGGTAGTTCTAGGTCGCATTGGACTGGCGTTGACGGCGTTGAATCAACATGTATCAAGAACAAGCGTGAGATTACTCTAAAGAATTTATAAACGAACGATGCTTCTGCAGCATTGTATTGCTACTACTTTCCACTCCCAGGTATCAAATAACAACAAGTTAACAATGGTCCAAGTCATGTCCGTATCAGCGAAAGGGAGAGCCTCGAAAAAAGGGCCCTTAAACGCCGGGAAGCCGGATATATCAAAGTGAAAAGTCGAACTCCTTGATTGTCTTTTGCTTCCTGCAATTGCCCGAGTCGAAGATCCTACTGGGCAATGTTGCCGTGTCCAAGGAAATCGAGAAAGGCTATGCGGTATGTAGGGGATCCATCTCCTCCACACCTGCCTTGACTCCCTCATACCTGGTCCGCCTCATGATGCCCTCGACGGGACCAAGCAGTCTCTGAAAGGCAGATTTGCCAAGAGTGGCTACCTTGACCTCGGTGCGGGATACTACGCTCGCGGCACGGGGGGCATCGTTCAACAGCGCGAGCTCGCCAAAGAAGTCGCCCTTCCCATAACGCTTGACGCTCGTGTCCGTGCCCTCCTTGAACGCATCTGCCTCTCCGCTCTCCAGGAGGTAGAAGGAGTGGCCTGGGTCGCCCTCCTTGATGATCGTAGTGCCCGGAGGGAATTTCTGCGTCTCCAACGCATCGGCAATCTTGGACCTCTCGTAAGGGGTAAGGGTCGACAGAAGAGGCACTTCCTCCAAGAAGGTCTCATACATGCGCCGGCGAGCAAAAGTCGACTCCATCAGGATGCGGCGGAAGGTCAGCCGATCCAAGGCCCAAAGGGTACAATTCGGCTCGGCAGACACGACGGTCGCTGCGCGGGGCGCATTGTACATCAAGGCAAGCTCGCCGAAGGATCCACCAGCCTCAATGGTGCCGACCTTCTGGCCCATGCCTTCCGGGCCTGGCTGAAGTGCGCCACTGCTACTGACATAGACGTCAAAACTACCCTTCTCTACAACATAGAAGAAGTCTCCGGCGTCTCCTTGAGAAATAACCTGCGAGAGATTGTCAGATTTCTGGGGCACTTCACTGAAATAGTCTCACTTTCACTGACCTTGATATCTTTGGCGGGAATGGGCTTTTCTACCAGGGCACCCAGAATCTGGGCACTCTGCTCTTCATCCAAATGGCTGAACAAAAAGTTACCCTCGATAGCCTTCTTGAGCCGCTCCAGTTGCTCAGGATTCTTCGGGTGCACAGGAGGCTTCCAATTATCATATGAATCGGCGTTCGGCTTCAAAGACTCGGCTGAGACGGACGTTCGGCGACCAAAGTTGTACTGGGCGGGATATTCACCAGGAGGTGGGTTCTGGGGTGCGTTTGCGGCTTGGTCAGAGGCTGCATCTCCCCCAAACGGCCCACGAGGGCTTGGCTGGAGGGCAAAGTTTGGTGTTGTGGGCGAGGTAATTGTGTCATTCTCCTCCTCTTCAATCACTTGCTGCATGCCACCAGCCGCGTTGGATCTCGAGCCGGAGCCAAATGGATTCGAGTTGGCCCCGAAAGGACTCGTGAATGGCACGCCCGACATGTTTCCTTGGATCGACACGGACTCAAGGGTGTATTGAAAGGAGCCTTGGTGGGCTGGAGGTAGATGCGTCAGTCGCAGTGTGATCGAGTGGTATCCCAATCGTCTATCGTTGAGGTACACAGAAAGTCGTCAGGAGTCTAACAAACAGGACATTAGCTTCTGGGACCGGGAAACTACGCGGAGCTTCAAAGTAATGCTATGCTCCCCATGTATTCCGCGTTGAGGTCGAGAGGAGAGACATACCAATCGACTGGGCGCCGAATGCAGACAACGTAGAGGGAATAAAAGTCCTGGAATCTGTGTTAGAAACAATCGGATCATATATATGATGGATGTGTCGCCCAAGTAAGTCGAGCGCGCGACACGAACGATCCTGCTTAACAAGAGATATGATAGTCCCTCAACGAGTAGGCCACTCCATTCATACCAAAATCTCGTTGAAACAGATATCTCAACGCCTGGCAGAGCTCGTGATGGAATTGGGAATTCGCAGATACCGAAGTGTTCGTGATTGTGCTCGTGGGAGATTGCTTACAAGGTTTTGATGCCGCTTCTGGTTCTGCAGAAGAGGACACTGAGGATAGATGACGAGGAGAGTGGTCAAAGGCGGGAATGCGTCACAAAATGAAGCGAGGTATCGAGAGGGGGGAATCGGGCGAGATGCAACGGTCGAAAGCGGGGACAGCTCTGATCTCCAGCTGGATCAGCAAGGCGGTCCTCAGATCGGCAAGCTATGCTATCCGGTCGGCGTGGAGGCGAGTGGGTTGTATTGTGCAAGGCGCGGCGGGATTGTGAGGGTCGACGACCGTACAATATGATGCCGTCGAAGCAGCTTCGATAGGAGAGATCACGAAGAGAAAGGAGGGGAGAGAAGGGAAAGGTTGGGAACAGACCAGAGATGCAATGACAAAAAAGTAAAGCAAGCCAGGTCGGGCAAGTGTCTGTGCTTTTGGGGGTCTTGAAGGAGGTGCGGTGGGTGTGGGAAGCTCTACGTATTTCTTTGAGAGATGCGCAGTGTGAAAGAGTCAAGAGGAACTGACTGGGGAGGTGTGAGGAGAGAGAGATAGTGAGGGCGAGCAGCAAAGGTGGGGGGTATCGGGATGATGGTGGTGGCAGTGGTAGTGGCAGTTGAGACCGAGATCCAGTTTTTGGTACATGTGCTTTCCACAGCGAGTGGGTGGCTGGCTGAGGTACCTCCCTCGACTAAACTAGGTACCTGGACTAAGTCCCTAAAATGCACCCTCCAAGAGGAGAAGGGCAGACCTCACTCACGTCACCCTGCCGATATGGTCTCGCTTTCTTCCCTCCTCCAACATGGAATCCCTTGAGTCTAGGCGGTGGAAACAAGCCAAAGAGAGGTCAGATCTACACTGTTGGGCCACTTGGGCTCGTTGCGAGCCGGCTGTCGAAGCTTGCTCGACCTAGCCTTCAGCACGCTGCATGAGGGCTTGTGCTGAGAGAGACAAACGCAGGAGATCAACTCGATGGAGCTGCCCCCCCAGCCTGCGGCAGCCACTCAGAGCCGTCGATCGGGCAGCGAACCCTTCTAGAAGGCGCACGGATCAGCGAGTGGCCCGCTATGACATCCCTGCTTGGCACGCCCAGGCCAGCCCTCCCAGTTCCCCATCGGTGTGCCCCTCTCGGCCTCCTCGCGCTTCTGTCCTTCCATCCACCAGAGCTTCTGAGCTTCTGAAAGCTTCTGTTGCAGCTGGTGGGAGAGCGGCCCTGAAAATGGGGCGCTATGCCGCCAGTTTCAGAACGTATTGGGCCGCCTGCATTTCATCTCCCTGGCCTTCATCGTATTGATCCCGTCATCACCTCGCATGAAACTGCTGATATGCTTGCATGTTCTTTGAATAAATTGCCCCTCGTGGTGACCGAGACTGAGAAATGACGGCTTTCATCTTTCCGGATCAATAGCCTTGACTGTGCAGCAGGCTAGCTGCAAAAGCAACTAACCATACTCGGGTCGTCTTTGTTGATCACTTTCTGCGATGTTGGCCCATGTGATGGATGGCTAAATTATTCAGCGCCGTTTGGTAGAGCCCAATCTCTTGCTTTTAACATGCTCTTTGCTCGATAACAATTCTGAAGGAAAAGCGTCGGTGGGACTATTTGATACGCCCAGTCGAGTCATGTTGCAGTGCAATAAACAGAGCATATTTGACTTTATACTTTTGAGTCAGTCTGGGTTTGTACTGGCTCCAATGTCTCAACCGCAATCTTGAAGACATTCCGGCAGCCTTCCCTAGCAACAGTTGCGCTGCAATCTCCCTGTTACGCAGGCAAGGAGGCCATGGAAGGCAGCCATTGATCCTTACGGCGTAGGTATCTGCATTGCGGGCACACTCGGTCCATCCGAGCAACATAGGTAGCTAACCTAGATGCCATAGTTCTTTGTTGCTTGAGAATTCGAGACTGTCTGGCAGCTTCAAAGACCAGCCGGTCCTGTCTAGCATTTTCACATCTTATGCCCCTCAATAGACAGTCATGAGATCTTTGGACCAAAGTACATGTAGTACACCTTTTGCAAGAACTGGACATGGAATCTGCTTATTGTCCACTGTGCTGTACTCTACATGAAATAAATTGCCCAGCTTGGCTGCCTGGACGCGATGATCTCCCTGGTTTCAAAGAGAGGGCACGTGCAGAGTCCCGTGATCCGACACCCCACCCTCTCTGCAGCACGTAACCTGATACAGCGCGTCGTATTCAGCAACCGCCGCTAAAAGTAGCACTGGGGCTGTGGCTCCGAGGGCGCCACGCTCGCTGACGACCCGTCCTTGAACCCCTGGGAGAAACGTGCAAGGCCAACTTCGATCCCACGAAGCGATTCTGTCCAAACCACCACCATTCCGGGCCGCCGCACAATTCTACGAGCCAGCAACCGGATCACCATCATGGCGCGTGGGACCGACTCCCCTCCCGAGGACGGCCGTGCCGACTCGATCGCCTCCAACGAGCTCGACGCCGTCAAGACCTCCGAGAAGAAGAAGAGCAAGAGACCTGCGAGTATGTGTGGCCCTCGCCCAGCGGCGCATCGCCGTTTATCGCCTCGACCGCGATAGAGCAGTCTTTCCCAGGTCCCGAGCCGACAGCTGACGATGTTTCTTTTGCGCAGACACCGCGTTTCGACAGCAGCGATTGAAAGCATGGCAGTAGGTCCAGTTCTGTCTCGTCGCCGGAATGCCCGGATGAGAATCGCCAGAGTCGCTAATGCTTCGCAGACCTATTCTCACCCCAAAGACAGTGCTCCCGCTGTTCTTTGCGATCGGAATAATATTCGCGCCCATCGGCGGCGTCCTGCTCTACACGAGCGCTCAAGTATGTGCCAACCTCTGGGTGTGGGCGGTTCCCATCCGGCTTCCGTGCTGACCTGCCCGCTCTCAACCAGGTCCAAATGATCTCGATGGACTACACGAAGTGCTACACAGATGCCCCCATCGACAAGTTTGACGTCATGCCCGGCGACAACGTTAACAGCCAGTGGAAGACCAATGGCAATCGAGGCAACCCGCCTCAGTGGAAGCGGATCAATCGGACAGTTTCATACGACGGCGTGGAAGTCGACGGCGGCGTCTGGGAATGCCAACTTCAGTTCCACATCCCCGAGGACATGGGCCCGCCTGTTCTGTTCTACTACCACCTGACCAACTTCTACCAGAATCACCGTCGATACGTGAGCAGCTTCTTTGATAAGCAGCTCAAGGGCGATGTGGTCACCACGGCCGATGTCCAGGGCTCTAACTGCGACCCTCTTCAGACCAACTCTACAGGATTCCCATACTATCCGTGTGGCCTCATCGCCAACTCGCTCTTCAATGACACCTTTGGCAACCCTGTGCTCCTGACCACGGAGTCCGCTGACAACCAGACCTACGAGATGAAAAACACGGGCATCGCTTGGTCGTCCGACAAGGACCTGTACGGCAAGTTCCCGAGCTCCATGAACATGGCAGAAGTCTCCCCTCCTCCGAACTGGCACGTTCGGTACCCCCATGGCTACAATGCGAACAACCCGCCTCCAAACCTGGCGGAGGACGAGCCTTTCATGGTCTGGATGAGGACCGCCGGTCTGCCTACATTCAGCAAGCTTGCCCTGCGCAACGACACAGTCAAGATGGTCAGCGGCGACTATCTGGTCAGCATCATGAATAGTGAGTCCACCATGCCTTGTTCTTGTTTCCTCCCTTTCCTAACGCTTTGGAACAGACTTCAAGGTCGACATGTTCAAGGGCACCAAGTCCATCATCATCACCACACGCACCGTTATGGGAGGCAGGAATCCCTTCTTGGGCATTGCCTACATCGTAGTCGGTGGTGTCTGCATCCTCCTTGGAGCTATCTTCACTGTCACGCACATGATCAAGCCAAGGAAATTGGGCGACCACACTTACCTCTCGTGGAACAACGCTCCCGCGCCAAAGCAGTCTGCCGGCCCCAGCACCGGTATGACGACGGGCCGTGATATCGGAGCATAGGGTGCTTCGCCAAGAAGGCAAAGACAGGACTTGCAGGCCACTCCACGATCCAGGACTTCTTCTTATCCAGAGAATCGTCCGGGTTTGAGTCTAGCGGGTGCGTCGAGTGCAACAGGACTCGAATCGCCCAGCAAACCACCCCCTCCAGTCGCCGCCTTCGCCCGACGAGATTCAAGCCAAGCTTCGCTCACACCTTTCCCGTCCTTAGGGCCGGTTTGACGAGCGCCCTGGCTTTCGTGCTTTCCTGTATCAGTATTATCTTCCAGCGGAACGTCCTTGTTGTCTCTACTGTCGGATGCCTCAATTCTGCATTTACGTCAGCGTCGTCGGGTGGGGGAGGGGGAAGGGGAAAAAAGAGAAACGAAGCAGACACTGCACCACCACCACTACCAAATGAAATGAGATGAAACGAAAGAGAATTGCGAGTTGCGCTCAGTCCCCTCCCCAATGTTTTGCGTTGTCAAGAATTTCCCTGCCCTTTGTCATTTATTCCATCGTTCTCTTACACGTCTCGGAGTTGGGAAACCAGGGTTGCTTTTCTCATTTGGTCCTTTTCGAGTCTAGGTAACTCGTGCGTCAGTATAGAAATGGAAATCTGCTATGAACATTTGTCTTATTCACAAGGCGTATTCCTGGGCTTCCAACTGGCAATTGCCAAACAGTGCATGTACAACCACTTCACCATGGCCAATGTTACGCAGGCCATCCTCATTGGCCACGGCTCGTCAGCCATCCTGGGGAGGGGGTGGCCTGAAGGCATCTCCGACAAGGCTGTCCAACATACACTTCTGTGCACTCGATCAAGTCTCCGAATTCTCCCTCACTCTCTCATCTACATCTACAGTTCAGGCTAGCGTCAATCATGTACTTCAAACATATCTAGGTAGCCGCCGTGATCTGCATGCGCTCCTGTTATCTTCGCATGTTCTGCGAACGTGCTGTTCATCCCATCCCAACGAACATCCGATCGCTTTGACCGACATCCCGCCCGCAATGCGGACCTTTACACAGCGCTTCAAAAGACAGTCGACATCGGCGAGCCACTCGCCGCCGCAGCAGCAGCAGCAGCCGGCGTTTCCCTCCGGGATCAAGCTCCTCCACAATCCCGCGGAGGGCGAGAACGCGAAAGTCGACATCGTCTTCGTGCACGGCCTCACCGGCGACCGCGAGCGCACTTGGACCGCCAGGGGCGCCGAGGCCCCCTGGCCGCAGACCCTCCTCCCCCCGGCGCTGCTCCCGACGGCCGCCCGCGTCCTCACTTTCGGCTATGACGCCTACGTGGCCGACATCCGCGGCATGGTCTCGGAGAACCGGGTCGGCAACCACGGTTCTAAACTTCTGACCTCCTTGGCATCGTACCGCGAAGATGATTGCACAAACGAGCGGCCTGTAATCTTCGTCTGCCACAGTCTGGGGGGGTTGGTCTGCCAGGACGCTCTGGTGCAGGCTCGGGAGCGGTCTGAGGCGCATCTCCGACGCGTCCTGCTCTGCACTTTTGGCATAGCGCTCCTGGGCACGCCGAACCAGGGATCCGGGCTTGCCCGGTGGGCCGAGCTCCTGGCGCGCAAGTTGGGCGTCCTGAAGCAGACCAACAGCCAGATCGTGGGCGTCCTGCGCCGAGACTCGGAGGTGCTGGCACGGATACAGGGGAGCTTCCAGTCCATGCTGAAGGCCCGGCGGGAAGAGCTTGGTCTGCGCGATATCGAAATCGTATGCTTCTACGAGGAGCTCCCGCTGCCGGGAGTGGGACTGGTCGTCCTGCCGCAGTCAGCCAGCCTGCCAGGTCACATCGCGGTTGGGATACATGCCAAACACAAGGACATTGCGAGATTTGGCAATGGCGATGATCCGGGTTTTGTGGCGGTTGCCCAGGAGTTGCGTCGGTGGGTGAGAGAGATTGATCTCACCGAGAGAGATGTGTTGATGATACCCAACGGTCATAACAACAGTAGCCAGGGTGGAGCCGACAAGCAGTTGGCTTCTCGTGATTCCTGTGTGCCTTGTAAGTTGTTCATCCTAACTTGTATCTGAAGCAGACTAACAAAATAAACAGTCCTCGTGCCCTTCACCAGCAATCCAGACTTTGTTGGTCGTCAGGGAATTCTCGAACAACTGAGAGACAAGCTCGGCTACCTAGCACCTCGAACGAAGAATACATGGCAGCCGAAAGCAGCTCTGTTTGGTCTGGGTGGCATTGGGTATGTTCTAATAAATATCTGCAAAATCTTCGGGAGAGCTTATGCGTTGGTAGCAAAACCCAGATCGCACTCACCTTCTTATACTGGGTTCGAGAGACGTATCCAGACGTCTCGATCTTTTGGGTTCACGCCAGCACGGCCGAGCGGTTCAAGCAAGCCTACGTCTCCATCGCAGAGGCCTGTCATACTCCTGGATGCGGCGATCCCACAGGCGACATGCCATCATTGGTCAAGAGATGGCTCCAAGGAAAGGATAGTGGTCCCTGGATCATGGTCATTGATAATGCAGACGACGAGAATGTGTTCTCTCCCAATTCAGCAGAGCCGGGAAATCAAGGAAACCTAATGGCGCAGTACATACCTGAATGTGCCCATGGAGCTATCCTCGTTACGACCAGAAACAAGCAAGTGGGTTCCAGACTGGTCAAGGGCAAGTCGCTGATCGAGGTCGGCCCCATGGACGAAATCGAATCCAACGAGCTCCTGCGAGCTTTCAGTGAACGAGCAGGAGATCAAGATTCGCTAACTGAGTACTCGACGTTATCAGCTCAACTTGAACACCTGCCGCTCGCTCTGGTTCAAGCGGCGGCGTTCATGCAGGAGAAGAGCATATCGGTGACCCAATACCTCGACCTCCTGAAAAAAAGTGATCAGCACCTTCTGGAATTGTTGAGCGAAGAGTTTGATACGGTCGGTCGGGAACTCGGAACCCCGCGCGCTGTCGCGCAGACGTTCATACTGTCGTTCGAGCAGATCCGGAAGAATGACCACTATGCTAGCGATATCCTCTCTGTAATGAGCCTCCTCGACCGTCAGGTCATACCATGGGCGTTTCTTGACGCCTTCGATCGGAGGCACAGCCCGTGTAAAGAAGCGCATGTGAGCGACCTATGTCTCACTAAGGCCCTCGGTATTCTGAAGGCGTTCTCTTTGATCAGTGACGACAGTGGCGGCGATGGCAGGCAGACTTTCACCATGCACAGGCTCGTCCAGCTGGCGACGCGCAAGTGGCTCACTCGGAGCCAGCAGTCGCTACGAAACTTCGAGGAGCGCGCCATTGTCGCCATGGCAGAGATCTATTCTTTCAACAAGTACGACCTATCTGGAACGTGCCGTGCGTACCTTCCACATGCTCTAGCGGTTCTAGAGCTGGTGGGCAGCGAAAGGTTGAATGAGACGAAGGCGAGGGTAGATATACTGGTTGAAATTTCTTGGCTCTTTTTGTCCCATGGACAAGTCGAGAGAGCGGAATATTACACTCTTAAAGCACAGAGTATCTCCCACGCGCTACCAGACTCGGAGCTTTTGAATGTTCACAACACTCTAGCCAAAGTGCTAGATTCAAGAGGCAGGCGGAAAGAAGCTACTCTGGCACAAGAGAAGGTTTGCGAGTTCTACAAGAAGTCATACGGAGAACAACACGACTTAACCCTGATTCAACTAGCATTCTTAGCATTATACTATCACAAGTCAGGGTCACACCAAATGTCTCGGGAACTTGCAAAAAGTTGCCAAAGTGCAGCAGCAAGATCCCTCGAAGAGAAACATCCCACAACACTCGATCTCATGGATCTTCTGGCGAACATATATATGAAACAAGGACTACGCGATGATGCGGTGGCCCTCTCATCGCGAATGTTAGAGCTGAGGAAGGAGGTTCTTGGCGAGCAAGACGCCCAGACGCTCTTCAGCATGGGCCAACTTGTCGACATGCATATAGAGAACCGCAAATTGGGCGAGGCCCTCGATCTGGGAGAAAAGCTGGTGCGACTTTGCCCGCAAGTCTTTGGAGAAGGGCATGTCGTGACAATGCAGTCCAGGCGCCGGTTAGGGACTATTCTCTTACAGCTAGGACGCCAGCAAGAGGCCGCGTCTCTGTTGAAGGAGGTGATGACCTCGAGCATAGAGATGATGGGTCCAGAACATCCAGAAACTCTCTCCTGCGCCCATATCCTCGGCCTAGCACTGTGTGACCTTGGTCGCATTAAAGAGGCCGAGTTACTCATTTTTCGAGCGCTGCAGGGCATAAAGAAGTACGGGGGTCAGGAACATCCAAACACACTGTTATTAAAGTGGAACCTCGCCATCATCCTGCAGGACCAGGGGCGGCGCTTCGAGGCCATTACCATGATGAGGGACTGTGTCGATGGCCGTAAAAGAGTGCTTGGTCGAGCTCATCCTGATACACGAAGGTCAATATTTGCATTGGCCGACTGGGAAATGGCATGGAGGCGGATTCATGTCTATCAGCGGTATAGGGTAAAGTACAATGACCACCCTGGTATTAGAGATTTCTCTTTTGCCAGTGTGCCTCAGGTGGATGTGCCACAGCCATCCGACATCAGAGGGGGCAGGTCCTCCAAGGACAACCCCAGGGCAAATTTAGTATATGGAGCTATCTCCCTCTTAGAGGGTTTATAACGACGGTGTGAATCTACAGTGTCGGATTGATTGATTAATTGGGACCTCACATGCAAGTCATGTAAGTGGCTTCTGTTAGACCATTGATTGTATGATGTTCTAGCAGAACCTCAGGTACCTAGATACAAAGTAGTCATTATCTGTCTGGTTCATGCCACACAAGAAATTCCTGCGTACCTGAGGACTTTAAACAGAGTTGAAAAGAAGTAGGTTTGGTTGCAATGTACTCCATACTGTATGCTTCTTGTTTGACTCCAACACCGAGGGTTTTTTTTAACCCAACCAGTAGTTTGAGCGTAGAGCACTGGCAATAGCTTTCTTCAACATGTGAAGCGATCAAAAATACTACATGGTCAGGAAGGACTGAACTGGATACGGAATGGGAAAAAAAACTCGGGATGGAAATGACATCAGCAAGCCATATTTCATCTGAATGAACTGGCACCTCGCCTTCTGATGACAGAAGAAAGGGGGAAGCAACCTGAATACGTGAGTAAATCCACGGGCTTCATATTAACCAGCCTTTCGCTCCCTCTGGGCTCCTCGGCAGTATCCTCAACGGCATATCACACACACAGGCACAGGCACACGCAGACAAGTCTCGACGTATTAAATCAATATATTTACCATAGCCCGCCCAGAAACACAAAACACAATCCGCAGCAGGCGGCGAGATATCCTTGGGCATAAAAATAAAGATGGGACAAAACGACCGAGAAACCAGTGTACATCTTCTTCTTCTTCCTCCCTCATCCCCATCTCCCTCTCTCTGCGATCCGTCCAGGATCCAGAGGGGGTGTCTGGGTTGGGTATAAGGAAAAGAACCATAAAAAAACATGAAAAAAAAGGCAAGGCTTTGTTAGGATATCCCCCTTCAGCCACCCATGTCTCGCAACGCTAGCTCGACACGCGTCGCCCATCCTGTATATACATGTATTACACCAAATTCATCGCAACACCAAAGGACTCATCATTTGACTACCACCACCCCTCCCTTTACAGGAGAAGGGTACCAGCAAGAGTCATGAGCGCGGCGAAGCCGGCGACGTAGAAGGGGCGCTTGTCCAGGGGGCCCATGAGGGCACCGCCGGCGTTCTTCTTGCCGCCGCTGGAGCCGGACGGGGTGGCGGAGCCGGAGCCGGGCTGGGCATCGCCGGTGGACTGGCTGTCGCCGCCGTCCTGGGAGCCGGAGCCCTTCAGGCCGGGGCCCTTGCCGGCGCCGTCCTTGAAGAACTTCTGGGCGCCAGCGGGCATGGCGGGCAGCAGAGTGGTGTCGACGTCCCAGTTGGCGTCCTTGGTGGGGCAGGCGACGGAGTGGGTGGTCGAGGCGGCGCCGCCGGCACCGGTCGGGGCGGGGTACTTGCTGTTGGCCTTGGCGAAGTTGGCGAACTCGGGCAGCTCCTTGACCTTGCCGTCGTTGATCTCGACGATACCGAAGTTGTTGTCACCCATGCTGTACTCGAACATCAGACCGCCAGAGTAGACACTGGTCATCTCGGAGCTCATGAGGGCCTGGACCTCGTTAAAGTCACGGCCGTTGGTGATGCAGCCATACTCGGACAGGAAGATGGGCAGACCGTAGTCGCTGAAGGTCTTGACCTTCTGGTCCCAGCCGGAGGTCTTGAAGTTGGTGTTGCACCAGGAGTAGTCGTTCTGTATGTGGTGTATAGCATTAGCAAGGGAAGGTCTCCCGACAAGCCGTAGAGGAAGCGGAGCAACTCACAAAGGCAAAGAAGTCGGAGCGCTCGTCATCGGTACCGCAGTTCATGTACTGGGCGAGCTGCAGGCGGTTCTGCGAGACATCGGCAGCCGAGTAGCCGACGGGAATGGGCCGGATGCCGCGGACCTTGATGTACTGGCGCATGTCGCGGGTGGTGGCCTTGACGTACTTGGCCGAGATGGTCGAGTTGGGCTGCTCGTTGATGACCTCGTTTCCGGAGAAGAAGGCGAGGGTGTTGGGGTACTTGGAGAACTCGTCGATGGTGGCAAAGACGCTCTGGAGGTACTTGTCGTTGTACGAGGGCTTGGGGTTGTAGCGGTTGATCGAGTAGAGCGGGTTGTTGGCGTCGAGGATGACGTAGATGTTGGCTGCGGCGAGGGCGTCCATGCAGGCCTTGTGGTCGGCCGAGTTGTCGGTGATGTAGACACGGATGGTGTTGATGCCAAGCTTCTTGAACTCGGCAATGTCGCGGTTGCAGACGGTGGTGTCGGCGAGGGGGTCGACAGGGTTGGAGGCACCGCCGGGCTGGTAGTCCATACCGCGGATGTAGAAGCGCTCCTTGCCGGCCCAGAAAGCTGTTTGAACGGGTCAGTCACGGAGGAGGGAGGCGGATTGAGCCAGATGGATGTTCCATACCGTTTCCAGAGGCAGTGACAGTCGGGATAGTGTCAGCGCGCTTGGGCATCTCGTTCTCCGTGGGCGTGGGGCCGGCAGAGACGATCGAGGCGGCCGCAAGGGCCGATGCGAGAGCGAAGGACTTCATGATGGGCGAGTCTTGTCGAAAAGCACGCGTGCGATTTCAGTTATTGGTTTCTTCCTGTTTTCCTTTTGCCAGTAGAGATAGCCGCGTCGAAATGGTGGTAGAAGTGGTAGCAGTGGCAAGTGAAATTGCGCGGTGGAATGAGCGTGTCGAAGAGTGGTGCAGAATTACAAAAGGAGCTATTCAGTTCATGGAAAAAAAAAGGATCCCCAACGGTAGCGAGTGCGCTGGAGGAGGTGAAGAAAGCTCGAAGCAAGATTGGAGGAAGCGTGAGCAAAAAAGAAAGGGTTGTGAGGGAGAGTGAGGAAGGAGAATTGGCTTTGAAAGGGATCAGGCACAGTGGTTTAAAGACAGGAGGAGGAGGAGGACCGAGAAAAGGGAGGGAGGGAATTCAGGCACCAGATTGGCTGGGGTGGGCGGAGGTTGAAATCAAGGCAGGAGGAAGCATACAACTAAGGTACCGCCGAAGCATAACTCAGTGCGTCTTGCCAGCCCGTCACTGGCCTGCCGCCCACTGCTATTTGCTGCGCCCACCACTGTCTGGTGCGCTGTGCTGTACTGTACCACCGCTGCACCATCCACTGATTCCCATCTCTGCCCCTAACGGGCAAGCATATAAGTGGCCCCCCTCCCCACCAGAGCCACCACTGTGGGGAGGCTAAGACGCCGCATGTAACGCGTAGTGGGACCGCGTATCATTTTGAATGTCCCCTTTTTACTGCTTCCTGCCGCCGCCAGCCAATCTGGCCAATCTCCCCATGCTCGTATTTGTCGCTCTAGCCTCGTACCTACGGAGTATGTGTGTGCCTACAAACAGTGCTTTGACAGAGGGAGTGAAATGGACAGCTCTCACGTGTGGTGGGATGTAGTTACGATGGATGGTGTGATGACACGAGACGCTATTCTATTCCAGAGCTCCTCAACACTCTCTCCCTCCTCCCTCTCCTCTCCTCAACCAACCCAGCCATAAATAAGATCAAGATGTTTTTAGAATACAGGATAATTCAACTGTCCAAGCCAATGCAAGCACTCAAAGTCAAGTAGTGGCCGCCACCATTCCGGGCCTGCCACTGGCCGCCCCCGCCGTCCGTCCGCCTCAAGCTGGAATCCAGGAACCAAGACTCTGTAGCGAGGAACAAGACTTTTTTCGCCGGCGGATCCCCCTTTTGTTCAACCCCTGGCCCTGGCTATTACAAGTACAATACTGGGGAAAAAAGGTACTAGGGAATACCCATGTCTCCCATACATTCCTCCGCCGTCTGCCAAGTATCGATCTGAAAGGACTGGCGTGGCGGAATTGGCAGTCGGGAACACGCAACGCGTGCCAATCACCATTCAAATTCTCCGTATTCTTGCGTCGTTTGGGGGTTTGCACTGCCACCTTCACGGCTTCCACCTCCTCCACTCCCCTGGCCTGGTCCCTGGCCCCCATCTCGGATCGTCAAAAGGCGAGCGCTAGGCAGATGCGTAGATACCCGCCGCCCAGCATCCCGACCAGCCAGCCAGCAGAGAGACCCCGTACATCGACAATAAGCTTCATTGTTTCTTGTCCTGGTCTGGCCCTCAAGGTCCTCTTCTCCCCATTTTATCGGCGGGTTTGGCTCGTGTTTCAGAAGAGGAAAGCTGCGGTTTCAAAACACGAGCCTCTACGTAGTTTGGTAGTTACGTTCTAGGCTCCGATGAATGCCATTGTTCTTGTCCACTCAATCCCAATCGCCTGGGCACTCTTTCGGTAGCGATGGCTAAAGGTAAGGGAAAGGAAAACCGGTTTTGTTCTCGAAAGGGCGACGTCGTTGTTGCAGCCCCCAGCCCTGCCCAGTCCCAGCGAATATCGAGCGTCATGCAGTGGCCATTGCATCTTGCTGCCAACCACACAAATCCTGCTGCACGTCCGGCCGGGTATGTACTTGTAATGTACGTACTCCGTACGTCAACGCCAAGTCCATCAACCAACCCCGATTTACACAAAAGCAACAGCCAACAACCAACAGGCCAACAAAGTCCATTTGCAATAATAACCGTGATTCGGTCCATTCTTACCCATCTGTCCTTACAAGCAAGCAGTGTTGGCCTCCACATGTATTTTGTACAAGTCATGTTTGTTTCAGGTTTCCTCACCAGCCTCAACCCCCTGCCTATCAAAGGCTATCCACCCATCGACAACAGATCTGCTCTTTTTTCTTCTTCTTCTGTTCCCCCACACGGTGGGATTTCGATGTGCACGATGGCGCTCTCGGGCTCTTGGCCTAATGAATATCCACCCACAATTTCTCAGATCAACTGTCACCGCAATCGGTCACGTCCGTGATAAACAGTCTTCTAAAGCGGGTACCAATCCCATTCTCTCCGACCGATGCCCTTTGGTTTGGTCCCCTTGGTCCCTTGCTCGCACTGGTGCCGGCAGAATGTGTCGGACACGGGTCCAGCCCGATGACGTAGCGAGCCAAGACGGCCGCCGTGGACGAGGTCAAAGCTCTTCTTCAACAGACTGTTGCTCCAGAGAAAGAGTCCAGAGACTGACTGACAAGACTCCAAATTCAACCAAGAACTCATTTTGCGTGACAGAAAACAGAAACAAGCAAGATGGACACACTGTAAATGTAAAAACGACTGATGTTTGTGTGTGTGTGTGTGTATGTGTGTGTGTTGCCTCTCCACGCTACAGATGCATCGAAAAAGACAAACCAACTCTACCGTCCCTCACGAATGCTCCCCCTTCTCTCCCACCGATCTGTCCCTTTTTGAACCCTTTGCAATCCCGATGCCACCCCCAAACGAAAAGAAAGACCACGGGAATGCTGTCCATAACCTCCCCATCATCCCTCTCTATAAAGGTATATACACCGAACGAAACAACAAAGAACCACCACACTCTCTCCATCCCTCTCCATCCTTCTCCCCTGATCCGCCAAAGCCAACCTTCAGACAGCCTGCACGTAGCTAGCAGGCACGCTCTTGGTCATCCCGCCCTTCTCCACCTCGGCCCACCCGTCCCCGGGGTCCTCCTTGATGAGCACGAACCGCTCCCCCTCGGCCATGCTGTGCTCCGAGTCGCTCTGCGCCGCGTAGTCGTACAGCGCCTCGACGTACCGCAGCTTCTTGGCGCCCCGGCGCGGCGCCACCGCGGGGCCCTTCTTCTTGGCCGCTCCCGCTCCCGGTCCGCCGACGGACGACGACCCGCTGTTGTTCGAGTACGTCGACGCCGGCCTCAGCGACCCGCCCGTCGTCTGCGCCGCGAGCGGGACCGGCGCCGGCCCGACCTCGACGTAGCTGGCCGGCACGAGGCCCTCCTTGTAGCCCGCGCGCACCTTGATCCATCCGCTCCCGGCTGTCGTAAGTGTTAGCAAAAGATAAGTGGTCTCAGGAAAATACAGAATAAAAAAAAAGCATGAATTCCAGGGGAGGGAGGGGTGGGTGAGTGATGCTGGGAAAAAAAAAAAGAACGTACTGTCCGGCTCGAGGATGACGATATCCCGCCCGTCCGGCACCGAGAGCTCCCCTTCGCCGTTGGCCTCAAAGGCATACAGCATCTTGCCCTTCTGCTCGCCGGCGGCGGCAGCAGACCCTCCGGACCCGTTGGGCGCGCTGCCGGGCAGCTCGCTGATGTAGGCCGCCGGCGGCGGCGCCATGATGCGCTTCCTCGCCCCCGCCGCGGCCGCGGGCGGCGTCGGCCGCGGGCCGCCGCTGGGCTCCTCGGGCAGGGTCTCCTCCGAGGGGGACAAGGGCCCGGAGATGGACCGGTGCGCGCTCGCCGCGTAGCCCGAGCTCAGCGAGTTCATCGTGTTGGAGCGGCTCAGCGCCGGCAGCTCCGCGACCTGGGGCGTCGAGCCGCCCGAGCCGCCGCCGGCGGGCCTGCCGCCGACCAGCGCGTTGGCGGCCTCCTGGCGCTCCTGCTTGAGCTTCTTGCGCTCCTCCTTGGTCTGCTCGCCGGGGCACTCGGCGGGGACCTTCATCTCGCACTTGCTGTGGCAGGTGTACCCGCAGTCGCGGCAGTCGAAGCCCTTGGCCGAGAGGCCCCAGATGCGCTCGCCGCAGAGGTCGCAGTTGGTCGGGATCTTGAACGTCTGCGACTTGAAGTTGTGGCTCTTGGCGCCCAGCGTGACGTCGCCGACGGCCGAGGTGATGGTCGACGTCTCCACCTCGGCCGTGATGCGCCTCCGGTCCAGCGAGTGCAGCTCCTCCTGCATGGCGAACAGCTGGCCCACCACCAGGACCTCGTCCTTCTTCTCCGTGCCGTCGCGCACCCTCTGCTTCAGCCGCTTGACGTTGTCCACCTCGCGCCTCTTCTTGTCCACCTCCCGCCTCAGGTCGCCCAGCTGGCCCTTGGACTTGTTGAGCACGTTGCGCAGGTAGACCTTGGCCGGGTCGTCGACGACCATGGTGTCGTCGTCGTGCCACACGGGGCTGGGCTCGAACACCTTGTCCGGGGGCTCCTGGAAGCCGCCGATGTTGTGCCGCATGTACATCATGGAGTCGAGGTGCGGAGCGTTCCGGCCGATCTCCTGCGTCTGGGTGGAGATCATGCCCGTGCTCGACGTCAGCATGCCCTTCTCCAGCTCCGAGGCCAGCGTCCACAGGCCGTTCAGCTTGAGCGTCCGGAACTCGGACAGGTCCTGGAGGCTGTCCATGACCTCGGGGATGTAGTCGTGGTAGTACTTCTCCTTCTGCTTGTTGGTGATGTTGATGGCGATGATGTAGGTGTTTTTGACGTTGTTCATCTCGTGGATCTGCTGCTGGTAGTTGCTCTGGGCCTTGGCCTGGCTGAAGCCCGACTCGGTCTTCTTGCGCTTGCTCTCCACCTCCTGGCAGGCCGTGTCGTACTTTGCCTTTTGCTTGCGGAGCTCGGCGTACGAGTTGTCCCTTTCCTTCTCCAGCTTGTCGGCGTATTCGGCATGGCGCTTCCGGAGCTCTTCGAATCTCTGCGACAGCGTCTGGAGAGGGATGGCCACTCGGTTGACGAGGTCGTTGCCGTAGCGGTCGACCTCGTCGGCGCGGGCCTCGAGGGTGGAGAGTTGCGTAGCCCAGGTGGTCAGCGAGGCACTATGGCGAAGAGCCCTGTCAGTACAAATCGCTCAGACCGATGCACACCAGCAGCAAGGAAAGCCCACCTCTCCAGAGAGCCCGGGGTCATGGTAGGCGTGTCGCCCACGCTCAGGCTGGCCTGCTTCCGCGTCTTCTTCTCGTAGTACTTTTTGGCGAGGGTCCTGAGCTTGGCGCTGTACTCCTTCTCGATCGCACTCCGCTCGCGGTAGAACTGCTGTATTTCGTCGAGCCAGGCGATGCCATTGGCGACCCAGGCGTTGGCGGGCTTGAAGCCGTCCTAATGAGAGTTGGTCAGACAAAACAAGGCTGCTGGATATCAAGGAAGGGCAGCGCGCGCGCGGAGGGTGCACGCGGGGTCGGTCCAGCCACCACCAACCTTCAGTTCGGCGCCGAAGGTCGGCACCCCGTCCACCTCGGCCATCTCTAGTCCTTGAGCGGCAGACGATTGGGCGAAATCATGCAAAGTAAGAGAGGGTCAGGCCCAGCAAACGGAGACACGATGTAGTGGGAGGCTGGCGTGAGTTTATTTGAGCGAGCGAGGAGTCGCATGCCTTCGTCGTGTGTACGGCACGGAGTTGGTTGCGAAGCATCAATGGTGAGAGGAGCAAGTAAGTAGGTACAGCACCACATATAACTATTCAACTAATGTTAGCCTGAGCTGGGGATCCGTCGGGCTGGGCGCGCGGCCCCTTTGGCGGCCCTCATGCGCCAGCAGTGTTACCTTGGCCTCCACCAGGGGTAACTACAAGTACAGAATTACCTAGGTAGTTAACCCCTCCAATAATCCAGCGTGTGGCTAACAAGTGCGTGCTCCGGTCGTCTACAGGTACTTGTACGTGTTCTACCAAGCACAGCCCCGTGATGGCCGAAGAATGCCTCAGCGGTGGGTAGGAGTACGTAAGATCATCGGCAGCGAAAGTGCCTACATATCAATGGATTGCTCCCTGATCGATTGTCCTCCTTTGACCTAGGGATGCAGTCTCTCTTGACGGCGGCAGGCTGTGCTGGTGGCCGGCCTGCGCTATCGATTTCGAGAAGTTGGGGAAAGTGGCTGCGTGGGCGGGGAACTACCCGAGACCTTCGTCCTGTCAGCCGGGGATACTTAGATTGAGTTGAGCTATCATTGTTCTAGGCTCCTATCATCAGTTCAGAGACGTAGCTAGACCAGGGCTCCAAAAGCCTGATGTTTTGTTGTTTCGTAGGAGCCTTCCGTTGTCCAGTGTCATCTGATGTACTTGTAACTGCCTCAGTACTAACAGCACCTGCTTGTACTTTGTACTGTTTGTCTCTAGATCGACCCCGCCAAAATTTTGAACCCCACTAGCTCAGTCCAGCCAGTCTAGCAACCTGCCTGCCTGAGAAGCTTGTGCCTTGCCTGCTTGCCTCGCCATCACTTGACAGCTTCCTCAGAAGTCAGTCAACAAAGACCACCCTTTTCCCGTCTTCTTTCTGAACTTCCGAGGAGAGGCCTGCCTTTGCCAACCAGCCACTCCACAGGCCCTTCTTTCTCAAGTTGGCGATCTCTCTCGCGCGTCTCATCCCCAAGGATCCTGCCTGTGGCTGCCCGCACCCACTGTGATCGCCGATCTTGATCCGCAACGGACGTAGCCAAAGCTGCAAACGCCATCTTCTTTCCTTGCGTCAATTGACCGACTGCTCTCTCGTCAATTATCCCTCACAATCCCTTCACGATGTCTGACCTCGCCAGCCGCATCACGAAGCCCGATGCCGCACCGGCTGCCGCCGACTCTGAGGCCAAGCCTGCGCAGACCGCTCCTGCTGCCGACAACCCTGCAGACGGCGCTGGCCCCGGCCTTGTCGAGTCTAACTACGATGTCGAGGTGAAGCTGAGCGACCTCCAGAACGATGCCCAGAACCCCCTCTACTCAGTCAGCGCCTTTGAGGATCTCGGCCTGTAAGTTGGCATACCTCTGCAATCCGCCAGAAAAGCATCACCTGTGCCAGCAGGCTAACACTCTCGCAGCAAGCAGCAAATCATCGAGGGTCTTCTCGCTCTCAACTTCAAGAAGCCCTCCAAGATCCAGGAGCGTGCTCTCCCTCTCATGCTTGCCGACCCCCCCCGGAACATGATCGCCCAGTCCCAGTCTGGCACCGGAAAGACCGCCGCCTTTGTTGTCACGATACTGTCGCGCGTCGACTTCGAGCAGCCTCACACCCCGCAAGCGCTGGCCCTTGCCCCGAGCCGAGAGCTGGCCCGCCAGATCCAGGGCGTCATCCAGTCTATTGGACAGTTCTGCACGAACCTGAACGTCGAGGCCGCTATTCCCGGCTCGATTTCGAGAGAGACTGGCGTCAGGGCCAACGTCGTTGTCGGAACTCCCGGCACCGTCATGGATCTGATCAGGCGCAAGCAGTTTGACGTCTCGAACCTGAAGGTCCTTGTTATTGATGAGGCCGACAACATGCTGGACCAGCAGGGTCTTGGAGAGCAGTGCGTCAGGGTTAAGAAGTAAGTCATGGGAACCTCATTCCAATAATATCACAGCAGCCCGCTTACCGTCTTGTAGCATGCTGCCCAAGTCTATCCAGACCCTCCTGTTCTCCGCAACATTCCCCGACAATGTCATGAAGTACGCCGAGCGTTTCGCCCCCAACGCCAACCAGATGCGACTCCGCCAGCAGGAGCTCACCGTCGCCGGCATTTCCCAGATGTACATGGACTGCCCCTCGGCTCAGGACAAGTACGATGTGCTGTGCAAGCTGTACGGTCTGATGACGATTGGTTCATCCGTCATCTTCGTCAAGGTGCGTTGATAGATCCTCTTTACATACTACCCACTATCTCATACTGATGATGATGATGATGAGCAGACCCGCGAGAGCGCCAACGAGATCCAGCGCCGCATGGAGGCCGACGGCCATCGCGTGGCCGCCCTGCACGGTGCGCATGAGGGCCAGAGCCGTGATGCCCTGCTCGACGACTTCCGCAGCGGCAAGTCCAAGGTGCTCATCACGACCAACGTGCTGGCGCGCGGCATCGACGTGTCGAGCGTGTCCATGGTCATCAACTACGACATCCCCATGAAGGGCATGGGCGACCGCGAGCCCGACGCCGAGACGTACCTGCACCGCATCGGCCGCACGGGCCGCTTCGGCCGCGTCGGCGTCTCCATCTCGTTTGTCTACGACCGCAAGAGCTACCAGGCGCTGTCCGACATCGCCAACCACTACGGCATCGACCTGGTCCAGCTCAGCCCCGACGACTGGGACACGACGGAGAAGAAGGTGCAGGACGTGATCAAGTCGAGCCGCGCCCGGCCCGACTATGCGCCTAATGCCCTCGACTCTTGAGGTCCTTGCTGTGAGATGACGACCGGGTTTTGGTGGGAGGGGGTGAGCAGAAGAGGGAGAATGACCGATGATTTGGAAGGGGAGGAATGATAAAATCAATGTGTTGATATTGCAAGTGATGAGAGGGACACACTTGTTACTTTTTTTCGCTATGAAGATATGGGGGCAAGTGTGGCGTCGGTTTAAACAAGGTAGTAGTTTGGAAGGGGGCAGAATGTGGACATGGGCTTGCTGTGCCTTACCTAGATACCAAGAATTCGCATGGAAAAAGTCTTGTTTTTTGTTCAAACAGAAGATACTTGCATCGTGAGACCGTGTACTGCGTGCAATCTGTAGCTGGTATTCGTTGTCTGTCGAAGGAGTAATAACCACAATCGACTGATGAGAAAACACTGGCATCACGAATGCATATATGTATGACCAGACCGTAGTTCTTCTTTCGAGGTTCGTCATTACATTTCGGTGATTGTTCCTTTTATAGATATTGATATATACATACAGCGAGCGAACAACGCTTCCTTGCATATCACGGATCGCCAGATTTCTTTTGCTTTTGAGGATTCGACCGTCTCCTTCTTCATCTCAACAGCCTCCTCCATTTTATGAATTGTAACTTCTTCCCAATGGTAAGGAAAAAAGAACGCCCAAAAACGCCAGCGCCATAATCCCCAGGATTTTTTTATACCCCGCATGCATCATCATTAAGAGAAGAGAGAAAAAAAAAAGCATCGCCATCAAACAGATCGGCCGCCGCAAAGACTTCACGCAACAACATCATCATCCCCGTCTAGTAGGTCAGCCAGTCGAGGAACTCGGGCGTAAAGTAGCTGATGATGATGCCCGCCCCGGCGCGCAGGATCGACTCGGTCGACTCGAAAGCCATGGCCTTGAGGTCGTAGACGCCGGCCTTGGCGCCGGCGTGGATCATGGCGAACTCGCCGCTGACCTGGTAGGCCGCGACGGGCAGGTGCTTGCCGATGTCCTTGGCGTCGCTGATGATGTCGAGGTAGGCGTTGGCGGGCTTGACCATGATGACGTCGGCGCCCTCGTTGATGTCGCGGTGGATGGCGCGGCGGGCGAGCCCCCGCCCCCCGGGCGGCAGCTGGTAGCACTTGCGGTCGCCGAACGAGGGCGCGGAGCCGGCGGCGTCGCGGAAGGGCCCGTAGAGGCAGGTGGAGAACTTGGCCGAGTAGGACATGAGCAGGGTGCTGTGGGCGATGCCTTCCTCGATGAGCTTGAGCTTGATGGCGCGGATGCGGCCGTCGTTCATGTCCGAGGGCGCGACGCAGTGGGCGCCGGCCTTGGCGTAGGCGCGGGCGACGTCCGAGATGCGGTCGACCGACAGGCCGTTGTCGAGGGAGCCGTCGGCCTTGAGGATGCCGCAGTGGCCGTGCGACGTGTACTCGCAGAGGCAGACGTCGACGACGATGAAGAGGTGGGGGAAGCGCTGCTGGATGAGCCGGATGGCGCGGATGACGGGGCCCTGCGGGTCGTCGGCGGCGGTGCCGAGCGCGTCCTTGGTGCCCTGCCTCATGGGCACGCCGAAGAGGATGACGGAGCGCAGGCCCTTGTGCACGAGCGTCTCGAGGAAGGGCACGAGGCGGTTCATGCCGCGGCGGTACTGGTTCGGCAGGGAGGGGATGAGGACCTCCTCGTCGTCCTGGTCGGAGATGAAGAGCGGGTAGATGAGCATGGACTGCGATTGGTTTTGTCAGCTCTGGGTTGCCCCCCCTTTTTATCTTCAAAGCGACGACAGGAATCGGGTGAACGAACCTTGGTCAATTGCCTCTCGGCCTGCCACGTCCTGGCGAGCGGGTGGGCGTAGCCGCCGTGCAGCTGGCTCGAGATCTCGCCCGAGATGCTGACGCTGGTGGCAGAGGTGCTGGCGTAGGACATGGCCCGCGAGGGGTGCGACATGCGCGAGGCACGGTCGTCCATGGTGGAGGTGGTCGAGACGTCGTCGCGGGGCCGGCGGGAGGAGGCGCCGGAGTCACGGAGAGCGAGATCCTGCACCAGGCTGGAGAAAGACATGCTGGGTTTGTTCAATGCTGTTGTTGCTGGCGAGTAAAACCTTGGCTCGACTGTTTTTGAAGCTGCGATAAGTCAAAGGAGGAGTTGAGGAGGAGGAAAGCCGGGTTTGTAAGTCCCGAGGTCTGTCCTGAGGGGGGTCGTCGAAGGAAAGTGCGACGGGAGTCGCGAGAGCGGCCAATCAGAAAGTGGCGAAATCCGTAGAAATGTGGTAACTACAGGCCCGGGTGAATGCAGATCAAATGGTCTTTTGGTGCGGAGACGAACCTGCCGAGCAATAACGACGAACCCCAGATAACTCGCAAAAACAGATATGATGGTTTCGTGAGAAGGAGCAGAGAGAACAAGTGAAACAAAAGATTCCTGGGGAAATATGTTTCCTGGCGTGGGAAGGCGAAAATAAGTCCGGTCGGGCAGAGGATGAAACGAAGCCTGGGACCGGGGGGTGTTTAGAATCGGCTGATATCGGCGACACCGCTGTTCTCTTTTTTTTCTCTCTCTCTCTCTCAGGGTCTGGTAGCTCCAGCGCCACAGCGCAACGCTGCAGCTGGGGTTGAGTCAGCGCTGGGTCATTCCGCGGACTTCTCTACGCAGGCCGGATTGACCAATCATATGAATTCCGTTGTCAATGTCCCGACGCCCAAGAACGCCAATCCCAATCAATTGCTGCATGCATTAATGATGTGCTGCACCGCATCCGAACCCGGAAAATGTGGTGCAACATTCCCTCTGCCATTGGCGAGGCCGAAGCCGAAGCCGACCAATGGCATCGGATGCAATACTGCTGGCAGAGACGTCTTTTGTTAACATTGGATATCGACTTTAACTCTCTCAAAAACGTTGGACTTTATTAATCTACCAAGCAAGCTAGCTAGCTAACCCTCTCAATATCTTCGCATCCGTATCGTGACACTCTGACCCTGACTCTAATACGCGCCTCTGAACTGTCCCTTTCCGGAGACCTGAAGCCCCACCCGGCCAAATGTATCCCTGGCCTTCGGACACAACGGCCTAGAACGTTGAGCTTCCATGTTTCCCGCAGGCAGAAAATGCAAATAATGGCTCGAGATGTCCATCCGTACGCAAGATGGCGTGCGACTTACCCCGGTGAATGAGGTCACAATTAAGGCAAACCATCAGCCCTGCAAGCCGTGCAAACCAGCCAACCGCCCGGGCTGCTGGCATAGTCTGTCTGTCGAAACTCCTTAACGCCAAACGCCTTATTCAACGCCATCTGCAATCTCAGACTGAAGCAACCTGAATTGACTGATGGCCGGATTGTGTTAAAGAAAAGAAAAAGAAGAAGAAGAAGAAGAAGAAGAAGACGCGAGCGCAGATACAAATCTCTTCCCCTTCCACGGGAGCAGCAGATGTGCTGGCTGAGCAGGTCAGGGGTCTGCAGCTGCACCCTGGAGCTCGTCCTCGGCCATCATGTCCTCATAGTCGGACTCTGAAGAACATACAGCTACCTGTGATAGCGTCTTCTTGCGACGACCCGGCAGCCTCTTCGAAGCAGCAGGGCCTGTCTCGGTCAGTTCGTCTCGGACATCTTGGCCGAGCAACTTGTCCCGGTCTGTCTCCTTGCTGTCAAATACGCCCCCAAAATCGGCTCCCATGGTGCAAGAGCCTGTGCGGCCCCGGTTCTCGCCAGCTATACCGGACTCCCCGCCACTCTCAGCAGATGGACAGTGGTTGTCGGTGGTCTGCTTCGGCTCATGGGAGGGCCCAGGGATTCGTCTAGCCTCTCTCATCATCCGGTGCAATTCAAATGACAACTCGTCGAGCTCGTCTCTGGACGGAGATGGGTGCCTCTTGGTGCGCACATCATCCTCCAGCAAATGAGCGGCCAGTTGAGCGGCAGCATGCATTGGCTTGGGTTTGAGAAGAAGCCTCGAGCTATTCTGGTCCTTTTTGACTGGCGAGCCCAGCTCATATGGAGATCTCCGGGCCCTGGAAGCCGACAGCTCAGGGGTAGGGGTCAGGTAAACCTGTCTAGGTCGTCGGCTAGCAAAGCCTGGCGATTCCACTCGTCGCTGGAGCGACCTCAGCTGCCTCCTGGTAGGAGACGGATGCTTCTTTCGAAGCAGTGAGCCAGAAGGGTCCGAGTCGTTGCTCGGTGTCGGCAGTGCTGGGTACAATCCGACGTCCTCATCGGAGGAGGATGTTTCCGCATCCGAATCTTCGTCCTCCAGTTCCACCTGAGAATCCCGAGAATTACCTTCCACCATTCGATGCAAGACGGTGTTGTCAGAGGCATCTTCCTCGTCAGTCTGGATGTCACTCGTGGTTTGGGAAGCAGCAGGAGACACCAAGCCCTCGAGGTCATGAGCACTCTTGCGTTTCCGTGGAGTCGAACTGCCAACGGGCTCGCACTCGAGCAAATAATTATGCTGGCCCTCCATGATGTTTTCCGACTCGAACGGGTCAGGACTGGGAGTATGGGGTGTGTATGTGGCCAGATCAGTGGCCGAATGCGTCGAACGAGTGTCACAGCTTGTTTGCGCTGACGAGCCTGCAGCGGGTTGATGGAAGGGACCTCTGGACGAGTCCTGGAGTATGGTGGAACTTGCCTGGCTTGGCAAGGGTTTGCGTAGAATGGCGCCCTCGGTGGTCTTCCCCCCCGTGAGCTTTTTCACTTTGTATTTGTTCAAGTTGTCGCCCTCGTTCAACCGCAATGCCAATGCTGAGACTGGAGACAATTTGACAGAACGCAAAGCGCAAGGAGTCACGGGCAAGGGTGGGAGATCGTCTACCTCCTTAAGCTTGTTACCGTTCCACTTGTCATGTACCGTTTGCGAGACCTTGTGGCTCACTTTGCTGAAAAACTTGGTACTCTTGAGCCGAGACAGCATGGAAGGACCGGAGCTATTGTTCTGCTCTGCCTGATACTGCTTTTCTGGCTTGAGGCTCGCCGTGGCTGCAAGCATCGCTTCAACCTTCATGTTGATATCCGATGCAAGGGTGGCCGAGCTTGACAGAGCTCCCTTGGCATTCCCCTCGAGCTTCGCCAGCGATTCGAGGTGTGTGCCTCGCGAGCTTGCACTCCGAGTCTTGTCGACACGCATGTCATTGCAAGTCGTATGAGACCTCGGCAGGGAGGGACGTCGCAATGACTGCTTGTCTGGTTCAGGGTGCGGGAGTTCGAGGTCAGATAGTCGTCGGCCGGATGTTGAGATGCTCGGAGACACATCGTTTTCAGTGGTCGCGAGGAGGGAGGCCTGTTCTAATATGAGCTAGACATTGTCTTTGAGTCCAAACGAGGTATGTTACGTCACCTGAGATGCTCTATGGCTGGCTGGGGTTTGGTCGTCGAGGGTAGTATCAAGCAAGGCGCTCGCCATCTCGGACACACTGTCGTTGTGACTCAAGGAGGGAACTCCAGCGAACCCGCGCTGGCCTCGTTGATAGCGAGAAGGCATCTTGGCAACTGTTCATCAGGTCAGTCGGATTGGTAACATGAGGAACTCCATGCTGGATTCATTGCAGCCTAGGGCGAGCGAGAATCAGCGTGCGAGTAAAGGGAGTTGACTAACCTATCTTTGTGCCACCGAGGTCACCAGCTAATGTGAAAGGTATGGCCTCACCCATTGCCGAGCGACTATTCTTCCTTCTACTGTACGTGACAGTGGAAGACATGGCAACTGAGATGGCATGAATCGAACCAAGAGGTTGGTTTCAGACAGAAATCGCGAGGTTGCGCGGGTGGTGGTGCGAAAAGAGATCAGAAGCACTGGCTGTTAGTGCAAGTGCACAAGTCACATGGAGCAGGGAACCAAAGGAAGCGAATCGCGAAGTTGGACATGACAACTATGTTGCTTGTATTGAGAGTCGAGTTTCTGAGACGAAGCGGATGGTAAGGTGAGAGGTGGGTGAAGAGTGAGTGGAAGGTGGGTGATTCTTCAGGCGAGTGACTGCGCAAAGGGGTGCTGGCCGTCGTGGTGGCCTGGGCTGCCGTTGATTAGACGAAGTTTTAGCGCACGCATCGCCAGGTCGACAAGGCGAAGGTAGTCGGGTTGGAAAAGTTTTTAAGGCTCCCTGCGTATTGCTCTGGCACTGGGCTGCAGTTTCTGCGTGGTAAGAAAGGAGGCAGCAGTGGGTGATTTGATGGTGCTGGGAAGACGAGAAGAACCTCAAATAACCTCTCCTGGCACTCTTAGAGAGGGACGACCTTCAAGTTCGTACTTGGACTGACCGCAGGCAGCGCAACTGCCTTGGTCTAAGTCCTCTTTGGAAAGAGCGAGCCAGTGAGCCACCAGAGGAGAGGTTGTCCATCAACGATTAACACCGACAGAGGCAGAGTCGAAACCAAGGGATCTCAGTGGCAATTCTCTCCCTGAATCAATAGGGCAAGGTCAACCTTGGAAGGTGTACGATAGATACACTGCGACGGCACTGTCCATAGACGACATCGCCGTCCCGAAGAGGTCGTCACGAACAATCCGTGAATCACTGGCACAAAAGTTACTAACAGAATCTTGTCCAAGTCCTGGCGTATATGCAGCCAGCGTCTATTATGCTTTATAGCTGGCTAAGGGTATATCGTCCGTCAATACATGCTTGCTGGAATCGTACAAAATCATCAAGTCCCGAGCCGGGGACTGTATAACCATCCATCCACCCCCAGTCTAATGAAGCAAAACGTCATGCCAGTCTCGATCCCGTCTCCAGCGCACCGCTCTACCAGTAGCGGCGTCTGTGCGAGCCGCGACCGTCGGTGCCATGCATGCGGCGGGTGCCAGCAGCCTATTCGAGTGTCCCGTTAGCCTTGATGCTTCATCGAATCACAAGAGGATAGAGAGAGCTGTGGGCTCACCTTCTGGCCGGGCCTGCGGGTCAAGCTGCCCTTGAGTCTCAGGAAGGCACCGCTGATCTTGTCGCCCATGGTGGCATGGCGCTTGTGGTGAACCACGGGCGCGGCGTGGGTGGTGTGGTGGTGGTGATGCCGGCCAGTGGTGGTAGTGTGGTGGGTGCGCGCGGGACGAGTGCGGTGGAAGAGACCTCCGCGACGGGGGCGGGCGGTCGTGGTGGTAGTGACACGGGTACGGCGGCCAAACATTGTGATGGTTTGTGGTCTTGGATGTGATATAGTAAGATGTTGTTGTGGTTGATTGCTTGAGCGTAGTGGTAGGATATAAGTCTTTCCGAGTTGGGACTTCTTGATGTGTTTCAAGTTCTCTTGATGCTTAAGAAGGCTTTGATATAGAATAAGAAGGAATAAGATCTAGGGTCTATGGAGTGGAATGCTGCGTGGTTTATATCTACGATTTGAGGCCTAGGAGTTCGCAGAGCATGTTCACGTCAGTTGGTCTGAGGATCGAGATTCCAGAGTCTGTCCAGCGGCCAAGAAGGGTGTGATGCCATACCATGACATCAAAGTCCCCAACGAAGCGCAGATGATCTTCCCGATATTCGTCAGACCTCTCCTCAAGCCCGTAGGGCTGTTCGTACTTCTGGACACACCCGACAGTCTCGAGTGCGTGTAACAGTTCGTTTCTTGTTGGAAAATCAGGGTCCTGACATTTTTCGGGGACCGGGGTGCGTGGCTGGAGACGTCATTGGCGTGGTCTGGGGGGGTTGGCGATTGGCCCAGGGGCGAACAAGGTGTGCTTGGCCCATGTGTCTGGTCTCCGTAGGTGGCTCTAGTTGGCTCGGGTGAGCGAATTAGCGGGCTTTGTGACGGCCGTGGCTAAAATCAGGGTCCTGTGGCTTGAGAGGGGAGAGATGATGTAATGTGGAGGTGCCAACTCTCGAGAAGGGAGGGCACACGCCCACTTTCCTACTCCTGGGTGACGTTGGATGGCGAGAATAGTTGCTCGATTGGTTGGACATGTGGGAGCGATATGGGAAATCCCATGGAAATGGTCTTCCGAGCGGATGTGGTTGGACGTCAGGCTGCAGGGGCTGCTTACCAGTTGTCCTTCTCGACAGCCAACTTTGGTAGAGACCAAGACAACCGTCATTCTGCTACCATGTTCTAGATGAGGAGTTTTGTGAAACAAATGACAATGGTTACGAAAATCGTATGCTGTACGTAGCGTACCGATTAGCCAGGGATTTGGCCTTGCATCGCGATCGAGATGTCCTCATCGGGGCTTCGACTGTCCCTACGAGCCAATACTTGAATTCACACCTGGTGTTTGACAAATTTCCCATGCATATCGCCTTCACGTCTGTCATCGTCGATCTAAGGCATGATGCTGGCCATACATCATATCGGCTGCAAGTTGAGGGTATCTGCCAGGACAACACAACCGACTAAACTCTCTGTCAGGGGTTGATTGCCGGTGATCCCGTTCAAACCGTGTATTAGTCTTATCTACTCGAGCTACTCTACAAGTCGTCAGTATGTACGATCGAAGAACTTGATATGCAGATCATGCGCTCGGAGCCACAGTCAAGTTGTGCTTGATGATCTCGACATCTTCCGCCGACAGGCCCAGGATGTCCGTGATGAACTTTTCGAACCCGCCGTACTCGCGGTTGACGGCCTCGACATAAGCGTCCCAGCAAACCTTCCTCAGGCTGGTCATGTTCTTGAAGCCAGGCGCATCGATGCTGGTGACGCCAGCGCCGTGTAGCGCAAACGCAAGCAGCTGCTCCCGGGCGGGCTCCATGCCGAGGCGGGACAGCAGGTAGTCAAAGGCCACTGTGTCGGCGTCGACGCCGGCGAGCGTCATGAGCAGACCCGCTACTACCCCCGTGCGGTCGCGGCCAGCTATTGCAGAGATTCCTTATTAGTGACCATCACCCAGACAAGTGTGGGACGTGTGTGCCACACTTGGCGAAGAGGGAGAAGAAAAGGAAAAAATCCGGAGTTTCACACAACAACAAAAACTTACCCGTGCAATGGAACAAGAACGGCTCGGCAGGCCTGTCCCGCACGTGCTCGAGCACGGCCTTGATGGCCGGCCTGTAGCACCTGAGCACGTCGAGGTACATCCACACGTAGCCCCCCTCGCCCTGGCCCTCGACGAACTCGTCGAGCCGGACCACGGCGTCGAGCTCGCTCGTGGGCGCCCACACGCCCTCGGCGCCCTCGACGGCCGGGTCCGGCTTGTCGGCGTGCTCCTTCTGCGAGCGGATGTCGAACACGCGCCTGATGCCGAGCCCCGTACTGCCCAGCGCCGCCGAGGCGCGGCCGTCAGTGAGCCCGCCGGAGCGGAAGGCGAAGCCCTGGCGCATCGGGGTCGGCTGGCCCGCCGACGTGGGCACGAGGCCCAGGTCGCGCGTGTTGAAGGTGCCCGGGACGGCGACGAAGGGGCTGCTGGTGATGACGGGGCCGAGCTGGTCGAGCGGGATGGCGGTGGTGATGTCCGTCTCGGCGAGGGCGCGGAGATCCGCGGCGGCGAGTGTGGGTGCCATGGTTTCGAGCTGAGCTGCGATGTAGACTCGGACGCTTGTGTAGAGTCGATGGGGAAACAAGGTGTGTGGGCGCAAGACTCTTCACTTTACTTCGCAGCATATAGGGAGGTACCTAGGTTGATCCAGGCTTGAAAGGGTTCATGTCACGATCCACTGGCTCTCATTCGCTGGTGTATTGTCCGAGGCAGACGCAACAGCAACAACAACACAACACCCCTGACAGCTCTCTAGATCGCCGGCGGGCGCGGAAACCGAATGTGTCGAGATCCTCCGGGCTGCCCCGCCCCCACGTAAGCTGAGCGAACACTGGTTTACCTAGTTGACACAATCAATGGTTGAAACAGGCCTCGGTCTTCATGAATGCTGAAATCAGCACTCCTTTCAGGAGGACATTTCTGTTGTGCCCCTCCAGACACGACAGAGTATTCGATGTTGAGCCAGCCTGTCTCATAGAAACAGATATAAGATTGGCCCAGCGCTTCAGGAAATTGGGGCGTCAGTCGAATCCCTCGGCTCGGATCCTTCACGCAAAAGATTGATGACACAAAACACCCATGCAACATCCTCACGTGCCACATGGATGAGAATCGAGATGGATACAGCCAGGAATTGAAGGTTTGCATCCATGATTGCACTGACCAGGACGGGCGCTATGATAGGGGGGTTTAGGGAGATTGGCTGGGGGTCCACCCTCTAAATTTAGACGGATTGGTCTCTCCAGACATTGTGAAACCAAACGACGCGCATCACGGCCGCCCCAGGGGCATTCCCACACCATCTGCTGGGATTGTTCCACCACCAATTTCGTACGTGCCAGGCAGGGCTTCGAGAAGCCAACTGGCGTCTTTATTGCACTCGTTCGTTTCTTCAGCCCTTGCTCGTGACCCCATACTTCGTACATACGTGCTTTGGTGATCGCAACTTAAAGCTCCTCCTTCGAGCTCCAGTCCGTTATCGTGTCTCAACAGCATCATCAATTCGGCACCCCACCCCGCTTCACTCCCCCCCGAAGCTTACGACTTCTCCTTGCCGCATGGTACCAGGGGAAGATGCGCACCGACACGGCGCCGCTGTCGACGACATGGAATCCAGCGCCGTGGCAGGGGTGAATGGGGGAGCAGATGCGACGGAACAATCACAAAAGCCCGCCCTTCCGGCCGATCCGCCACAGCCAGAACCACTCTTTTCTCCGACCACGAGCGACGATGACCTGTTGACAAAGACATTTCGCTTCCTCTCGACGGCCACGCCGGAGACCCTGGGCGCCATAGGGGTCGGGCTGGCCGCCTCGACGTACCTGGTCCTCGGAAAGCTCGGCCTCGTCCTGGTCGGCGCATTCGGCGGCGTCGCCCTGTTCATATCGTGGGAAGCGCGCAACCCGGAGTTGTCGCGTGCTATCAAGGGCGAGAGAGGCGTGGACGTCCTGGCGCGGGTGCTGGCGAGCAAGAGCGAGAACAAGGACGGGAGCGCCAGCAGGGAGAACCGAGAGGACGAGTACCAGTGGGGTGCCCAGAGCTTCGACGACTTCCGCCCGGAGACGCGCGATGCGCTCAACAACCTCGTCGACGCAATAATAAGAGACTACGTGAAATGGTGGTACGGGCCCATCGTGCCCAGAGACGACTCCTTCCCGGCGTCGTGCAGAAAGGTCTTGACGTCCTATCTGCTATCCGTCTCGAACCACCTGAGCCGGAAGCGGCCGGCCGACGCCTTCTTGGACTTCCTCACCAATTCCTCCTCCATCGTCATTGTCCTGTTCGCCGAGCTTTCTGCCGCCTTCGCGGAACTGCCTACCGACTCCAAGATGACTGCTGCGGACGCGATATATAACTACCTCTCCGCCAATCCCGACTCGAGCTTGGCGAATTTGCTGAGCCAGAAGCAGCAGGCCAGCAAGTTCAAGATGGTCGCCGAGGATCTGCTAGCCTTCTTGGACAGGTCAAGTTACGACTGTGATCCTGCCCGGATATTCCTCAGGGAGATCCTGGCAAGCGTCATCTTGGAGAAGACGCTCGAGACCTGCTCCAAGCCCGAGTGGATCAATGGGTGGATTGTGTACCTCCTCGAGGCCGGAGAGCCCGACCTCAGCCAGGCTATCGACGTAGGCATGCAGACAGGTCCGGAAGCAAACAACAATGCGTTCATTGATATCGATGGCAACGTAGGGAACATCGGGCTGTCGAAAGGAAACCGCAACTCCTTTGATATGGAGAAGGCCAGGAAGAGAGAATCCATGGGCCACAAGAAACAGCTTAGTAAGGCTGAAGAGGAGATGGAGGAAGCCATGGAAGAGATGGAGAGGCTAAACAAGATGATTGCCGAAGACGAGGCCCGCAGAGCCCGGGCAAAGAGTGCGAGCGAACCTTCCAAGGAGACGAAGAGCGCCGCAGACGCATCGGAGCGACTGGCGGGGGCTATGAAGCGTAATGCCAACGAGCTGGAGATTCAGCCAAACCTACCTGACAGCAAAAATGATGCTACTGGCCTTGGTGTGCAGTCGCCTCCTGCGTCTGCCAAGGTCTCGCCCAAGGACCCGAGCAGCTCCGGCGACGAGCAGTCGGGCAAGGGCGAGCCGATCTACACACCTATCACACCGCGGTCATCAATGGCCGAATCGCCCAGCCAGACTACCTCCCCGAACCGCGACTCGGGCCACTTCACCAACTTCGATCAGCTGGTCCCTCCGGCACAGGACGACGCTGACCTGAGCGATTCGGAACAGCGCAAGCCCGTGCTGACCCTGCACAAGGCATCCGTGACTATTCACGACGAGGCTCTCGTCGACACAGGGCGGATTAGGAGCAAGCCCTCGTGGGACTTTTTGATACAGATCGAACCAGCCACCACCCAGTTCCCCGGCTGGATGAATGTCAGGAGGTACTCGGACTTTGAGCGGCTCCACGAGGTCATGCGGAGGATCGCGACCATCTCTGGAGCAAAGGCGTTTACGGAACAGCACGCCGAGCTTCCAAGTTGGAGAATACACACCCGTGCTTCGCTTCGCGGCGAGTTGGAGAGGTATTTGCGCGATGCACTTTGGTACCAACCCCTGGCGGAGAGCGAGGGTATGAAGCGCTTCTTGGAGAAGAACTCGGGCCATGCTCCCAGTGCATCCAAGTCCGGCTTTCAGCTCCAGGCCTTCGAGAACATGGGCAAGAACGTCCTAGGTGTCTTGTCAAACGCTCCCAAGGGCATGAACGAGGGAGGCAAGGCTCTCGTGGGCGGCGTCACGGGCGTTCTCGGGAACATGGGACTCGGCCAGCGGAAGAACACCGCCTCGTCATTACAAGACGTCACTGCCTACACAAACAGGCTGTCCGTGTCTACGCCGCCGCGAGTGGACAGCAGCATCTCGATGAACGGTTCGAACCGAAAGACGCGAGACAGCCTCGACAGCCAGAGGTCGTCCGTGGTCTCGACGCAACCCGCGCGGATGGCGCCCATGGAGCGCCGGCCCAGCTACAACTCGCAGAGCGAGGCCGAGGGAGAGCCGCTCTCGGCCGCCAGGTCGGACCGCTGGGAGCTCATGTCGCCCAGCACGGGCGGCAGCAGGCAGCACAGCCGCGCATCGAGCCTCGCGCCCGCGCGGTCCCCCTCCGTCGCCAGCTTCAGCAACATGAAGCTACCGCCCCCGCCCGACGCGATCCCGGACGACTACGACGCCCTGAGCAACAGCAACAACCACGAGGAAGACGGTGGAGGCAGGAACCCGAAGCGCAACTCGACCATGGCCATGCGGTCGCGGTCGCAGTCCCTCACCAACGCGCGCCGGCGGTCGATGCCGGCCCCGACGTCCGGCTACAAGCAGTTCCCCAAACTCAGCGAGCAGGAGACGCGCGTCGCCGTGGAGCTGCTGTTCGCCGTCATCAACGAGCTGTACACGCTCTCCTCGGCCTGGAACATCCGGCGCACGCTCCTCACGGCCGCCAAGTCGTTCCTCCTGCGGCCCGGCAACCCCTCGCTCGCGTCGATCCAGACCCTCATCCAGACCTCCGTGCTCGAGGCCAACACGTCGGACGAAGGGGTCGCGCGGCACCTGGCCAAGCTGCGCGAGAACACGCTGCCGACGGAGGAGGAGCTCGCGGCCTGGCCGGCCGAGATGTCGGCCGAGGACAAGGAGAGGCTGCGCGCGCGGGCGCGCGCGCTGCTGATCAAGAGCGGGGTGCCCGCGGCGCTGATGGGCGTCATGGGCCAGGCGGCGACGAGCGAGGCCATGGGCCGCATCTTTGACTGCCTCCAGGTCGAGGAGGTGGCGCGGGGCCTCATCTTTGGGGTCCTCTTGCAGGCCGTGCGGGTGGTGACGCACTGAGATGTGTTTTTACTTGTTGGGGGTGGTGCAGTTGGCATGAATCACAGGGTTCAAGAGAGGCATCAGACAACTTTTGTTTTTTTGTGTATAGAGTATTTGTAATGTTGGGGGAGGTGTTGTTGTTGCTGTTGCTGGTGCTGCCTTGTCTACGTTGGCTGTGATGAGATCACGGCTGGGATGGTGCTTGCTGTATTACTAGATCATGAGAAGCGGCGTTGTCAACATGAGCATATGAGTTACTGTATAGAAGTACGATTATATATGGTTAGCAGGCTATCTTCATATTTACAGTTTTGCTATGTTTTCGTGGTGTTGTGTTGGAGACCATCGAGGCTGCGTTTGGGTCAACATCCCGATATGATGGAAGCTGCACGATCAAGCCAAGCCAGCGCTATTCACGACTCTCACCTCCCATTTTGCGATCACTGACACTTCAACCGAGATACAAACTAAGAGCTGTGCCCGATGATACAGCTCGGCTGTATTGGCAAGCCACTCCCGGGAATAATAGAATAATGGTAGACCAGTCAAATCAGCACCGTTTCGCGGCCAAGGCTCAATTTATTTAAGTGTCCAAACTTGAAACAGGCACTTGACTCCACACATCGTACCATCTCCCCGGTCACTATAGAAGAGTGGCCGATTCGGTATCGATCACATTTTTGCTTTTTGCGATCTTATACTCAACTAGAGCCTTAGCCTTGCGAAAAGAAGGTGTGGTTCATGCAGGCGGGCCGGACCTCTCTCCGCGCCCCCGAATCCCTGCGCTTGATTGCTCGGCATGTACAACACGCTGATAGGAACATTGTCCCAAGATCTACAGCACTTTCCGAAAACGGGTGTGAATGTGGTTGAAAGAGTATATAGGACTTGTTGTGTCAGGTCGAGGTTGTAGAGTATTACGACATAATTATTTGACCTTTTGCCACAAACCTTATCGGGTGCAGAGTGTCAATCGATGTGACTTGACAGACTACGGGATGAATATAGTCGACAACTCAGAGATGATCTAGAACGAAATCTCTTTATTTTGCACTTGGCAGAACGTGCTTTCAATGTCAGGGAAAGTGACTGAGCAACTCAAGACGCGCTTGACTAGCCGTTGAGCGTTCTGGGCAACAGATTTGAACTTGAGCAATATATGGAATGGGTTCGCATTTTCGAGTCAAATAAACGACGGCAATAACAATCTTCAGCAATCGAAATTTATATCCGGCTTAGGAATGATTCCCGTGGAGTCCTGCCCATTTTTCAGAGACTTATTCGATGTTGTGAGGGCAGACGTGGGAAAATACGGTGCCGTGTTTCTCACCTATTGCAAGAATCTGACAATGAATTAGTTAGCAGAGCAATACGATCTCCTATGTGAGAGAGGACAATCAAGCACTCTGTCACTAAATTAGAGATTACATGAGTTTGGTAATTACTTGTCCCCTGAAGTTGAGACTTGGAGACTCGAAAGCCTGTATCTAACGCGGAGTGTCGTTCCTAACAGCCTGTAAGTGTCAGGTAGTTCAAGAGAGCTCGAGTTACATTAGTTCAAAGAGCTCCTCCAGGGACAACATAGTAATGTTACGTTGCAAGAACATCCACGTGAGAGGCAATGCCCGTTTGTCCTCATTGATATCAAGGGACAATGACTACCAAGTGCAACTCTTGACGACTGAATGGTCACCGCAACCGTTCTCAACTGCCGACATTCACCATAGCGCGTTCTACCGTGCAGGTGGCGTATTCATGGTCCTTGTTCTTCAAGACTATCAAAAGCTTACATGTAGCTTTCGCTTAACAAGTTTGAGCCAGACATGAGTTGTGCTTCGAGAGATCCGCTCCCACTCTACATCAATACTGGAGACAGGATAAATCACTTTCCAGGTTCTATTCCTCACGCTATGTCTCCTTGCTATCTCAGGTCTGCCATCTCCGTGGCTGATGTAGCTTCCTTGCGAAGAAAGGAGCGGGCAATACTGCCCTTCAACTAAAGCCCCGAGATACGAGTCATATCCTCTTCGTATCAAGAGCACTATCTTGTCGTCGTTATCCCGGCTTTCTTGCTCATCTCTCGCGTTAATACCAGATACGGAATACTGCCGTTCGTGGTGTTTAAGTTGTCTAGGTAAGCCCCGAGACGAGGGATTTCCAGGAAAGATCAAAGCTAATGACTCTTTTCCCGAAGATCTAGGCCAAGAGACACTGCCCGAACGCAAGGCCAAAAGCTTATATCAAAGTGGTTAGACGATATTACACGATTGCTCGCCCTTTGCACGTCACCATCTAGCCTGCCTATCTATCTCGCCTCGAGGATCGGTCCCTGAGATATGGCACTCTCCCTGGAACGCTTGCCAAAAGCCCATGGTGCTGTGTCCGGCGCCGCGCCCCAGGACGTCGAGCCCGGCTCCCCGACGCCCCATGTCCATGTTCCTCCCATTGCCATGCCATGCCATGCCACGCCATGCCATGGGCCAAGCTCGTGGGGTTCGGTTGCCCGAAGATCTTTTCGAACCGGACCGGATCTTGCTACCATTGCGACGGTACCACGCACCGTCCATGGCGCCGGCACATTGCACCGGCCGGGATCGCCCAATTTCCATTCGCGGATCTACGGTGGCTTGCGAACGAAGCATCCGCGACTCGACGATCTCGAGCCGTCATTCCCACCCCCTGCAGAGATCTAGATCTAGAACACCATCTTCAGCTCCCCACGTCCCCCCAAAACCCCATATCCAACAAAGCACCGGACCTCGCAAAGGGATCGCATTCCAGCATGACGAGATGCGAAACGCGACCTCCGACACCGCTGATTTGGGAAATCTCTCTCTCTCTCTCCCCCCCTCCCCTCCTCTCCCTTCCCTCCAGTTGGCCCTTCCTATACCCTCCACTTCCCTGCTCGTCCCGCCGCCCGCCCGCCCAGAATGACAAGCAAGTGTTCCCTGAGACGCGGCACCGGGGCCCTGAAGCGGGGCCATTCGGTCTTGCGAACAGACCATTCAGCCCAGTGCCCAGCTGCTAAACCTCGCATCGCGCCGCGCGCCCGCGCCGCCGATCTTCCATCCTGGGGTAAGGCCGGCACGCATCCGAGCCCTGCTGTTGCCCTCCCTTCAGCTGGGTCTTGCATTTTTTCTCGCAAACTATATCCGAACACCTGGTCTTGGGTGGCTTGCGCTTGGCGGCTCCCCCAGCGACTAGTCGCGATGGATAGTTGCATCTGATAGTCATTCCTGCCTACCCGTAGACGATGTGGCGTCTGCAAACTAGTCATGGCCGGGCGAGGACCCCTTTTTTTACCTCTGATACAGACACACCAGCGCACCTATGGCCGTCCGGAATGTGACGAGCTGATGGTGGCCAGCCTCGTGTTCGGATAGGTAGTGAAGCGTGGATACCTAGCAGAGCACGAGGCCTCGTGTGTGCCGCTGCCGCCGCCGCCGTCGTCGTCGTCGCCTGCTCGCCCTACATTCCAATGTGATGGATGACTTGCCTGAAATATGTCAGTTCGGTTTAGTGATCACAGATAGAAACAACAACGGACTTGACACTGCATCCGGACTAACTAGGTTTCACATCAAGGTTTCTGTTGCCAATCTGTGCGCCGGGGCATCACATCACCACTCCTTCTTTCGGCCGGGTCTCACGGAGGAAGCGCCGGGGGCGGCGGGGTACCTGAGCCGGAGGCTCGCCTCCGTAGCAGGCTGCGTCATCTTTCCTCCCCTCGCGGCGGCGCGAGGCGAGGCGAGGGTGTCTCGTCGTGCCGGGTCATCCATGGAAACGACGATAGACAAGCAGCTCAAACGACTAAAGAGAAGCCGCTGTCTTTTACTCTCACCCTCTTTGTGTTGTAAAAAAAAAACTAGCCTCTAGGCGCATACAAACGAGTTTTCAGCACATTTTCATTGTCATTCATGATTGTCTCTTCTCGTACGAAAAGCAAGTAGGTCGGTCAGTCAGTCACAAGACGCCCTACCCAACGCGGTAATCAGAAACTGCACGTCCGAGGCACAGCGACTTCAGCACACGCGCGCGCGGCCGAGAACGAGAGACGCAGCTGTGTGTTGACCCCCAACACCGACACTGTGCCGACCAGTCTGGCTACCGAGGATTGGTAATATCCCCAACGACGGCGGGGATGTGTGCCCGCAGGTAGGCATCCCACAATAAAGTCAAAGTCCTAAACCCCCCATGTTGTGCGTTGCGTTGTGTTGCATTGCATGCCAAGCAAAAGAGCTACGTCTTAGGAAAGCAAAGATGGGCCAAAGGCAACCCGCGGCCCGGCTTGAGGAGAGCCGGTGGGAAGAAGAAGAAGAAAAAAAAAAGAAAGAAAGAAGAGTAAAAAAGAACCGTGCATGATCAACCGCGCTGCCATGAGTGGTTCGACCAAGAGAGATGAGGAGTTGGTCGAGTCGCCGAAATGAAGGGAGAATGTGCGTGATCGGGTAACGTGCATCAAAAGTGACGAAACAAAAACCGGACACTAATAAACAGCTGCACTTGAACGAAAAAAGGTCGGCGAATGTTATGTGTTATTAAAATTTGATCACTGCACGCATGCATGTGCCGGGACGATCTCCCATGCAACTAAAGCCTTGACCAGATAGAGTCGCAGCAGCACACACACACACACACACAGGCAATCCCGAAGCAAAAGCAAAAGCCGCATTTCTTACGCTGCGCAAGCCCATCCCCTCGGCTACTGTTTCCACTCAGACTCGCCCTGCCCGCCGCCCGCCAGCCACCTCCCTGCTTTGGGCTGAGGGCAGCCAGCCAGTCTGTCACCTGCGCGCCGGGCTTGGCTTGCAGGACTGTGTCCTTTTTTGTCCGTTTCCTTCTTCCTCTCTGGAGGCCCGGGGATAGGCACCGTTCGTGCCGGTCACAGCACGCGATGTGGCCTGACAGTGCTGGCCGACACACACACAAAGAAGCAATGCTCCTCCATCGTCCGATGAACGGTCTCGTCTACCGTATTGGGACATGAAGGCAGCAGCTCGACAGGGGTCCCGGGGAAA